AATTTATGCCTACGTACCTTCAGCTTCTTCTGCACGTTGTTCAGTTGTCTTGTTAATTACGTTGAAGTAATCGTGTATCGATTTTCGAGCCATATGTGTGTACTCTGTGTCACGAAACACACGAAAACTGACTACAGAAGCCAGTGATCACGCTCCTCAAGTCGCAGAAATATTCAGAGGATTCTGTAACAGTTTCTTCGGAAAATCAATTATTGGGGCTTCACTGTTTGACCTTACAAGTATATTCCTAATCTCCGTTGACGGCAAATACGTTTTGTTCTGAAGCCACACGTCATGGCATAGTAACCTCTCCTTCAAGAATACCTGCGGGACTGGGGAAACTGGTGAGGCTGGCTGACCTTGAGGGAGGGGTACATGAGGCGTTTTTCCTATTTTTGCTTACCACTCAAATGCATTTTGGCATTATTAGTGACCAGCACTGAATGATTAATGCTTGGATAATGGGAATTCTAATAAAAAACGCCAGTATAAAGAGAAAATATGAACCTATTAGCCAGCAAATTTAATGAGAAAAAATTTTTTCTCAGATCTCAGCTGTACGCACGGGCGTACGTGCGTATATGGACGCTACGCCCCTGCAAGCCACAACCCCACTGAGCAGGATTCTGGTAATATAAACTTAGGACTTTGGAATCTAGTCTGATCGACATTTTCTTACCAGGAACCCTGTAATTGTGACTGGGGGGTGGCGGTGTAGCCCGCGCCCCTTACCCACTGAGCTGCATGATTCGTAGTATTAATCTTGCCGCCTTGAGTGTGATCTTTCACAAACCCTCGATGTAGTTTGATTTTTTTCTTAAAAGGCATTACGATTTCATCAAACCAAGAAAATCAAGAAAGGCTAATAGGAGTCCAGACTGCCTTTTGATTTAAATGGGCAAATTTCAACGTATATAAAGAAAAAAAAAGTCCGTGAAAGCCTTTCCTTTTATGCTTTTTTTTCGAGAAAAAACGTTTGACGTTTGCCGTTTGCCGTTTACCGTAAACTTGACTATAAATCTGTCTAATAATACTATGAAAACGTTGCTTGCATCGAAGTCGTTTTGTCATCCATGTCAGGGGAAACAAGCAGTGGGGTAAAAAGAGCAATATTCAGCCTCGATGGCATTCAAACCAACAGCCTTTTATAGTGGAGTGATTTCAGTCTCACCATTTTGAAGGTGGGGTCTAACATTGCCGAAATATTTTCACCCTTTTACAGGGGTTTGAACTCTGACCTGAAAAGTCCAACGCGTTAGTCCATTGCTCCACGGGGGTGCATACGTAGAGATTTGGTTAAAAATGGTGGTTGAATAAAAGCCAGCTCAAGATTTGTAGGAAGGAAAGCAGGGATGATGGAACAAGGCGAAGGGAATCCCCACCAGACTCGTGGCTCCTCGGAGAAAATTGGTTAGAATCACGCATGTGTTATACGGCCGGTAAACGTCAGTTTGACTGACAAGTGACTAAATTTCCCATTTACTATAAATCGTTTATTGTTTATTCCATCGATTCAAAATAAGGAAATTGCACAGTTTTTATCTGCTCATTTCCTAATCTGAGTACAGTTGTAAGCTTGAATCTGAGTGACGTTTCCAGTTGCCGTAAACGTGATTCTACGATTCTGAATCTATGGTTAAAAACGACGGGTGAGATCGTAACACTAACGTTTACGAGCCAAATGTACAGATCGGTACTGCTTAAGGAGTTAAAATAATAACACCAGCATTTGAAACAGAGCTTTGAGCAAAAAATGAGTAGATCCTCTCAGCGTTAGAAAAGTACTTAGCTTCTACCCCAACGAAAGGAGATTCCGGCTGATGCATCTTCTCTAGTTTTGAACGTTGACTTAATTTTATCTTCTTTATGACAGACAGAATACCAATAAAAAAATATACACATATTATTGAATTTCGTTTTAAAGAGTACTAACTGATGGTGCCACCCAAAGTCGTGTCTATACTGTCTGGTGGGTGTTGGAAAAGCTCTTTTCTCCTTGTCTTCTTTTTTTTTTTCATTCTTGCCTACGATTAGAATAGCTGGCTTAAAGGATACCCAACCAAGGCTTTTGTGCCCAGTTGATTGTTTGAACTATAGTAGCTATAGTAGTTGCTCCCAGCCTAAATTGAATCACATAGCACGTCTTTGACTAACGTTTCTTGTAATTATTTACTTAAATAACGTGAAGAATGATGAGGTTTTTCCCAGCTTTTAGATTCGGTTCTATTATCTTTGCTAAATCCATGGCCAATAATTTCATTTTTCTATTTAGTGACAACTCTAAACGTAGTAAAAATCAGTTGTTGTTAATCTTCATTCTGTACGAACACAGATGAACCGAATTACGTAAGCTAATGGTGGCGTTTTGATTGACTCTTATTTCTTAACTTGTAGGCCTTACTAACTCGTTAGTAACGGTTAAAAGAGCTAACTCACTTGGAGCTTACTGATTTTAATATGGCTATAGCAAGCTTATAGTCGCTAGGCGTCTCGGCTCGGTCCCTCCTGGACTCTACAGTGAGCTGTGACGTCACCGAGGTAAGAGAGAACGCTGTGGCTATAGCAATTGCCACTGAATTCTCCAAGTGAGTTGCTGATATACACTGACCAGACTGGTGATTCTTGTTCTTTAGGGAGCATTACCTTCTTATCATTAGGTATTAGAAAACAAAAGGACAACTCTACATACCAACAAACTCATAACGATAAGATGTAGTGAACGAGCAGGCAGGAACCGCTAGACCAAGTGAGACGGCTTCTATAAAGTAATTAATAGAGCAAAGAAATGAAAACTGGGTTATGAGTATATGTTTCATCAACAGTTCATTGTTTCAGGGGCCTGAGTCAGAGAGAGGTTCTTGTTTGCCACTATCTGCGTGTGTCTCTGGTGTGCAAAACCTACAACAGCCTAAAGATATACATGTATGTAAACACATTCCTTTACCTTAGTCAGATTGAGACCCTCTTTATGAAAGGAGGATAAAACTATTCACCTTTGAACGAAAATGGTTCCGGCTTTAATTTATAAGTGATATCTTGCAGTTTCAACTTGAATTACTATTTCTATTTCAGAATCATGAATAAAAAACGGGTAAATGTGAAAAGCACGATAAAAAGTACAGAAGAAACCTTTTGGAATGTGTGAAGGCACTTTAACGTTCGTCTGGCAATTAAAAAAAACACATATGCCTTGTGGAACCAGTGTGATGTCAAGATGGCTTAATTCTGACTGAACAAGTTTGGTCAATAAAGGATTTATTATATAAATGCTGGGCCAACGTCGAAAATTCGTTTTTCGCTCAGGTAGCCGATCAAAACAGAGGATTCGCACCATCTGCTCGCGAATTCACCCATGTAATATGAAGTAAAACTAACTGAGCTGGGAAATGATGATGGCGGTCGGACGTTTTTTTTATCGTGTCCGCCTAGTTTTGCTTAAAAGACGCCTCTCGCTGCCTTCCTCTGCAAATCTGTAAATAATCTTTTTAAAAGACACATGCCCGCAGAAAAGAACAAAAGAAGAGGTCGATATTGAATTTTTTAACAAAGCCTTAGAGGTGACATGGATTAAAAAATACCTGGACAAAAACAATCGTGGCAAATGCCAGAAATTTCTTTTCGATTTTCATCTTGAAAAACCTTGGCTACGGTCTTCTTTTCACCAACAAAAATGGATACAATCAAGACCTTAAAGACCAGCTTTTTATAGGAGATCCTACTAATCTGGTCAGAAATAAACTTTAAACAACAATTAACGTCCGAAAGACAGCCGGTCTCGAACAAAACCTACGGTTCAACTCCCTGGTGCGAAATCAACAATGCCCCCATTTACTATAGGGTACTGCAGTGTTATTAGGAAATATGGCACCTGAAAGACACCAATAACAATTTTCTTACCCTTCAAGAGCTTCAGAACAAATTCGACTTAAAGATTCAACCATTGACTTACTGTGGTCTTTTCTACTCATAAATCACGTGCTTTGGATGAGAAGTAATTCAGTAAGTGACTGCACAAACAACGGCAAAGAATATGAAAGCTTTTTGACTAAATTAACCACCGAAGGTAAAAAAAACGAGTAGACTTGCATATAACGCTCTCGTTGCAGAGAAATCCTCTCCCCTACCCATGAATAGTCAGAACAGATGGACGGAAGCTTGTGGCCTATCACATAATGACGGAATTGGACCGCTGCTTACCAGCTTGCTCCAAAAATTTTGAGAGGCACAAGACTTTCTGAATTTTAGTTTAAACTTCTGCACAGAAGATTCCCAACAAATGGCATTTTGACTACGATTAATTTACGAGTAAAGGAAAACCCCCTGTGCTGTTGATGTAAAGAAGAACAAGAAAAACTAACACTCTTTTTCTGGGGTTGCCCCAAAATAAAACCTTTCTGGGAAAACGTAACAGCGCGCCTAAAGGCTTTCAAGGTAGTTAAAGATTTTTCTTTGGATATTGCTCTAGCATTTGGTTTAAGGCGTGTTTCTTCAAAGTTACATCAACAAGTAAAGTTTTGTCTTCTTACAGCTAGCTATAGGCACTACATTAGGCACAGTAAAACAAATGAATGGTCACTGAAACTATAAGAATATCTGAAATATGCCAAATCTATCCACAGAATATACGAGTACGAAACCGCTAATCAGTCCTTACCTAAAGAGTGGACTTTTCTAAACGGCATCTAAACACTTTAACTGTCTTTTGGGCTGCTCTCGAGCTCCCTCATGCCCCTGATAATTTTCTTTGTATAGGTTTGCCTTCTTCGCACAACGAATGCGTATCAATAATTTTGGTAATTTTTGACAATACTTTTAATTTTTTTGTTTTTTTGTAGTTTCTTTTGCAATTTTTTGTAATTTTTTCCTTTGTATGTAAATGTGTATCAAGTAATAAAGTGTTTGTTGTAATAAAAGGAAAAACTAAGTCCGTGATCACTAGTGTGGGAAACGATGGAAACACAAAACAACTAGACTAGTTATAATACTGTTTAAATCTGGGTTTAAAAATCAAATGAGACATCATCCCCAATAACCACAAAAGGTGCCCATTGCCTCCATTTAGAGGAACCGTTATTTCGCATCCACTTCATGGCTCGGTGAAGAGATTCGCTTGCACTTTGTCCTTTTACAAGACTTTCGTAGAAATGGCTCATGAACTGGTCTGTTGCTTTTAATTGTCTCCTATGGCCCCCAGAGCCGCCAACACTGAGCGCGAACCCGATCCTAAGAATGTTCGAGCGATTCCAAAGACGCCTTCTGCTTTTATTTGCCCACACGCAGTATGACAACAGCTTAAGGACTACCAGTTTGGCTGTCAGTCTAACTTCTGAAACTTCTCCCATTGACAGTAAGTAGTCAGGTTCGTGTGCAATCCCCTCTGTAGAGCTAGGAGGGGCAAGTGCATTTTCTCCTCTTTCGGCATCACCGTGAGCAGCGAAATATGTCACTCACTGAGTGAATCCTATAGGAAAATTCATTACCTGACGAGGGAATTCCACTTTAAATTGCACGCGAAAACCGATATCGCACGAATCGCGAAGCGATGAGTGCGATATCGGTTTTCAAGTGCAATTTAACGCGGAATTCTCGAGTCAGGTAATGAATTTTCCTTGAATCGCATAATTGAATAAAAATCAGAAGAAAAAAAAAGAAAAAAGCAATAATATTGTTTGTTTTTATCCTGAGCGCGCGCTCCAGAAAGCCATTTCAAAGTCAACTGTCAGAACTGTCATTGCGTTAGTGAATAGGAAGCAAGGTCAGTCGTACACGTTTGAACCTTCGACAACTTTTTTTGTACCTTGTGCTTGTTTTCACATTTATTTTCAAACTTTTTTACATGTAAACAAGCTTCACACTAATCGTAAGGATAAATAGAGGTATTTTACTGAATTTAGAAGCCGTTTATGTAGAACGTCTTTTTTCAAATTGGTCATTTGCTCGAGAAGGAAAATAATTTACACCTTTTACCTCTTCGGCGGCAAAACTGAAAGAAATCAAGTGTCCAAGCGAAAGCACTGAAAGTTTAACATGTTTAACGTCGCGATTGACATAAGGTAAGTACCTTGAAATGTTTTAGAAATGCTGTTCAAGTTCAGCTCTGATTTGTACTTTTCTAAGTACCACGATTCAGGACGATTGCAAGCGACGTACTCTTTTTCGTGTTTTCAGGGGCCATGTCCTCTTTGAAGGTATTTATTTCTTCTTCTGTATATGGGACAATCGACCCCGGCACTTCCTCCGTTGTCGCTTCTCCGTTTTGTTTGGTTGAACTTTGGATTGCCATTTTCTGGGCCGTGTTCACAGGATTTTCTTAGTTTTCTGGTTGTCGCGAGTGAAAGAGGTTTTATGTCTCTTCGAGAATCTGTAGTTCAGTTCAAAACAAGGAAGAACCTCCGGCTCACTTTAAAAAACTCTTTTGTTTGTTTTTAACTCTTCAAAAAGTGACAATGAATGGTTTTGAAAACATTTTAAAATGACATTGTAGAAAACCTTTTTTGCATGTTGTTGTGTTAGAATTTGACGATAGTTGTTACGTAGATGCGAAACAATATCGCTTAGCCTCGTTTTCAACTCGCAATTCCACACTAAATACCTCGCTTCGTTAACCAATCAGAATGCGAGATTTTACTTAATTATGCGATTCTCTGTCGAACTGCCTGCTTTGTTGCTTGCTCTCCTATTAAAAGGTGAGATCCAGGCAGTAACCTTGCAATCATCTCTGCTTCCCGTTTCACTCCAGGCAATGGACAAAGGTTTCTTACTTCTTTCTTGAAATACTGACCTTTGTAACGCTTGGTTCACCCACAATCAATACACCAGTTTTGCTGTGATAGGCAGCTGAACTGTCCTAAATGAGCTTGAAAGTCGTCAAGGAAGGGACGATTCTTATCCTGAAAGTATCTGATAAATACATGTTACTCAGTTCAACATCTTCTAACGATGCAAACGAAACTTAGCCTGTGTAACTGGCGGTATTGTGTAGTAGTCCAGTGAGATTTGGCGGCGGAGCCGTTGTAATATAGTCGAGTGAGACTTGACGGCGGAGCCGTCACGAGCGGCGAAGCCGCGAGAAATACCAACCGCCTCTTCCCTACTCCCTTTTTTTGGAACACGGCTCCGCCGTCAAAACTTTAATCTCGCATCCACACAATACCGCCTGCTACGCAGGCTAAACGAAACTCTGTGCAAGTTGTGATGGGGAATAACAATATGATTTCGGGTCCCTTTAGTAAGTCGCGTGCAGGAGCGACTATAACAAGTTGTAACCCGGCTGGGAAAGGGTTGGCGGTCCAAAATACTTTTCGTTTTCCTCTTCTTCTACCAGACGCGAGGATGGGAGGTTTTCTTCCTGCTTTGTTTCGTCTGTCATCTGGCTGGTGTATAACGAGAACGGTCGATTTTCGCACTCTTCTTGAAGTAGAACATAGCTAGTTCTTAGGAACTCATTTCCAAAACCTTCATCCACAGTGAATTTACAGTGTTTTTTATCATATCTTTCACTAAGTTTCGTTTCACGAAAAAAAATCTGTTTGCCTGTTTTAAAATCGACAAAAATGTTTTCACCGAAATAAGATTTGGCAAGCGCTGTTGTTATTTTCCTTGATAACTTTATCGATGCCAACAAACAATTTGGGGTTGAGTGAAACAACGGATATCAAAAACGGATATCTTACGTTGATCATTGAATTGCTTCCTAGAAGACTGTACATTTCTCCACTGTTTTGAATACTTTCCAGTAGATTCGGTACAATTGTATTATAGTCTTCTTTCTGATCGAACACTACAGTAGGTTAAATAGAGGTGAGGTTGAAATTCCCTGTCAGTGTTTCCTGCCTCCTTGTTTATTTCGAGAGCTTTCTTGTGATATTCTTCAGCCTCGGAATATTCACCGTCAGATGTAGACACACTTCCTAAGTTTGCGTAAGCTGCTGTTGCCTCTCCCTCTTTATTTCCAATTTCTTTGATGATCGCAAGTGCTTCAAGAAGAACTGAACTCTTTAAACTTGGAAGGTTTAAGCACACCTCCCAGGTTTAAGTAAACTGCCGCTTCCCCGTTTTTGCAACCAAATTCCTCATAGATCTCAAGAGCTTTGACACAATATTCTGCACTCCAATTCAAGCACTTGTCCGAGGTTTAGGTAACAATCTGCTACTCTTAGTTTTCTACCAATTTTTCCCAGCTTATATACAATTAGCCTGCGAAAGGTGAGGGGCGAGGAGAGACGGCTGTATTTGTAGGCAAAGATACAATGAAATAGCAATGCGAGTATACTTCACGACTGCACGATGTCTTATTATTCAATCGAATATTCAATGCGTGTGCCATGACCAAAGGCCGTTGATATGCAATAGAAAATAATGAAACAGCTTAAGTTACCACTGGAGTTTAAAGCCTATTAAAACCTTCGGATGACAAGCGCTATACAGTTAAAAAAAGTACCACTCACCGAGAATGGTAGCTCCTCAAAAAGGGCTAATCTTACGCTTATATTTCCCAGCTAAATTAAATAATGAAACTTAAAAATGACCTCCCTGACTTTTTCAAGTTTCTGCAGGAGCCTGTGACGTATTTCCGAGAAGCGACGACCTCAAAAACGTCTGTCTTCGAAGGCTATTTCTAGAAAAAGCCCCAGTAACTTCTTTTCACGAAGGCAAGGCTAAAAAGGCTAAACCTGCTAAAACTGTGTGTCTAGCTTAAAAACCAGTCAATTTCTTTTTGGTAACTGGTAGTTTCTTTGTGGAATTTTAAAAACTACTAAAACGTTGATTTTATTAAATGAAAACACGGAAATATAAAACGGCCTTCCGGGCCCGAAAACTTACCGTTACTTTCGAGAAACGAGCCGGCCTTGCAGAGCTTTGACGGGTCTTTGGCAGAATGCGCTGTTTTGGCCGTAAGCGATATTGCCTGCGTGCAGACGTCTCCTATTTCCTTTGTTGCACAACGTCTGCACGCAGGCAATAAGCGATAACGTATTTGAGGCACAGAGCCGACACCATCTGTTTGGGTAATTATATATAACTGGAGACCAATCGTCTCAGATGGCAAAGCTAAGGATTTTCGAGACATTCGCATTGCTTTTAAAATCAACCCCAACTGCAAGTCTCCCAAATTGTTTTCCTCGTGGGTGATTTGAATGAATGTTCTTTTTTATCAGTATAAGCGTGGGCTCAAGATAACTCGTTATTGGCTAACTCCGTTTTTGCACGAGGCCAATAGCCAGCCATCTTGACCGAACTTGGTCAATAAAGGATTCAAATAGAAACAAAAATAGAACTTTTTCTTGCGGGACCAACGCGGGAAATCTCGAGCGGTCTCAGGTAGCCAATCAGAACGTCCTATTGATGGAAGGCCAGTGTTATGCAGGCAGCATTCACAGCCGTCGCCTGCTCACATGTCGTGCCAGAAAGCAGTTAAAGCGGCTAGGCGATTTTTTATTTTTAGGCATCGCTTATTTCCTTCTGCTTTTCTCACATAGTTTGTTTTTCTATCTGGTTTTTCATTTATTGATGATAAATCCTTTACATCTTTTAGTCAGGTACGTTCGTGCGTATTGCGTATCCCAATCCCAGCTCCTTCCCGAAATCCCCTTTCCCTCCCCTTTCAACGCCTACCACGCAGGCCAATAGTAGCTATGAGTAACTATATAGAGTAAAATAACTCTCGATAAAGATATTTTTAAGTTTCTCCAGTACACAGCATATGAATAGTATGGAAACCTTTTAATGTATGCTAACCTTTTGAATAGTTTTATAGTGAAAAATAGTTTCTCTAGTATAAAGTATGATCAATAACGTTTGTCTCCCGTATACTGCTAAATCAAAAAAGGTTGCTTTGGTAATTGGTCATTGGGCATATGGAACAATGCAATGATTTTCATTTACTTGAGTGACCACCAAACAATAGCTTCCCAATGCCCAATTTCCAATGCCCAAAGCAACCTTTATTGAATCAGCAATATACAGTGAAGTATACAAATGCAAAGGATGAAAATTAAGTTGTATAGCACCTATATATTTTATACAGTTCTTTTAGTACACAATAGTAATATTTGTTAGTCTGTATTTACCAAGTCAGTAAATGCGAAGACAATAAATAAATATTAAATATTTTTAGTAAACAATAGTAATCTTTGTTAGGATGTATTTACCAAGTCAGTAAATGCGAAGATAATAAATAAATAAATAAATAAAGAGATAAATAAATAAACAGTGATGAATCCGTGCACTGAATTTTTTTCCTTCCCGATTCAGTTTTTTGGTTTGATTGCTGTCCGGTTTCAATTTGGAACGTATTCTTATTGCCTCTCCGATAACCGGAGTCGGTAGGCTATTTCACTGGCTTGTTAATCATATACTAAAACATCTACAGTGGAACATCGATATAACGAAGAACCAAAGAACTGGCAAAATTTGTTCGCTATAACGCGGATTCGTCATATCGAGGTTCTTTTTCATATATATTATTATATTCTGAAAAAATCGTTACTAAGACCTCGTTATATAGAGGCTCCACTGTACCTAGATGTCGGTAAACGTATAGCGGAAATTTACCTCGATAGCGACTCGGGTATAGAGTATAGTAACTGATCTTGACTGTATTATTATGATGTAGTGTAGTTATCATTAATATAGCGACCGAATAGGTTATCTCTTTTTTTCAGTAGTATTTATTGATTGGAGTAATATAGTATAGCTGCTCTGTGTAGAGTATAGACACTAATAGTTACTTCTTGTAGTGAGTTTGTTAATGTCAGGTAAGAATAAGAAACTGTTAAGCCAATTTAGGAAAAGCGGTTCAGATGTAACTAAATTTTTGCAACAACACGATCCTAACCATGCAAAAGCAAGTGTAAAAAAACACCAAATAGGATTAAATCTAATGACTAGTGAAATCTAACTTTTCGAAACTTTTGAACGCGTGAATTTTGATTTATTCGTATGTTTATACGTGAAGGGCTGGGATTAGAGAAAAATAGGGTTTCATGTTGTGCATGTGTTTTTGAGATGGGTAACCCAAGACTTATCAAAAGACTTAACTGCAGCATAAACAGCACTATCCTTTAAACTGACTAAAAGTATGAGTTGGAGAGTCACTTTAAACCTGTAAGTTGCTATCATACAATATATAGGCTGCTAACGCTCCACCAGGAAGGTTGGCATGCCAGGAATGACACTCCAGATCCTTCTTTGCTCGTTAGCTTTCTCCAGTCTCGCGTGCCTGATCGATCGTACAGGCTTGCCCACTTGCCATGACTATATGAAAAAGGACCTCCAGTAGTCTATGCAGGAGCCCAATTCTTAAAGCATGCTTAATTCTATTTTCCACGAAACCTTCGTTATCGTTTGAAATCAAGTTTCTTCGGTTGGGCTCATTACTGCTAACGCTGAGCAACACTCCCAAGGTTCCTTTCAAATCCTCGTCCTTGACCACATCATCTTTGACAACTCCTTTTAAAAAAGCAAATTTTAAATAATTTATTTTAGTGATTTACCACAAATTGTTTCTGTTACTGTCTACTGATGACGAACAATCATTCATGAAAGATTCCGCCTTGTTTCCATCTCTGAATAAACCTGTATGTCCTCATATCAACTCGCATTTGATCTCTGGTAGTGAGTATCTCTCATGACCTTTATGTTGGAATGGGAAGGAACATTACCAAGTGAAAGAAACAAAACGAAGGAAGGCTGCTCGCCGTCTAAATAAACCCAAAAAGCACTACATTGGACAACCATCTAATTTGTCTTGGTCTGTTCTCTTTCTGTTGTATGAAAAACAGTGAATTAAAAAACTGAATACAATGTTCAATACTTCTATTTTGTTTTGTTGTTTTGACAAACGGCCTCTTTACTCAAACACGTGTTTCCGGCAGTCGCACACCTTTGGATTTTGAAAGAACATTAATTTTGTTAACTTCTTACCAGGTTGTATCATGAACTTATCAGTGTACGGTTAATGACGTCAATGGCAGTCAGCTCATCTCACCACCCAGCTTAGCCACCGCTGTGTTTTAAGTGGTTCGGCTTTTTCTTTTCTTTTTCTCTCAGAGAGGTTCTTCTACGGCTATAATATAAACACGGTTTATCAGCTCTAAGGATTATCTCTCATAAATAGCTACTGCAAAGGCATAGCTTTGGACTGAAAAGGGGGTTAGTACGCCTGTGTTCTACTCACAGAAGGATTAAGGTTCCGGATAATTTCAGGGGTGTCTGACGTACAAGTGATGTAGCGCCTTTAGATTCCGACGAAGGTAATAATTTTTGTCGTACCTTTAGTCATTCTGAGGTGCTGTCTTGTTTCTTCTTGCTTTCACCTGAAGATCCAAGAATGCAAAACTGCCCTGCTAAATCCTTGCGATCAACATATTTATGACACAAGGCCTCGTACAAGACCTTGTAAGTTGCACCTGACAGACCACGTTTTTCTTTCCACCTACATAACATGAGGTAAGACTTGTCTGCGAGTTCTTTGTTACCATGGTCAAATCCTTGTCTTTCTGCCCGGCTAAATTTTAGGCGCCGCGCAAGTGCACTCCACGATGTCCCAAGCTCCAAGGATAACCCTTCCAAATCATCGTCAGCCACCACGCCATCTTTGATTTCTTCAAGAAGGAACAAACAAGAAACAACCAAAACAAGTTAACAGCTTCCTTCGGAAAGTACGAGTTAAACGTTATTTGTCTTATTTCTGTTCCCTCTATAAGCAGCAGACGTTCATGAAATACCCTGTCACTTATATTACCTATAACTAGCTTTACAGTAAACGAATTAGAGGCTGCATAAACGAAGGCCTTCCAAGTTGGGAAAAATCCTCATCCTAACCCTAAAACAGCATTCTTTACAAAAAAGATAGACCCCGACTAGCACTCGGACCCCGGACCCGGCCCCGACCCCGACTAGCACTCGGACCCCGGACCCGGCCCCGACCCCGACTAGCACTCGGACCCCGGACCCGGCCCCGACCCCGACTAGCACTCGGACCCCGGACCCGGCCCCGACCCCGACTAGCACTCGGACCCCGGACCCGGCCCCGACCCCGCGTTTTACTGAAACCCCTCTTTACCTTTAAAAATTTGTTCATTCAAGGAGAGTGTCTGAAAAAAGTGAATTCACAAAATTTGCCCCTCTGAAAAACTTTAACCTTATTTGCCTGGCTTCTTTAACTGAACCAATAAAGCAATCACAGTAGTTTATCAGTTCATAAAAACTGTGAGCAACTTTTAACGCCCAGAACCCAACTTTAATGCATGATTTACAGGTCTTGCAAAATAAGGCTGCCAAAGTTATACTTGATTTGCCCAACTATGCTTCATCTACCGACGCTCTCAAAACACTCGGATGGCCTACCTTATTTCAAGAGCGCCTTGTACATAGATACATTACCACTTTTAAGTACATCCACGGACTTGTAGATCACAATTTTAATATTTTGAGAAACTCAGACATCAATAGTTATAACACTAGAAGAAGGACCGATTTCCGTCTTCCTGTCGCTAAAACGAATTGCGGAAAGCAGAGACTTTTTTATCAATGCGCTAAGGAATGGAACATTTTAGACGCATCTTTTAAAGAAATTAACTCTCTTCTTCTTTTTAAACAGAACATTAAAAGCTATATATTTTGGATATTTTATAGCTTTTAATATTTTAATCTATCTGACATTTTAACATTTTTAACCTGTAGCTTGTATAATTTAGGTTTTAAGTTCTTAACTTTTTATTTATTATTACTATTACGTATTCATTTATCTAAGATCATTTATTTTTTCTGTTGTTTTACAGGGCCTCACTGAATATCACTCTTTGCGAAGTGAGCTCCCTGTATAAAGATTATTATTAATATTAATACTATTATTATTGTTATTATTATTATCAAACAAATGTTAACCTTGTGCTGTACTTACTGCCCAACATCGTCCCCAAGGTCTTCTCGTGTCGAAACGCAAAATGGCGGAATGAGAGAAGACCCCTTTCTCTGCGGCCGCCAAACTGGAAAAGCGGGAAGACCCTGGGGAGAACGTTGCCTATAAAGAACCGTCTCATCGGTTTTTATTTCATCCTGTCTTGGTGTTTACCTTCATCCACCTTCGGTTTTTTTCTTTTTTCTTTTGGAGTTTCTGCTATGAAAACAAAAAGCAATGAAGGATTTCATTTTATGCTCATCAGTTTCTAAAACCTGTTTAGTATACCCTCAAACATCAACTAAAACGATAGATAGTAGGCCCGTGCTGCAGTGGCCCTTACCCCAAAAAGAAACCCGAAGCATTAATATTCGATTCAATTGCCCTCACTAAAGGATAGTTTTGGGGATCTCAAGTATTGTATCAGCTTCTCCGAAAGAGACACTGCATTTAAGAGGTTACCGCTTTCATAAGCGCCACCCTCAAATAAGCACCGCGCCGACTAGAAAAATTCTTAAAGGGTCTTTGAAAAAAACTCCTTTAATTACTGAGTCCGTGTTGTACTGAAGAAAATAGAGTCAATTTCCTTACTGCGCTTCAAAAAAACACGAGAATTCTGAAGTTCAAAGGCCAACTGACGTTTGCGTTCTTCGCTGTCGTCAATCATCTTAACAGACCTCTAGGAAAGAGAAGTTTACTTCAACGGGTTCAAAAGGTCATGGTTTGTGATTTATGATTGGTAGATTTCGATCCGTTTTGTGTGTTTCTGTGTTTCAAGGTTTGTTGCTTGTGATCGTAACTATGATTGACGGCAGCGAAAAACGCAATTTGGGAAGGCGGCTTTGAAACATAACAGTTCGTGTGTTTTGAAATGTGCAGTAATTATGTGTGGATTAAAACAAATAGAGAGACTACAAGAGTACCTTGAGTCATCTCTCGTGCTTTGTGCTTTAGGTTTCGTTTCTGTTTCTTCCTAGATGGTTCTTCGACGTCTAAAAATAAAACAAAAAGAGCATTGCAGGATGTAATTCTATGGGCAGCGGTTTTTTTAGACACTCCCACTATGGTGGTATGATGTGCTCTTTTCAAACCTGTCCTCTCGCTCTTTGAAGAAACCCTTTCTTTTAATAACGGAAAAAATTCAGTCACTTTCAAGGGGCACCCAACGACAATTTTTGGAAAATATCTGTTACGAAGACGATTTGAGATCTAGAATTTTCGGAACCTTTGTTATTAAATTTCTTGCTTGCCCGCCTCTCCTAGGATTTTCGAACCCCCCCAAAAAATGATATAATTGCCCATTTTTAACGGATTTTTACCCTAAAAAGGTCACCTAGAATTTTCGGGAGCCTTTTTTCTGGCTGAAATTTTCGAAAAGGTAAGTTTTGATCCCTATAATTTTCGGATCACTAGACGTTCAGCTAGGAAATCCGAACAGATGAAAAATTTTTAGGGGATAAAAATATGCATATATCTACCGTTTAAATACTAAAAAACGTTCAACATTGCTATGTTTAAGTGGTTTTGAACTATATTCTCGTTAGGTGCCCCTGACTTTCTGTTACAAAGTGTTGATTCATTTGTGGAGGAACATTTTATCCTTGATCCAATTTTAGTTTCCTTCGTTACTTCTGGGTAGCACTGATATACATAATGATTATAAAAGATGACAAAAACATACGGCAATTCGATCAAGAATAAAATTGAAGAACAGCATATATCTGCGATGTGACAGAAGAAAACCTTCAGGAATCTCCTTCAATATATCACCTATGTTTTCGTTAAAGAGATACATTTAGTGCAACATCACCGAACACCAAAAACCTAACACGAGGTCACAAAATTTTCGTTAGAAAAAGACGATGATATTCATCGTACCTTCAATCATCTCTTGTACTTTTTTTTTTTCTTCTCTTATGTTTTTCTTGTGAAGGATGTTCGGATGTGAGAAAAACAGAAGTGTCGATTTTATGCCAATCACATTTAACTACCTATTCGAAATACTCCACAAAAAATGAAAGATTTCATCCTTTTTAGAGGCACTGATTTTCTGCCCTAACGAAAGATGATAGGCTATGTGCTGCCATGTTTACCTGGAAACACAAAAGGGGTCTGCTGTCTTTGGTATTGGGTGGCACCTGCAAACACAAAAGGGGTCTACTGTCTTTGGTATTGGGTGGCACCTGCAAACACAAAAGGGGTCTACTGTCTTTGGTATTGGGTGGCACGAAACAAAATAAAAATGAGGTTCTGGTACAAAAAAAGTGGTTCTATAAGTGTGTTACGACGGTACCTTCTGTCTTCACCAGCTCTTTCTCCCTCTTTCTTTTCTTTTTTTCTTGTGAACGTTTTTCTATGAAAAGAAAAAGAGAATGACAATAATTGAGGCATTCAATTTGATGCTAATGACTTTCGGCAGCTGTTTGACTTGTGCTTCATTATCAGTTCTTAAAAGTCTGTTTCAAAATGGCTCCGCAAAACCTTTAAAAATGATTCATCTACTAAAGTAAGGACATGTTTCCTATGTGTTTGATCATAATGCTACCTATAAAGGTGCCGCCGCCACATCAGTCCAGTCTCTGTGAACTTTAAACAAACCGTTTCTATTGAAAGCGGCCAATTTTATCGAAAAAAAAAAAAAAAAAAACAGTCACGTTCTGTTAGAGGTCATAGACATTTATTAATTTAACAAAGCCTACAAGCGGAGCTCCTGTTAAATGCTAACCATTTATTTGATACAATAGCCTTTAACCATTGCGATCGGCATAAATACCTTTGAAACAAAAACCTAAGCCCTCGATCTATGGAAAGCTGTCAACTGATCTCTCAATCAAATGAGTCGACTTGTGGGCACGTCTAGTCCGTAGCTAACTTTCAAAAAGCTAGTACTCCTAAGTCGCCGATACGGTCATGTGATACCAGTCAGTACATGCTCTATTTCGGCAGTTGTCAGTTGACTTTGATGAATTTCTTTGTGACAGAACGACATCATCGGATTCACATTTGATTATGATTTCTTTGTCTTGGTAAGAGTTCGATTTCATAAGCGCACGCCCAGAGCTCCGCTCTAAGAATTACGTACCTTCGGCCATATCTAGTTCTTTATCCCTTTTTGTCTCCTTCTTCTCTGGTAAAGGTTCTTCTATGAAAACAACAACAATGATAATTATTAGAATTATTTGTAATTAGTTTTGAAGTTTTACTTTACCAAAAGGTAATTCCCCTTGGTTAGCAGCAAGTAAAGTGAGAGAACTAAACGGTCAGTTGGGAGCGAAAGCCTAATTGGAAAACTGGATCGCAGTATTTTCGTTTGTTAACGCGCTTGACATAATCACCCAGGCACATGATATTCTTAGGGTAAGGCAGGCTGTGTAAAGCCTTGTTATTATCAAACACTGAATCATTGGATAATGCAATTCTACCGCTCTGATTAGCTTAGCCATCATGGTATATGAGCCATTATACCATGCTCTCCAAATATGGTAAATGTACGCGTCTGCTTAAAATTAAAAACAAGCTGAAAATCGGTTGTTTTTACAAATAAAGTCGGGAAGAATTCTCGATATTTTGTGGGCGTTTTTAATAAAACAATTATTCCACTCGCGCTTGTTTGATATTAGATGATTATAGCCAACATCCAACGCGCACGCGTGGAATAGATGTTTAATACTTAGCGCTAAACACTATAGTACCTGCAGTGAGCAACGGTTCAAAATGCTGATGTATTCACACATTGACAGACGACAGAGTACCCGATATGTAAGTGTCTACACATATGCTCCATTTCGCTCTCTCAGACGCCATGAGGTGCGAGAGAAGCAGGAAGTTATAGTATGCAAAGCACTAGATTGTGGTGAAGAAAGACGCCTCAAAACTTTCACAGCAGTACAAAATTTCACGTGAACAAAGAATGGTAATCCTGTACTGCTGCCACAATCGTATGTAACTGAACAACTTACCGGATTTATGAGGTTTGAAAAGTACGCTGGAGGGACTCAGCCGCTGCAAAAAAACATATACTAACACTTTAAATTCGTTGATGTCCGTTTTCCAAAATGTGGTTTGTTTATATGTGACTAGCCCTGGACTAGACTATTTCTGACTTGCTCCATACCCTTAAATATTTTGTTTTAATTCCAGTTTACACATCCTACTTTTTTTCCCTCTTTACCATACATTTCATCACGAAAATCATTTACTAACAAAACATTGACTCCAAGAATGGTTTCTCATTAAAGTTGAAAATGTGTTGTCAAAACTCGGCTAACTGTCATTAATATTCATCGCACTGCCATGAGTCAGTTGAAGTCAGCGTGAAAATATTAGCGAACTTAAGATCGAGGTTTGTCATTTTACTGCATACGACAAACTGCGGTTTGCGGTTAATGGTTCCACGTTACCCGTCTGCCCATATTTGGGACTTAAGATTCGGAGGTGGTAGCTCGCGGCCGCCATGTTTGTTTTCATTCATCCACTTACTTCGATTTTAGCTGAGAAATTGTCATCAAAATTACGTTTTTTGAAATAGAATTCGATAATCGATAAGCAAAAGAGTTCTAAAAAGTCGTATTTATTCTCAAACGTGGGATTGAGATGTTTTAGGGCGCAAAAAAAACTTGCAGTAAATCACTTGCCTTTGAAGCGTGGTCTAGCCGTACAAACGTGAACCTCAAACCGCAAACCTGACGGCAAGGCCCTGGTCACGTGACTTCTTGACGTTCGCAGTTCGCGGGAAATAGGGACTTTAAGATCCAACGACGCCACGGGAACGAGAACGTCGCTTAAAAAGTGAATTTGCGTTCTTTCAGTCTTTATCGCGATTATTCCTACCTACTTGTTTTGTCAAATGTAGGGGAACCCTCCTGAAGTTGAATTCCAAGGGACCCTATCCAAGTTCAGAAAGAGAAATAAATTTCCTCGTTGCCTGTTTACGTTCTCCATAAAACGCGAAATTTGGCATTTTCACGTAGTAGCCGTGCAAAAACGGCAAAGAAATGTACAAAAAAGTGTGATGTACGTGCAAAGTTGTCGTTTTGTTTATTGGATCTTAAAGCACCTAATGCCAAAAAACCTCAATTTTAAGGTCTCTATTAAAACTACAAGCAACTTTATATGAGTTACAATACTTCAGAAACATTCCGTATTCCTTGAACAACGTAAGGCTAGGGTCACCAGTGTACATTACGTACCTTTGACACGTGTTTAATAGCCTTAATCCAAGGCTTGAGTGGTTTCTTTTCCAGCATTTGACAAGGCTTACAACAAAGACCTCTTCCGTCCAAAGGTATATAGTGACCACAGTCATGGTGCCTACATGACCTTTGCTCGTGCCTCACGCAGGGCTCTGTCTCTTTTCCTATGCAGACTGTGCATCGAGCACACAACTCCACCGACATTGATTCCAGCCAGTGACACTCCCTTTGAAGCTTTTCCAAGAACATATCTAACTGGCTATAAATTGGTTAAAAAAAAAAAGAAAAAATATAACAGTTTTGCCTTCTAGTGCCAGATATGCACCGTCAAAGACGGATATGCACCTAACACGGAACGAGTAACAACAAGAAGCAATATATGATATATAAGATATGTGTAGAAAGTAGAACCCGAACTCGACATTTTACCTTAAAACATATTCATATTGCTCCTGGGGAAGACTGCCGTCCGCCTTCCCGAACCCCAGCTTAATAACTCTCTTGTAGCACTCCATTTGAAAGAGATGGTTTTTGTTCTTGTCAAGGGCAAATTCGGCTTTATTTGATGTCAGCTCGTACATATTTGTGTATTGCGGATTTCTTACAAAGAGCACAATGAGTCGGGGGAAAAGTCCACTTGGAACATATTCAGTTTGAAACCTGAGGTATATAGGTAAGGCAGTTGATCCAGTTTCAATTTCCTCCTCTTCATTAGTAGTAGTCCGCAGCATACAAGGGACCAAGAACTGCGATTCTCCTGTTTTTTGACGGCAGATGAGGTTGAACTTATCCATTAAAGAAATCAAATGGCCCTTAATGGGACTCAGACTTTCACCGTGGCAGGTATGATCAATCAACTGTTTGGAAAGAATTCCTTTTTCTTTCAATTCCATACGATCTGCTTCTACAGACATTGGTTCGTTCCCCTGCGGGTTTACGTTGATAATCTTGCAGAATATTTTGATTAACCACTGGGGATCCAAAATGACCAGACCAATTTTCTCTTCATCGTACTCATGTTCATGGTACACTATTGTCCCACGGCTATGCAGAAAATGCACAAGTTCTTCAAAGTCATCCTCATTTTTAAAAGCGCAATAGTCCAGAGAAACAATTTCTTCACGAAAAGAGTCCTTAAAAAGGAACTTGCGTCTTTGCCATTTCGGTTGACTAATTTCCTTCTCAACACGATGCCATTGCAAAGGGATCGGCTTTTTCGTATGAGGCATTTCATCAGCTACCTTAAGAATCGCCTCTCGAAACTTCTCAATTTCCTCCTGGTCGAATAATTTGCCAGCTTTTGTGTTGTCGATCGATAAACGATCTCTGATGTGTGGCAAATAACTATGTTTACAAAACACACGTAAAAACTTCTGTTTGACTAATTCCATTGCTTTACTCGGATCGTCTACACAGTCAGCATGAGTACCGACAAGTATGACTGGGGGATACGAAACCTTCTCTTTCTCTTTCTGATTACCCTTCTTTAAAGAGTGAATCAAGTCCATCCACCTTAATAAATGATCCAAATTTGTGTCTTGATCATCGCGGGCTGTTACAGCATGCTCTTTGTGACCCACATTCACTCGACATACTGCTTTTTCACTAAGCTTCTTTCTAAGATCAAAAACGAGAAGATAAAGGTCCTCTGGTGACATAAAGATTGGATGAATGGCACGATAAATGTCCTGTCCTGCAAAGTCCCAAATGATGGGCCAGATTTTTTCATCGGGGTCAATTTCGTTTTTCGCTAAGTTTTCCGCTAAAAGCAAGGCAACGTTATCTGGCATTACTTCTTCTCCCGGAACTTGAAATGACTTTTGTTGTTCTGTAAGAAAGAAGGCAGAATAACGGCTTACGAGGTGACAACGATTTTCGATGAAACTTGGTACTCTGTTGTAACAAGTCATTGAAAAGAAGATGATAAAAACGTCCAGTAATAAAATGTGGGGGTCACTGCTCTCGTTTTCACGCTGTAATGCTGGCAAGTATGGCTATTGAGGCACCATTGACTGAATAACCGCGCGCAACCCTTAATAACTCTTTCGGTAGGGCGAGATCGCAGATGTCCCTCTGCGTGAAATGCATTAAGACGAAAACACTCCGTCCTTCCGCCGCATAATCAAATGAAGCCGTGAATCGGTAACCTTTTTATAGTACGTTGTATCCCCAAACTTGTTAAGTATAATTTTTTTTTGCAAGAGTCGAATTTTACTACATTTCCCAGGTCAGACCGTTATGTTTTCCTCATTTCACATTTCTTAGTTCCCAGCTATAGTCCGTACTGCACAAGTCACGAAGGGAAACGAAGGTGTTAACCTAAAGTTGGTGATAGTGTCAACTTACGATTTCTTTGAACGTTTTTCCCTCGTATCTCTTTTGAAGATTCTTCTTCTTGGTCGACTGGAGGAATTTCTTCATTAGTTGTTGATGGAGTAGGGTCTTCTGTGCGGAAAGAGAAATAAAAAAAGGGAATATAAGAATCTAGTTCATCTTCACCCTTCAAAAGTCAGTGGATCAGTTACAAGCCCACCACCTTGTAGTCTCTACACCCTTAGTATGATAGAATTCAAATTAAAGTTATCAGGAGACAAGGTCTCGTCTTTTCAGTTACCTCAAAGCGCTTTGCCTGCGAGCAAGCTCTTGGGTTATACACAGGTTCAGAGTGCAGGATGGCGAGTTGGATGCCAACAACACACAGGTGTTCTGCGAATTTTAAATACCATTCAATGCCAACGCAACATCAGGCTTTATTTTCGTTTCGCTTGGAAACTGCTAAAATTAGGCCTGATCTTAGGTGTTTACTGTCAAAAGCGCTTCTCTTTAAGTGTGGGGGCGACTTATTCATTACATATAAGTTGACAAACTCTGGAGACAATAGATTGCTACAGTTACAACCCGACATCACAACAAGCAAAGGTAAAATCTAGGATAGTCGGTATCTTGGGCTCGCTGTGTAAGAAGCCTTTTTCTCAAAAATTCCGATAATTTAACGAACAAGAGCACATTAAATCGCAACTGTTTTTGTTTCGTCTACGTAAATACCCGAAAAGTTTTCAGGATTTTACCGAAGTTACAGTTTCCAGTCTGTCAGCAATAGTTATTAAAGACTGACCGAATGTTTATCGCACTAACCATCTTCAATAGATAACTGAACTGTTTGGTTTGAAAGCCCTCTTACTGGTTTCTCAGGAGGTTTCTCAGGTTCACTTTTTGTCGAGGTTTCTTTTGGTTTTTTCGTTGCTGGCTGCTCCGAGTGTGTGCCTAATAAATTCTTAGCGGTCTCTGCAGCAACCTTATGATCAAATACTGTCGTGTGTTCAAGAGATGCTGGATTTCTCCACGCGCCTGTTCCAGCATTCTTGACAGCAGGGACCATTTGCACTCCATCAGTACTGCATTCGGCTTTATTAAAAGGTTCACCTCTTAGAGCTTTACCGAGGCTTGTTTTCCCAACACGGTCCTGCCCAACGAGCAAAATTTTAACACGCTTATCAAACGTGCTACCACCAGCTTCAAGGGCTCTGTGAAAAGCAGCAAGGGCCTTTTCTCCCCTAGCTCGCACAGAGGCTGGAAGCAAATCTGAAGGTACAAAAAGAACCAGTTTACCAAATTAACAGTGATCATGGTTTCACACTGAAGCAAAGTATCTTAGTTTCTACACGCAATCATGTGATAATGTTACAGCTTCCGAAGGATTAGTTCAAAGCGATTATTACCCACCAAATGTCTAACTTGAAAAACTGCTCGCGCAGTCCCGAAGTCGTCCGATTTTCACAATAGATTCTGATATCGACTGCGGCAGTGCGGGTCTGCGGGAGCACTAGTATACTTCGTTGACATCGACTGCGGGAGCACTAGTATACCTTGTTGTATAAGCACATTAGTTACTTGACATCGACTGCTGGAGCACTAGTATACCTTGTTGTATAAGCACACTAGTTACTTGACATCGGCTGCGGGAGCACTAGTATACCTCGTTCTATAAGCACACTAGTTACTTGACATCGACTGCAGGAGTACGGGACTGCAGGAGCACTTGTTTTACCCACTTAGATTTAAGTATTCGGCATAATAGAACACCACGGCGGGACTGTGGGAGCAGTTTTCCAAGTTAAAGGTAGTTCAGGTTCTTATTCAAACATACGATGGTACTCTTTCGCTGTAGCTACACCTTAGCCTCGTCCACTGTGCTTTTTTCTGTATTTACGATGAGTATAAAAGAAAGGAAAATAAAAACTGACTCGACAATAAAACTGAACCGCAGTATTTATTTGCGCAGGCATTTGCGATATGACAATGGAATACCTTCAGCAATCTTCTGTGCCATATCCTTTAGTTTCTTCTTCTTTCCTCGTGGAACCTCTCCTATGAAAAAGAAAAGAAAACGATACAGTTTTAGAGTAAATTTTTTTTTCCAGAGTCTGATTCAAATGTGCTCTAAACGTAATTCAGCTTTAAAATTCTAGAGGGCGCTAAGAAATTTAATAACGATAATGAAAACATAATTTTTACCTTCTATTTGTGTTTCGTTTTCAACAGGAAGGTTAAAAATCATTACGGCAACTGGTAATATGCACAAATTGTAGAAATGTACATCTTAGGCTAACGATTTTTTCAGTTAATTTTAACGCAAAACTTCAGTAAAACCTTGTTGTGTCATGGCAAACGAAATAACCTCTATGATTAGACTTATGTGAGACTAAATTTTAAGGCAAACTAGTTTTACAGGTTTAACGAGCTCAATCTCAACATCGCAGATAGCATTTTACAGCTTTCTGTTAGATTAGATTTAAGACCGATGCATTCAGATTAGGCTGGGATGAATTTGTACATGAGTCTGATGTTATACAATGATATGGCCATTTGTTTTCCGGTTATTTAGAAGGTACTCAGCAGTATTCATATTTAAAAAAGTAGGTTGAGTTTGATCGTCCGGGGGAACGTAATCCTGAATAGGACTGATGTTGTGGACAGTGACTGACGTTTCGACAACCTGTGCGGTAGTCATCCTCAGAGTTAATTTTAACTGTTGTCACAGTTAAACAGTCGTCTATTGTTAGTCAAATTGTCAGTTCTCCAGTCGTTCTCTCGTAGTTAGTTTTACTTGATCTCATCAATAAGTCTTTTGTACGGCGCTTGTAGGTGTTGTACACAAACCGATAACCACTTTACGACGACTTCTTACTAATGTCAGGGACAAAGACAAACCGGAGGACAGACAGGGAGTAGTATACAAGATCAAATGCTGCGACTGCCAGGCTTCTTACATTGGTGAAACCGGCAGAAACCTTAGCACGCGACTGACCGAACACAAACGAGCGACGAGGAATGGTGACGTCAACAATCACATTGCTGAGCACCATTTTAAAGACGAAACATCAAATCGACTGGGACTTTGCGACATGTATAACGTATTCTACAGACTAACGTCAGTCACTGTCAACAACAACAGTTCTGTTCAGGACTACGTTCAACCACACGATCAAACTCAGTTCAAACCTTTCACAGTATTCATATTTCTATGTCATTCAGATTTCTAACTTGGGTTTAGGAATGATGGTTTTCTGTTACGTGATAGCCTATTTACAGTCCCCTCTATTTTCTCTTTACCTACATTAAAGGTCTACTCTTTTTGCTCATTAGAGTTCTTCGAGCGCGCGTATGAAAATAAAAACCGCGGGGGATTTATTGACCGCTAGCGCGAGGGGGCTCTCGCGTGCTCGTCGATTTTTGAAAAAAAAAAGAAAACAACGTTTGTGCACAGGTTAGTTAAGTGAATGAAACAAATGTTGCTTCCAAAACGTGTTCAAGGATAACTGTTAAAAAAATATACCCATCGAGGGACAGATTTAGGCCAAGAAATTAAAAAAAAACAACGACTTCAAGAGATCTCTTTGGGCTAAGGGCTACCAGATTTTCTGCAAACTTCAAAAAGCGTGAATAAGGTGGCAAAAACTAGAACGATTTGTGATTTCTGGATTAAAAATTAACCCCAAAAGATATTCCTGGAGTAGCTATAGTAAACGAACGGGCTTTGGAAAGTGGACAGTGAAGAAACTAGCCTTTGGCTAGGATCCTTCAGAGTAACATGAAACGTCAAGTCTTTCTCATTATCGTGACAATAATTAATAATATTATTACAAAGCATAGCAGTGCAGCATTTGTAAGAACTATTTTTTGTCGTTGTTATAGGGTACGGCTCTGCCACTTTATACAATTTAATTAAGATGTGCCCTTTCATGCTTACGTGGTAACTGTGTACTACATGTACATACCTTCTTCGCTTGAGAAAATGTCCATTATTTTGTCTACAAGTTTATCACATTGATCTTTCCAGCAATATTCTCTCATGTACTCTTCCCGAAGCTGCTTTGCCTCGAGAGCCTGTTGCGTTGGTCCCTTGTTTCTGATTTCCCTGATTTTGTTGGCCCAAACCCGTGGATCTTCTGAATCCAATACATGCATTCCTCCTGATGGCAATTTCTTCAGTGCCATGCCAAATCCGCTGTTTCCACTGCTGAGGACAGGAACATCTGCAGAAATGGCACGGACACAAATTGTTCCAAAACCCTCTGCTGAAGGCATGATGATAAGATCAACTTCACAAAGCCGTTGTATCCACTCTTCAGTACTCCGGGAGACATGTGTGACAGAAAATTGATTTACACTGATTAACCCTTCAAGTTGACGTTTAAGATCTTCAGCATCATCAGTGGGCAAAATTACAAATATAAGATGGTATGATGTGTCCTGCAATAATGTGATTGCTTTCGCTGCAATATCACAGCCTTTAACTTTGAAATACTCTGATGGATATGTTGCGCTGATCATGACATGGAAGATTTCATCACCATCATGTGTAGTCCGAACACCAACTAGATCAGGAATTATTCCAGGTGTCAGAGTTATCACATCTTTATGCTGTCCACAGAATTGTAAAGCACAGATGTAAGCGTCTGCCACCTTAGGGCCTATTGCAATTAGAACATCAGCCCGTTCACAAAGAGCCAACTGAATTTCACGCTCAGTCAACTGCTCTGGATCAGCTGTACCTGGGTTGTATTTCTCCAGTCCTTTGCTGATGGTATGAACAACTTGAGCCAACTTGCACTGCTTCTTTATCTTTATATCTTGGGCCTGTTTTCCAAGATCACGCCCATATGAGTCCATGATAAGGATATCAATATCAAGATTGTCCAGAGGCTGTGCAAGAAGCTCGTTTTCGGAAAAACCAATCTTCTTTTTTGCATTTACGAGTTCAATATTTGACCTCTTAGCCTGATCTCTCTGTTCTTGGGTACTCTTAGGTACAAGTCCATAAACCTTCATTTGTGGATTTTTTGCCAGTTGAAAAACTAACTGGCCATTTGCTGTTGTGCTCCAACCCTCAGCAGTTGTAGCAAGTGCTACCTGAACTGGGTGTTCCTTTTTTGGAGGGGTAAAACTCAAGTCTGCAAAATATGAATAAATCAGAACACTTACTAACAACATGATTGACCCAACAGTCCTAATTAGTATTCTGAGACAGCCTAGGTTAAGTGCTTGTTTTTGTGCAAAAGTGAGGCTCATGTAGTCAATAGCTTGAAATAACACTTCCTAGGCCCTTGTTCAACCTGAGACAAGCTACCGAACTTGTAATTATTTTTGCAGTTTTGTTGGCAAAATGTGCAAAAATAGAAAGCACTGATGGCTTGGCCCAGTGGGAACTTCACCTTGTGAATAAAATTGACATGCAGCAGGTGGGCATTTTACAAGCAAAAATTAAGCAGAAAAGGTGGGGCAGATTTAATCAAAGATAATTATGTTACCTACTTGACAAAGTTAGGGGAGGGCTGCTTATGGGCACATATTTGGAGGATCTGAGAGTGCATATTCAAACTTGGATGCTTATTTGGAGAAAATTATTGCATATCCACCCACCCTCACTACAATCCTTGTGGACTGCTAGTAGTCTTCAGAGAATGAATAGTCAGAAGTCACTGAGGTGTGAAGAAGTTTCAGTCAGTAAGGGTGTGATTTATCCCAAATTACATGTACATACCTTCCTCTCTTGAGAACCTCTCTGTCATTTTGTCTAAAAGCTTATCACACTGATCTTCCCAGCAATATTTTTCCAGGTACTCTTCCCGAAGCTGCTTTGCCTCAAGAGCCTGTTGCATTGGTCCCTTGTTTCTGATTTCCCTGATTTTGTTGGCCCAAAGCCGGGGATCTTCTGAATCCAATACTTGCATTCCTCCTGATGGCAATTTCTTCAGTGCCATGCCAAATCCGCTGTTTCCACTGCTGAGGACAGGAACATCTGCAGAAATGGCACGGACACAAATTGTTCCAAAACCCTCTGCTGAAGGCATGATAACAAGATCAACTTCACGAAGCTGCTTCATCCACTCTTCAGTACTCCGGGACACATGTGTGACAGTAAACTGTTTTCCACTGATTAACCCTCCAAGTTGACGTTTAAGATCTTCGGCATCATCAGTGGGCAAAATTACAAATATAAGATGGTATGATGTGTCCTGCAATAATGTGATTGCTTTCGCTGCAATATCACAGCCTTTAACTTTGAAATACTCTGATGGATATGTTGCACTGATCATGACATGGAACTTTTCTCCACCATCATTACGTGTGGTCCGAACACCAACTAGATCATGAATTATTCCAGGTGTCAGAGTGATAACATCTATATGCTTTTCATAGAACTGCAGAGCAGAGATGTAAGCATCTGCTACCTTAGGGCCTATTGCAATTAGAACATCACCCTTTTCACAAAGAGCCAGCTCAATTTCACACTTGGATACACACTCTGGATCAGCTGTACCTGGGTTGTATTTCTCCAGGTCTTTGCTGATGGTATGAACAACTTGAACCAACTTGCACTGCTTGTTTATCTTTATATCTTGGGCATGTTCCCCATATGAGTCCATGATAAGGATATCAGTATCAAGATTGTCTGGAGGCTGTGCAATTTTAAGCTGCTTTTCAGATACGCCAATAGCTTGTTTTGCATTTACCAGTTCAATATTTGACCTCTTCGCCTGATCTCTCTGTTCTTGGGTACTCTTAGCTACAAGTCCATAAACCTTTATTTGTGGCTTTTTGGCCAGTTGAATAACTAACTGGCCATTAGCTGTTGTGTTCCAGCCCTCGGCAGTTGTAGCAAGTGTCACCTTCAGCAGGTGTTCTTTCTTTGGAGAACTTGATTCTGCAAAATTGGAATAAACTAAAACATTCAAAACAACATGATTGACTCCATTGCTATAAAATAGAGGTCAAGAGGCACAAAGTTATCAGTGGTAGCTTACATGAATGTATAACATGGCAAATTTAAATTATGCTTTTGGCATGCCTGTTGATGAATGAGCAAAATACCAAAAAATTAAATTGATTCACATAAAAATTGGAAATAATGTTGTACTGAAAACATGTAGTCAAGAATAGAAAATGAGCTAGAATGATTGACACTTGCTAACAGAAGAATATTCTCCAGGTTCATAAAATATTATACTTTTCACATGTAACTGATAATAATATTACAACCGTCCAAAGCATTTTATATAATTTATTTTGTGTACAAGATTTAATTTCTGCTTCACACAAACTCTCTGTAATTGAGTTAACTTTGCTTGCAATGTCACCCACTTGAAGGAGTAACACACATGCCTTGTAATTCAAAATGGATCAACATTATTTCTGAACAGGAAATCATGAAATCAATTATTTCTTGAAGACAGTTCTAAACATGCAATAATTTACCCATTCCTCGTCGGTTGAAACTTGAAAAATCTTTAGAAGCATGCTGTGTCAATTTTTTTTTCGCTTGAGCTGACATTTTAAGTGAGAAAAACCCGTGTTTTGGAAAGCATCTTTTTTGCAAAACGAAGACTGATTGCACGTACAAGCTTTGTGTACAAGACTTTGCGACTGGTAAGAATTTCTCTTTTAATCAATGCTCTAAACAAGAGAGTTTGCTTTTTTTCTTGGGAAAGTTGTTTTATAAAAGCAATAGAAAACTTTTTTCCTGTGTTTGCATATCCTGATGTAAACATGAGAGGGATTAGGAGAATTCTTGACAATTATGCAAACCATCGACTTTGTCTCGAGTTTGCATTACTGTCTCGAATTCTCCCAACCCCTCTCGTGTTTATATCAGGCTATGCAAACATGGAAAACGTTTTCTATTGGTTAAGTATATAGTGTATAAACTAATAAGCTTATAAATATATTACGCCTATTTTCACCAGAAATGTTAACAATTTAAGCACAATTTTTGCGACAAATCTTATGTTTGTTAGGTTAGCGAAGAAGCTCATGATTTCCTAAGGAGAAAGCGTCACTGATTTATTATTATTATTATTATATTATGATTTTTAACCTCACTTTCTTTTAATTGCACGTATTTATTTTTACCAAACCTTTTTTTTCTCCTTCTATTGTATCTCGAATTTTTTCCTTTTATGCATATTATGTGACTTTCCTTTTACCTTGCTGTACTTATTCTTATAAAATAACTAAGATAGTACGCGCTCTGATTGGCTGAGAGGCATGTTTGCATGAGAGTATGTAAACATGGTTGTGGCATCAATATGTTTTGCTTTTCGCACGCTAATCACGCAAGCACAAATTTGAAAAAGTTTTCAAGTTCAAAACTCGACAAGTTTACTTTATTTACCAATTCCTTCGTCGGCTGAAACTTGGAAAATCGTTACAAAGAAAGTGTGTCAATTTTTTTTTCGCTTAAGCTGACATTTTAAGCGAGAAAAGTCCGTATTTTGGAAAGCATCTTTTGGAAAACAAGAACTGATTACGCGTGCAAGACTTCGTGGACAAGACTTTTCGAGTGGTAAGAATTTCTCTTTTAATCACTGCCATGCAAAGAGTTTTGCGTTTTTCCTCGGGAAATTTATTTTATAAAAGCAATAGAAAACTTTTTTCCTGTGTTTGCATAGCCTGATATAAACACGAGAGGCGTTCAGAGAATTCTCGACAGTTATGCAAACCCTCGACTTCATCTCGGGTTTGCATTACTGTCTCGAATTCTCCCAACCCCTCTCGTGTTTATATCAGGCTATGCAAACACGGAAAACGTTTCCTATTGCTTAACTATTTTATATAGCATTTTTAATTTAAAATCAAACCAGCTTAATTTTTGTAATAATATACTGTAGTTAGGGCATTAGTAGGTGAAGAGCCACCTCGAGGAAGAACTACTACTAATTGGTGCTATCACTGATGATTCTTGAAATGTTTTAGTAAACTTAACAAGTACACCAGAACATGCAAACACACATGCAACAAATTCCTTTGCAATAAGTTTATTGACTCCTGGGCCTGGTTCGTTGAAAGATGATAAGTTTAACCCAGGATTAAGCCAAATTTTAAGCATGGTTTTCTTTTTTAAGAACATGTAACTCAAGCTTTCAAAATACTGCTGAGCCTTTACTCTGAGATACAGTAATGATAACACAAAATGTTACTCTACGCAATGCAATCATAAGAAGGTAAAACACAAAAAGTGCAAAAAGTTTTAATCCTGGATCAATGCTAATCGCCCTTTTAGGAACCGGGCCTGACCAATAAAAAGCTGTGCAATGCTTGCTACTCTCTTCACTGGTTTAGGCAATTAGAGAGTGGCTTCAATGCGGGTCAGGATTACTGGTTATGTGAAGTATCATCCTTAATTTGATCAAGAAGTTAAAATGCTTTTCTGTGTGTTTGGTTGTGTGTTTCGTGTTTTATTATGTCATATACGAGAACTTATAAACAAAGGAAAAGAGCACCTGGCGATTTTACAAATATGGTCACTGTCGCTCAATAAACGGGAGCAGTCGTGTACGAGAGCTTTTAATCACAGTTAAAGAAGGGGCCAAAGAGCTCAGTGGTCGTAGCAAGCGTAAGAACGTCAACTTAACTTAGCGTTCCGCCAAAGTATATTAAATAGCAAGACTCCGAACAAGTCCGACACTAAAGGTTCTTTGCTAGACAATCAAGCGCGTTTTGTTTGTGTGTTTCGATCTACTCTCTCTATATCAACTTTAAAGCAATAGCACGATAAGATTCGATCTGCGGATCAATCGTTTATTTGGCTGTGATTGGGATCTTCATCATTCTCTCTTTTCGAACGTAATAACATCAGGTGAAAAGGTCAAACCCCACGTTATAAGGGATTAAAGGCAATTTTCAGCTCACCTTTGGTTCCTACACTGGTACCTTGAGATGAAGCCCCAGTTTGCAGCTCTTGTTGGGTTGCTATTGATAAAATTCCACGTTCGCCTGCCGACTCGCCTGCCATGTTTTTGTCTTACAACTGACTCCGTCGTTGGCTTAAGGAAGTCGGTCCCAAGCCTTTACGGCCGTAAGAGCGACCGTAACAGCTGAAGAATAGCATGTGCAGTAGCGGCGGTTCCTTAGGAATGAAACGAATCCGATCTGCTTGCGTGAGAACAAGTTCTTCTAAAACCTGCTTCGTCAGTTTGTCGAGGGACCTTGTAGAGGCAATAGGACTAAGAGTTCAGGTGTGTCTTCTTACTCTTCTAGCAGTTTTCTTAGTTTATACAGTATGTGGTCCTTGGTCCGCGGCTAAAAATTAAGCTAGTTGATTAATCATGAATATCTTACCTGAATGAAACCGTTTCGAGCTGAAATACCCCCTGTTTCTCTCGATAATCGTGAAGTTGCAAGTTCCAATCTTAAGTATTTGTATAGGTAATAGCATGATTTGTAGTGATATTTGGAATAAATACCAGGAGTGATATTTCGAAATTGTTATACGTAATTTCACGAGCCGTTAGGCGAGTGAAATTTGAGACAATTTTGAAATATAACGAGTGATATTTATGCCAAATATCACGTACAGATCATGCTATTATTTGTTTATACTACTACCCACAAAAGGTTTGTAATTTTCACTTGTAGGTATTTCAAATTAAGCTGAAATACCACTGCTCTTAGCCAATCAAATTGCAGAAATCTGTCTTGTAGTACTATAATGCTTGTAATTTGACAGAAAGGCGACCGTGCTCGATGGTCCTTAGTCCGCGAGCCGCGACTCAGGTAGGCAGCACGAAAAAGACGTGAGAATGCGATAGTTTCCACACGAAACGTAATTTCGATAATATTTCATGCATTTTTCTATTCTTGATGCAATAAAGCTAAAGTTATATCGGAAGTTGTTGTGAGTATAAAATAAGCTGCTTTTCTTGCAAAGACCTCGGACAACATGTACAGTCTCCCACACGAGCGGTTTACAGACAAGACGCTATCGGAGCGTACATTTTGTCGTGGTGGTATCAAGCATACGTGATCATGAGGCCACCTGGTTCTTCAAATCCCGACCCGATTTTAGACCAAAAAATGTAATTTTCTACACCCTTTTTCAGACTAGACCTCTAAAATCCATACCCGTTTTCAGACCTGGCCTTTAGGCAGAAATTATGTTATCATTACTTTGATTAGAGCACAAACAAAATAATTATTCAATCCATTTTGAATTTGCACATTTCTCTTTCTTTCTTTCTTACTCATTTGGAGTTGAAATGATAAATATGTTCATACACTACGTAGTTCCCTCAAAAACCATACCTGATTCCAGACCAAAATAGGCAAAGTTTATACCCATTTTCAGACCAAATTGGTGCAAATACCCTACCCGATGGGGTAGCAAATACGTATATGGCTTATATAAAGGAGTAGCCCCACCCCTGGATGTGAGGATTTTTTTTCTATTTGTGTGATAAGTCCTTGTCATTTCTTCAGTTTTGCAAGGCAGTTTCTACAGAGGTAGTTGTTTTCGATAGATCTCAAAGCTGTCAAAAATGAATTTTTAAAAGACTCTGATTTTGGCAAAAATTGTCAAACTTAGTGGCAACACCCTATTCCTATAATACAACAGCATAAATTACAATAAACTGACAAATAAGACTACTTCTTTTTCCTTTTGCTATGTAAAGAACTGTGATTTCTTTTTTGCACTGCAACTTGTACAAATTTAATTTTAGCCTTGCTGAATATTGCTTGATTGTTGTGCAAAGAAATGTCCTATCACAAAGCATATTAGAAACTTAGCCAATCAGAAATGGATAAAGATTTTCCTGAAAATCTGCGGGATACCAGAACAAGCTTTCGGGAGCTGTTGCGCAGATGGACTACATCGAGTTCTCTATCTGGGTCTCTAGTGTCAAGTCTGGCAGCAAAGGGCTCTAGGGTTTTAAATAATAAAATTAGGTGTACCTTTGGAAAATATTCCTAGAGAATATAATAAAAACCGCTATTTTGTCCTTACATTTGTCTACAGGTACGCATGTTTTCATTGTATCGTATTTATTGTTTAACCGACTCCTAAACTGTATATTGACTTTGTTTTTATAATTAAAATGTTGCAGGGTCAACCATTTGCTCTTCAACTGCAGTGGGAAAGTTGTAGCGCTTTTACTAGCTGGTCTGGAGAAGTCATTCACAGCAACAAGCATGATCTCTTAACTGGATCTCGTTCTATTGTTCTACTTGGAAAAAAGTTTGCTGATTCACTGGGACTGAATGAGGATCAACAGGTTAATACATGTGCCTAGTGAAGAAACCTTACCCGTTTTTATCCTAGTATTTTTGGGACAGCTGTCCACCCAGGTTGTAGGGGGGGGGGGGGGGGGTTGGGCTCCCGTATAAAAGTGACATGGATGCTCATCAGAAAATTGAAAGTAAACCTCTGTAATCAATGTGGGTGTGGCTCAAACTTAAAAGTGACCCTAAAGTAGACCATACTAAAACGACATAAGCATAACGACATAACGACATAAGCATAAGGAATGCCTGTATGGGCAAATAATTATTGTGACTTTCCATCCCCAATGTACGCTAAGTGAGACCAAAATGTGAAATTTACACTCTTAAGGAAGATGGCGTGGAATCCCTGTCACTTTTATGTGGGAGACCTCCCTCCTGGATGCACAGGCTGCCTTCTCTGTCCAAACCAAATAATGAAGGTCGACAACCTTAAAGGGAAGGAACTGTGTCACGGCAGCAGAGTCTGTTCTGTTTACTTTAATTTTGTCAATTACTTGCCTTGAAATGCAGCATTCCCAAAGAAAATTTTAAGTCTGCTATTAAACCCTATGGTGTGAACTTTTTTGTTCATGCAAAATTTTTACAGAAGTTTTCCCCACGGGCAGCATTCGTTACTAGTAAAGGAGTTAGTAAAGGAGAATCTAGGTCCTGAATATTAGCTGCCTCCTCTGCTTGCTAAGTCACTCTCTCCATGAAATTCATGTCAGGCTAACAAGAATTAAGAAACTTATGGTCATTATTGTGACCTGCTGATGGTATTTTTCTGTTTTGTTGATGTCATTCAAGATCCTTGTTGAACCTGTTCTTAGTATCCCATCATGCAACAGAATCAGTGTAGATCCGCTCAGTGCCAATGACTGGGAGATCTTGGTAAGTTGTTCTAGACAACACCTGGAGGCTACTTGACAACTGTGAACACTAATGATTTTATCAATAACTTTCAAAGAAGTTTTAAAATTCTCTTGTATATAGACTGTGTGAAAAGGAGTCATGCTGGTAAGGGTACCTCTGACCTTGCTTGTCTATTGAAGAACCATCAAATGATGAAAAAATTGGGGATTAATGGGGTTTTTTGTTTGTTTAAGGTACTTGGCATACAGTCTCTCTCCTCAGAGGCATTGTTGTGTTGTAATCTTAAGTCTTGGAAAGGGGCAAAAAGAAAGTGCATGAAGGATTGCCCATAGTACTCACTATTATTTAATTAGTGCTATATTTTTTATTGGAATACCCATTGGGAGCCTCTGTGGAGGAGAGAGGTTTATGTTTATGAGTAAAAATTATATTCATGTTAAAATTAACATTTTTTAACCTACAATTGCTCGGTGAGAAAATGAGTTATGACACTTCACAGATCAAAAGGGGGAAATACAGCTTTGCAATGTTGTGCCGCTGGTCGAACTACCTAAAGAAAACAGCAAGCATCCCAACTTTGAATGGAGGGGACAGGGAAGGGGTGCCGATTCTTTTGTACAATGTCTCAACAATTTTGTTGCTGATTGTAGGTTGATTTTCCATTCTCTTTTGCCTCCTAGCTCTCAGATTATTCATGAATTAGGGCTAAAAGACAATGGAAATTGAGAATCAACCTGGGTTAAGAATTTTATCCTGTTAATTTAATTTTGACCTGTAACATTATATACAGTGTACATAGTAGTAAGTATCATGATGGCACAAGCTCCTCTAATCAGATCTTTTATTTATTATAATTATAAACACTAATGAACTACCAAACCATTTCACTTTAATAGTTTTTTGGTGTGAAAGGTGCGATTTATTATGTAGCCATAGCAATGGTGATATTTTCACATGTGAAGATAACATGTTATTTTTACATGTGAAGATACCAGGTTTTCGCGCAAAAGCTCACCTGGTATTTCATTGGTGTTTATATAATAATAAGTTTTATTTGACATCTTGATTTGTTAGGAACTTCATGCTGGATATATTGAAAGCCATCTTCTGAACCAAGTACGTGTGGTGTTTCCTCAGCAGAAACTTCCAATCTGGATTCAAAATAATACATGTGTGGTTGTTCAAATTGGTAAGGTAGATAAATGTTTGTGGAAGATGGTAAATGTTGGTCCACAGTAAATAAACGTTTGAGAAGGTTTCAATGAAATTTTTGTTTATCTTGTGTGGGGCAAAGAAATAAAATCTGAAGAGTATTCTCTAAAGTGTGTAGATAGGATTCCATTCAGCATAGTAAATATTACCACAACATCATTTCTTTCATGGGGTCTTTTTCAGTGTGCTTATTTTAGTCCCCTACATCAGAGCCCTTGGGCTTACACAAATCAAAACAAACAAATAATGCAGATCGATAGGTGTATTATTGTATGAATGTCCATCTAATGGAAAAAAATCTCACTCTAACTGGATTAAAAAAAAACATAAAAATATTTGTCAAAAGCGTACTGATTAAAAAGGTTTTGTTTCAGTGGTCACACCTCATTTCCAATCAATCAAACAAACAACAAACAAACAAAACTTTATATTTACACATATTAAACCTAAATACAGTTGCCCTGCAAATTAGCAAAGAAACGCTATTCGAGGCAGGGAAAAGTATTGTATTGAAAATAATGATTTAAATTAGCCAACATAACATTACAGAAGCTGATCTGTATAATAGTTACAATCTTCCCTCATCTCTTTTCCCCCTTTTAAAAAGGAGATAATAATAATAATATAGCTCCAGTGACAACCAAGGAACAGGCATCAGTTGTGTTTTTCTAATATTAGTACTTACAATCCTCTAATCTATTCCGATCCTTCCTCTACAGTTGATCTGGAGCCTTGTACCAACTGTGTGAGACTTGATGAGTTTACAGAAGTTGTTGTATCACCAAAGACAAGAGATACAAAAAGTGTCAAACAAGGTTCTGTTACTTCCTCTCAATTCACCTCACAGACAATCAGTCAAACCTCTGGGATTCCAGACTCTGCACAACAGCTTGTAGAGGCAAGTGGTCTGTCTGATGGTAACAGACAGCCGTCCACAACTGCTCGTAGTGTTGTAGATACAGAAGAACAGTCTAGAGTCATTGACACTGGCCTTTTGTCCAGATTTTCTAGTTACTTTCACACACTATTTTATGCTCATGGTAACAAATCTGTTACAAATGAAAATCAGACATTAGAACCCTTGCAGAGCAGTGAACCTCAATTAGCTAGTACATCTAATGACAGCAATGCAATAAGAACTTTTGCATCCACTTCTCAACTTGACGAAAATGTTTTGGGAGAAACTGACTTTGATATGTGGTTACGAGTACAACCAGAACTTTCAATGGCCAGGAACATTTCAAAATCGAAATATGCATTTCAGCCATCGGCAGTGTTTGTTGACTTTGCTTCATTACCACCAAAAGTTCTGAAGTCATGGACCTGTAATCTGGACTTCTTTCCACTAGCTGATGGAACAATTGTAAAAACAGTGCAAATAACTAAATTACTGTCACCAAAAGAAAGGACTACTGCATCCAGCAATGCAGCTACAGTGAACAGAGTACCAAACAGTCAGGAAAACACTGATTCAATAACACAGGAAACTGGTGTAACTGATGAAGCTGAATCTCTAAGCAGAGCAAGTCAAGGTATCAAAAAAAAGGATTTTTTTACAAATCGTATGTGAATGTTTGTACATCTAGTGCTGGGTAACTAACCACCTACCCCTCCCCTAAGTCACAATTTTGCCCTAAGCAAGAAGTATATAGCATTAATGTTGACTCGGGGGGTGGGAGGAAGTCAGTTACCCAGAAACTTCAATTAATCCAATCCCCAATCTCTTTGACCATCACATGAGTGTTAAATTCTATTCTTGATAACAAGCTGACCAAGCTATTGCATAATGTAAGACTTTGGTTGGAACTAGCAGTGGGAGTGCCCTGTGGGAGTGCCATACCCCTGTAAAAGCCCAGGTAACAAAAGTGATGAGTTTTAAATTTGTTAATTCTCACAGATACACAACCTTCTCACTGGATTGTAAACATGGTGATGACAAGCAGCAGCAGTAGTACCCTTAGCGCCATCACTAAACACGGCTCTCATAAACTGGGTGTGGAAAGTCATGTATTACCGCACCACATTGTTATGTCCAATGAGCTACGACATCTACTTGATACAAAGGATCTGTCTTTAGTTAAAGTTCAGAGTGTCTCATATGGGCCTTCAGACATTAAAGGGATTATATTACATCCCTTTGGAGATAATAATCAAGAGGTATATATTAAAATATAAATCATATTAATTTTATCAAAAATTGATTTTAGGAAAGCTTTTTTGAAGGTGGCCATGGCAACCAATAGAATGTTAACCACTAATTAATGGCACTAGAAAAAATAGCTTTAATTATTACAATGCAAATTCAGACTGTATACAGTCTGAATTTGCATTGTACTAGTAATAAAGCAAAATAGGGCATGGCAAATGTAACAAAGTGGCCCTAGGAAAAATACCTACAATATTCACTGTGACCATGAGGTATTTAAAGATGGAAAAGCAGGAATAAAAATGGATTGGATATCAGATGACCAAGGGAAGACGAGGAAGAAGGGATTGCTCAGGCCATGGAAGAAAGCCAACCAGAAGAACAGTAAATTTATCAAGTGAAGATAGTGGGTAATTTTGCAGCATAGTACATGTATGTTGAGAGTATGTCAGAAAGTAACGAGAATTACCCTTTCAAAGGAAAAAAAATAGTATTGTCAATTTTATCAACTTGCTAACCTGCAAACAAGAAAAGTCCACTTGCTTGTGTATTGTTCACTTTAACAAAAACATGTTTAGAGCCTTTTGTTCACCTACTGTATTGCATTTCAGGACATCCCATCCTCAAGTGTGTTATTAGATGCTTTTCATAAATGGATATGTTCTGTGTGTAGCAGAGAGGCACCCTTGTTACTTTGCAGTGGAATGCTGTTGACCTGTGATATTCCTCAAGGTAGGCCTGCATTGCAGCTATTCACTAATGATAAAAAATGCATTGTTGTTGCTTAACTTTCATTATTTCGAACAAAAGATTTTCCAGCAACAGAAGTTGGAAACTTTTGCAGATTCAGTATTCAGCTGAATTCACTTCATCACTGATTACTATGCATGCCACAGAGCTACCTATTAATTTACTCTTCTCACGGTAAATAAATTTCCAAAGGCTCTTGTTTAATGCTTGAATTAAAGACTGAAAATTGTGTTCTTTGATCATCATGCTGATTACAGGTACAAGTATTTTATGATGTTATTGCGGACCGGAAAAAGTATGATCAAGACAATTGAGAAGTTTGGTGTAGTGAATTTCAGATATTCAAGTTTGACTGTTTTTGCTGCTTTCATTTGGCAAAGGGATATGACAAAATAATGATCTTTTTCAGCAGGTCATTCTGTTCAGTTTGTCGTCACAATACTAAGCCATGATGAACAAACCTCCAGCTCAGCAGACAGACTTTCATATTATCAACTTACCCCCGAATCTCTTAACAGTGTAACAGTTGTCATTGGAACGCCTTCAAATTTATTGAACGATGTTTCTCCAGTGATAAGTCCTCTTGAAAGCACGACACAAAACTTTAAGCCAAGTATCGCAGATCTGGGGTAAGAAGATAATAATCAAGTTATTTTATGTACTATATAGTAATGCAAATTATGCTAGTTAAGCAGGGCCTGAGGACATGATATTAAAAGCTAGCATACATTCAAAGCAGTTTGGTCAATTTATATGCGATAATGATTTACAGGTGTAGTTTAAAGATAGAGTTTCTCAAGGATTAAATATTCAACTGCTCCCCTTCCTTATTCTGTGCTCAGCTTGGCAAGTACCCTGTACATCAGTAACTCTACAAATTATGCATGTTTATAGCCAATAACCATTTTATTTTGTATCATTTTTTTTCTTTTAGTTTATCCAGACACAGTAAGTCACTCCTCCCTCACCCCACTTCGATTCCAGCATTTTATGGGCCAGGCGAGGTTCTATTAATTAGCCTTAGGGAACTATGGTGTTCCCCAAAAGACCTCATTTCCCTCATGTATTATATGTTTTTTTTAACAGTGGAGTGACAGAGTGCTTTCACAAGTGCCTAGATCATGCTTTGGCTGCCTTAAAACAGAGGCCAGTAGCAAATCACCTTGGTGGCAACATTATCACCGGATTACGCAGTGGAGCTTTGTTAATTTGTGGCAGTGGTGCAGGAACTGGGGTTGGCTGCGGCAAAACAGCTCTTGCCCATGCAGTGTGCCATCAACTTAATAAATGGCCTGTCTGTGCTCATATCACTGTTGTGGACTGTATTCCATTCAGAGGTTTGTGTTAATCATTTTTATGAATGATGTTTTGAAACTTTTAACTGAGTTTATTGATACCATATTTATTCAAATAAGTGCCCTCCTCTAATAAGTGCCCGTCCTAAAGGCAGAAAAAATTAATAAGCACCCAGCCTTGAATAAGCGCCCACCCCCACCCCACTCCCTCCCACGCAAACTCCAATAACAGATAATAAGAGACCCTCCTGAAGATGGAGTTTTCTTCAGAGTATTTTACAGAAACCTAGCTTTGTTACATCTTCGCTTTTTGTTGCTACCATTTATTGTTTTGTTGCACAATAAACATACTTCACTTGCTGAGAATGGTAAAAATTTAATAAGCGCCCACCTCGAATAAGCACCCATTTTCAAGGTCCAAAAATTTAATAAGCGCCCGAGGTGGTTAATCAAATAAATATGGTAGTTCTTACTTTAAAGGACTTCATAATAAAGTGTTATTTCAAGGCATGTGCAACAATACTACATGGTCACATAACATAAACTGTTTACAGGTAACCATATGACTCCTGAAGGGTCATGAGGTTATCCTTATATTAAGATCTCCTTTCAGATAACCCATCCAGCCCAGAAAGGTCGACCACACCACTGGAATCTATGTCCTCTACTCTTTAAAAACAGTGGTGTGGGGTCGTTTCAGTTGTCTCTTTACATCTCACAAGAACCAGATTGGTGGAAGTGCTGTGAGATGGGATGGTCTGCAGTGTATGGTTTTCTGTCCCTATCCTAGAAGACTAGAAAGTATAACCGTTTGCAGATGTTGTTACAACGGTAGCACTTTCTTCTCAGTTCTTTAATTTAAGACCCTGAGTGTTGATCAAGTCGTTTGAATCTGCCACATCTCACTCAGCAGACTGACACTCTCCCAACTAGGCGGCAGTGGTGGTATTTAGTGTTTTACTTGCAGGGTTATTGGTAGTTCTAAAGTAGCAAAGAGAATGATAGATTACAGGGCGTGTTCAGTGATTGGATTGTGTTTTTCTTGCAGGAAAAAGAGTTGAATCGATTCAGAAGCAGTGGCAACAGGTGTTTGTTGAGGCCGCCTGGTATCAACCTTCTGTTATTCTGTTTGATGATTTGGATCAACTTGTGTCAGCTCCCAGTGCCCTTCAAGAAATGGGTGGAGAAGCTCTGTACAAGCGTCGACTTGCTCAAGGTGAGAGCCGGTAATAAGTATTGAGTCTATTACACACTGTTCTCACCCATCTACATATTTACCTATTCATGTTTCATGTTTTTGCATCAGTCATTCAAGGATTTAAACTACGTGTGCATTTAGTTTCATTGTTATTTAATGCATTACATTTCCTTTGGGCTGTTTTCCTACTCTTATGCTTTGTCAGTATGAGTGTGCTCACGTTGTGGATGGCTCGTTCTAAAATGTTCTACAATATTAGTATTGGGTTTAATGAAGCCAAAACAAATTGTAGAATTGCACAGGTTTTGGCATTGTACTGTGGAACAGTTGTGACGTTTTTGAGCGCAAAAAAAAAATTGCCATCTGTCCTCTTTGAAGAAATTATTTAGATCAATTAGTAAGGTATATCAGTTAGAAATCTACATCATTATTTTCATCATTAACTTTGTTTAATCCATGTCATGTCCATGAAAATTTCTCCATGGGTCTGTTGGCCTTTTTATGTACTAAAAATAAATTATTTTTCTTCTTTCATTCGCCAGTATTCAAAGATCTTGTCAATGCAGAAATTGACCACAATAGCAGGGTGGTTGTCATAGCAACCAGCAAATCCCATGACTCATTACATCCTTCACTACTGACGTCAAGAGGGTGTCACATATTTCAATGCTGTGTGGAGCTGCATCCACCAGATGCCAATCAGAGACAAGAAATCTTGCATGCAATGATAAACAAGCGATTTCCTCAGGAAGACTCTCAGGAACTTGAACTCAGGTAGATATGAATTTCTAAACTTATCACATGCTTTCACTTTATAGCCATACAGTCTCGAAGATCATCCTCGAAGCTTTTTGTTTTGGGAAAGGCACTGAACTTTAAAATTTTGGTTTTTGTTGAGCTGTTAATACTCCCTGTTCCCTGCCTTTATAAATGAACCACACTGCTATAATTATGGATCAAAGATTTAAGACCTCTGTTTATGCATTTTAATACCCACTTTCTGACCTTAGTTCTACCTCCACTGTCTTGACCTTTTCTATGCATTTATTTTGCCATATCATAAACTGCTGTTTAAACATTGTAAGCCCCGCACCCCACTTATAACTCCCACCCATTTATAGGCCCATCTACCTGTAAGCGAAAAAAATACGTCTGATCTTAACCCCCCTGGGATATAAGCCTCTCCGTTTATAAGCCCCCTAAAACCCCTTTCAAAGATGTATAAGTCCAGGGCTTGTAAGCAGTTAGCCTGTTCCAGGTGTTCAGATAGTAAAGCACAGGTGAAAAATTGATGAGGAAAAAAAACAAAGGAGCCCCAGTCTCTCCTTGTTTTCCCTGTGTACAATTTAACTGGCTCCCCACCACCTGAACTCAGCACTTGACTACCTGAACGCCTGCAACAGGCTAGTAAGCAGCAGTTTATGCCATACTCTGGCAACAAGATCATCATCACACACAGTACTAGTATATATCTTAGTGTTGATATATTTTGTGCACTCATTTCAGTTCACTGGTGAAGAAAACAGAGGGATTTTCACCCAAAGATTTGGGATCTTTACTTGACCGTGCTTTTCACAAGGCAGCAATCAGGAAGTTAAAAAATCAAAAAGGTAAATTGAAATTTAAAAAAAAACATAACACGAAAGGGAAGGCTAGGTGCAGTAGATTGATCTCAGTTAACAGGCACCCCATGTATTAAGCAGACAGTTAAGCTTATTTTCTGTAATTTTAAACTGCTTTTTCCGGTCCTAAGGATTTCCCCTTTCAAGAGGTTCAATTAAATGTAGTAAATACACTGTAGGGGATATTAATATATATTTTATGCGTTTGAACGAACAAAAGAGTATTAAAAATCACTCTATATCCTGTGAACTATTTTCTCTGTATCCACAGAAGGAGGTTTTGGCCCAGCTATTACAACACAGGACCTAAAGGGAGCTGTTGAAGGATTCACACCTGCAGCATTGAAAGGAGTCAAGTTACACACTGCAGGGGAGTTAGGTTGGTGTGATGTGGGTGGACTGTCTGCAGTTAAAAAGACTCTGATGGAAACACTTCTGTGGCCGACAAAGGTACAAACTGATTATAAGATGCATTGAATGGTAACCGGTTAAGTCACCCTAAAGCCATCTCACCCAAAGTCACCTGGCCTGTTTCCTAAGGCAGGCCTAAAATGTTCTTATTTGAAGTACCAATAGAATTAGACATTGATAAGTCTAAGTTAGAAGGTGTTGTAACAGTCATTTGGACTTACCTGTAACTCTCGGACAAACAAATAATTAATACACAGGTAAAACTTGCAGCTTTAACGAGTTATTATAAAGAACTGCCCACATGCCAATTGCAGAGTGCTCTTCCTATACATCGTTGTCCTTTATTAGGTAGTGCATTTCTGTGTACAATTGCAACTTTACAAATCAGTTTGTTTTATTTTTCATCAGTATTCCTGGCTCTTCAGTAAATGCCCTTTACGTATGAGGTCAGGTCTTCTCCTTTACGGACCCCCTGGTACTGGGAAGACTATGCTAGCTGGTGTGGTTGCTAAGGAATGTGGGCTCAACTTCATCAGCATTAAAGGACCAGAATTGCTTAGTAAATACATTGGAGCCAGTGAACAGGCAGTCAGAGATATGTTTACCAGGTAATTAAGAAGTTATATTAAAAAAAATTGGACCAATATTTTCAAGTTGCTATTTCGTTTCCATCCTGGCCATGGAACGCCAAAGACGTGCTCTCATGGTTGAGGTTACAGTCCTTAGAAGAACAATTTCAAATAAAACTGAACCATTATTGAAGGGTTCTCTCTGATTCCAAGTGTGTTTTAAGGGTTTTAAATGAATACCAAACAGTCGTGAAATACAATGTAGCTCCTTTTAGGAAAAAGAAATTTGCGCGACTTAATGCGTTGTTTAGTGATATAAAGACTAGTTACAACATTTTTCAAAGCTCAGTTCCACTTCTCAAAATCCACGATGCTTCCTATAATACAGACATCTCTCTATTATGGACAATTTCACTTGATCTTGCAGATACCGAATTTCACATATTCCCACCTCGATGGTACAGACAGCCCTTTAATGGGGCCAATAGCTCACGTTCAATATATCAAAATTCTAACGTGACTCCCAGGCTTCACGGACAAAATTGCCAATTTTTCACGATTCCATTGGCTTGCAATTTCTAGAAGAGACTTGAGCACAAAGAAAGCCAAACCAAATATTATAGAAATATGACCAGAAAGCCTCGGAGTCATGTTATAATTTTAATATATCGAACGTGGGCTTTTGAATCGCCTTTCCTAGCTGGTCCTTTGGTGTCCATATTGATGATGTTCAATTGTATTGGAATGTTCTTCTTAGTACTTTATATTAAATACAGAGCCCAGAGTGCCAAGCCTTGTATTCTGTTCTTTGATGAGTTTGATTCACTTGCACCTCGCCGTGGGCATGACAGCACAGGGGTAACAGACAGAGTTGTCAATCAACTTTTGACCCAGCTGGATGGAGTTGAGGGACTGGATGGAGTCTATATACTGGCTGCCACGAGTCGTCCAGATTTGATAGACCCTGCTCTTCTCAGACCAGGAAGACTGGACAAGTGTTTGTACTGTGGTATACCAGAGAAGGTAATTTTGTAAGTGGGACAATATAAACCGAATTAATACTGGTTGCCTCAATACGGAGAGGTGACACAAGCCCTGCTGTTTTCTGTTTGCACGTCTGATTTGGCATTACAATCAAGCCTCCATGTGCCACCACCTAACGTAAGCGACCACCTCCCATGATATAAGCGACCACACGTCCAAATCACCAACATTTTCCTTGTTGGTCTTATTTCCTCATAGCTGGAACCTCTCGTAAACGACAACCTCTCGCAATAGGCCACTTGCACTAAGAGGTCACGTGACCAATGCTTCCTTTAAACAATGAGTTGGAATCTTGCTGATGCCAAAAATTGATGGAGCACATAGAAATTATTTTACACCCGAAAATTGAGAGGAAACGCATTTAAGGGAGACATTTTATGGCACTTTTTTCAACAAAGTAGTATGATTTGTATTGGCCGCCATGTTGGAGGGCATCTTGCCGTCCAACATGGTGGCCAAAACTACTTTTTTCTTCTATCTTGTTAAACATTTGATAGTTACGCTCAGATGTGCTGAAAATGTTTCCACATCATCTTTTCAACAATTTCCCTGAAGTTTAAGTGCAAAATTTGTGTTCAGAAAGAGGTAATTCATAGTTTTAAAAATCACAATTCGAATGGCTAGCGACCACCACCCGTTGGTGACCACTGTTTGCGGGAACTTCGACTGTATATTCATATTAAAGTGATTCAAATTAAACTACCTACGCCTCAACAGTTAAAGGCTAAGTCTTAGTAGAAGGAATTGTTTCATATTGTCCTTGCTGTTTTGGGATGTGTTTCAAGTGTGTATTCTAGAACAACATTGAAAACCTCTAGTTCAATCCGAAGGCGATTGTGCTTGTACAATAACAAGACAATTGGGAAAAGTGTTTCAAAAGGTGGATATTTTCAATAACTTTGGGTTGAATCTAGCTATTCATTTTACAGTCAGAGAGACTTGAAATCCTACGAGCCCTATCAAGATCTCTTCTCTTGGCCAAGGACACGAAGCTAGCTGATATTTCAGACATGTGTGAAAACTTTACTGGAGCGGACTTGAAAGCCCTGTTGTACAATGCCCAGTTAGCGGCAATACACAGGAACACCAGCAACAGTCAACTGTATAAAGGCCTGTTTAACAAGGACAGTGAAAGAGGAGATGATAAAAATGACAGTTTGCAAAATAAAGATATAAAAGAGAAGGTTATTTACATTCCTAACTTGGTAAAAGGTCCTGTACACGTCTCATCAGACGAACTGACAAAGCTGCATTCCGAGGTAAGTAAAATATTCGATAGCCTGCGACAACAGCCGTCTCTTTTCGCCGCTAGGAACGTTTTGCCAGCCAAACGTCCCTAGCGGGAAAAAGCGAGGAGAGACAGCTGTGTTTTCGTAGGCTAAATATCCGTGTTCATATTTTCTGAATGAGAAAATAATCGGTGAATATTTCTGTTTTTCGTTATAAGAACAAAAAAATGTATGTATGACCACATGGCTGGCTGAACAGGCTAGTTGTACAAAGGTTTGATAATTGAAGTCGGCAAGCATTGATATTTGAAAGTTGAATACAGTAAATTTTGCCGGGTTGGCTAGTTGGACATTTTACTCGCTTGCACAAACTTTCGAAGAAAAAATTCATGTCAAAATGAAATCTATAGTCTTAATTCTTGTTGCTTAGGGTGCTAACATTTGATTCCTTTCTATTAGGTTATGGTTATCGAAGAACATCTCCGACAACGGAACGGGAGTGATAAAAAGGTATAAGAATGGATTATAATAAATGATGGTTGTAATTGAAAGCAAGATCTCAGTGAGAGTGATTATCTCTCATTAGGATGCACTGAGTTCAACATTAATCAATCATACAGTTCCAGTCGGCACTTTCTGTGCTGGACTTTGTAAGGGTCACTGATGAAACAGTTTACGGTCGTTTCGCCAACCGTCAAGTGCTGGACTTTGTAAGGGTCACTGACTAAACAGTTTACGGTCGTTTCGCCAACCGTCAAGCAGCAATTTGTTTGCCCCGGCTCATTAGCGAAACGACTTGCCGCGTTAGCGAACAGGGCCGAGTTGTTCAAAGCTGGCTTTAGATAACCCAGGGTTAGTGCCAAATTTGAATTCAGATTTGAAAGATTAAAAAGTAAATTCAGTTTAATTCTTTCTGTCAACAAGTGTATGATCGGATGCTCTTAAAAATAACAGTGAAAATTATGCGTGAAAATGCTTTTGAACAAAAGAAAAAGAAACCCGGGTTAAATTTAACGCTAGGTTAAGCGCTAATCGCCCTTCGAACAACTGGGCCCAGGACGTTAGCGAAATGACCGGTCACCATCTTAACGTATTCTTATCGCACTTTTAAATATATTGCTCTTCCTTCCCTAACGAAAATACGTTCTTTTAAAATTGGATACCCACTTAAAGCAAGTATTCCTTTGCAACGAATTAGACGAATAAAAAGTTTAAACTTTGTTTCTCTCCTCGTAGATGTCAGCGACTGAAGTATCAAAGCAACAACCAGCAGGTGGAATAGAAATCAGTCAGTCTGATTTGCTACAAGCTGCTTCATCTATGGGCCCCTCTGTGTCCGACAGCGAAAGGCGCAAATACCAGGCAATGTACGTATTGAACATCTTAAAGTGCTCGTTATGGGCTGGCGGCGGTAGCCTGCGTGGCAGGCATAAAAAGCAAGGGGTGGGGAGGGGGAAAAGCGCGGAAGGGTAAAGAGAAACCTCTCCCCAATTCCCTCTTCCAAATTCCCGTCTCCCCGACCTCCTATCTGTTCCTACTGCTTTTGACGCCTGCGAAGAAGGCTAGGCTGGTGGTAATCGTGTCAATTGCAGCCTTGGTCTGACTCCTCCCCAGTCGTCTTTTATCATTAGTGAGTTAACTCAACAGGACGACAGAAAGAAGAGGACGGCAAACCGCCTGAGTGTGACAAACGTGACGGGGGTATTAATCGCGTGTTTTGTCGGGAATTCACTTAACATTGATGTTTTTTGCTCTTCTACAAAAAGATCTGTTTAAAGGAATGTGAAGTTTGGCGGAAGGTTTTTTCAAACAAAATTTTTGTCACGCTTGTCACACAAGGTTTGCCGTCGTCTTTCCTCTCCCGTCCTGTTGCGTAAGTTTACTATTTTTGAGCGCTGTAACGGAACAATCATGGGATACTCTAAAGGCATCTCGACGAAGAGGACGATGGGAAAGGAGAGAGGGGGAAAAAAAAGAAACGCACCTACCCGCGCTTACGCTTCCCTCGTTTTATATTTTGAAAATTAGTAGGAAACTAAAAAAGATAACCTCCTACGCGGACTTTCTTAGAAGAAGCCCTGAGAACGTTTGCGTGGGAGGCTACAAAAGAGACTACTTTAGATGATCAAAACCTGGATGCCATGGTTTGTTAAGAGTTTTGGACTGTGATTCCCTGCTAGCAGAGGCCTCTTTTCTCTGCTATTTGGAGGCTTTACTGGCAGGGAAGACAGTGGGAACGGTGCCATGAGAAGTGAAGAGAAAAAACAAGCACAGGGGGTGGTGAAGTGGCCTTGAAGGTTCTAAGAGGATAACTCTAGCCTTTGGTCTACGATGGTGATTTCAGAGGGGAAATTTTGTGGGCGTTACTGTTACATTAGAACTTACGGTCACCAGCAGGTCACCACAATGTTATTTTGTTTTTCAGATATGATACATTCATTAAATCGCGTGGAGGAGATTTTGGTCAAAATTCTACTGGACAAGGAAAAGCAACTTTAGCCTGAACGTTTCAGTCTGGATGCGATACCAGAGGAATGGTATACATGGCAACCAACCCAAATGCCTCATCAAAGCGTGTCAACCAATGAACTTTGGAACTGAACTTTGTTTAGATTTCAGTGCTACAAAAGAAGCACATTATGTATGCCACTGACATGGCTTCTAATAACTTTTTTCAAGTTACCATATTTACTCAAATAAGCTCCGCATTGAGACGTTGATTCTGTTAAAACGGAAAATAATAATACCGCGTCCAACTTTCAAATAAACATCGCCCTCGAATAAGCGCCGCATTTAAGGCTTGAAAAGCGTTGCAGCACTTTTTCGAGTTAATACGGTATGTCAAGTTTACAAGCCAAGTAACGCTCATAATTTCCAAAAATGTGCTTAAAAATACGATACAGCACATAGCACTGGAACAAGGATAGAGAGAGATATTTCCCATCTTCCCAAATGTTTCATACGTTGTGGTTCAATTTTATCCTTGGTTTAAATTTTATTTTCTTTTGTTTTTGCGTATGGTAATGCATGATAATGAGTTTGAAACAAAAGAAAATAATGGCCACACGACCACAAAAAATTGTCCCTGCAAACTGCACGCACGTCTTCTGTAACAGCTACAATAATGACTGACAGTTCACTTTTAAAGTCTTTAATTATTTTGCTTAGGAGATGATATATTACATTTAACTCTACCCTATGGCCAAGATAATTAATGATTTTGTTATTGTGCCAATTAAACCCAGTAACTTGTTACATCAACAGAATAAATAATAAATATATATTTTTTATTTTACTTTGTCTGGTCTCCTTTGTCTTTGGGTGTAGTGTCAAAACTTTTAATACAGGGTTGAAGATACACCAGTTGCATTGGTGCCTCACTTGTCTGTTTTTTCCCCTTGTTTTTTCTGTTTCTTCTTCTTCTCTTTTTCTTTCCTATGTTTTCATTCTCGGGCACAGTACTATCCCTTTTGAAACCAAGAGTAGGATTATCAATGGTACCACGAACTTCCTTTAGTTCCTCGTCAGGTAGCTGTTCTTTTCCTGGTTGTCCTGTGTTTTCTAATCCTACTGGAGTATTCACTTTTGGGTTTTCTGTGTACTCTAATGCAATCGCTGAGTTCTTTGCGAGTCTTTCTGTGTCAACCGCAACATTTCTTATCACTGAAGGTTGTGTATTCAGTTCTTCTGCAATCTTTGTTAATTTTCTACCTTTTTTTCTTGGTTTTTCATGCATTTTCTCAATACCAGGCAAATTTTCATCCTCAGAATCAACTTCATGGAAAGCCTCTTCAGATTGTTCACTTACATCCTTACTGGGTTGCAACCAAGGTACATAGAGCGGCGGAATTCTAACTTTGATAAAATGAACCAGCTCATCAAACAATGTAGGTTTATCAGTCCTCAGTTATCACCTCACATATATATGTGATGCTGAACATGTCCAAAACATGAATATATGAATTTCATATATTGGAACTGTGGAATGAAATAAATGCCTAGAAGATCACCATAGTTAAAAATGCAATCTATCTAGTTGCGAAAAGAAAACCTGAAAAACTTCATGCTTGCTGGGATTTGAGCCCTGAACTCTGTGATACTGCCATGCAGTGCTCTGCATGTATATTCATCTTTCCTGGGTATATGCCACTTCCACATTTCCCATAACGTACCTTATTTGCCGCTCAAAATTTTGCATAAGCATCCATAAGGATTGAGTCCGAAAATTTTAGGTTTCCTTTTCTCTACGAAAAATAGCTTAACTTGGGAAAGTGAAAATTGAAAATTAAACTACAGAAAATCGTAGGGAATTTATTAGATAAGCTTCGAAAATTGTACATTGGTGGAATGGTCATCTAGAAATTTTTAGCCGTCCTCCAGTAATAGAAAATTCTAGGCAATATTTGCTTCTCCGAACAGATATTTCACAGAAAACAGTCGTTGGGTGCCCCTGTGTTGTGGGTCACTGAACACTTTGTGAAGTGAAGACTAAGTGAAAAAACAATGAAAATAAATGTTTCTACGAGGAAACTTCGCTCTTAAGCCATTGCAAATCGGAGAAATCATGTCAAATGACAAAATAATGCAATTTTCTTACTTTTACTGGAACACAAATGAGAAAAAAGCCGACGAGAAAACGACCTTATTTCACGATGGAATCTGCCTTGACTGCGATATTGCGTGATGCTTCTGGAAAAATGCATCATGGGATACTATTCGATCGTCGTCTCGAGAACGGCAAAAAAAAAAAAAAAAACACTGCCGTGTAGCACGGCAAGCTTTGCCGTGCTACACGACAGTAGCTCGACTTGGTTTCAAACGTCGCGCTACTGCTGGATGTGCCGAACTCAATTCATAAATTATAAATACATTAGAATACATTTAAAAGTTTGCTTAACCGTTTCTTTATTTCTGTGTTTTGTTTTCAGCAACAGCCGTTCTATTCGACTGAATTGAATTCGACGTCTAAGACCAAGTAGTGCTGCAGTCGAGCTACAGTCGAGCCACAGTCGAGCCAGCTTAGCACGGCAGTAGCAAGACGTTTGAAACAGCCTTTACAGTGTGTTTCATACAGCGTTAGCGCCCGATTTGGGCGAGCGAACCGGTTTTTGTTAATTGTTTTAAAAACGAATGTGTTAGGAGGTGGCACTATCACTAATGGTCAGTTTCTTCTCCATAAAACGGCAAAAACATAACCATCTAAAATGATTAGTCACACATTTTTGAAGTGTGATCCTTACGGCGTCACCTCCCCTTTCGGTTGTTCCAAACTAGTTTAATTAGTGACCACACTAAATGATGGTTCTCGTCGCATTAGAAAGTAAGAAAAGCAAAAGAGAAAGTTGAATGCAAAAAATGAATCGAACGCTCGCAGCTGATCGGTAGCTTTCACTAAATATCGCCGATTAAAGAGAAAGACCAAACAAGTTTAACCAGCATAGTGAAACGAAATACGGTCAATTGCTCATCGATGTGAAATAAAAATAAACTACATTATTTTTCATTCTCAATTTAATTGTCACGTTTATCTCTTTGTTTTAGTGATATAATTAAATAATAGTGTTGATTGCATTATTGCTAGTAGCAATGATGGTAATGATTGTGATCGTTGATTACAGCAAGTTTCATTGGGTATTTATTGCTCCTTCTTACGGTTTTCTAACTCCTATAGTTGTAACAACTCTAAGTACCTTTTCTTTGCATGGCCACAATAGAATCTACTGGATCACCAGCAATTCTATCCAGTAACCTGGTTGCGCTGGCATTTTCATGCGATATAAGGATATCAAAGAATGTTTTCGTTGGGGAATCGGGAGTACTGGTTTGCTAATGAATTCAGAGCTGATGTGGACCCCGTGGTTTAGATGCCGATCAACGTTTAACCAAGGGTTAAATTTAACCCGGGTTTCTTTTCCTTTTGTTCAAAAGCATTTTCTCGGATAATTTTTTCTGTTATTCTTTAGAATGCAAAACAGTCGGCTTTTTTTCTCAAAATCAGTAAAAAAAAAGGTAAAGTGTGGCGCAAGAGTAGTACGCGCGCGAAATACGGACTGTTTTGCAGTGTAGATTTTCTTAAGAGTATCTTATCATCAACTTGTTGAAAAAAGCAATTAAACTAAATTTACTTTTTAAGCTTTCATATCTGAATTCAAATTTCGCTCTTAACCTGGGTTATTTTAACAGTTATTTTTAGTTATACACACTGGTGTGAGGGATCAGGGTTGAAATTCCACTTATTTCGAAGGATTCATGAAGAGCTTTTAAACATGACTTGGTTCAGAACTCGCACCTCTGTACCTTTATTGCGTTCGAGGTACGAGAACGCATCCCCTAATTTGTGTTGGGTGTTCTCTGCATTATTGGGTGTCCTGTGCAATTAATAAGGGAGGTGTTTTTGAGATTACATTTTCGTCGTCGACACACATTTGCCTCGCCTTGAGGCGCTCGCTTACGTTTTGCCTCTCTTTAACGCGCCAACTCATGTGGTGATTCTTGTGTCCTCGGCGTTCATCTTTCAAAGGTTCGCTGAGGTCTAATATTCTGTCTTCGTAAAGCGTTCATCTTTTAAAAAGTTTGCTGAATCTTCGTAAAGCGTACATCGATCTGTGTTTGCTAAATCGTCCAAAGCGTTCATCTTTCAGAAGTTTGCTGTTAAATTTTACTTTGGATTATTTTTCAGCGTGCTTCGTCACTGTGTTTGGAAAATGTCTGCGACTCCTGGTGCATGAATCAAGCCGGGTTTATTTCGGCGACTGGCATGTTGTGATACAAAGTAAATTTACCGAGTTGTGTAGCTCGGCGGCCGTTGTGTCACAAAGTGTATCTACCGAGTTGTGCAGCTCGGCATCCGTTGTGCCACAAAGTAAATCTACCGAGAGGTGAAGCTCGGCGGCGCTATTTGATCATCACTTGTGATATTTTCGGCACCGGACAAACGAACACTTTAACTCTATGTTATCTATTAGGAAAAACTTATAAACCAGCCCACAGTAGCGCCACTCTCGAGTCACTGAAATCAACACGCTCAACCAAATCACTGGAAAAGTTATTGACGTGAGCCGCAAACACATTCCATTGAAGGCTTTGACAGGGTTAGTGCGAAGTTTGAATTCAGATGTGAAAGCTTTTAAAACAGTAAATTCAATGTAATTCATTTTGTCAACAAGTTGATTGGATGCTCTTAAAAATAACAGAGAAAATTATCCGAAGAAATTTTTTTGAAGAAAGAAAAAGAATCCCGGGTTAAGCAGTAATCGGCCTTTGAGCAAATGCGCCCTGTAACTCGCGCCAGTAAAACAAAATGTTCTATTTACACGCCCGACGCACTCTGGCCAATGTCTCCTTCGTTTACAAGCACTTGACATCGAACCATACGATATCTTTTGAAACCTTTCTTATAATGATACACAGTTTAAATAGAGGTTTCGCTGTACCAAACCCTTACGTTCAAAATATGCCATAATCATATTCATGATCTATATCGCAACCACCCTTCCCCCTGAACTGCTACCTGTACGCGTAAGAAACATATCGAACGCACTCTCCCAGGCTCCGATTACTCCTAGTCTAACAATATTTAATGATTTACTGTATCAAATGCTTTTGAGAAATCTAAGAAGAGGCCACAAGATTTAAGGTTACTGTCAATAGAGGCCTTCAGATTATCAGTGATCTCCATAATCGCTTGCTCAGTAGAATGTGTATTGCGGAGGGCAGCTTTCAATTAGTTGGCTAGTTGCATTTTCAAAAACTACCGCTGAATGTGACAAAAGCAATAAAAAGTTAGCGTAGAATAGTTTTCTACGTCGTCTTCCCTTGGGTTGTTTTTAAAATGGTTTCAAAGTGAAAACTTTTAAAAGAAAAGCTATAATACTGCAAAACTTTGCGAATCGCGAAAGGAATTGCTCATAGACTTACTCACTCATTGCTGTCGTTATTATCGCAGAGAAAGCGAAACAGAAAAAAGACTTGAAAGAGGAAGTGGAGGAAGGAGAGGAAGTGGAGGGAGGAGAGGAAGAAGTGGAAGAAGAAAAAGAAGAGGAAGAAAAGAGGAAAGAGGAGGAGAAAAAAGAACAGAAAGAAGAAAAGAAGGGAAAGGAGGAATGGAAGGAAAAGGGCAAGAAAAAAAGAAAAGGAAAAGAAGAGAAGTTAGAGGAGGTGAATACTGGCAGTTATCGAAGCGAGGAGGTCCCACCCGAACCTTGCACCAGAAGGGGCGGAGGGTGAAGAGACCTTCCGGCGTCGAAAATTGATAGGCGCTTAGCATGACTGTCATCACGTGATCAACTTTCGGTAAACACGAAAATAGTTCGCTTTTGAAAAATTTTGTTGGCACAAGCTGAAAGAGCATATTAAAATTAGGTAACCTGAGCATTTTCAGCCGTATACCTCAAAAGTAGCGATTGCAACAACAACCGAAAGTTAAAAGCATTTGTATGAGGAAATCAACTTTTGCCACCCAGACGCGCTTGCATGGATTTCCATACAATTCCTTGTAAAATTTAAAATTTTTAAACTGTCGTTAACTCTTTCCCTTACGCAGTAATGGGATCAAATTGACTGTTATGAATCAAAAGGAGATTTGAGCACTGTGATGCTTAAGGAAATATTTCGTGACAGTTCTGAAAATTTCGAAATTACAAGGATTTGTATGGTAAACCATGCAATCGTGACTGGATGGCAAAAGTTGTTTTTCTCATACAAATGTTTCCAACTTCCGGCGGACGTTGCAATCGCTAGAAATACGGCTGAAAATTCTTAGGTCACCTAACTTTAATATGCTCTTTCAGCTCGTGCTAACAAAGTGAACCGTTTTCACGTTTACCGAAAGTTGATCACTTGATCAAGTCATGCAAAGAGCCTATTCACTGTGCACACGTCGCAGAGGGGTTTTTTGTGGCCCGTGATTATTGATTGTAGTTAAATTTTACGGTTAATACCGCGCATCGCCTTTGTTTTTGTACTGTAGAATCGAGCAAGCCGTCATAAACCAGTGCTCCGCAAAACCGCTGAAGGCAATGACTGCGGACGAATAACAGCAACTGACTAACATATAATGAAGAGACAAGCTTGTCTCTTTTTCTTCTGGGCACTTCGTGCCTTGCTCAGAAAGCTTCGTTTCCGAATTCGTCGCCCATCGGGCGACCGAAGTTTGTTTTCGTTTAATATTTTACCAGATTTGTAACACGATCTCATGACGGTTTGATAGGTCAAGTTTGTAGTCGATTCTACAGTAAATAGAGGCGACTCGTGCGATCGGCTATAAAATTTTCCCTCGCTTGCCATCACAAATAACTCCCATGCACCCTGTCCTTCATGTCCAGTAAAGTGTGTAATGAACTTTGATGATTTCAGACTTAATAATATAAACATGCAAAAATTTCAGCACGCTCATTGGCCGAGAGCACGTCAGTTATTCCCAAACAGTACAGAAAGTTGAATTTTTTTTTAGTGCAAAAAGTCGAAATTGAGAGCAGAAAGTGGAATTAAATTGATTGCCATCCTCAGGCGAGTTAAGGGTCTTTCAGGAGGATAGTCGACAAACAGACGTAAATCCCAAGTCATGTAACCATAGAGCAATTCTGATCAGAGATTCATTAATGATAAATCCCAATCCCAGCTCCTGCCCGAAATCCGTTTCCCCACCTTTTCCTCCCCTTTTGACACCTGCCACTCAGGCCAATAGTAGCTAGAGTAACTATTGGTTCCTCTAATTGCTGGTTTCCACGTGACTTCACGGCCGCCATGTTGGTGGTCAAGAACAAAAGCATTTCTCTCCTGGGAACTAAACTCTATTTTCATGTTAATTGTTCGAGAAAAAATTCTATTGTAGACCACCAACATGGCCGCCTTGTCACGTGGTTGCAAACCAAGAAAATAGAGTAAAATAACTCTTGATAAAGAGATTTATTAGTGACTCCAGTACACAGCATATAAATAGTATGGTCACTTCTTAATGTAGATTCTCTGTTAAATAGGTTTATATTGAGATATAGTTTCTCTAGTATAGAGTATGATCAATAACGTATCTCCCGTATATACAGTGAAGTATTTATATATAGCAACTATGCTATAGTTCTTTTAGTAAACAATAGTCATGATATTTGTTAGTATTTACCAAGTCAGTAAATGCAAAGATAATAAATAAATAAATAATGATATATCCGTGTAATATTTTTCCTTCTCACGATTCAGTTTTTTTGGTTTCATTGTTCTCCGGTTTCAAATTGGAAAGTAATCTTGTTGCCGTTCCGATAACCGAAGTGTCGTGGTTTCTTTGAACTCTACTGCCAACTACTTAAGGCTATTCCATTGTTAATATGATATATACCAAAACATCTATTTACCGCAATGTCGGTAAACGTAGCGGATATTTACCTCAGATTGTTAAATATAGCGACTCTAGTACAGAGTGCAGTAAATCTTGACTTTATTTTGTGTTATAGTTATCATTGATATAGCGACCTAATAGGTTATCTCTTTCTCAGTAGTATTTAGTAATTGAACTATTGTATAGTTGCTCTTGTAATGTAGTATAGCGACTCTGTTTATAGTACAGTCAGTTACTTCTTGTAGCGAGTTTGTTAGCATCCGGCAAGAATTAAAAACTGTTAAGCAAATTTAGGTGAAGTTGTTGAGATGTAACTAACTAAATTTTTGCAACAGTACGATCCTAACCATGCAGATGCTAGCGTGAACAAAACCACTTGAAAGGAATAAATCTATTAACTAGTGATATCCACCATTTGAACGTGTGAATCTTGATCTGTTAGTACGTTTATATATGAAGGGCTGGGGTTGATAAAGTTTTATGTATGACTTAGAGAGAAATAGGGTTTCCATGTTGTGCATGTGTTTTTGAAAGAGACGGGTCACTCAAGATCCAACGAAGTTTGATCAAGACTTCACTGCACCACTATCCTTTCAATTGACAAAAGTCAAATTACTTTAAACATTTTAAGTTGCTATCATACAATACATAGGCTGCTAGCGATTCCTCACGATTGCCAACGGCGGGCCTGATAAGAATGATACCCAAGATCCTTCTATGCTCGTTAGCTTTCTCCAGTATCGTACGCCTGATCGATCGTACAGGCTTGCCCACTTGACTGAATGAAAATGGACCGCCAGCAGTCTATACATTAACAAGAGTCCACTTTCAATATTTTAAGTATACTGAATTCTATTTTTTCTACGAATCCTTCGATATCGTTTGAAATCACGTTTCCTCGGCTGCATTACTGTTGGTCGCTCAGCAACATCTTTCCCGGCCAAGGTTCCCCTGGATCACGCCATCTTTGATAATTCCTTTAAAAAAGAGAAAATTTATTTTTACATTTACATCATATATTTTTACGATTTAACCACAAATTGTCTCAGTTATTGTCTACTCTCTGATGTCCAACAATCGTTTATGAAAGATCCGCCGAGTTTCGATCCCTAAATCAACCCGTTATGTCCGCAAATAAACACGCATATTTTCCACACTGGTATGCATGAATTCATTTTTCACTAATAAGGAGAATTTTGCATTTGATGTCTAGTAGTCATTGACTCACATAAAGAAGGGGGAGGTACATAATAGGGAGGAGGAGAAATTGACTGAAAAAGTAGGGAGGATCGAGGGAGATTTACCCTCCTGTACCCCTACCCTCCATAAACTTAACATTGGAAAAGGAGGGACATTCGGCAAATTAGATGGTGGTCCAAAGTAGGGCTTTCAGAGTTAGCTTGGACTGTGAATAGTGTTTCGTTTCTTATTTTTTTTGTACGTAATCAAATGTTGGCGAAATTCTCTGGGTTGAATCCGAAAGGACCGTAGCTAAGTTTAGAAAACGAAAAAAAAAAAAATTGTGTTGTGCTCACCTACTCGATAAAGCGGGCGAGTGAAATTAAAAACCTATTGCTTTTTTTCTGTTGCAAAAACTCCCCACTAATGTGATCCAAAATTTTTCTACCATATTAACGTCACGTCAGACATCTCCTCTCCATCATGATGTGTGAACAGTATGTACATGGAACTGAACCTAAACACATTCAGCGTACCTTCAGTCATCTGCATGCTGTAATTTCTGCTGATTCTGTGTTTATTTTCTGTTCTTGGAGGATGGTCTACGAGAAGCATAGTGTCGCCGCTCTAGGTTTTAATAATTCCTTCTCTTTAATAAGTACCAGCTCAAAATGGCTGAAAAAAAAAAGGTAAATAAATAGACAGGCCTCCCCTCCCCTATGTAGCTTATTAAGGGGACTAATATAATTCAGCTGACCATCATGGAAAGGTCCGAAAAGGATCCTTCAAGATCTTTGACGATAATCAAATATCTTCCAGGTTTTTTGCATTACAGTAGTGCTCTTGTAACCTTTAGACCAAATGACAACACCAAGCTGGCGTTTACCTTCCGTTATAATGTTAACTTCTATAATACACCCTATCACCCTTTCTGCTTCATCTTTCAAATCCTGGCAGTTAACCACCGTGAAGGCCGACTTTTTTAACCGTGGAACATATAGCCAAATTAGTTTCCTTCCTGGCCTAAGGGTTTGTACCCGATAAATAAGGGTACAATTCGTCCACCTCCTGCCGTGTCATCAGGTAACCATATTTGTTTAAAGTGCGAGTGTACACGTTGCAGTCAATTTTTGTTTTTCCTTTGTTTTAAATTCATTAGCATATATTACCATACCCAAAACAATGGAAAAATAAAAATTAACAGAAATGAAAAATTAACTACAACATTTACATTCTGAAGCTTTAAATCACAATCAGTTTGTTGCCTAAATTCCAAGGAGTAGCTGACGGATCATTTTGTGTTGTATGCTCTTCTGCCTGGTGTTTCCCCTCCGCAGAAGAGTAGTCCGCAACGACTTCTTTGTAGGCGTTGATTAAGTTAATCGACATAGTCTTGAAAGGTATGTGGATGTTTCTTGTGGAGGTTCTTCTGCGAAGGAAATAACGAAGAGTAACAATGATTGTTTTTGAGGCGTTCAATTTTATGTTAATGAGTTCCTAAGAAAGCTATTTGACTGGTACTTTATTATCAGTTTTTTAAAATCTGTTTCAACAATGACTTCGCATAACCTTAAAAAAAATGATTATCTTCTTTTACCAAAGGAAGGACAAAGATTTTATCGAACAAAGGAAAGTTACGTTCTGTTTGAAGTAAAAGAAATTTATGTGCATCCATATGAAAATATCGTAACCAAGCCTACAAGAGGAACTCGTGTTAAATTTTTACCATTGCAATCGGAATATATTAATACCTAAATAACAAAAACAAGAACTTCTGCCCACGATCTAAGAAAAATTATCAACTGGTCTCTCCATCAAAAAAAGTCGAGCATATCAATATCTGTTTGGTTTGTTGAAGTTATGGTTTTTCTGGAAAGTGATTATCTTGTACTGAGCTATTCAATGGAAATTATTAAAAGCGTAATATCTGCTCGTAACTCATCATCGTGGAAAGGTCCGAAAAGGATCCTTCAAGATCTTTGACGATAATCAAATATCTTCGAGGATCTTGAAAGGAAGTTGAGAATCTCTGCAAGAATCTGCCAGGGTTCTCAAGATCTCGTTGGCAAAAATATTTTGAGGATCCTTGTTAAGATCATTAGAAGCACACTAATTAGCCCATTGAAAAGGGTATTTGCATGGGACCAACTAAACGTCCCTCAGCCGATATTCAATGCTCACCTGTACTTTGATAGTGACGCCAGTCTTTGAAAGTAACAGGATTACTGAGAATATGAACAGTTACGGAAGCTGCCATTAAACTCGCGAACTTTTTCCAAGGATTTGGTTCAAACATTTCTCCATCTGCGTAGTTCGAGACGCCTTTAATTATAGTCCACGGAATATTCAGCTCTTGAGCCGCTTCATAAACACCTAAAAAATAATTGTAAGGACAAGTGTGTTTTCTCGGAAAGATCTAGACTTATGAGAAGCGCAAGGAAAAGCAGCTATGTGGTTAAATTGCTACCAGCATCGGTGGGTAGATTTAGGACAAGTCCTGGTTAAAGTTTAAGGAAAGTCAGGATGAACATGACTGAGGCCCAGGCCAAACGTCGAACTTTCATGAGACGAACCAAACTCTAATTTGGGTCGACCTAAATAAAGTGAAGATCGTCTGTTGGCTCAGACGTCGAACTTAAGACGCGTCGACGTTCTATCCGTCTGAAGTTGACGGATAGAACGTGTTGGTCGATCCAAACTCATTCAGACGAACTTAACTGAGCCAGACCCGGTCGAACATTTTATGAACTTGACTCACCAACTCATGAAAAGTTGTCATGAAAAGTTCGACGTTTGGCCTAGGGCTTAAATTTAGACTTAAATTAAGATCTTAGCCCCCAAGAACTGTGAACTAACAAGTTAGATGAGGGCATGATATAATTACAGCAATTGCAATCTTCAAATGACTCGATTGTTCGCATGAAGTATGTAAATTTGGATTTGCACCCCTTCGTAAAGATAACATGGGCTGCACGTGGTTGACCCTTTGCGATTGTTAAGGTTACTCCATACTGTGCATGTTTTTTTCCATTACAATATTGGCCTTGTAGCCTTTAGATCCTATGAGAGCACCAAGTTGGCGTTTACCCCCAGTCTTACTGTTAACTTCTATTAATACACCCTATCCCACTTTGTGCTTAATCTTTCAAATCCTGGCACTTAACAGTCAGCCGGTTTTTTAAACCACTGACCATATAGTACCTAAGGGTTTGTACTAGATCGATAACGGTACATTTCGTCCACCTCCTGCTGTGTCATCAACCAACCATATTTGTTTAAAGTGAATCACAATATGTTTGTTGAGTAAGTACCAAGGAGTAGCTAACGAGTCATCTTATGTTGTATGCTCTTGCGCCTGGTTTCCGCCCCCCCCCCCTCCGCAGATTAATAGTCCAGGACCCAATTGTTCAAACGCTGAATAGCGCTATCCAATGGATAAATCACTATCCAGCGGATAGGTATTAGGGAAACCCATTGCGTTATCCACTGGATACAGATTTATTCAGAGGATGGCACTACCCACCTTTTGAAACCTTTACAAACTCGATTGATTAAGGATGTCTGCTCAACTCTTTGTGCCCAGAAACGCATGCATGCATTTAATTCTAAGAATAGATTGTGCTCAATCCAAACAACACGAACGACAAACTATTAAGGCGTGTGACAGACAGTCAGAAGCAGACTACCGAGATTTACAGTCACTGTCATTCTAATTTGATTTCAACTTTTTTATCCACTTATACAGATACACCCCCAAATATACATGCCAACTTAAAACCTCAGTCTAATGAATTTGGGTAAGACAACCATTTTCACACCCTGCCAATTGAGACTTCAAGCATTATTACTTTTAGAAGATAACATATCACTGAGGTAGCTGCAATTTGTTTAACTTACCTTCGCCCTCCATTTCAATAACATCGGCTTCTGAGAAGCGTTCTTTGAGTTCCTCACGCCGCGCACTGCTATCAACACTTTCTGGGCCACTCAGAAACACTCCTAGGTGCATATCGACCTCAAATTCTTTTGGATTCTTCAGTGGGGCGTTCCAACCATGGGCAGCAGTTAACATCAGTTTTGAAATATCGGATCTTAATGGAACTCTTACACCACGTTCTGTAATGCCTTTGTCCGTGACTTTGAAGGAGGAATATGTTATCAGTTTCACTGACACTACCACGTCCCCAAGTTTGAATTTTGCGGGGTCTAAGCCACCACAGCAACCCACACCGATTACCGCTTTGGGCTTCAAGACTTTGACTGCATTCGTTACGGTAACCCAAGATCCTTGTGGAACGGTGGACCCTGTGTAACACTTCACCACAGCGATCTTTGGCAGCATGTCATCGTTCCCAATTTTGCCTAGGTACACGTCTTGACGAAGCTCTTCGCAGTAACTTCTACAGAAGTCGCGATTTAAACACGACATACAAGCTAGAAATTCCCAATCCTTCACCGTCAAAAGCAAAATGTCGATTGGCAATTGACTCTTATCCAGAGGTACTGATATTCCCGGAAGATTTTCATTCCGTAGAAGAGTAACAGTCACCGCTGGTGGATTACTCGCAGTTTTCAGTGATTCAGTGACTATGGAGCAAAACATTATAATAAAAAAGACAATAATAATTTAGCTCCGTATTTTCTGTTTCCTCTGTTTCCAGCTTGAGGTAGCTGAACACAGTTTCTCTGACAGAATTGCGCGCTCTAAGAAATTTCACTAACGCAGTTGTTTTCGTGCGCACAATAGACTGACGTGATCTAAAGAAAAATAAAAAGCTAAATGAAAAGGCTTGGCCCCTTGAAATGGTTTATCCCTCTTCTGTTAAATAAATTAACATCTGTATTATTAGAAGATATGCAGCCAATGGAATTTTCTAGAAAAAAAAAAAATGTGAGGACCAGCTGAGAAAAATGGCCAGAAGATGACTGTAAAAGCAGAATTCGTAAGAATGATATAAGCTCAATGATAGATGATGGATATAAGAGCTGTTCTCTCTGCTCATCATAACCATTTAGTTTTACAATTCTCTCTCAGTCATTTTAGATTCTCATTAGATTGAAATACATTACGCGTAGTTTAAATACTTTTCTCTTATATTATATAGGTAATTCTAATTATTTAATTATAAATTGTGTTCCCAAATTAGTATGGGTTTTTTCTCAAGCTATACGGCTCCAACGTATTAATAAAGTTTTCTATCTTTCTATCCGTAAAATTTATTTTGTTTCCGTCGGTTACGTTTGTAATGTCACGTGACCCCAGCGCGCGCATAAGTGTTGAGCATGGGTACTTAGGAAAAAAAGTGAGAGCGCTTATTTTGTTGACTTTAATTGACAATGTAAAGAAACGAAGATATCTCAAAATTAGAACAAAAACATTTGACGAAATTTGGCAAAATTCTTGTCAATATCGCACTTAAAGCATTGAACACTTAAAAATCTTAAGTAAACAGAGGATTTTTGTGACACAATCAAATTTCACATGATTGCTATTTTGTTAAAATTTCACAAACTGTTTGTTGCAATTCGGTAAAGTTGTTTTTTGAAAAATGAGGATCACTTGTTGTATTCATAAGAAAATCTAATGACTGGATTTCGCAAAAACCTACCGAATTTACAATTTTAGGCTTGTTTTAAACCATCCAGGTTGCGATGGCAACGATCGAACTCTTACGTTTAACAAAATAAACACAATGTCTTCTAAATATTTAACAATTACTCCTAGAGTGCGCGTTAGGTATGAGATGGTAGTTAGCCAAAAAGGCGTGTAGCGCAGAGTTGGTTATAATCATCTCATATCCAACAAGCGCGAGTGGAATAATTGTTTTATTAAAACCGTTCACAAAATATCGAGAATTCTTCCTGACTTTATTTGCAAAAACAACCGATTTTCAGCTTGTTTTTAATTTTGAGCAGATGCGTACAATTACCATACTTGGAGAACATGTAATACTGGCTCATATCCCATGAAGGCCACGCCAATAAGAGCTCTAGAATTGCATTATCCAATAATTCAGTTTTTAATAATTCTTCATATCCTACTCAGCCTCATTCAATAATTGCTAAAAATATTGTCTTTGTTGTCTATATTGTTCATATAATGCCTGCATTGAACAACGGTACAAAATGCTGCTGTGTTCAAACACTAAGCTACGTAAGTATTTTGCACTTAAAACCCTTTTAGATGCTAAAATCTCTTCGATTCGGCAGTACCATCTAGCAACTATAATATCTTCAAGCTTATTGGTCCAATCACCCTGGAACACACATGCCACCCACTGTACAGTACCGCAAATGATCCCCACCGCAGATGATCCCCACACCGCAAGTGGTCCTCGACCGCAAATGATCCCAATTGTCACCAGCAAATGATCCCGTGAAAAGTAGAGGAATGAAATAGATTTTAGGCATTGATGGTAAATGTGCTGAGAACTTGAACGTGTAAAACAATGAAATGAATAAAAAGAAAATAACCGAACTGTTTCTATTGGCAATTGCTTCTCCTTCCTTTCAAGCATTTGATGTTTCGTCCTGTGAAAATTTTTTTAAGCAGGAAACTTGTCTTTTATTTTAACGCCTAGGAGGGGGAAATATGACCCCTGACTTTATCACACTGTAGAGATTTTCAGTTTATTTAGAAATACACTTAGCAACTACAGCTCCTGAAAATGTCGTGACTGGTTAAGAGGACGCTATCGGCGCTAACCTGAGTATTCATTTCTCGTGCTTTTGCTGCTCGAGACAGTTACAAAGATACAAAATCAGGAAATGAGAAACGAAGGAACGGGTAGGCGGAAGTTTTTTTACCTGTAAGCAAAGAGTTGTCCAAAGGTGGGTCATACTCCTTTTTGCGGCCCTTGTCAGAGTCTATCGCTAATACAAAAATAATCGTAATTCTCAGGTTGATAGAGTCTTGATACTAAGGAGCTGATAGATAAGATTTGACAAAATTTTTTTCTGAAAAATATTGTATCTAATTGAAGTACATTATGTTGAAGTTTTGTTCAGTTGAGCTTTAATGTTCAGGTTAACCAGTAATCAAGCAAGACAGTTCATTGCTGGTCAAGACCGGTGAGGGTAAAAGGAGGAATGAGTTTAGAGAATGGCACAGCTTGCGCAATGACATAATTATGCGGAATGTAATATACCCAGAATGACCCAAAGAAATAAATTAAACTGAAAAGTTTGCCCTTTTTTGGCGCCAATCAATTTGCAAACGCAGCCGCTATTTTAATGCTGCGGGCTCGACATACGATGAAAATCAAAAAGCCACGAAGACTCTGGTTGCGGCCGCACTTGGCAAGTTAACCGAGTTAGTTTTTGAAAACCCGGTAAAAAATTCTTCAGAACGTAACCTGGTTAAAAACGTTTAACCAGGTTAATTTTGATCACCGGCAAGGCTCAGCTTCACAAAGTCATTCAGTGTCGCGCGGTTTTCACTCAGTTGGGTTGCTCATAACGCTCGCCTTTAATAGAGTGACTGACAAAATTTGACCCCGTATTACTGATAAAAAGAGGTCGACTTCTTAAATTAAGGATAACATCAGAAGTAGAGTCGACCTCTACTTTACAATCAGCCAATCGCAACTAGTTTGCGACTCATCTGACAGCCTACAAGACGAGACTGATTATCTTTTAAAACAACGTTTTTAGTAAGAACAATTCTAACACGGACTTTGTTAGACGGAACACTCACAGTGACACTGATTTCAACACTCAGACCAACGTCAACTCTGGCCCTGTTATGACAGCGACTATACCGTACATCAGAGGCACCTCTGAAACTATTGCACGTATATTACAACCTTACAATATAAGTGTTGCACACCAACCGATGACCACTTTACCACGACACCTTACTACATTGTAATGTCGAGGACAAAGACAAACCGGAGGACAGATAGGAAGCAGTATACAAGATCAAATGCTGCGACTGCCAGGCTACTTAGTACATTGGTGAAACCGGCAGAAACCTTAATACGCAATCAACTGACCGAACCCAAACGAGCGACGAGGAATGGAGACGTCAACAATCACATTGCTGAGCACCATTTACTGACGAAACATCAAATTGATTGGGACTCTACGACATGTATTACGACTCTATTACGTATTCTACAGACTACTATCAACGACTTTCTCTAGAAAGTTGGTTCACTAACTTAGACCAAACGCCACTGAATCGTAGCCAACAATTACCAGCACCGTACAAACGACTTATTGACAAGATCAAGCAAAACTAACTACGTGAGAACGACTGGAGAACTGACAACTTGACTAACAATAGACGACTGTTTAACTGTGACAATGGACGCCGGATCGAAACGCACCAATTACTGATTACGAGTCTTCATAGCCAATAACATCACGGCTTAACTGACAGACGACCAATAACATCACGTCGTAATTGACCAATAAGATCAATAACCAGAGTATAATACCATCAACTGACGTGATACAACTCACTTTGACTATGAAAATGACTACCGCACAGGTTGTCGAAACGTCAGCCACTACAACAACAACAGTCCTATTAAGGACTACGTTCACCCAGACGATCAAACTCAACCTACTTTTGAAATGACTCCTGGGTTCAAACCTTTCACAGTTTAACTTTTATTAGTTAATTCAGCTCTTGGAAATAACTCGGTTAAGTCCCCTAGTGCGGCCGCAGCCATTGTCGATTAGCCTTTTCCGTACAGCCACAAAGATTCTTCTTGACTTTATTAATCGGGCTACATGGCAGCACCGATACTACATGACGAAAGTCGGCCATTGAAGAAAAGATGTTTTAAAAGGTCAGGCTCCCTTCTACTTTAACTTCTTTTTCTGCAATAGATGTTTGCACGATTAACGTAACAGTTTCCATTTACCTATATTTGTATTTGAAACCGCGTGAGAAGTGTTTCTTTTTCAGACGGTGGGTTACGTGATCGTGACATAATATTCAGAGATCAAATGAATCTTGTATTTTGTTTCCTTGGCTGCGTGGTTAAGTTTGCGGCACGCGAAGCTAACAGCTGACGGAGAAGGGCGAGTTCAAGGTCTGGCAACTGAGTGTGTCCTATTTTTCCCTACCTACCGTTTTAGAATGTTTTCACGATCAAACGCACACACTCACACAAACAAGTAAGGTGCGGAGAGACGCGGAAAGGCCGAAAGGAGACAGAGAGCAGTTCGCTTCACTCGATTTGTGGATTACAGATTAATGTTTGACTCGGGACGTTCATTTAGTCTCAAATATGATCTGGTTCGTCCACCGTATTTATAACAATCCCTAGAATTGCAGCTAGCCCGACTTCACGTTTAACGAGCGTTCTTTTCCCTCTAGTCTCCCTCTCAGCCGTTTTTTGGATGTCACACAACGCTCCCCCAAAAGAACGGCTGCTGACATCCGAACTACATTCCTTTCTCCGAATTGGCCAATCACAGCTCGGGTTCCATTTTTAGGAACCTTTTCGCGCCAGACTCACCGTTTGAGACTCGTCCAACATGCCATTCCGCAAATTCATTTCGCCTTTCACCCTCACCGGTTCAAGAGCTATTTTCTTGTTGAAGTAATACTTTTTATTTTTTTATCTGGCTTTCATTTATTTGTATACGAACAAGAAGTGATTTTGAAAAGCATTTAACTATAAAAAATTGCGATAAAACATTTCTTAAAATCATTTTAAGATTAAAAAATTGCTAAAAAACGACGACGTTTCGACGTTAGCTGAACGTCATTATCAAGTCAAAATAAGTTAGTGATTTTTTGGTCTATAAATACTAAAAAACAACAATAGCTGATTAAAAAGAAAAATTGTAACGTGAGAAAATATTAAACAAAGAGTTTCGCACGTATGGAGTCCGTCTGAATATTTAAATTGGGCTTAAACTTCTTGATGAAGAGCATTTCAAATACTAAACAATCAAATTTGCTCTGGCACTTTCTTAAAACCGTGAATTGGCTTTCTCTCAAAAGGTTGTTGTTACCGTGAGCTTCTAAGAAAGGAGCTTCTTAGAAGCTCACGGTAACAACAACCTTTTGAGAGAAAGCCAATTCACGGTTTTAAGAAAGTGCCAGAGCAAATTTGATTGTTTAGTATTTGAAATGCTCTTCATCAAGAAGTTTAAGCCCAATTTAAATATTCAGACGGACTCCATACGTGCGAAACTCTTTGTTTAATATTTTCTCACGTTACAATTTTTCTTTTTAATCAGCTATTGTTGTTTTTTAGTATTTATAGACCAAAAAATCACTAACTTATTTTGACTTGATAATGACGTTCAGCTAACGTCGAAACGTCGTCGTTTTTTAGCAATTTTTTAATCTTAAAATGATTTTAAGAAATGTTTTATCGCAATTTTTTATAGTTAAATCATTTATTTGTGTTTCATTTATTGAACAAAGTTTTAAATGTAGTTTCACAGTTTCTTTTTTTCAGTTTTGGCAATTGTGAAGCAAAATTTGTTCAGTTAAATAAACTTGTCACGATGATCTAGTATTTAATTTGAGACCAAGCTATTCTGATTTTCCTCTTGGACTGTAAACCACTCTCTTTGGACATTGACTATTCCTGTTTCTATCGGCCGATTTTATCGAACAAAAGAAAGTCACGCTCCGTTGGAAGGAATAGACATTAATGTGCATCTATATATAAATCTAACCAAATCCACAAGAGAAGCTCCTGTTAAACTTTTAACATTGCAACCCGAATAAATACCTTAACGACAAAAATAAGAACCTATGCCCGCGATTAAAGGAAAATTTTCAACTGGTCACTCGATCAAATGCGTCGATTTGTGGGGAGGTCTCGTCAGTGAGTAACTTTCAGCTAGTGCACCTGAACCGGTGAGATATCAGAAAATTTCACTTGAACCGAGCGTACTCTTGTATGTATTTATTTGAACGACTTACCGGATTCATGAGTTTTGAAAAGTAAGCTGGAAGGACTCGGCCTCTGCAAAGAAATAAATTTTACCGCATGGTTAATATTCTAATTTAACACTTAACTGATGCGTTGATGTCTGTACCAAATAGTTGACATAGTTCTGACTTAATTCATGCCCTCAATTTACTTCAGTGCTTTGTATTTTTTACTCCATTTTATACATTTTATCTTAGTTTACTGTTTTATTATATACATCTATAATATATGTTAATATATTAATATATACATCTATAATATATGTTATACGTCTCTAATATATGTTAATATAATATATGTTATGTTATTGGTATCCCGATGATATCTAGGCACCTGTTTTGTATAGACTGCAACTCTTCTGCGAGTTACTTCGGCAAACCGCTCCTCACTGGGGACGCACCGTTTTTTTTGGTATCACGAACATTACCCCAAAGTAGGAAGACTAGTAGTAGTTGTTATAAGTAGTAAAATGTTACGAGCCATTGGCATCAATCGGTTTAGTCTCATAATATTTATTGCATTGCCATATGTAGCCACATGCGCATGAATTCACTTTTGCAAACGAAAAAAGTTTTTATTACTTGCACATCACGCACCTTAGAAATGTCTTCAATAGCCTCAATCCAAGGCTTGAGTGGTTTTGAGTCCATCCTTTGACGAGGCGTACACCAAAGAGCTACTTCTCCGACCAAAGGCATGTAGTGACCACAGTCATGGTGCCTACAAAAGCTTTCCTCGTGCCTCGCGCAGGGCTCTGTCTTTCTTCCTATGCAGACTGTGCATCGAGCACACAACTCCACAGACATCGATTCCAGCCAATGACACTCCCTCTGAAGCTTTTCAAACAACATATCTAACCACCTAAAAATAGATTTAAAGAAAAGTATTGGCAAAAAGGGCAGGAGAAGAACTTGTGCTACACAATAGGAAAATCTACCGGAAACTGACATTCAGCCAAACTATGCAAACTGTTTCGAACTGTGGGTTTATCCGGAAAGTAAAAAACATCCACCTTGGACAAAGAAATACATTGTAAAGATTTAAGATTGATTAGCATCTCTTACTTTTTCAGCAGGAGCGGATTACCTTCGTTTAAGCTATTGTTGTTAGTAATATGAGCCAGGTAAACTAAACTGGGTCAAAGTTAACAGCATAAACTGAATACTTTCGAAACACCCTGAAAAAAAAAGGGGGTGGCTGGGGCACACCCCCTTCTTCCCGTGGTTCCTGTAGCTGTTTTGCCTGCGTACCAAGCCAAAAGGCGCAGGCGCTTTATGAGCCAAACGAGAAGAACGTGGCATTTTGCGCGAAGCGCGAAACGCAAAATGCCACGTTCGCCTCGCTTGGCTCATAAAGTGCCTGTTATGCAGGCTAGCCAAAAGAGGGATATGTAACTAACACAGAATTGACAGCAAGAAAAAAATATACAGTCGAACCTGTACTAACAGCCACGTCTCTACAACGGCCACTTTTTTGGTGGACAGTCCATACACTGACTCTTGTTTAAACCTCTCTACAACAGTCACTTTCCTCTGTTCTCAAGGTGGCCGTTGTGGAGAGGTTCAACTGTATACAGTTTTTGAAAATGTGTAGAAGGCAAGAGGTACTTGAATTCGAGTATTTACCTTAAAACATTAACATAATCCTCTTTGGGCGGATTGCCTTCAGCTTTTCCGAACCCCAGCTTAATAACACTCTTGTAGCGCACCATTTGAAACGGATGGCTGCTATTCTCGTCAAGGATAAATTCAGCTTTATTTGATGTCAGCTCGTACATATTTGTGTACTGCGGATTTTTCACAAACAGCACAATAAGTCAGGAGAATAGTCCATTTGGAACATATTCAGTTTGAAACCTGAGGTATATAGGTACACTTGATCCAGTTTCATTTTCCCCTTCTTCATTAGTAGTAGTCCGCAGCATACAAGGGACCAAGAACTGCGATTCTCCTGTTTTTTGACGGCAGATGAGGTTGAACTTATCCATTAAAGAAATCAAATGGTCCTTAATGGGACTCAGACTTTCACTGCGGCAGGTATGATCAATCAACTTTTTGGAAAGAATTCCTTTTTCTTCCAATTCTGTACGATCTGCTTCTACGTCCATTGGTTCTTTCTCCTGTGGATTTACGTTGATAATCTTGCAGAATATTTTGATTAACCACTGGGGATCCAAAATAACCAGACCAATTTTCTCTTCATCATACTCATGTTCATGGTACACTATTGTCCCACGGCTATGCAAAAAATGCACAAGTTCTTCAAAGTAATCCTCATTTTTAAAAGCGCAATAGCGGGAAACAATATCTTTACGAAAAGATTCCTTAAAAAGGAACTTGCGTCTTTGCCATTTCGGTTGACTGATTTCCTTCTCAACACGATGCCATTGTAAAGGGATCGGCTTCTTCGTATGAGGCATTTCATCAGCTACCTTAAGAATCGCCTCTCGAAACTTCTCGATATCCTTCTGGTTGAATAATTTGCCAGCGTTTTTGTTGTCGATCGATAAACAATCTCTGATGTGTGGTAAATAACTGTGTTTACAAAACACACGTAAACACGTCTGTTTGACTAATTTCATTGCTTCACTTGGATTGTCTATACAGTCAGCATGAGTACCGACAAGTATGACTGGGGGATGCGAAAAATTCTCTATCTCTTTCTGATTACCCTTCTTTAAAGAGTGAATCAAGTCCATCCACCTTAATAAGTGATCCAAATTTGTGTCTTCATCATCGCGGGCTGTTACAGCATGCTCTCTGTGACCCACATTCACTCGACACACTGCTTTTTCACTAAGTTTCTTTGTAAGATCAAAAGCAAGAAGATAAAGGTCCTCTGACGACATAAAGATTGGGTGAATGGCACGATAAATGTCCTGTCCTGCAAAGTCCCAAATGACTGGCCAAATTTTTTCTTCAGGGTCAAGTTCGTTTCTCGCTAGATTTTCCTCTAAAAGTAAAGCAACGTGATCTGGCATTACTTCCTCTCCCCGCGGAAAATGATCTGTAAGAAAGAAGGCAGAAATCCTAACGTGATTCACTGGCCGAGAAAGAACATGACACGGATTTTCGATAAAGTTTTTGGTAAATTGTTGTAAAAAGTCAAGAAGATGATAAAAACGTAACAAAAAGTGGAGGACACAGCTCTCATTTTAACGGTGTAATGCTGATAAGTAAGGCTATTTAGGCACCATTGACTGAATAAAGTATCATCTAGTTTTTGGAAAGATGTCTTGTCCTGGTTGCGCGATTATAACATTTCTGTTGATAACCATAAAGAGGAAGATGCGATTTTTGGTAAGTCCGATATTGTAGAAGATTTTCTCCTGTTTAACCATATCTTGCTTCTGGGTAAGTTTAATATTTCTCTCGGAAATGCCAGAATGGTATACCTTCTCGTCAAGGTTTTATAGCCAGGACAAGACGTATTATTTTAAAATATCGAACTCCATATTGCTAGGAAAAGAAGACAAATTAAATAATCATTTTAAAAAGTGGGAAAAGTAAATAAGCGTTTTTCCGAATAAGTGATGTCATGATTAATTTTCATCATTAGTTTGAAGTGAAGTCATTGTAATCTACATACTAAGTAACTATTGCTGTAATAGCTTTGTGTGTGTTTAGCTTTGCATTCTTCTATTTGTACTATATAAGCGTGTGTGTGTGTGTGTGTGTGTGTCTCCTCTCCTTTTTGTTCTTCTTAATTTCTATGTTGTATGTAAACGTACGAAATGCTTTAATAACAAAACAACAACAAAAAAAACATTGACTCACTGGATAACCGCGCGCGACCCTTAACAACTCTGTCGGTAGGGCGAGATCTCGGATTTCCCTACTGAAATGCGGCATGAAGACGAAAACAGTCCTTCCGCCGCATAATCAAATGAAACAGTGAATCGGCATCCTTTTAATAGCATGTTGTACCGCCAATCATGTTTAGTGTATTTTTTTTTACGAGTCGAATTTTGTTACATTTCCCAGGTCGGACCGTTATGTTTTCCACATTTCTTATTCTCCGGCTGTAGTCCGTATTGCACAAGTCACGAAGGAAAATGAAGGTGTTAACCTAGAAAAGTTGGCGACAGTTTCAACTTACGAGTCTGTCTTGAAGCTTCTTCTTCTTGGTCGACTGGAGGGCTTTCTTCATTAGTTGTTGATGGAATAAGGTCTCCTGTGCGGAAATAGAAACAAAAAAAGGGAATATAAGAGTCTAGTCCATCTTCAGGCTCCAAAAGTCAATGCACCAGTTACAAGCCCACCACCTTGTAGTCTCTACACCCTTAGTAGGATAGAATTCTAATTAAAGTTATCAGGAGATTAGGTGTTCTGAACGGACAAGCTAAATTAGTTCACAGTTACCTCAAAGCGCTTTGCCTTTGAGCGAGTTCTTGGGTTTAAACGGGTTCAGAGTGCAGGATGGCGAGTTGGATGCCAACAACACACACCCAGGTTTTCTTCGAATTTTTGATACCATTTAATGCCAACGCAGAGAACGCAACATCAGGCTCTATTTTCGTTTCGCTTGGAAAGTGATAAAATTGGGCCTGATCTTAGGTATTTACTGTCAGAAGCTCTTCTCTTCAAGTGTTGGGGCGAATTACTCATTACATATATGTTGACAAAATTTGGTGCCAACAGGTTGCTACAGTTACAACCCGACATCACAACAAACAGAGGTAAAATCCAGAATAGTCGGTATCTTGGGTGCCGTTTAAGCTTGCTGTGTGAGGGGCCAGTTTATCAAAAATTCCGATAATTTTACGAACACAAACACATTAAATAGCAACTTTTAACCCAGCAGACTATTTCGTTTCGTCTACGTAAATAACCGAAAGTTTTCAGGATTTTACAGAAACTACAGTTTCCAGTCTATCAGCAATAGTTATTAAAGACTGACCGAATGTTTATCGCACTAACCATCTTCAATAGATAACTGAACTGATTGGTTTGAAGGCCCTCCTATTGGTTTCTTAGGTTCACTTTTATTCGAGGTTTCTGTCGGTTGTTTCGTTGCTGGCTGCTCCGAGTGTGTGCTAAAAAAATTCTTAGCTGTCTCTGCAGCAACCTTATGATCAAATACTGTCGTGTGTTCAAGAGAAGCAGGATTTCTCCACGCGCCTGTTCCAGCATTCTTGACAGCAGGGATCATTTGCACTCCATCAGTACTGAGTTCGGCTTTATCAAAAGGTTCACCTCTTAGAGCTTTACCGAGGCTTGTTTTGCCCACACGGTCTTGTCCAACGAGTAAAACCTTGACACGTTTATCATATGTGCTACCACCAGTCTCAATTGCCCTGCGGTAAGCAGCAAGTGCCTTGTCTCCTCTAGCTAGCACAAAGGCTGGAATCAAATCTAAAAGTATTAAAAGAATCGGTTTAACAAATTAGAGGTGACATCAGGTTTCAGCTAGTCTCTAGACGCACTCATGTATCATTCTTGCAGCAGTTAGAAAGATTACTGGAGAGTGATTGTTTCTTTAGAGATTAAGAGTTTCCTTAGAAGTATAGAAAATTCAAAGATTTATGCCACGATCCAGGAACGTAGCCAAACTTTTAACGCTGAAAATTGCAAAATATAGACTAGGCTTTAAAACACCACATTGTATTTTTGGCATTTTTAGAAAATTCAATCTTGTTTAAATCCAGACGAAGCGCTTTCCTCGTCTTGCCTCATGCCGGCTACGACCCCTGCGATTAAGCTGGTGCTTAGGCTGCATTCATAATGTATACTGCAAAGGGAAGGGGCGAAGGGGTGGGGGGAAGGGAGGGGGAAAAGGATATTTTTTAAAGAGGCAAATTTTTTAACATCCCCCCACATACACATTTTTTGACATTCCGCTCTCTTGACGAGAATAAAAAAATGACACCCCCCTACTCAGTTTCGACGAGGAAAGTAAAATATGGGCAATATGATGAAATGCTGCGGAGATTAATGTTTAAAATAGAAAAATATATTGAGATTAGTGCCACTTTGCCTACTCCACAGAAAGCTTCAGGTTCCGTACTGAAAACTATGTGGTCTTTTAACTCAAACACTAATAAAATTTTCTCAACCAGCTAGGCCGATTGTGGCTTATTAGAAGGGAAGCTTTCAAAAGACATTGTATTCCTCGTTCGATATCCATAAATGACACCGCAATAGTAAGAAATTTCTATCCTAAGAAATCCCGTCCTTGATGTAAATCAAAGAAGTTTTCTAAAGATTTGCCGCCAACTTGATGGGAATTTGTATATGATCACTTTTGATTATAGAACTGCGATAGACCTGTACTCAAGTATATCATTCTGATTTCAGCATGACTGCAGAGCCATCATACAAAATATTACTGACCATTTACATTCCCTCTCAGCTGTGAAAGTTGATTTAAATCTTGTGAGCAAAGAAGCTGAAGACTTAATTATAACTTTAGAAGCTTTGAAAATGAGAAAGGTGGGTTAATTTTGATGATGATAATGTTTACGATGATGATAATGATTATGATGACAATGATGATGATGATGATGATGATGATGATAATGAGAATGAAGACAATATGTGACATTATTAATAAAAGCAGGATAAAAGTAAAGGTGGTAATGATTATGTAGATAGCGCTGGTTACTGCACAAAGTAAAAGACATGGCAGTTAAGTGCATTAATAATGAAAACAACCTTCATTGAACTAGAAAATGAAGAACTTCACTTGCGTAGTGGTTTATCGATAATGTTGCAAATACTTAATCTTTCAATGAGATCTAAAAAAACTGGCATCCCCCTTCCTGCCTTCAGAAATTTTACCATCCCCTATTCCTTCAAAAATTTTAAGACCCCCCCCGAAAAAGAATTCTCCCCCTTCCCTGTAGTATACATTGTAATCCATTCCGGTACAAAAGATGTCGGGAAACTGACCGCAAATGAAATCAGAACAAACATGGAAAACTGTCTCGTCAACCTAAAGCATAGATGGCCGAATAGTACGATAGCAATTTCAGGACTGACTTACGTCCCACGGGATAACAGTAAAAATCAGCTTATTGATGAAATCAACCGTCACTACGAAAGCATATGCACAGATCTAGGTGTGACTTTCATCGACAACAAAAGAGTAACGTGCGACAACTACGGAAACTTAATTGAGCAAGTATTCTACGATGACGTTCACCTGAACAACAAAATCGGTACAAAGAAACTTGTAACAAACAGGAAACACCACCTAGGACTTCGGGACAGAAACCTCGAAAGCTTGCCAGGGAATCGACGTGGTTTTGCCCGCGTCCCAGTCGGTCCTCAGAGAGAACAGCCCTATAACGAGCGCCGAAGAAGTATCTATCACAATAATCAACCATTACAAGCTCTCAACCTAATTGCAGAGTATCTAAGAGAGAGCGAAATGTTAATGAGATAAGTAATCCATTTCCATTTTCTTTTCCCATTCCGTGTGTCACGTCATTTGCGAATAGGGTTCTGGAATTAGAATGGTTTTAACAGTAGCATTCTAGGAAATAAACTAAAAACAGACGATTTCTTAAGCATAATTAACAAACATGACATTTTTGCACTTGTTGAAACACATGCAACTTATGAAACGGAGATGAATATAAGTGAATTCAAATATTTTACTAAGTGTAGGAATCAATCGGGAAACCGATCTTCCGGGGGACTATCTGTATATATAAATAAAAAACTCGCTAAAGGAGTCACCTACATCCCGTCTGAAAACAAAAACATAATATGGTGTAAACTTGATAAAACGTACTTCAACTTTCAAAAGGATATATACGTAGGAATAGTTTATTAAGCACATCAAATTATGAAAGACATAGCAGCGAAGATTTAATTGGGGAATTAGAAGAAGAAATGTTTTTATTTTCACAAAAGGGTGACATAATTGTTCAGGGTGATTATAATGCACGAACGGGTGACATTCAGGAGACAGTCTTAGATGATGACAACTCTTTCCTGAATGTCCCTGAGGACTACAAGAATGACGAACAATGCTTACGACGGTCACAAGATTCAGGTAACCGTGAACGCTAGGGGTAGAAATTTGTTAGAAACATCCCACAGCGTTAAATTTACGAATTCTCAATGGAAGGATTGTCGGTGACCTGGAAGGTAAAAAGACTTGCTTTCATTATAACAGTAGCAGTATTGTTGCTTACGTCATAGGATCAAAAAGAATTCTAAGGAATTTGCAATATCTTATTGTTAACGCATTAATGCCACATTTATCGGATCACTGTCACCTATCATTCGCGATAAAAGCTAACTTTGTTAACCGAGATTCTTTTGAAACATCGGCTGAACTCATCTTGACCGAATATAATAGGCTTTTCTGGAATATCAAGTCTAAGGACAGACTTAAGGCTGGTCTCAAATCACAAACAGTTTAATCCAGGTTAGAAGCAGCTGTAAAACATGATAGCATCGATACTGCGTCTGAATTAATTAGTGAAACTTTGGTAGAAGCATGCAAAGAAGCCGGATTGAAAGCGAGAGGCAGCAAAATTAAATGCAATTTACAAAACAAATGGTTCGATCTGGAATGCGAAACAGAAAAAGAAAACTTGCAATCCCTTGGGGAGAAAATTTCTAAAAACACTAATAATTCAGAACTGAGACAACTCCTGCGCGACAAAAAGAAGATGTTCAAACAAACTTGTAGACGGAAGAACGGGAGTATATCCGTAGAGGCTTGTCTAATATCGATATGCAGAACTCCAAAGAGACCTGGCGACAAATAGGAAAAATCTTTAACTTAGGAAAAAGAAAAACACATGGGGGCCGGAGTACGGAACAGTTTTATAAATACCTTAAGCAACAGAATGCGACCCCGCTCAATAATATACTAGATCCGGAGACGAATATGGAAACCCACAGTAACGAAAGAGTGTAAGGCCCACTTGATTATCCAATAACTGATAAAGAGTTCGAAGCTGCAATTAACAAACTGAAGGCAAACAAATCTCCAGGTTTCGATAATATATTAAATGAAGTAATAAAAATCGGAAAGGACGCCATTAAAGTAGCCTGAAATTCATCCGATTGCTTCTAGTCATTTTCTCCTCTCAACAACGTCTGAATCGACCTGCGGTTAATGCCGTCCAGTGACGTCACTCACTACCCGAAAACCTGGTAGTGATTTTGATTGGTTGATTGTCTAAACATTCGCATAATTATGTATAATTATGAAAAATTTTAGCGGGATTGTCGCTTGATATTCAGCGGATCGCATCTCTGGCATTCTTTCGTGTACTTCAAACATTTCGATAAGCTTAATCTTTATATTAAACAACAAAATTGCCCTGGTCTTCGAAACTGAAATGCTAAATTGAACTGCGAATGAAGAATCTTTGCGGAGAGTCGGTAGGTTTTTCATTTAGAGCCGCTTTGGGGTTTCGGCGGGCGGTGATTTTGTTTACGCAAAGTTTTCTGTTCACCGTCAAGTGTAATGATTCTGTTAGCTTTTCTTTCTTGTTTCGTTGTTTTTTTTTTCTTCGTTAAGGACCAAATAGCTTCTTTTCAATTAAAGCAAATCATTGTGTTTTTGAACTAAGTGTTTCATGTGTGTGTTTATTTCATTGCATTGATTGCGACCGAGTTTGATTATAGAATTCAGTACAACCGGTTCAGAGTTGTACTGCATGCAGTTGATAGTTTGAACGTTAAACATGAATTACGATCGAAAAAAATAAAGCAATTCTGTATCATGCAGACATTTCCAAACGATATTTCTCGGTTTGCCACTTGAAAATCGTGTTTTACTTCTTGCATGAATTAAAGCAAAGGTCAAGGAGTAGTGACGTCACTGGACGGCATTAACGGCTGGTCGATTCAGACGTTACTGAGGGAGTAATAACAACTCGAAGTAATCGGATGAAATTCAGGCTACTGCACCGTAATTTTTAGGGAGTTATTATAACTCCAAAAATGGAGTAAAAATTTTAGGTACAGGATAACCCCATTTTTGGGGTTATTTTAACTCCTAATTTAACTCCGAATTTGGGGTCATTTTTACTCCTGAAAAAGAGTTCTTTTTACTCCCAGTCTGGAGTTAAAATTACTCCGAAATGGGGTTACTTGTACTCCTTACATGGGTTGTTTTTACTCTTTTTGGAGTTAATTTAACTCTGAAAGTGGAGTAAAAATTTTAGGTACAGGATAACTCCTTTTTTGGGGTTATTTTAACTCCTCAATATCTGGGGTTACTTTTACTCCTGAAAAAGAGTTCTTTAAACTCCTTTTTGGAGTTAAAAAAACTCCACGAAAAATAACTCCACTGTTAGGAGTTAAATTAGCCCCACTAGAGGAGTTATTATAACTCCCTGAAAATTACAGTGTATAGTTTTCACTAAGACTTTAATTGCCCCCAATATAACAAAAACAATCCAAATCAGTATTTTATTTCATCTGAAAAATACTGTACAGTGAAACATGCACGTGTCAGTCATTATTGTGTCAGGTTAGTGACACAGAGGAGAGGCACAGATAAAAACCAGAATTCTTCAGATTCTGAAAGAACCTGATGAAGTACAAATGTTAAAACAGATCGCTATGTAGTTCTTAAAGTCAACTAATCATTCTAATGGCAAAAAAAGTTTCTATTGGCCTAAATTGCAGTCATTTAGACATAACAACATGCATATTTTGTACAAACATTTAAAACCACCAACATTCTTCCAAAAAGTCTTTTTTCCTTAAGAAAATAAGAACCTCGAATGTTTGAGAACCTAAACAGCTTAATTTCCAAGAAAGAGAAAATTTATAAGAGCCTTTTGAGGCTAACTTCGAAAAGCACCTATTACTTAGTTTTTACTGTATACTATTAAATGTAAGAGCAGCGGGGGGGAAGAGGGGGAAGAAGAGTTAGGGTTAGGGTTAAGGTTAAGGTTGGGGTTAGGGTTAGGTTAGGGTAAGGACTAGGGATAGGGTTAGGGTTAGAAATCAAATTAGGTCGAGGTTGGGGTTGGGGTTAGGGTTAGGAATAGGTTAGGGTTAGGACTAGGGATAGGGTTAGGGTTTGAAATCAAATTAGGTCGAGGTTGGGGTTAGGGTTAGGAATAGGTTAGGGTTAGGACTAGGGATAGGGTTAGGGTTTGAAATCAATTTAGGTCGAGGTTGGGGTTAGGGTTAGGAATAGGTTAGGGTTAGGTTGGAGGGTTAGGGTTAGACGAGCAGTCTCAACTGATTTCAATGGTCATAACACATGAGTTGATTGACTGAGTTACAGGAAAAGGGTGTTACGTTAAGCTGGTTAGGGTGATAGCTAAAGTTGAGCTAAGGCTTAGGGTTAAATAAGGATAAAGGTTACAAACAAGAAGTACGGTTTGTTGAGGGTTAACGTTTGAGAGACTTCTGGTCAGGATACCAAATTACGTTGCGTTACATATCAATTACATCGCCGTACTGAGCGTAGGATTGAATTTCAAAAGACGGGTCAGGAGGTGAGAAAGAGATGTAGTTTCAATATAGGCGATTTTCGAAGACTAATCACTGGTCAAGCAAGTAGTTTCGAATTAACGTTATCTTACAAGACGTTTCGCTTCGCTTTCTTCGTGTTTGACCACAGCAGAGCACAGATAATATAAACATTTCAGAGAGTAAATATCCCAGCTCCGAGGGGGCGGGTAAAACCAACGGCCACATCTGAAAGAAAAGGACAAAAGGAAAACCTTGTTTAAAGAAAATTCCTCAACACGTGTTTAGAAAGTAATATATCTCTTCTACATCATTTTCTCTAGATCAGTTTCATCCTGCAATGGTTTTATAATCGCCGTACCGGTGCATAAAGCAGATTAAAAACATTGCACCGAACATTCCGGAGAATCAAGCATAAATGGCGCTCGTCGTCGCGACGGTGCTATAGCGCGGGAACTTTAACATGCTTTGAGGAAAATAGTTACTCTTCCGCGATCCGATCAGCATTTAGCTTGCAATGCCAACAATAAATTGAAAATGAACGACAATTCAGCCTGTACAGTAGGACGGCGGCTCTTTTTAAACACAGTAAATTTCCAGAGTCGCTCGACATGACCAAAATTAAACCTTCGCTATACGAAACCACAGACTTTGATTTGAACTACACTTTCACGACTTTGTAACATAACCTTTCCTGGCAAAAAGCCTGCTACTCACCGTTGTTGCTCGCTTATTCAAAGATCAGCACCTCCGTCGTAGAAACTGAAACACAACAACAGAACAGTCTCACTGTAATGGTCAAATATTAAACATGTTTTTAAGCTTTCTCGCAGTGCATTCTGGGAAATCCGTGTTCAACTCGTGCGGGACACATTACATCCTGGCAATAACAACACAATTTAGAAGTCTCCAGCAAGGCAAAAATCACAGCCAAAAACTTCGTTAGCCCTCTTTTCTTATGTCCAAACTAACCAATTTGCCCCTTATTGCCTGCTGGAGACTTCTTCACCGTGTGCAGAGCTGGGCAGAGACGTTATACACCATCCACCGGATGGTCTCTCGGATTGTGCCCGAAGCTCGGTTCTTTGAGCAACGAGCGCCCATTTAAGCCTTCCCGGACTTAATGATGTCCCAGGCACTTTGCAAACCGTGGAAATAGAATTTCTTGCCAAACTCGGCTCATATTAGTCCCCGTTTCGCACACGCTCCGATCAAAACCTCTCCACTCACGAAGAGAGCCGTTGAAAGGAGAAAGATACCGCGCAAACTCGAACCTTTCAAAACTAGAACCGGTTCCCCTCGGACAAAAAAAAACCGGAAGTCCTTCCTAACGCGAGTGAAAAGAAAACAAGAAATAAAATAAATAATAAACTTACTTCTGTTGACTTCCATGCTGCTCCTCCCTGGTTTTCTTTAATGAAAAATATCTATGATAAAAAATGGCATTTCATAAAATTAATTTACATATATAATATACACCGTAATTTTTAGGGAGTTATTATAACTCCAAAAATGGAGTAAAAATTTTAGGTACAGGATAACCCCATTTTTGGGGTTATTTTAACTCCTAATTTAACTCCGAATTTGGGGTCATTTTTACTCCTGAAAAAGAGTTCTTTTTACTCCCAGTCTGGAGTTAAAATTACTCCGAAATGGGGTTACTTGTACTCCTTACATGGGTTGTTTTTACTCTTTTTGGAGTTAATTTAACTCTGAAAGTGGAGTAAAAATTTTAGGTACAGGATAACTCCTTTTTTGGGGTTATTTTAACTCCTCAATATCTGGGGTTACTTTTACTCCTGAAAAAGAGTTCTTTAAACTCCTTTTTGGAGTTAAAAAAACTCCACGAAAAATAACTCCACTGTTAGGAGTTAAATTAGCCCCACTAGAGGAGTTATTATAACTCCCTGAAAATTACAGTGTGTACGACTACATGGTTCAAAAAGGAATTTTGAAAGCTGAACAAGGTGGTTTCAGAAAAATGCACGGGACAGTTGATAGCATCTTCACATTAAAAACGCTTATTGACAAGTACGAGAAATCTAAGCCACAGAAGCACCGAAATTTACTCTTTTCATGTTTCGTCGACTTTAGAAAAGCCTTCGACTGTATACCCCGACAAAAACTATTCGACAAACTGAGAAAAGAAGGTGTCCAAGGACGTTCCCTAGACGTTTTAATAGCGGAGCTCCACGCGCGCGCGTGGGCGGAGCCCCATAGCTAAGTAAATCTACCCATCCCAGAAAATTTGGTTATCACGTGACCGTACACCGAACGAACGACCGTCCGTCCGCACCACAGGCATACTAATGTTTACTCTCGCACTTTCTAGCTAGTTTGGGAGCCCAGGAAAAAAACTGATTGCACATCAATGCAGTGATCAATTGACAGCTGTCAACACAGGGTATCCGCTGACCAGTATCACCTAACGGTATCGCGGGCTCAGGTGTCGACCCATCGAGGTCGAGTATTTTTTGAGTTATCCGCTGACAAGTTACTACTTTTCAAATGATCGCAGGCTCAAGTTTGTGTTTTAAAAATTTAGAGGAAATATGTCTTGTTTATGTCACTATGTCCCAGCACTATTAAGATTTTTACTTCAAACTTACCTCGGACACGAAAATTAGCCAGTTATTTAAAAATACAGGCTGGGAAGACCTTTTCTTACCATGGTCACGCGTTGGTCACGCTCTACGTCCAATTTTTATGCTCTGATTGGTTAAAATTTGACAGGTGAGTTCATGCGTAAAATTTATGCAGCATCTTGAAAGTTGTTTCCTTTGACACCTGAAGCTGACAGAGTTTTGAGTCAACTTGTGATGTTTTTAACTGTCTTTTTCCACTGGATGTACAAAATGAAATACAGCTGCTATCAAGAGTGTTCTCTTATTCATGGCTGGTTTGTTTATTGGGTTTTTGGTTGTGAAATGCGTCGCTTGTCAAAGCCAATAATCCGATTTTGGATGGCATCGTTTTTGTTTTTCACCTTGCTGGATGCGTAAGAGAATTATAAAGGCTCAAGCGATCCTTGCCTTACTTGATAGCTTTCAGGAGCTGCATCTCGAAATATGGTAAGTCTGAGTCATTATTGTATTTATATCTAATTTCATGAAGTCCAGCGGCGCAATTTATGAAGCTAGTTTATGCACGTTTGTATTAAGATTTGACTGAGACACTGATCTGACCTAGTATGAGGTTTAATTTGAAAAAAGCTTAAGCTTACAGAACTTTAAAAAACCTTTAGTCGATATTAATTCACCGTAAATAGAAAGAAAAAACTTTCCGAAGAATATTTAGTTATAATTTTGGCTCAGTAGAAAGAAGGCTTTGAGCGATTTTCTTGTCGTGAGTTCATCTTTGAAAACAGCAAAAAACCGGGAAACCGGCGGCTTAAAACATAAACTTAATCTTTAAGCTTACTAGTAAAGACTTGAGGATTCTTAGACACACTTAAATACTCATTTGTTTTCGTGAATGAAAATTGTTGTCTCTGTAAATGTTCTACCGATTTATATATTTACTTATTGATTGTTGGTAGTCTCAAAAGTGTAATTTTCATCACTTTGTCGTTTGTTTTCAGCCGTTCATAAACATCGCTTGCAGGAGTGCTCAAAACGCCGAGCGTAACAAACGCTTTTTAAGATTACACATCGTTATAAAACCATTAATAGAAAATAGACTCAATAAATTCTTTATCACGTTGAAGCGTAACTCTTTTAAAATTTCTTCGCAAAGTTGGCGATTGTCAAAAGTTAGAACCGGCTGGCCGTATAGGTGATTTTGGAAATTTTTTGAACGGTTTCGCAAATTAAAAGTCCACGCGTTCTTCGATGGTCCTGAATATTGAATGCATGCAATTTGTCTTGAAAAATTGTGAAATACTGCATTTTGTACGAGGTCTGTATGATAAAAACAGCGCCTCATAGTACTCTTTCTCCTCAGATGTGGTGTATTAAAAAAATAAAAGATTGGTTTGCACGCACCCAGATTTATTGGAAAGAATTGTAAACTTATCGAACGCAAAAAATTCGGCTTGATTTGTTTTCCAAGAATTTTTTTTCCACGCCTTATCTACTGTGATCAAGAGCCATTATTGCTCTTACATGTGACCGAAGACTAGTTTTGGGTGTACATATAAGGCTATATCAACTCGATACAAGATTTGTTTCACTCCAAAATAACTTAGCTTTTCCATCAAAAGTCACATGAATGTGCCCTTAAGTTAACTGATTTGTGGAATACAAAACTATTGTTTGATTTAAGTTATAAATTTATCAATGGGAGCTTCGCAATTAGCCCTGGCTAAATCTATATATTATCCATGTACTCAAATGATAAATCGGCAGTTAAAATTGATGACAAATTAACCGAATCCTTTACTTGTCATGCCGGGGTAAAGCAAGGTTGCATGTTAAATTGTCACCTACTCTTTTTAATTTATATCTAAGTGATCTACCAAAATTCCTAAATACGGCGAGTTCAACCGACATTATGCTAAGTGATAAATATATTATTCATAATTATAACAAAATTGTCAAATCTGATTGGCTATCAACTGCCCTGATTTCAGCCTTTATTACATCCACTTTGAAATCACTGGCTATCCGTGCAATCTGATTGGCTCTCAGCAGTGTGATTTATTCCTAAATCGCACCATTTTTTGCTCTAAATCGCATCGGTTCCAAATCGCATCATTCATGTTCTAAATCGCATCATTTCTGTTCTATATCGCCTCATTTCTGTTCCGAATACAAAATGAGATGTAAAAGCCTGTTTGTTTCGGCTTTGTAACAAACCGGCTACTCGATCAATAACTGAAATATTAGTACTGACTAAATTCTGCGATTTCAAAATGGATGTAATAAAGTGGTAATTGAACTTCATGTCGTGCAATTTTGGTCTGAAATCATACTTGTGATTTCAAATCGACCTCGCGCTGCGCGCTCGTTCGATTTTGAAATCATGCGCATGATTTCAGACCAAATTGCACTCCATTCAGTTCAATTACCATTATTAATTGGACAGTTTAATAGGACAGTACGCGTCATGCCTAAGTAATTGGACAGTACGCGCCATCACGCGCGAGCTTAAATGGCTTTTTTTTTCACTGCTAGCAAAACAAAATTTCGAATTTCTTGTGTTTTGATTTAAAAAAAAATAGCCTATTATATCACAAATTTTGTTAAAGTTATGATTAACTGGTAACAGAACTTTGTGTCGTCCAATTCGGTCTGTAATCATACTCGTGATTAAACAAATCGGACACCCGCTACGCGGTCGTCCGATTTTGTTAATCACTCGTATGATTACAGACCGAATTGGCCTCCACTCAGTCCTGTTACCATTAAAAATTGTCTCTTATATGCGGACGATCTAGTGATCTTCTCTAGATCAGCAAAAAGCCTTCAAATAATCCTTAATAAGCTGGAATAGTTCTGTGAAAATGCCGATTTAAATTATGATTCTTAATAACTGTGGTAAGTCTTTAAACAACTACTTGTTCAGATACGGCGCCAATAAACTGGAAAACGTCAAATCCTACAAATATCTTGGACTCAAAATGAGTCCTTTTGGAAACTTTAATCTCGCTAGGCGAGAGCTGAAGAAAGTTGCACTTAAAGCACTCTTTAAATTACGAAAAGAGATGGGAGACCACCTCAGAGAAAATAAAAAGTTAACAATGAAGTTATTTGATGCACTGATATCTCCCATACTCTTTTATGCGAGTGAAGTGTGGGGGATTGATTGCAATGGACAATTAGAAAAGGATCCAGCAGATTGAGCAGAATTAGTTCAAAATAAATTCCTAAAGTGGTTGCTGGGAGTTAATAAATACTGCAATAACAATGCGTGCAGGGCTGAGACAGGAAGGTTCCCAATGAGAATTGAAGCCCAATGTAGGAACTTTAAGTTCTGGTTAACCTTAACCAGAAATGAAAACAAATTATCCCAAATAGCATACAATGACATTAAATGGAATGAAAATAAAGCTCTCTGGAGCAAAAAAAATCAAAAGCTTATTGGAACAGATAGGATTAGGAGAACTCTGGAGGAAAGCACACTATGCGGACATAGGAATCGTAAACTGCTTGATCAGGCAACGACTTAAGGATATCGAACTACAAAGATGGTTAAGTGAAATAAATAACGACACCAGAAAAGATGCTAACAAAAGCAACAAAATGAGAACCTACCGGTTATTCAAAACGATAGACAATTACAAATGTGAAGATTACCTACATCAGGTCACCAATACGCGATACAGAATAGCTCTAACAAAATTGCGACTAATAGTAACCACAAATTAGCCATAGAGACAGAACGTTATTCGAGACCGTTTAAGAAACCTGCAGAAAGAATTTGCCCAATTTGTAAAATAGAAATGGAGGACGAATACCATTCTCTAAATATATGCCTTGCTTACTGGGAAAAAAGATGTTCCTTACTAAATTATTTGGAAAAAGAATATAGAATAAAAATAAGCAGAATGTCACCTAACAAAATATTCATGTTTCTAAAAAACCCCAAGCGGAAATGCTAAAATACAAAAACTAGTAGCAAAACATGTATTCGAATGCTTTGAAAAAAGGCAAAAAAGTAAATACTCTAGGACTCAATTAATTAATAACTTATTAGCCATATATGTTTAGGAATTTTTGTTGTTTGTAATTTTGGACGCGTATATCAATATCTATTTGTTTTGTTGAAGTTATGGTTTTTCTGGAATGTGATTATCTTGTACTGAGCTTTTCAATGAAAATTATTAAAGCATAATATCTGCTCGTGACTCATCATCATGGATAGTTCCGAAACGGATCCCGCAAGATCTTTGACGATAATCAAATATCTACGAGGATCTTGAAAGGAAGTTCAGGAACTTTGCAAGGATCTGCCAGGGTTCATAAGATCTTGGCGAAGTTTTTTGAGGATCCTTGGTAAGATCATTAGAAGCACACTAATTAGCCCATTGAAAAGAGTATTTGCATGGGACAAAGTAAACGTCTCTCGGCCGGTATCCAATACTCACCTGTACTTTGATAGTGAGGCCAGTGTCTGAAAGCAACAGGATTACTGAGAATATGAGCAGTTAAGGAAGCTGCCATTAAACTCGCGAACGTTTTCCAAGGATTTGGCTCAAACAATCCTGCATCTGCGTAGCTCGAGACGCCTGTAATGATAGTCCATGGAATATCCAGCTCTTGAGCCGCTGCATAAACACCTATATAAAAATAATTATAAAGACAGGGGTTTTCTAGCAAAGACTCACGATAAGTGCAGGAAAAACGCATATGTGTAGTTAAATCGCTACTAGCATCGGTTGGTAGATCTCGGACAAGTCCTGGTTAAAGCTCAAGGAGAATCAGGGTGACTTGACTTAAATTTGGACTTAAATTCAGATTTTAGCCCCCAAGAACTACGAATTTACAAGTTTGCTGAGAGCAGGATGTAATTACAGTAATTCGAATTCGCATATTACATTATATTTCTTATTCATCTGGAATCGAAACGACGAACACATTCATAGACTACCGTAAATCCCTCGTTAACCCTACCCGATTCCAGACCAAAATGGGCAAAATCTATACCCGTTTTCAGACCAAAACGGCACAAAAACCATACCCTTTGGGACGGTACATATTAGAGCGACCTCAAACCCTACACTGTGGCGTGCATAAACTTGTAGGGCACCAAGGCAGTTATGATTTTGCTTATTACTTGCCCTCAAACCACCTTCAACCCCTACTGGTTTAAGGTTCCTGTCCAAAGAACATAGAAACAAGAGGTACAGTTTCACGTAGGGATGGCCGGTTACATGACTTTAACAGATTTCTGGTCATAAGCAATGCTATTCCCTCTCTTATGATCTTCCCTCTCTTATGATCTCAGCATCAATCCTTGAGGGACCTTTGTTTCCATGGCAGGGTTATATTATCGGTTCATCCTCGGTGTAAGAACCTGTTAACCTCACGGGTGACGTGAACCAAAGAAAACAAAGAAGTCAACACAAAAGAACTTAGAAAAACAAAAGACGCGAAAGAAAGAAAAAGTTCACAGGTTCTTACGCCGAGGTAAACCCATATCATACGTTCGTCGATGAAAGACGTCCCCCCAGCACCTCCAAGAAAAAAAATCGGTTGAAAGTGCAAACCGAATAAAACATTTTTTCGGAAATTTCCTGCTCTGAACACAAATCCGAATAATCGCTTTGAAGTTGGCTGAAAACTGAACGCTTAAAACAGGAAAACGACAAGTCGTATTAGACGTAAAAACCGACAAACAGATCCAACAACGGCAATGTCCGTAAACGGAGATCCCTTAGCTTCCCTTATAGTACATCCCTTTTGAAAGGCCAAACAAGATTAAAACCTCGATTGATTAAGGTTGCTTGCCCAACTCCCTCTGCCCAGAAATACATCTGTTAAATACATTTAATTCTGCGAATAGATGGTGCTCAAATCCGAACAACACGAAGGAGAAACTATTAAGGCGTGTGACAGGCAGTCAGAAGCAGACTACCGAGATTTACAGTCACTGTCATTCTAATTTGATTTCAACTATTTCATGCACTAATACAGATACACCCCCTGATATACATGCCAACTTAAAACCTCAGTCCAATGAATTTGGGTAAGACAACCATTTTCACACCCTGCCAATTGAGACTTCAAGCATTATTACTTTTAGATGATAACATATCACTGAGGTAGCTGCAATTTTTTTTATCTTACCTTCGCCCTCCATTAGAATAACATCGGCTTCTGGGAAGCGTTGGTTGAGTGCCTCGCGCCGCGCACTGCTATCAACACTTTCTGGGCCAATCAGAGGCACTCCTTGGTGCACCTTGACCTCAAATTCTTTTGGACTCTTCAGTGGGGCGTTCCAACCATGGGTAGCAGTTAACATCAGTTTTGAAAAATTGATTTTCAATGGAACTCTCACACCACGTTCTGTAATGCCTTTGTCCGTGACTTTGGGGGAGGAATATCTTATCAGTTTCACTGACACTACCACGTCCCCAAGTTTGAATTTTGCGGGGTCTACGCCACCACAGCAACCCACAATGAATACCGCTTTGGGCTTCAAGACTTCGACTGCTTTCATTACGGCAAAACAAGATCCTTGTGGAACGGTGGATCCTGGGTAACAATTCACCAAAGCGATCTTTAGCATCATGTCATCGTTCCCAATTTTGCCTAGGTACACGTCTTGACCAAGCTCTTTGCAGTAACTTCTACTGAAGTCGCGATTGAAACACGAAATACAAGCTAGAAATTCCCAATCCTTCACCGTCAAAAGCAAAATGTCGATTGGCAATTGTCGCTTATCCAGAAGTACTGATTTTCCCGGAAGATCCTCATTCCGTAGAAGAGTAACAGTTACCTCTGGTGGATTACTCGTAGTTTTCAGTGATTCAGTGACTATGGGGAAAACAATAAAAAAAAAAGAGAAGAAAAAATTAACTCCGTATTTTCTCCCAGAATCCTTTGAAGCAATTTTTTAAAACGCTTTATAACTTTGACAATTTTATACGTAAAAGACTATCAGACCACAACAAGATAACATTTGCCATAAAATATCTTCCCATGTCACATCTAAGGTAATGACGTCATCAGTCACGTGACTATTTCCGAATTAGGTTTTTTTGTTGCTGTGACAACATTTCAGTAATGAGTTACAAACAAATAGAATATTTGAGGTTTTCGTTGCGTGGGCCATTTAAAAATAACCAGTTGACGTCCGGCATTTAAAATTTAAGGGGGTAATGGACATGAGCGAAAAAGTCGGGAGATTAGGCCGAGGGCTGTAGAGTCTCAAACTGTTATCACACGGCAGAGAAAATTTGCGTGAAAGTAATGTTCTACCTGATAATTTTTTTCATGACCAAAAGAGGGACATGACGTCACGTCACATCAGTCACGTGATCAAAGCGTTTTGAATGTTTTAGTTCGTTTTTAAAGTACTTTTTTGTCGTAAATTGACAGGTTTTTGCTGTTTTTCACAACAATTCTTTACACTGTACATGTATTGTCTCTGAGTAATTATTATTCCATTTTCAGATTAGAACCAAACGAAAAGTGTGCCAGAAGTTTAAAAAGTTGCGTAAATTGACCGATATTGGAAGTTAAAATCGAAAAGGAGACCTACTTTTGAGACTTTTGTAAAATCCTTTTTCAACTTAACTGTTTGTTTGCCGAAATACATGTTCACCGTTTGTTAATAAAGGAGAACGTTAAAAACTAAGAGGATGTATTTGGCGGCCATATTGTTTTTCTTCATTCCTGGAAAAGAGGTCATGTAGCAGCTCTTCTAACCCTAAAAGCCAAATGGTTTGCTACCCTAACCTAAAATAATGGACATAACGATGAACAATGTTGTCTTAATGTTTTTCCCGACCGCTGAAAAGACACCTTACGAGCAGGGAGAGAATCGTACGGTCATACGATTCAGTCGGGTAGCCGTGCGATCGATAATTCATAAATTTCATAGACTAAGCCTGAAAGAGTATTAATGGGTTTATTGTCAGCTGAACGTCTAGCTTCGGTCAGTTAAAGATTTAATTCTACAAGGAATTGAAAAAAAAAAAAAAGAAAAGAAAAAGATCATCCTTGCGGTATGTATCCTAGCGTATCTACCGGTATTTTTAGTAATGCTGGACACTGTTATCATTACCCAGCTCAATCGTCGATTTTCACATGTGCCTAATTTGATTCGAGAGGTTATAACTGCTTTGAGACGGGACGTCTGAATCAACTAAATTCGACAGCTGCAAATTAAATTCGAGGTTCAACATTTGAAGTCAACATTTCAAGTCGCATTTCACATGTGCCGAATACGATGCATTAATAATAGAAACCCTTTCCATATTGACTAAAAAAAATTTCCTAGAGACTGGGAATAGTGACAACAAACGGCGTTAAATTAGGCACCTTCATATCCGAGGTCTAAATCAACTGCCGTATTTAATTACTTTCATCGACTAAAATAGGTGTTCTGTACTCATAAGAAATTCCACGTTTGAAAGGGGCCTAACATGACATAACTTTCAGCTTAGTTGTTTGCAGGCTGTTATTAAGTTGTTGTTTTCTTTTCAGTAAGAGTAATTCGCATCTCTCTTTGTAAATCCATTTTATTAATCGGCTGGTGCCGCGACTTAAGAATCAGCTGTAATAGTTGATTTTACTTTCTCTTTGACATGATTTGTATGTCACTGGACATGATTTGTATATCAAAAAGAGCGATCAATTTTCAGCCATCCATTTCAATAAAAGCAAATGGAATCACTTCTCACTATAGCGGACAACCTCGAACCGTAACTTCGTCGCATAAATATGCGGCACCGAAGAAAGACAAAAAAGCTAATCGTAGGATTAGCTTTTTAAGGTTTAAACTCGAAGCTTTATATAGTGTAAAATAATTATAATTCACTTTTACCAATATCACTTGTAATAATAATAATAATTCCGAGCGAATCGCGCCGAGCGTAGCGACTTTATTATCTCGTCGCGCACGAATCGCGCGCACAGTCTACTGACCGCGCGTGGTCTCAGCCAGCTGCAAAATCCGATGCCCATAAATAAACAAGACGCTATGGAGCGTACACTTCGGCGTCGTGGTTATAGAACTGATTGATTTTACTGTAAATGTGGAGGAATGGTAAGAAATGAAATATGGTAAGAGTAAGGTGTTGATTTGTGAAGTTGTGGGATTTGTCAGGATATTCTGGAAAGAGCAACATCCAAGAGGCCTACTTAGCAAAAAAACTAGCATTTCAGGGCAAATTGTCTCTAAGATATTAGCCCAGTTATGCTCTGATGACTCCATACAAATCCTTCTAAATTTGACTTGGGTCTAAACGTTTAGACCTAAGTCAAATATGAGGTTACTGGCGGTGAATAACAAGTCTAACAAAACAAACAGTAAAAAAAAAAAATCTCTTTTTTCTTACATCAGACTTCAAAAACAGCACAACAGTCTCATGTACTGATTAAAGATATGTGAGGCATGGGTAAGGAGTCAATTACGTTGAGCATGGAATTGGCTAAAACTCAATGTTATGAGTTCCAATGTTTTGAGGATAATTATTCACTGACGATCAGCACGCAGGGATGTCGGATTAACACAAGGAAGTTTAATACTAAAGGAACATAGTCGTTACAGAGCTTTAAAACACAGCATACGCCAACACAAACTTGACTTGAACTTAAGTAAAACTGAACAGCCTCTGCCAATAATGACAAACTCTCACTTGAACTTCAGATAACTTACGACTTCCGCCAACTTGTAAACACACAACTTGAAAAATCGACCTTTGTCACACTTGACTAAACACAGCACTCCAGACTTGTGGGAAGAAACTTAGTTCGTCAAAAGAACTCGCTTGGAACTTGTATACCGTTTGACATAAGGCTCTAGAAAATACTAAACAGGCGAATGGTAGTAGCTTTTCCACATATTTTATGATTTCAGTAACTGATGCAAATCTGCTGACTCATGCTGAAATGTAAACATGCCCTAATTAATTATTCATGAATAATCCAAAAACGTAGAGAACGTTCGACAAAATCACGCAACGCATGAAAGCAATTTTACTACGTAACATTCAACAAAGACAAAACTTCTTTGTGCAGCATTTTGTAACTTTAAATTCATCACAAAACAGTTCGAAAGGAGGGCTCACTCGTGAAATGTTTTTCAACACTCGAAGAGAAATTTCAATTCTCTGCGCGGCAATGTAATATCCTCTATTTATTCCTCGAGTAAATTAAAGACTAAACTCGAAGTGATCTTAAGATATCATGAAGTAGTCCGGTCTCATTTCGTGAAATAACCGAAACAAGCCGAAAAGTCACGAACTTGCACGCCCAATCTTGGGTCACAGAGGTGAGTCGGTTCAAACCCCGGGAAAGCCAAAATAATAATTCTTTCTTCCTCGAATAAGTTAAAGAATAAATCAAAAAAATCGAAGTGATCCCGAGATATCTCGGACTAATTCGGCTCTCACTTCGTCAAATAGCCGAATAAAACCGAAAACCTACAGACTTTGCGTGCCCAATCTTGTCCTAAAAATGTCAACTTTGATACATTCCTGGACGTCGCGAATCCTTTACTTCGCGCTCCGCCGAAGTAGTAAATCTTTCTATGAATATATGCTTGGTGTCCGCCAATGACGTCATGGAGCATTTTGCGTTTCCAGGCAACATAGACTTTGCCGCCGATGACCAAGGCGCATTTTCATGTATTATTCATGAAAGGCTGTTGTGTTTATTCATCGTTTGTGAAACAATATTTACCATCAGTGAATCAGGAACAATTTCCCATGCAAAAGACACACAAGCACAACAAGTGGCCCAAATTCTCGCCGAGGAAGATTTTCCACCGAAACTCCTCTGGAGCGAAAACGCCGACTTAAAATTCAGCGTGAACAGCGAAGGAGAAGACGTCAACGAGAAACCGCGGAGCAGAGAGAACGTCTCTTAGCACAGCGAAGGCAACGCCGACAACAAGAGACAGAGGAACAGAGGAACAGTAGACTTGAATATCAGAGGCATTATGATCGTTTTACACTGTGGAAAACCCACATTTATTAGTTTGCCGGTTTCCCCGCCGATATATAGATCAAAGTCTGCAAAGTTTCAGCTCTGTACTACGGCCCGAAGTATAATAATTCACTGAATAATTTTCATGCGAACTGCACCGGGCCATATTTGTGCTTTGTTTTTGTTTTTTTCTAAATCCGGAGGCCGAAATAATGCTAAATATGCTTTTCAATACACTTTTAAAAATAACACCACACAATTTGCAAAAAAGAAGAAGAAAAGAAAGAACAACGTATGGACCTTCACGACGATATTCGCGGTAGGTAACCCATCCAGTTCTTAACCCCGACCGACAGTGCCTAACTTGAGTGCCGCTACTAAACCGAGTTTCGCGAGAGTTATTGCGAGATACGTATTTCTAGTAATAATAATAATTGTCGTTGTTTAGCTTCATTAACTAATTCTCGCGCTTCGCAAGGGCTTCCCACTATTTCCCAAGTTCTGTTGATAACCTTTCCAAATCATAGTCCACAACACCGCCATTTTTGATTTCTTTGAAAAGGAGCAAACAAAAATACTACATAGAAAAAAAACCCAGAAAGTTGACGTTTTTCTTTGGAAAGCACAAATTAAGCTCGGTATTTTCTGTTTCCTCTGTCTCTAGCTTAAGGTAGCTGAAAACAGTTTCTCTGACAGAATTGGGCGCGCTGAGAAATTTCACTGACGCAGTTGTTTCCGTGCGCAAAATAGACTGACGTAATGTGAAGAAAAATAAAAAGGTAAATAAAAAGGTTTCGCCGCTTGAATCTACTGTTAACTTCTTTATTATGAGAAGATATGCAGTCAATGGAATTTTCTAGAAAAAAATCTGAGGACCAGCTGAGAAAAACGGCTAGAAGTTGACTGTAAAAGCAGAGTTCGTAAGAATGACATAAGCTCAATGATAGATGATGGATATAAGAGCTGTTCTCTCTGCTCATCGTAATCATTTAATTTTACAATTCTCTCTCAGTCATTTTAGATTCTCATTAGATTGTAATACATTATTAGTATGGGGTTTTTCCCAACCTATACGGCTCCGACATATTAAGAAAGTTTTCTATCTTTCTGTCTGTAGAAATTTATTCTGTTTTGTAATATCAGGTGACCCCAGCGCACGCACAAGTGTTGAGCATGCGTACTTAGGAAAACATGTGAGAGCGCTTATTTTGTTGACTTTCATAGACAATGTGAAGAAACGAAGATATCTCAAAATTAGAATACAAAATAGAATTGATTTTGCAAAAACCTGATCGAGTACATGTGAAATGTCACGTACGTTTAGTCAACTCTTTTGTTTTCCTCTTCTGTTTATCTCCTGAATGTTCTACAATAAAAAGGAGAAAAGCTAAAAAAGGGTTCAATCTCGTGCTTATTAGTTGACAAAAAGCATTTTTAAGCACAGATTTCTATCTAAAAAAAGGATGGTAGCTTAGCGCTGCACTTACTGCCTGGCCTCGTCTCCACTGAGGGTCTTTTCGTGTCGCAATATGGCCGCAGGAGAGAAGAGAAGAGTTCTCTTCTTTTGGTTTGCCGCCAATAAATTGGAAAAACGAGAGTAGACCCTGGGGACGAGGTTGCTTAACGACCGTCTCATCGTGTCTTTTTATCCTATCTTGATAATAGCTGATGGGTTTTACGAAACAAAAAGGTTCTGCGACAAGGTGGGTACCTTCATCCCACTCCGGTGATTTTTGCTTTTTCTTTTTCTTTTTCTTTTGGGGTTTCTACTATGAATTTAAAAAGCAATGAAGTATTTAATTTCATGCCAAGTAAATCACTTGATATGCCACTATTATAAAGTCACAAACATCCCGGACCACTCAAATAATGGGTATAGTAAGCGTCGCCGACGACAAAGTGCCGCACTTTCCCAGCAACAATGTGTCATATTATTATTTTTTTTTTGACATTGTTAATGCTGATATGGTTGATTGGAAGCAGACATGTATTGTGAAAACAAACTTTATTTGTTACGTTCTTATGCTTTTCAAGTTCTTGTTTTTGGACAAAATAAGGAAATATATAGGTAAGTAACGTCGTAGTTTTTCCGGAAAACTGTTTCAAAATTTCACTCCATGAAAAGGGGGATTAAAGGCTTGTGTTGTAGACGCACCCATCTCGTGGGTCTTCTCCGAAACCTGTTTCCATTGTTTATGATCGCAGGTTTAACAGAACAAAATTAGGGATGTTCGACTCAAACTTTTTTAAAAATATGAAAGTAGTGAATGTAGCGTACCTTGATCAGTCATCTTTTTTTCACCTTTTTCTTTTCTGTTCTGTTCCTGAAGGTTCTTCTGTCATAAAATTAAAGGAAAAAAAAGGACCCTTGATATTGGGTATCACAAGACAAAATAAAGTCTTGTTCTTTTAAAAAGGTATGACAATATATAAAGAGAGTGTTGTGGGTACCTTCTTCCTTCTCCAGTTCTTTCTCCCTTTTTCTTTTCTTTTGTTCTCGCAAAGGTTCTTCAATGAAAAGAACAAAGAATAGGAACCATTCAATCACTGGAACAGCTTTTTCACTGTGTTTATCACTCAAAAATAACTCCCCATTATCGTTAAAAAATTGATAGTCAACGTCTACCAAATTAAGAACATGCATCCTTTGCATTTGATTATGATGCTAAGTATAGTGGCCCTTCCGCCACACCAGTCTACTGTAGAGTACCGCCAGTAATCCCCAACCGCAGATGATCCCCGAACGCAAATGATGCCAATTGTCGCCGGCAAATGAACCTACCGTAAATGCTCGAATTAGCGCCCAGCTTCAAATAAGCGCCCCAATTCGAATTAGCGCCCTCCTAAGGCTCAAAATTTTTAATAAGCGCCCCCCCCCCCCCCGAGAAAAAAAATGAGTTTCGGTACTCGGTACGATATACGAGACGTTTACGGTCTCTGATGTCCTTTCAAAGTCGCACTGGTTTGCTTCCCATTTCCTTGATAGAAATATCCATGTGAGCACATAGCTGCTTCTCTTTATTAAGTTCCTCGTAAAACTTTGCTCCCAATTGCCGGCTCCTTGTTACTGCCTTAAAAGTTCCTGGAATTACGAGGCAATTTTCGGTAAAGATAGTGTCATTTTGAGGCTAAAATTGATAAACGAAATAAGCGCCCCCCTTCGAATTAGCGCCCCGCTCTCGCCTTAGAAAATTAAATAAGCGCCCCGGGCGCTAATTCGAGCATTTACGGTAATTGTCGCCCGCAAATAATCCCGTGAAAAGTAGGGGAATGAAATAGATGTTAGGCATTGATGGTAAATATGCTGAGAACTCGAAAAAAAGGGGAAACAATGAAATGAATAAAACGAAAATAACCAAACTGTTTCTTTTGGCAATTGTTTCTCCTTCCTTTGAAGCATTTGATGTTTCGTTACTGTGAAAATTTTTTAAGCAGGAAACTTGTCTTTTATTTCAACGCCTAGCAATAAGAAAAATATGACCCCTACATTTATCACTCTATAGAGGTTTTCGGTTTATTTCGAAATAAACTTAGCAATTACAGCTCTTGAAAATGTCGTGACTATTTAAAAGGACTCGGTCGGCACGAGCCTGTGTATGCATTTCTCGTACCTTTGCTGTTGGAGACAGTTACAAAGATACAAAATCAGGGAATGAGATACGAATGAACGGGTAGACGGAGTTTTTGTACCTGTAAGCAAAGAATTCCCCAAAGGGGGGGGGTCATACCTTTATTTGGGGTCATTTACAGAGACTTTCGCTGTTACAAAAATAATCGTAATTATCAATTTGATAGAGTCTTGATACTAAGGACCCAATAGATCGCCAATCGCCCCATAAAGGTAGAGAACTGCAGAGCAACTTTGAATGGTAGACCTGGGCTACGCTTTGTAAACTGTTGATACAGAAAGAAGAGGTTCTGTTAGAGGGTAGAGGAAAGTACATGTGGAATGTCACGTACCTTTAGTCAACTCTTTTGTTTTCCTCTTCTGTTTATCTCCTGAATGTTCTACAATAAAAAGGAGAAAAGCTAAAAAAGGGTTCAATCTCGTGCTTATTAGTTGACCAAAAGCATTTTTAAAGCACAGATTTCGACCTAAAAAAGAATGGTAGCTTAGCCATGGTGCATACAGAATTTTTGGCGGAAAAATCAAGAAGTTTTGGAGGACTTTTCAAGGACCAAAGTAATTTTTTCAAGGACTTCTTTTCCCTGTAACTTGACATAGAATGACATGAAGTAAAGACCTTTCAAATTCGTAGGTGGTGTGGGGTTTGCTTATTGCAATACCTTCCCCCAGGAAGGCACGGTTCCTAGGGTACCTCAAATAACGGAAAATAAACTATGCCAGGAACATTGAAATCACAAGAAAACACACTTTCATGACAACCAAGAAAATTTGCGAACTGCTGTGCTTTCAATCTTTCTTTTGGGCAAAACACTTTTTTTAACAAAGGTTATTTTATTCAAGTTGCTTTCAAAAATATTCAAGGACTTCTGTCGAAAATTCAAGGACTTTTCAAGGATATCCTACAATTTTTCAATTTTCAAGGACTTTTCAAGGCCCGTGCGAAACATGCTTAGCGTTGCACTTACTGCCTGGCCTCATCACCAGGGTCTTTTCGTGAGGCAATATGGCGGCAGCAGAGAAGAGAAGACCCTCTTGTTTTGGTTTGCCGCCAATAAATTGGAAAAACGAGAGAAGACCCTAGGGACGAGGTTGCTTAACAACCGTCTCATCGTGTCTTTTTATCCTATCTTGATAATAGCTGATGGGTTTTACGAAACAAAAAGGTTCTGCGACAAGTTGCGTACCTTCATCCGACTCAGACTGCTTTTTTTCTTTCCTTTTTCTTTTGGAGTTTCTACTATGAATTCAAAAAGCAATGAAGGATTTAATTTTATGCCAAGTGAATCAGTTTCTAAGAATAGCCCACTTCCTTCTCCAGTTCTTTCTCTCTTTTTCTTTTCTTTTGCCCTCGAAAAGGTTCTTCAATGAAAAGAACAAAGAATAACTGATTGAAGCATCCAATCACTGGAACAGCTCTTTCACTCTGTGATTAATTATCACTGAAAAATAACTCCGCATAATCTTTAAAAAATTGATTATCTACGTCTACCAAATTAAGGACATGACCATTCCGCCACACCAGTCCACTGCACCGTATCTGACTCGTCCCCAGTCGTCTCTTATCATTTGTAAGCGGTCATGGAACGGTCGCGGGAGACTTTTACGGCATCTCGGTGAAGGGGGCGACGGGAAGGATAGAGGGCATCTTCCATCCGCGCGCATTCTCCACGCGCATCCCTCGTTATATCTAATTAAGAGACAAAAGAGACTACTGGGGACGGGTCAAGTACAGTACCGCTAATGATCCCTAACGGCAGATGATCCCCACACCGCAAATGATCCCGTGAAAAGTAGAGAAATGAAATAGATTTTAGGCATTGATGGTAAATGTGCTGAGAACTTAAACAACGCGTGAAACAATGAAATGAATAGAACAAAAATAACCTGTTTCTTTTTGCAATTGTTTCTCCTTTCTTTCAAGCATTTGATGTTTCGTTACTGTGAAAATATTTTTAAGCAGGAAGCTTGTCTTTTATTTTAACGCCTAGAAATATGGAAATATGACCCCTGAATTTATCACTCTGTAGAGGTTTTCTGTTTACTTCGAAATACACTTAGCAACTACAGCTCGTGAAAATGTCGCGACTATTTATAAGGACTTTATTGCCTAATTTCATACCACGCGGGGACCTGGCTACCGGATTTTCCCTGACTTTTTAAAAAGTCCAGTTTCAAAATGGCGGATAGTCAGAGTAAAAGCTCGAACGAAAGCATTCTTCTACGAAGAAATATTGATCAATATTCGCTCGCAGAATCTGCCTAGGGTTAGTAAGGAAAGGATGCAGCATTTCTGCCATGCCCTAAAGTTAAACTTAAAGAGCCGACACTCAGCAAGTGCAAGCAACTGTTCGATGAACAGGTCCGCTCGAACCAAAGATGATTACAAATTTTCTAGAGCAAAGCATCCTCTGTTTAGTTCTACCCGCAACTGTAAATTAGGGGTTCATTGGCAAGAACACAGATGTGATTGTGTACGTACCGATCGTAACCTAAACATGCTCAAACAAAATTAAAAAGGGCAGTACAGAAGGGCTAGTTGGATTATTCCCGTCGCGGAAAAGAGTAATTTCTGCGTGAAAGGTTCTGAGTATAGTAAACTTTGTAGCGTTATGTATGTTAAACCTAGTGTTCTTAAATCCCATGCAGGGAGAATAAGGGACTAGTCTATACTCAGTGCATGCTAGCCAAAAGGTAGATGTACGTTGACTGTGATTACAAGGTGATTGCCCAAATTGTAAACATGCTCTTAGACCCAATAACTTCCAAAAAGAGGCAGCTCAATAAGTGAGCCCTTGTAAGTCATTCTTATTTGACATTTTATCACTGAATTTATACATGTCTTGAGTACTGTCTTAATTACTAGAATTGCAATGTCACTGGAAGGTACAGAATCGCACACGAAGAGGCCTCCCAAAGAAGCTATATACAATTTATTCTCCTAAGAAAAATTACTTGTGTATCAATTGGTTGTCTTTTATACAATAGGCTGTTAAGTAAGATCGACTTAAGAGGTGCTAAGTTTTACTTAACCAAAAATGCGCGTGTAAAGGCCTAAGTAAAATCTCAAGAAACTTCACTTTTCATCTCATTAAAGTCGGAAAGTTGAAACGATTCAAGAAAGTTTCAAGCGACTTGAAAACCATCCTTATAACCGACTCAGCTGACTTGCGGTTTCTTGAGCTTTGAGAAAAGCGAAACATGTCGATCAACCTTAATTATGTTGCGTGGAAAAATAGCCTTAAGTCAACCTGAAGTAAAAAAAGAATCGGTTGTGTGTGAAGCTTTATTTTACTTGAGGTAATTAAAATTTACTTGTCTTGAAATATTTCTTAGCTTAATGGGCTCTAGTATAAAGACTATCAATAACATTGCTCAATGTAAGCCTTGCCGACCTAATACGATGTTGCCCTTTCACTCAGGGTCACTTGTACTTGTATCTGGGGTCATAGGCGTACGGGCCGGGGGGGCGAGGGGGGCTGCAGCCCCCCCAAATTTTGGGCAACTCAGATTTTTTGGGCAGCAAGAGAAAATTTGGGCAAAATCAGTTTTTTAAGACGTTTCCGTGTTTTTTAAATCATTATTTTGAGGAGATAAATATTTTCTATCTTAACCTGAAGTTGGCGTAATAATCCAGTACTGTTACATTCACACGAGACAGTGGTTGCCTAGCACGTAAGGAGTTTCTGGTTATAAGGGAAGGGTATCATGTGCTGATTTTTTTTATTGTCGGGCACTGTACTGCAGTGGGCTATTTCCAGTCGTGAATTGATAAGAATAAACTTCCGCCTAACTTTCTAGAATCATCTCCGCTCGTAGAACAGTGTATGGCAGATAGCATCAGCAGTGGGTCTGAAAGTGAAGAAGTGGCCGACTAATTCTCAGTTTGAATTACGCCAAGAATCGTAATTAAAAAAAAAAAAATCTATCGAGTGGTTTAAAAATTAAATTATTCACTAATTTGTTAAAGTAGACCGAAATGTTTACAAAACCGCTAACAAGAGCGCCATGATACATCATGGTCAGAGCTCCATGATCTTTTACCCACGTTTTAAAAAGATTGAAACTACTATGAGGTGAAATTGCATGTCAAAAGCACTTCGTTTTCTACAGATTACGGCCAAACATCAAGATTTTCCTTTTTTACCGTATTTCTAACGATAAAAACTTTGTCGCAAAATATCTCCGCAATGCTCTTACAGATTCCGTTTTAACTTCACGAACATCGAGGCGACTATTGGAGGAAAATGCTCACATGAACGATTTTGGAAGAACAGTTCCCAGTGAGAAATGTTGCTGCAAGTATAATTGGTAATGACGTCATTTGGTTGCTATGACAACTTTGATGTTATTGCAACCATGATCATAACAAATTTTCATCTTTATCTATAGCTAATACAACTGTGGTGGCAATTTTTCCAAATGTTTGTTTATGGTGTCGTAGTCTATGCTCAACCAAACTTCACAGGTATTGACCCTGAAAAACTGTATCGAGCCACTTTCATATGCTAGTACGGCCTATGTTGTTGCATCGTATGGCCCTCGTTTCTGTTCGACTGTTTTGTAAAAATTTGGGCAACTTGCAAGAATTTTTTGGGCAAATGGTTTACCGCCCCTCCTGGCAAAAAATTGCCCGTACGCCTATGTCTGGGTTCGTTTCCACAAATGTCCAGCGCTGGCCACAAGATCCCTTCTTTCCTTTTTCATCCTTACTTCTACACTTGTCTGAGGTGTGGAAGTGTGAAATAACCCTACTTTCCTTTCTCATCCCAAGTTCCACACTTCTCAGATGAGTAGAAGTGTGGAGTAGTCTGACAAAGTCAGGATAATGTCACCCTTTTCCCCTGGTCACGAAACCTCTGTCATCCTTTGCTTAGTTCCACACTTCTCGGGGGTGTGGAAGTGTGGAAAAGTCTGACAAAATAAGGATAATGTCACACTTTTCCCCTGGTCACGAAACCTCTGTCATTCTTTACTTAGTTCCACACTTCTCAGAGGTGTGGAAGTGTGGAGTAGTCTGACAAAGTAAGGATAATGTCACACTTTTCCCCTGGTCACGAAACCTCTGTCATTCTTTACTTAGTTCCACACTTCTCAGAGGTGTGGAAGTGTGGAATAGTCTGACAAAGTAAGGATGAATGTCACACTTTCCCCCCAGTCATGAACCGCTTGTCATTCTTTACTTAGTTCCACACTTCTCAGAGGTGTGGAAGTGTGGAAAAGTCTGACAAAGTTAGGATAATGTCACACTTTTCCCCTGGTCACGAACCCCTTGTCGTTCTTTACTTAGTTCTACACTTCTCAAAGGTGTGGAAGTATGAAATAGCCTGACAGAGTCAGGATGTTGTCGCACTTTCCCCCAGTCAAGAATCCCTTGACATTCTTTCTTTAGTTACACTCAGTGGTGAGTATTAGTTGGTTTTATTTCTGCAATTCATTTTACATTTTTTTAAATGCCATCTTTACGTTTAGACAACAAATCTGTGACTGGAAGATATTAGCCTTGTTTCACTGCCATCTGTTTGAATACCCGACCAGAAAACAAGCACGTTTTCTCTGTCACGAAGTCCCCGCCAGTCCTTTATCTTCGTTTATATATATATATATATATATTTTTTTTTGAACGGAAACCTCAAAAACATCATCTTATCTTTGGTTTTGTATGTTTGAAATTTTTTATCTTAATGAGCCATATATTAATTCGCTTCAGGAATTCCCATATCATTTTTAAAAATGTGAATGCCACATTATAATGCAAATACAATACATAAAGAATCTTACCCCGGGAGATTTGAATTGGGTACAACATTGAGTTAGTCGAATAGGACCGGAATAGGTCTCTTAAGATCGTGACAACGCTAAAAGATCAACTTGATAAAGTTTATAAATGCTCAGATGAATTGTCATTGATATAATCCTACATACGGTTCATGACCTAAATTCGTCTAAAAATATATAGCGTACTGTGTAAAGTAATAATTGTGACTTATCGGTCTAAAGTAGCTACCTGCAAATCGCTCTGTGGTAAAGGGGGATCACTGTGTTATCTCTACGGCACGTGACAAAAATATTTGCATGGTCCACCCTCCTCTTCGTCTTTAGAGAGTCACTCTAAGGTGAATTCTTTTTCGAGGTTTCTTGGCCTCGAGCCGCTCGCCTGCGACGCAAACAACGTAAAAGAGCTCGAAGGGGCAATGAGAGGGAAAAGAAGTGGTGTGCAATTGTTATTAATTTTTTTTAGTACTAGAACGATCTCAGATTCATTTTTAAACAGGTCGTCCGCCAGAACAAATTTATTTTAATCCTATCACTTACTAGGTTATCAGTTAATCGCGGTCATTAATCTTTTGGCGGCATATAAGTGCATTATAGCATGAAGCGATACAAACGTTTTGATGTTGTCATCTGACCTCTTTGTGTACCACCTACAGATTGACACAGAAGTTTGCGAGCAGAAATTCTCTTCGCTGTCAAAATATGCAAAAATGACAAGGAAAATGAACAGAGGACACTTTGCCTTTTTCATAATTTATGTTCAGCATTTACATAATCTTAGATAAGAGGAAAAACTACGAAACAGTGGATATATGGCTTGATCTAACAATGATCAAAGTTGAAGCATACTGATAAGGAAGAAAGATTGGTTGGAGATCGGGTTTCTTAATTTTAAGTTTCTTTCAACAGCTGGAATTGAAACAATGGTTATATCTTCTATTCAAAATAAAAATAGTTCTTAAGGAAAAATGTAAAACAACGATACTGAAATAAAGCCAAGTGCTCATAAAGCGCACTGAGCTTCTCATGACTCAGGGAAAGTGCTACATTAAACTCGACTTGTCATACAACTCCACACTTCACCTCTGAGAAGTGTAGAACTACGTAAAGAATGACAAAGGATTAGTGACTATGGGAAAAGTGTGACTTTATCCTTCCTTTGTCAGACTATTCCACACTTCTACACTTCTGAGAAGTGTAGAACTTAGTAAAGAATGACAAAGGGTTCATGACTATGGGAAAAGTGTGATATTATCCTAACTTTGTCAGACTATTCCACACTTCCACACCTCTGAGAAGTCTGGAACTAAGTAAAGAATGACAAAGGGTTCATGACTGGGGGAAAAGTGTGACATTATCCTTACTTTGTCAGACTTTTCCACACTTCCACAGCTCTGAGAAGTCTGGAACTAAGTAAAGAATGACAAGGGGTTCATGACTGGGGGGAAAGTGCGACAATATCCTTGCTATGTCAGACTATTCCACACTTCCACACCTCTGAGAAGTGTGGAACAAGGTAAAGAATGACAAGGGGTTCATGACTGGGGGGAAAGTGCGACAATATCCTTGCTATGTCAGACTATTCCACACTTCCACACCTCTGAGAAGTGTGGAACAAGGTAAAGAATGACAAGGGGTTCATGACTGGGGGGAAAGTGCGACAATATCCTTACTTTGTCAGACTATTCCACACTTCCACACCTCTGGCAAGTGTAGAACTAAGTAAGAAGTGAAGAAACTCTGGATTTCATGGCCAGGGCTGGACATGCTCCAATACATCAGATTTGTGAAATTTTTCCTGAAAGATATTGTAACTAACTGATGTAAAGTATGTTGAAGTTTTGTTCAGTTGAACTTTAATGTTAACCAGTAATTAAGCAAGACACTGCATTGCTGTTGAAGAGCTATTTTCTTGTTGCAGGTGTTGCTTTGATACTCTTTATGTTTTTTTCTTGTTTGCATTCATTTGTGTTTCATTGAGGGAACAAAGTTTTAAATGTAGTTTTCGGTGAGTTCTTTTTTTCCTGCTTTGGCATTTGTGAAGCAAAATTTATTCGATGATCCAGTATTTAAATTTGAAACCGAGCCATTCTGACTTTCCTCTAGCCTGTGAACAGGCTCTCTGTTTGGGAAAAAAAATGCAAGGAAAGGGAAGGGCAAGGGGGGGAGAGAGAGCCTTTTCGCTTTTCCCTCTCCCTAGTTCCCCGCTTGACCAAAGGCCTGTTCACAGGCTAACTTTGCTCTTGGGATTATTTGCAGTCGACGATGGGGATCATTTTGCGGTCGAGGTTTTAAGGTCCATTTTGGGGACCATTTGCGGTACTGTAAACCACTCGCTTTGGACATTGACCCTGTTTCTATCGGCCGATTACATCGAGCAAAAGAAAAGTCACGTTTTGCTAGAAGTCATAGATATTAATGTGCATCGATATATAAATTTAACCAAGTCCACAAGAGAAGCTTCTTTTAAATTCTTAACGTTGCAATCCGAATAAATACCTTAATGACAAAAATAAGAACCTATACCCGCGTTTAACCGTTAAAAGTAGAACATCAACAGGTAGATCTGGTTGTTTCAATACTGTTGTAACATATTCAGTCGAGCTTGCTTAAGCAGAGCGAGACTCTTAAAATGCAGTCTAGCCTGCAGTGCAGGCGTTTTCTTTCAGCGCGCAATTTGCTCGCGAAAGCGCCATGTTGAAACTCCCCGAGGAGAGGAGGAGATAGGGCGAGTCAAAGGGAGCGGGGGTGGGGGGAAGGGAGGCGGGGAGAGAGAAGAGAAAACTCCTGCCCGAAAACACTGTGAAAATGAGAAACACCCCCTAATTAGACACGCGTGACCGCTCTTCCGGAAATGAGTAGCCGACAATAACAAAACAACCAAACAGTCGCTCCAGTCCAAAGACTCGCATTGTCTTAAGAAAAGCAAGCTGGAGTCACAATGGAACTCCACAGCTGATGAAGCTTCAGTTTAAGCTGCAATTCATCCGTGAGAGTTTAACATCCTGCAAACAATTTAAAAAACTAACGAGCTGGGCCCAGCGTGATACAACATTGCAGGAAAACATCACATTCTCGGATTAGAAAGAAAATCGCTTAGTTATTCAGATCCTGAGGCACTTTGGACAAATATAAAGAACCTAACAGCCTTATTTAGCGACAAAAAGAGCTTTACACTTCAAAACAGGTCAAAGAAAAAACTCTTGCATCAGAGGGCAAATCATGAAGACCAGAAATTCAAAAACCACAGAAAATCAATAAGCGTGTCATGACCTCTCAGTGTGAAACAAGCGGCCAATATCACATTTGCTAGAGCATAATCTACTCGCCAGAAACAAAACATATTGGAACAAGCAGCATTTTGGCATGAGGAAAAAGTGGAGTAGGTTTTAGTACTGCCAGCAAATCGTGTCCTGATAACCAGTTTAGAAATCGCTTTGACTTTCTCATTGCGTACCGTTTATATACACGCGACATTCCCAGCCGCTCCAGTTCCAAAAGACTGACGGAAACGGAATAAACAATATAGACTTACAGTTAATTGACAGGCATCAATCTACTTCCCTATGCCGCACCAATCAGGAGCTCCGTTTGCCAGCGTACGGAGTTTCCCAAAAGAATAATGATATCGGGTAGGCGTATTTTTTTTCTCCCCTCCCCCTCCCCCCTTTCCTTCTTTCGCCCTCGCACCTACCGTAATGCTTACTATTTCTACTCTTCCCAATCTTCCCCTGTCATAAAATCAAAGATGGCGGCTACAATAATATCACGAACACCATCAAGGTTTCGCCCACCCAAAATACGCCTGCACTGCAGGCTAAATGCAGTGGCTTTTTTTTTTGTCGGTGGGACCTAGTTCGTAGGCCCCGCGTTCCTGGCGAAGACCGTGGAAACTGGGTATCAGAATCGTGACGACTTTCATTGTATGGAAATGAGTCTCGTAATGAGAATGCGGTTCATTTTCGGCGATGACTGAAATGACACAAGTAAGTTTGGCAATGATGTAATTTTCCTCGAATGGAGGCCCTTGATTTTCGTGTAATTATGCACGACATGCAGGCACTTTAAAAAGGAAATATCCCCAAGTAGGATGAGAAAATGTTATAGCGGGGAAATCCTATTTTGTGGTGTTTTAAGGCGTTACGTTTCTCAGAATATTGTCGCAATTACAGGAAATCTACGGTTAAATAGATTCCCTTGTTTTATGTATTTAAGTGATAGATTTTCGCAGTTGTTAAGATGTGAAGTCGTGCTGGACTTTATAAATACTTGAGATATCAAGTATCCACTGTCACTTAATTCTTTAGTGAGTACGTGCGTAAAATTTGCGTTCGCAATTAAAATAGAGGCAATGTATGAAAGGCCGCACGTACAATTATATAAGCCTAAAAGTAGAAACTCGCTCAATTTGACATTTAATCTCAACACTTTATATCTTACCTCTATTTTATTTACGTGATTAAAATTTACGTGCGTTAACGTGCGGAGCCAAAAACGCGCTAGTGGAAATCCACCCTAATGTTACGTATGCGTCACGGATGTGTTTGTACGGGTAGCTTTGAACTTGACTATCCGCGCACTCTACTTGCAGCACTTCATGTCTATAGAATAGAAATCCCATATCGAGCTTTTCCGGAACAGGTTGGTCCAAGAATTCTATCGCTTGAAAGTGTTGATTATTTTGGAACAACTGATCACTTCAGTGGTCGAAAAAAAAAAAGAATAATCTTAGTGAGCAAAACTTCAAGGTTTACTGGAAAATCAGGATCGAGGATCGAGGAATCTGGGATCGAGGATCGGTTAAAAAGAACTTGAAAATGAAATAACTAAATAAATCGTGGATCAGTGGTGATGTGGGCCGCAGACTGCAAATAAATTTCACAGAACATAACCCCGTTCGCTGTACTGAACACTAAATTCAAGTAAACTTATCCGAGTCTGACAAGAAAGTGAAATTTTCCTGGAAAATGAAACGCTTTATCCCAGTGATACTGTAATAAAAGGAAAAAAAAAACTTTAACAGTTTTTAATTTTTAATTGTACATTTGCTTTCAGTACTCCGTATTTTTCTTGCAATTGTTGTATGGACGACCCCACCAGCAATGCTGATCTTTTTATCGCGCCAAAATAAAGTTCTTATCGATCTATCTATCCATCCATGCATCCCTCCCTCCCTCCCGTCCTCCATCCATCTATCTATCTATCTAAAATGCATGCTGTGTACAACTCAAAACATTGTACTCAGAGACTGTACGAAGATATTAAAAGTAGATACCAAGCAGCTATGGAAAATGTAATTACTTTCACGCAATATTGATATCTTATAAAACGGACAACAAATTCAGCAGGAATAAGCGCGAACTAAATTAACTGTGTGTTGCATAAGGTTCTGTTAAACTCACACATTTTTCCTGTGCTGAACATATACTGTGCCGAACCGTATCTTGGTCCGGTACAAAGAAGCTATTTATAATGGCAGAGTCATGGGCCCCTGATACCGATGAAAATCATCGTTCAATTTTTTGAGTGTAAAATCCCTGAAAGAGTACTCCTCAATGGAGCAATATCAATATGTAGAAGGTTTTAAAAGGTTTCACACCGGTTTGAGGCTAAGGTGTTCGGGCTGTCTTTCCTTGCAATTTTTACTTTTTGAGTATTTACATTATGAAATGCAACACTCGTTTTGTATTCCAAACGAAAAAGTAGTATAACAGCACCGGCGCCTTTGACGAAACTTATCTCCAAGCAAGCGAGACCCAACGCTACTAAGAGCGTTCTTGTTTATGGATAGAAGACCAACAGCCAGCTGAGGTGGGCTAGCATCGCTGTTATTTGAATTGTAGTTCGTTGCAGCTTCTGACATGTCTGTTTACAGCTACATCATACTGGAGACACAAAAAGGTCAAATAGTTTGAGACCTTATGTTGCACCTTTTTCAACCAAACAAACACCAAAATGACCCAAGGTATCTTAAAGAATTCAAGGTATTCAGGTGGGTATTACGTTTGCACAACATATTTCTCGCCAAGTGAAAATTCTTTATCTACAATTAACGATCGTTGAATCAATTTTCTTTTTTACAGTTACAAAAAAAAGAAGTTTATTTGAGTGTCTATGTATTTAGCACAAAAGTACTTATAATTGTAAACACAATTTTCACGTTTGCTACTGGAGACGGGACCGAAATTTAAAGTGGTCATCCGAGCCACGTCAAGGACCAGCCGTTTGCAGGACAAAGACAGTACTTTCATTCCCCAGTTATATATGACCCTCAGTATTGGTTCGGCCCTAGGAATCAGGCGAACCCGCGACCGCCAGCTCTGCAGTCAAGGGCTCTACGGACTGAGCTATTTACATACCGTAAACAGCAGCTTCAAAGTAGTGTACACCGCTTTAGAAGCTGTTAGGACCTTTCTTTTCCTTCTGAGAGAACAAACGAAAATGAAACTCACTGGGACAAATTAGAGGAAGCCAAATAATATAAATCGTGTCAATCGTGCTGTATAATGTGATGGGTAATCACGCTGTGCAAGCCAAATACTCAGATGTAACGTGAGCCTTGAATATATCACGCGACTAACAAATCTACTTTAAAACACAGCTACAACTATTAAACTTTTATGTAACTTTTCTGATCAAGTATTGTAGGGAATTAAACCACTGTGAGAATTAGCCGATGACAACACAAGTTGAACGACAAATTTTTAAGCGTAAGAGCCTATTCCGCGCGTTAGGGTACAGTGAAGCCAAGTTGACAAGATTAAATTCAACTGATTTAACAAATCGCTGTGGTTATATGCCCGGCAGCCGGGAAGAGTTTTAAAAACACGAAATGCCCGATAGTTAGAAATGTTTTGGATTTTCTTCAGAATCCCTTCTTCTAATCGTTTGAAAGATTCTATCCTCATTTAGAATTACCAAGCGATCAGGAAAACAAGAGTAACTTCGCAGTTGAGCGGTTGTGGTTTCTTGGGCATAGAGTAGAGTCGACGCCGTTAGAAAAAAAAAACGTGAGTAGCAGCGCGTGACTCACGGGCACGGTTTCACACAGGCTAAATACCTGTTTTTTTTTTCTAGCAAATACTTACAGTCCATGTAAAGACACTTTCAAGCCGCCATGTTAAAAGCCCATTTAGGACTGAGTATGTGTCTGAAACAGTCTCCCTTGGATTTTCTTGTTCTTGCTATATCATTTATTTGAACTTGCGCGTATTTAAAAATAGGCAGTCTATGAATGCATGTGGCTTACTGTATAGCTTTACCTAAATAAGGGATGACGTCTGACATTTGCAGACTTCGTGCTAAGCGAAATCATAATGGCAATAACCACAAGGAAACCAGTGAGAGTAGAACAAATAGTAAGAAAACTATGCAAGTGTGACATAGTGATACAGGGGTACATGTCCCACTAACGTTTAATACGTACCAATTCAAAAGATAAGTCAGAAAATAACAAAGGGATGAGTCAAATGCGACGTAAATGTTTTTATTCGAGATGCTTGAAACAATATTGTGTTTTCCATACTTTAAGGTTTGCATTATATGTAAATCATCCATGAATTTCAAAAGAATCAAACTATAATTGTTTCAAGTACCACTGTTAATAACACAGGGCAATAGGGATGTTACTAAAACAATTTCCCTCTTTTTCTACCAGACGCAAGGAACATAGCAATTTCTTAGGACCTCATTTCCAACAACTTCATTCACAGTGAATTTAACGTGTTTTTAATCAACTTCCTCATGTTTGGGGACCCAAATAAATTATACTGAACAGCAACAAAACAACAACTTGGTGTGCCTTAAAAGGGGGAAGTGGGTAATAAAGTGCTCCACTGGAACTTAAAAGGTCAGCCCCATGTACTCTGGATTTTTGTGAGCTAAAGAAAACCTACGACCGGGGTGGTACACACACCGGTATGGAGGAGGGACCTTTTGCGTTTTACTAAACAATTATCCGTAGGAAACAAAATACAGTTGACTCCCTATAACTCGAACCTCGAGCTAACTCGAACCAAAATCGATTTCCTCTGGATTTCCGTCATACATTTACTGTAATTTTACCCTTGGTAACTCGAACACTTGATAACTCGAACCTTCCTGTGACTCACCTAATTTTTGTTTCCCTTCAAATCATTTATTATAATTTTACCCTCGATCACTCGAACCATGTTTTCAGCCCTTAAAAAGTCCGGAAAAAACAGTTTACTGGCGTCCGAAACATTGAATTTTGAATTTCCCATTGATGTGTTGTATGCATATGGCTGATGTTGTTTGTCACAAATCTATGTGAAACAGCTTTACTTCTCAAATCAGTAAAACCCATTCTCTATTTAGGCAATGGTTTGTTGCTGCGTTACGTTCTGATTTATAATCTAGTTAATCTAGAAGTATCTTTCAATTTTCACTTAACATTTCTACAATTAACCGGCATGAAAACTTTGAACACATTTAGGGCCTGTTTACATGGGGTAAGGGACCCCGGTCTAGTGAGGTTGGTTTCTTTTGTTTTCACGCTCTGGGGGACACAAAACAAAAGAAACCTACCCCACTAGACCAGGGTCCCCCACTCCATGTAAACAGGGTCTTAAAAAAAATTTACATATTGCTGTAGCGAGAAGAACTAAACGATTTACATTTTTCTTTGCGATATTAAGTACCTGTATCCTCCGTATTCTGTTTTTGTCGATGGTAATGTTTTATATTTTTGCTTCTTTTAAACAAACAAATATGAACAACGAAATACACTGGTCTTGAAGAAGCCATGATAGAAGGTCACCACTGAAGCAAAAATCAGCCGGGTAGAAACAAACTATTCGCCGGGTTCGGGGAGGCTAAATTATGAATTATAACTGGGTAAGCTGAATTAAACACTGAGTAAGGTTTCACTGGGTCTGTTACAAAGGGGTATCCTTTAGAAACCCTTGAGTTTCCCTACCAATCTTTATATACGGCCACAAGCAGTAGAACTTTTACACTCAACCTGCACATTAGGTAATAGATCAATGATTGCGCTCACGAATGGCACACACGAATGGCACAATGTGCATAACAAATAAAACTGTCAACATGGTTATTCAGTGTAGTTAGTGTACTTATGCAGTGTAGTCAATGTAGTTAGTGTACCCAGGGTACTACTGTACCCCAGCTACACTAGCTACAAACCTACACACAAACTTGTTCTTGAACTGTGTATATTCGTGACAGTAGTCAAGGACTAATTACCATTTTACTAAAAACATTATAATTATTTTGTAAAAACCTATCACTGGCTCTTGAGGTAATGCTAACTACGAAATCTAACACTGGTTTTAAAAATATAAATGAGCCCTTGGTTCAACCCTAAGATGATGCTTTCCAAAAATCGAAGAAACTCTAACAAAAAGAAGCGGGTGAAGATTTATATTATACCTGCTTGGCGTCATTCGATACTTGCCCGTGACATACCGTATCTGAAAGGTACATGTAACGGCCGCGACTGCAATGTTTCCTAATTCACTAAGAGATCATGCAAATCTATTTTACTAAGCAACTTCCCTTTACCCTAGTTTTACCGTTATAACCTTCATTTTATATTGTTGGATTTCGTTTTGAAGTAGGTAACATGGCTGACACCTAAAATTAGTTCACAGTTGAGAGCCGATGATATTGATCAACAGTTTGAAATACGTTATCTGTTCAGATCTGCAAAGCAATATTTTACCTTTCATTGTGAGGGTTCCCTTTCAGTCTAGAAAACTGTCTCTATTGGGGACGGCTCGTGAGTTTGATAAATCGTACGAAGAGCAGTGATCGCAAGAGTTTTTCATGAAGGGCTCTATTAATTGCATAATCAGAAGTCATGCGAATTTTATAATTAACCGACGAGCTCTTTCTTGTTTCATTTACGTTGTTTCTAAAAAATTATTAATGTACAGTGCATTTTGCTGCAAATAATACCTTATTTATTCTCTATTATCATCACAAACCGAAACCAGACTTAAAAACTGTCCAACAGTTAAATTGCTTAAATAGGTTCCCTCAGTCAATGCAAAGAGCTTCTAACGTGATTCTCTTTCACTTTCAAGACTTCGAAATGTTTAAGCAATACGTCACATATTAATTGTAAAAGCCCCTGGCGTCCAGGTACCTTCACACGCAGCAAACGGTTAAACGTTCAGTTTGAGCATCACATTAGCCTTGATCACATTGTTTTAAAAATCATATCTCACAATGTGAGCGTTGGAGCCGTGATCAGGCTTCTACACAAGCCCACAAGGACTGGTTGGAATTGCGACATCACACCCCTCCACCTTCATCAAATCTTGACTTTATAAAAACCTCTCAAGACAAAGTCAGTGATTTATGCCTTTCGAAATATACAAGTTAGGAATACAAAGAACAAACCTTTACTGAAGGGGACTTGGACGTTTCCATCGGAGCAAACGATTTCATCGGTTTGGCGTCGGTAGGCGCTGTTTTGCAAAGTCTGGTCACGGGTGCGGCTATTGAATTGAATGACGTCAAAGTCTGGGAATGAAACAAATGATCATTGTTTAATACCTGACCTGGATTCGTTTCATCCTTTTTTTCTAAAAGAAGAAAATGAAAAATGAAACTGCATGTTCATTTTTCATTTTTTTTTTTTGGGGAAGTAAGATTGAATTTAATATTCATTGTTTTGCAAAACTGAAAAAGTGAGAAATGAATAATGAAAAATGAAAGCCTGTGTTCAGTGGTCATTTTTTTCGAAAACTGACAAATGACAAATTAAAATTTTTTTTCAATGAAAGCAAACATGAAAATTCAATTTTTATCTTCAGTTTTCACCGCCAGAAAAAGATATTTTGCGCTCACCAGGGCCCCTTTGAAGGAATGAACAAGATGGTAGCCCGGAAACGGAATATATGCGCCGTCCTGACGAGCCACAACTGATAATGGCGAAACAGCTGTCGACGGCTACTACTCCGTTCTGTTTTGGGTTCTATCAGTGTTGTGTTGATGTGTTGCAGAGTAAAATTTGACGTAGTACGATCAGCATTGCAGAATTCAGCATTTGCAAATGCACTTCCTTATGGCTCACACGAGGATGTGCCGCTGGACAGCGTAAGGTTTTTGTCCACCGGCCCTTCCTTAAACAGGGTATATACGATTAGAGAAGTCGAGGTACGTTTTAGGAGCCTTTTAGCCAATTGAGCCGAAAAAGTGATGAAAGGCGTTTTTTTACTCAACTGATTTTTGGTTTGTCTGAGGGGTCAAAATGAACTTAAGCCAGGGGCGTAGCGTGGGATTTTGAAGATGTACGCACAAGAATAAATTTTTCCTAAATTAGGGGGGTCTGGGGGCATGCTCCCCCAGAAAATTTTGAAATTTAGGGTCTCGGAAATGCGATCTCCTGGTTTTTCTGCGGGGCATTTTCAATATATAATGCGGCAAAAATGCAGTAGAAAGTTGTTTATTTTAGCCATTTCCCTAGTGTTTTCTGTAAGCTACAGTGTTCCGAAAAGAAAAAAAAAAAAATACAAAAACAATGAAAACAGGTCACAAGCAAAGGGCGAGGCGTCGACCCTTAAGACGGGCAAACTCCGTTACCAACCTGTCAATATCCACGTTCTTATGTTTATTGATATGAAGGATTGCCAGGGAGCGTAATCTTTCGTCCGTCATCGCACTTCGCAGAGGACATTTTAGTCTCTTTAATTTTATGCTACTGAAGCTACGTTCGGCAGTGCATGTAGACACAGGATAAGTTAACAATGTTACGGGAGCAACATATACACCGGGATAAAATTGGGAGTTTGCGTGGTCAAGAGTCTCAACCAAAGTCTGCCGCGTCACATTCGGATGTCACTCCATTTGTGCTTCCATCTTGTGACTTCGGTTTTAAACTCATCCTCAGAATTTATGCCTACGTACCTTCAGCTTCTTCTGCACGTTGTTCAGTTGTCTTGTTAATTACGTTGAAGTAATCGTGTATCGATTTTCGAGCCATATGTGTGTACTCTGTGTCACGAAACACACGAAAACTGACTACAGAAGCCAGTGATCACGCTCCTCAAGTCGCAGAAATATTCAGAGGATTCTGTAACAGTTTCTTCGGAAAATCAATTATTGGGGCTTCACTGTTTGACCTCACAAGTATATTCCTAATCTCCGTTGACGGCAAATACGTTTTGTTCTGAAGCCACACGTCATGGCATAGTAACCTCTCCTTCAAGAATACCTGCGGGACTGGGGAAACTGGTGAGGCTGGCTGACCTTGAGGGAGGGGTACATGAGGCGTTTTTCCTATTTTTGCTTACCACTCAAATGCATTTTGGCATTATTAGTGACCAGCACTGAATGATTAATGCTTGGATAATGGGAATTCTAATAAAAAACGCCAGTATAATGAGAAAATATGAACCTATTAGCCAGCAAATTTAATGAGAAAAAATTTTTTCTCAGATCTCAGCTGTACGCACGGGCGTACGTGCGTATATGGACGCTACGCCCCTGTAAGCCACAACCCCACTGAGCAGGATTCTGGTAATATAAACTTAGGACTTTGGAATCTAGTCTGATCGACATTTTCTTACCAGGAACCCTGTAATTGTGACTGGGGGGTGGCGGTGTAGCCCGCGCCCCTTACCCACTGAGCTGCATGATTCGTAGTATTAATCTTGCCGCCTTGAGTGTGATCTTTCACAAACCCTCGATGTAGTTTGATTTTTTTCTTAAAAGGCATTACGATTTCATCAAACCAAGAAAATCAAGAAAGGCTAATAGGAGTCCAGACTGCCTTTTGATTTAAATGGGCAAATTTCAACGTATATAAAGAAAAAAAAAGTCCGTGAAAGCCTTTCCTTTTATGCTTTTTTTTCGAGAAAAAACGTTTGACGTTTGCCGTTTGCCGTTTACCGTAAACTTGACTATAAATCTGTCTAATAATACTATGAAAACGTTGCTTGCATCGAAGTCGTTTTGTCATCCATGTCAGGGGAAACAAGCAGTGGGGTAAAAAGAGCAATATTCAGCCTCGATGGCATTCAAACCAACAGCCTTTTATAGTGGAGTGATTTCAGTCTCACCATTTTGAAGGTGGGGTCTAACATTGCCGAAATATTTTCACCCTTTTACAGGGGTTTGAACTCTGACCTGAAAAGTCCAACGCGTTAGTCCATTGCTCCACGGGGGGTGCATACGTAGAGATTTGGTTAAAAATGGTGGTTGAATAAAAGCCAGCTCAAGATTTGTAGGAAGGAAAGCAGGGATGATGGAACAAGGCGAAGGAATCCCCACCAGACTCGTGGCTCCTCGGAGAAAATTGGTTAGAATCACGCATGTGTTATACGGCCGGTAAACGTCAGTTTGACTGACAAGTGACTAAATTTCCCATTTACTATAAATCGTTTATTGTTTATTCCATCGATTCAAAATAAGGAAATTGCACAGTTTTTATCTGCTCATTTCCTAATCTGAGTACAGTTGTAAGCTTGAATCTGAGTGACGTTTCCAGTTGCCGTAAACGTGATTCTACGATTCTGAATCTATGGTTAAAAACGACGGGTGAGATCGTAACACTAACGTTTACGAGCCAAATGTACAGATCGGTACTGCTTAAGGAGTTAAAATAATAACACCAGCATTTGAAACAGAGCTTTGAGCAAAAAATGAGTAGATCCTCTCAGCGTTAGAAAAGTACTTCGCTTCTACCCCAACGAAAGGAGATTCCGGCTGATGCATCTTCTCTAGTTTTGAACGTTGACTTAATTTTATCTTCTTTATGACAGACAGAATACCAATAAAAAAATATACACATATTATTGAATTTCGTTTTAAAGAGTACTGACTGATGGTGCCACCCAAAGTCGTGTCTATTCTGTCTGGTGGGTGTTGGAAAAGCTCTTTTCTCCTTGTCTTCTTTTTTTTTTTCATTCTTGCCTACGATTAGAATAGCTGGCTTAAAGGATATTGAACCAAGGCTTTTGTGCCCAGTTGATTGTTTGAACTATAGTAGCTATAGTAGTTGCTCCCAGCCTAAATTGAATCACATAGCACGTCTTTGACTAACGTTTCTTGTAATTATTTACTTAAATAACGTGAAGAATGATGAGGTTTTTCCCAGTTTTTAGATTCGGTTCTATTATCTTTGCTAAATCCATGGCCAATAATTTCATTTTTCTATTTAGTGACAACTCTAAACGTAGTAAAAATCAGTTGTTGTTAATCTTCATTCTGTACAAACACAGATGAACCGAATTACGTAAGCTAATGGTGGCGTTTGATTGACTCTTATTTCTTAACTTGTAGGCTTTACTAACTCGTTAGCAACGGTTAAAAGAGCTAACTCACTTGGAGCTTACTGATTTTAATATGGCTATAGCATAGTCGCTAGGCATCTCGGTTCGGTCCCTCCTGGACTCTACCGTGAGCTGTGACGTCACCGAGGGAAGAGAGAACACTGTGGCTATAGCAATTGCCACTGAATTCTCCAAGTGAGTTGTAGACTTTCTCAAAGTCGTTCGCTTGGTTTTCTGGTCTGGTGTGGTAGGACCCGGCACGAAGCTTTCGCTCGCTCGCGCCTCGCGCTCGCTCGCTCGCGCTCCGCGCTCGTACGATCGCGCTTCGCGCTCACAGTCGCGCTACGCGCTCAAAAGCTCGACTTGTGAGCAAGTCTAAGTGAGTTGCTGATATACACTGACCAGACTGGTGATTCTTGTTCTTTAGGGAGCATTACCTTCTTATCATTAGGTATTACAAAACTTAAGGACCACTCTACATACCAACAAACTCATAACGATAAAATGTAGTGAACGGGCAGGCAGGAACAGCTACACCAAGTGAGACGGCTTCTATAAAGTAATTAATACAGTAAAGACATGAAATCTGGGTTATGTGTATATGCTTCATCAACAGTTCATTGTTTCACGGGCCTGAGTCAGAGAGAGGTTCTTGTTTGCCACTCTCTGCATGTGTCTCTGGTGTGCAAAACCTGCAACAGCCCAAAGCAGAAGCATATAACCCAAAGATATACATGTATGTAAACACATTCCTTTACCTTAGCCAGATTGAGACCCTGTTTATGAAAGGAGGATAAAACTATTCACCTTTGAACGAAAATGGTTCCGGCTTTTACAAGTGATATCTTGCAGCTTCAACTTGAATTGTTATTTCTATTTCAGAATCATGAATAAAAAACGGGTAAATGTGAAAAGCACGATAAAAAGTACAGAAGAAACCTTTTGGAATGTGTGAAGGCACTTTAACGTTCGTCTGGCAACTAAAAAAAAAACACATATGCCTTATGGAACAAGTGTGATGTCAAGATGGCTGAATTTTTGACCGAACAAGTTCGGTCAATAAAGGATTTGTTACATAAATGCGGGACCAACGAGGGAAATTTCGTCTTTCGCTCAGGGTAGCCAATCACAACAGAGGATTCGCATCATCTGGTCGCGAATTCAGCCATGTAATATGAAGTAAACTAACTGAGCTGGGAACTGATATGGCGGTCGGACGTTTTTTTATCGTGTCCGCCTAGTTTTGCTTAAAAGACGCCTCTCCCTGCCTTACTCGGCAAATCTGTAAATGATCTTCTTAAAGACACATGCCCGCAGAAAAGAACAAAAAAAGAGGTCGATATTGAATTTTTTAACAAAGCCTTAAAGGTGACATGGATTAAAAAATACCTGGACAAAAACAATCGTGGCAAATGCTGGAAATTTCTTTTCGATTTTCATCTTGAAAAACCTGGTTACAGTCTTCTTTTTACCAACAACTTAAACAAAATGGACGCAATCAAGACCTTAAAGACCAGGTTTTTATAGGAAATTCTACTAATCTGGTTAGAAATAAACTTTAAACAACAATTAACACCCGAAAGACAGCCGTTCTCGAACAAAACCTATGGTTTTAACTCCCTGGTACGAAGTCAACAATGCCCCCATTTACTATAGGGAATGGGAATGCAGAGGTATTTGGAAAATATAACACCTGAAAGACACCAATAACAATTTTCTTACCCTTCAAGAGCTTCAGGACAAACTCGACTTAAAGATTCAACCATTGACTTAGTGTGGTCTTCTTTCTGCTCATAAATCACGTGCTTTGGATGAGAATTAAGTAATCTAAGTGACTGCACAAACAACGGTAAAGAATATGAAAGCTTTTTGACTAAATTACCCACCAAAGGTAAAAAAACCGAGCTGTAGACTTGCATATAACGCTCTCGTTCCAAAGAAATCCTCTCCCCTACCCATGCATAGTCAGGACAGATGGACGGAAGCTTGTGGCCTATCACATAATGACGGAATTGGACCGCTGCTTACCAGCTTGCTCCAAAAATTTCGAGAGACACAAGACTTTATGAATTTTAGTTCTAAACACTTTAACTGTCTTTTGGGCTGCTCTCGAGCTCCCTCATGCCCCTGATAATTTCCTTTGTATAGGTTTGCCTTCTTCGCACAACGAATGCGTATCAATAATTTTGGTAATTTTTGACAATACTTTTAATTTTGTTGTTTTTTGTAGTTTCTTTTGCAATTTTTTCCTTTGTATGTAAATGTGTATCAAGTAATAAAGTGTTTGTTGTAATAAAAGGAAAAACTAAATCCGTGATCACTAGTGTAGGAAACGATGGAAACACAAAACAACTAGACTAGTTATAATACTGTTTAAATCTGGGTTTAAAAATCAAATGAGACATCATCCCCAATAACCACAAAAGGTACCCATTGCCTCCATTTAGAGGAACCGTTATTTCGCATCCACTTCATGGCTCGGTGAAGAGATTCGCTTGCACTTTCTCCTTTTACAAGGCTTTCGTAGAAATGGCTCATGAACTGGTCTGTTGCTTTTAATTGTCTCCTATGGCCCACGGAGCCACCAACACTGAGCGCGCACCCGATCCTAAGAATGTTCGAGCGATTCCAAAGACGCCTTCTGCTTTTATTTGCCCACACGCAGTATGACAACAGCTTAAGGACTACCAGTTTGGCTGTCAGTCTAACTTCTGAAACTTCTCCCATTGACAGTAAGTAGTCTGGTTTGTATGCAATCCCCTCTGTAGAGTTAGGAGGGGCAAGTGCATTTTCTCCTTTTTCGGCATCACCGTGAGCAGCGAAATGTGTCAGACTCACTGAGTGAATTGTCTGTCGAACTGCCTGCTTTGTTGCTTGCTCTCCTATTAAAAGGTGAGATCCAGGCAGTAACCTTGCAATCATCTCTGCTTCCCGTTTCACTTCAGGCAATGGACAAAGGTTTCTTACTTCTTTCTTGAAATACTGACCTTTGTAACGCTTGGTTCACCCACAATCAATATACCAGTTTTGCTGTGATAGGCAGCTGAACTGTCCTAAATGAGCTTGAAAGTCGTCAAGGAAGGGACGATTCTCATCCTGAAAGTATCTGATAAATACATGTTACTCAGTTCAACATCTTCTAACGATGCAAACGAAACTTAGCCTGTGTAACTGGCGGTATTGTGTAGTAGTCCAGTGAGATTTGGCGGCGGAGCCGTCACGAGCGGCGAAGCCGCGAGAAATACCAACCGCCTCTTCCCTACTCCCTTTTTTTGGAACACGGCTCCGCCGCCAAAACTTTAATCTCGCATTCACACAATATCGCCAGCTACGCAGGCTAAACGAAACTCTGTGCAAGTTGTGATGGGGAATAACAATGATTTCGGGTCCCTCTAGTAAGTCGCGTGCAGGAACGACTATAACAAGTTGTAACCCGGCTGGGAAAGGGTTGGCGGTCCAAAATACTTTTCGTTTTCCTCTTCTTCTACCAGACGCGGGGATGGGAGGTTTTCTTCCTGCTTTGTTTCGTCTGTCATGTGGCTGGTGTATAACGAAAACAGCGATCGATCTTCGCACTCTTCTTGAGGTAGAACATAGCTATTTCTTAGGAACTTATTTCCAAAACCTTCATCCACAGTGAATTTACCGCGTTTTTAATCATAACTTTAACTAAGTTTCGTTTCACGAAAAAATATCTGCTTGCCTGGTTGTAAAATCGACAAAAATATGTTTTCACCGAAATAAGATAGGTAGAGGCAAGTGCTGTTGTTATTTTCCCTGATAACTTTATCGAAGCCAACAAACGATTTGGGGTTGAGTGCAACAATCTTTTGTACAGAATACCAATCTGACATAAGGTCTGCTAGAGATTCGAACCGTCCGAGTTCGGTAAAGTGTAAAGCTTCATACGTATTCCCAGTAGCACAACACAGGTGACTGAGCATCAAGTAGGGAGTAAAGAGCTCCTCGAAAAATTATACCTTACGGTGATCATTGAATTGCTTCCTGGAAGACCGTACATTTCTTCACTTTTTTAACACTTTCCAGTAGATTCGGTACGACTGTAGATATAATAATAATAATAATAATAATAATAATAATAATAATAATAATAATAATAATAATAATAATAATAATAATCAACTTTATTTAACGAGGGTAACACGGGACAGTACTTCAACTGAATAACTAGTGGCCCTCAAACTAAAATTATAAAACAAAAATTAAGTGACAAAATACATATCGTTAAAGAAAAAGAACTATAAATATATGTATGGATAAGACTAAAAAGAGTAAAAAACTATATTACAATCATAAAATATCCTTACAATGAATATCTACAAACTATAATTACAATAAGAATTCCTAGGTTTGCGTAAGCTGCTGTCTCTCCCTCTTATTTCCAATTTCTTTGCTGATCGCAAGTGCTTCAAGAAGAAACTCTTTAGACTTGGAAGGTTTAAGTACACCTCCTAGTGTCTGCTTCTCCGTTTTTGCAACCAATTTCCTCATAGATCTGCGGCTTTAAAAAAATAGTCTACACTCTTGCGTACTTCACCTAACAATTCAAGCACTTGTCCTAGGTTTAGGAAACAATCTCCTACTCTAAGTTTTCGACCAGTTTTCTCGAAGATCGTAAGTGCCCAATGATGGTATTTTTCAGCCTTAGCTTTTTCACCGACACGCAGGCAGAAAGTTCCTAGCCCCCAATTGCCCTATCTAGATCTGTTGCTTCTCCATCTTCGTCTCAAATTTCCTTTCTGATGTCAACTGCTTTTTGAAAGAATTGTTCAGGTTTGGCACACTCACTGACGCTTGCAAACACATCCCCGAGGTTTCCATAGGATGACGCTTCTCATTTTTTATCACCGATTTCCTTTCGAATCACAATTACTTTATTGAAATTTTCTTTGGCCCTGGTATAATCCCCGACCGATTGAAACACTTTTCCAACGTTGTGGTAGCATGCCGCTAATCACTGTGTATGTCACTCGTTTGCTTGTTGACTTCCAGTGATTCAAGAAGATATTCTTCAGCCTTGAATATTTACCGACAGACGTCAAAACGGGCCCTAAGTTGGCCTAACTCGCTGCCACGCCGCCTTTGTTATCGATTTCCTTGTGATCTCAACTGAAGTGATTTCTGATAATGCTCTTCAGCTTTAACAAGTTGACCAACAGACTCTCGCACAGTTCCTAGGTTTAGGTAACTTGTTGCTTTGTCACCTATTTCTTGACTGATTTTAAGAGCTTCAAGAAGACATTGTTGAGCCTCGGCATATTTACTTACAGATTAATACAGAGCTCGAAGTTGCGTAATCTGTTGCTTCGTTCTGTTTATTCGCACTTTCATCGTCTTTGTCCTCCATGACAATCTAGCCTAAAAGGCATTAGAAGACTTAGTAAGAAATTAAAGACGAACAAGAAATAACGAGTAAGAAAATGACTATATACTAGCAGTAACCGTTGGTTAGGAAGCGCGGGCCAACATGTGGGTTTACCTTTGCGATGTGATTGATGAAAACCGCTTTCAAAATTGCGTACATGTACGTGAATCAGAGAAAGACCTTTTAGCCCCAGTGTCTACTAAAGGAATCGCGGCGGATCATGAAAACTGCATTGAACAACGCAGTATTAAAATAACCCTCATATTTAATTCAACGATTTTAAGGCCGATACACACGAGGGGTTTTGCTCCCGGAGCATGCTCCAGAGGCACGCTCCGGGAGCAAAGCTCCTCCGTGTGTACCAACGATTTCATGGGTATAATTCATCCTCGGGTGCAGAATTTCCACCCCGCAAAATGCTCCACGATATTTAACCGGTTAAATACTTGGGAGCAAACTCCCGGGGCAAATAACGCTCCCTCGTGTGTACTGACACGTGCAAAATGATCCTGGAGCATGCTCTGGGAGCAAAACCCCTCGTGTGTATCGGCCTTTAGTCACAGTTCCTACAATTGTCCTGCGAATGGTGAAGAGCGAGGAGATATGGATGTATTCGCCGGCAAAGATACAATGAAACAGGAATACGTGACGCACGACTGCTCGAAGTCTTATTATTCAATCGAATATTCAATCCGTGTTCCATGACCAAAGACTGTTGATATGCAATAGAAAATAACGAAGCAGCTTAAATTACCACCGGAGTTTTGCTAATTGAAGCTTTCGAATGACAAGCGCTATACAGTTTTAAATAAAGTACCACTGACCAAGAATAGTCTGCAGGCTCCTCTTGTCGCCCGTAAAGAAATAGCACTTTTTTTACCTGTGGCTACAACTGGCGCTGTTATCAACGATAACCGTTAAAATTTATTTCAATTACACGTATTTCTGGGATGCATGCGACGACCGGAAAACTGTATTCCCAGGCTATTTCTCGAAAGTCCCAGTAACTTCTTTTCACGAAGGCAAAGCTAAAAAGGCTAAACCTGCTAAAACTGTGTTTCTAGCTCACAAACCAGCCAATTTCGTTTTGGTAACTGATAGTTTCATTGTACAATTTTCAAAAACTTCTAAAACGTTTATTTTATTAAATGTAAACACGGAAATATAAAACGTCTTTCAGGGCCCGAAAAGTTACCGTTACTTTCGAGAAACGAGCCAGTGCAGACCTTTGAAGGATCTTTGGCAGAAAGTACTGTTATGGCTAGCCTGTTCCAGGCTCCAAGATAGTGGTGAAAAGTCGTTCAGTAAAAAGGTGTATAAAGATGTGCGAAAACGCGCGGGGGCTGGGGACGCAACGCCCCCCTTTCCCAAGTCGCGCACGTCTCATTTTCGTTTTGCTCGTCCCCACTATACTATCTGAGAGCCTGGCATAGGCTATGTTTTGGCCGGAAGCAATTACATATTTGAGTCACAGAGCCGACACCATCTGTTTGGGTAACTGGAAACTAATCATTTCAGATGACGAAGCTAGGGATTTTCCAGAGATTCGCACTGTTTTTAAATTCAACTCCAACCTCAATTCTCCCAAATTGTTTTCTTCGGGGATGATTTGAATGAAAGTTTTTTTTTTCCAATATAAGCGTGGGGTCAAGATAGCTCGATATTGGGTAAGCCCGTTTTTGCACGAGGCCAATAGCCGGCCTTCTTGACCGAACTTGGTCAATAAACGGTTCATTTCATGGGCAAAAATAGAACTTTTTCTTGCAGGACCAACGCGGGAAATCCCGAGCGGTCTCGGGTAGCCAATCAGAACGCTCTCTTGATGGAAGGACAGTGTTATGCAGGTAGCATTCACAGCCTTCGCCTATTCACGTGTCGTGTCAGAAAGCAGTTAAAGCGGTTAGGCGATTCTTTTTTATTTTTAGCTATATCGCATATTTCTGTTCTTTTCTTTGTTTTCATTCATTAATGATAAATCCTTTATATTTTTTCGTCAGGTACGCACGTGCGTAATGCGTATCCTAATCCCAGCTCCTGTCCGGAATCCCTTTTCCCACCCCTTTTGACACCTGCCACGCAGGGCAATAGTAGCTAGAGTAACTATTGGTTCCTCTAATTGCTGGTTTGCAAGTGACGTCACAGCGGCCATGTTGGTGGTCAAGAACAAAAGCCTGTCTCTCCTGGGAACTAAACTCTATTTTCAAGTAAATTCTTCGAGCAAAAATTCTATTGTAGACCACCAACATGGCCGCCTTGTCACGTGGTTGCAAACCAAGAAAATAGAGTAAAATAACTCTTGATAAAGACATTTGTTAGTGACTCCAGTACACAGCATATGAATAGTATGGTAACCTTTTAATGTAGATTCTCTGTTAAATAGTTTTATATTGAGATATAATTTCTCTAGTATAGAGTATGATCAATAACGTATCTCCCGTATATACAGTGAATTGAAGTATTCATATATAGCAACTATGCTATAGTTCTTTTAGTAAACAACAGTCATGATATTTGTTAGTATTTACCAAGTCAGTAAATGCAAAGATAATAAATAAATAAATAAATAAATAATGATATATCCCTGTAATATTTTTTCTTTCTCACGATTCAGTTTTTTTGTCGTGGTTTTCTTTGAACTCTACTGCCACCTACTTAAGGCTATCTCATTGTTAATATGATATATACCAAAACATCTATTTACCTCAATGTCGGTAAACGTAGCGGATATTTACCTCAAATTGTTAAATATAGCGACTCTAGTATAGATTATAGTAAATCTTGACTTTATTTTGTAGTATAGTTATCATTGATATAGCGACCTAATAGGTTATCCCTTTCTCAGTAGTATTTAAACTATTGTATAGTTGCTCTAGTAATGTAGTATAGCGACTCGGTTTAGAGTACAGTCACTAATAGTTACTTCTTGTAGTGAGTTTGTTAGCGTCCGGCAAGAATTAAAAACTATTAAGCATTTTTAGATGAAGTTGTTGAGGTGTAACTAACTAAAGTTTTGCAACAGCACGATCTTTCAATTGATAAACGTCAAGACACTTTAAACATTTTTGTCGGCCAAGGTTACTTCCACATCTTCGTCCAGGATCACGCCATCTTTGATATATTCCTTTAAAAAAGAGCAAAATCAAATCATTTATTTTTGTGATTTAACCACAAATTGCTTCAATTATTGTCTATTCTCTGATGACCAACAATCGTTCATGAAAGATCCGCCCGAGTTTCGATCCCTGATTTATTAACCCGTTATGTCCTCTAATCAACTCGCAGATTTTGCACACTGGTCTTTGTGAATAGTCCAGTTTCGAGTTCGCTATGACCGTTGAATTAAAGAAGTGAAGACGCATTTTTTACAGGTTTAGCCTCCATCTGAAGCAATATATTCACAAATTCCAACGAGAAAAAGACCTGTTTATTACTCTGTCTATTGTGTATATTCAAATTCAAAACGTAACTTGCCGGAATTTCGGAATATTTTACTTTACGCCGAGGCTAACCCTGTATAAATGTGCCGTTAATGTTTGTATTCAGCGGCAATTTTTAATTCGAAACTGGACGACTATTCATCATTGTTTTACTTACTAATAAGGAGAATTTTGCATTTGATGTTTAGTAGTCATCGACTAACATAAACTTAACGTTGAAGAAGGAAGGACATTATCCAAGCAAATTAGATGCATGGTGGTCCAAAGTACGTCTTTCAGAGTTAGCTTAGACTATAAAAAGTCTGTTTCGTTTCTTATTTTCTTCTGCATAATCATAAATCAGATCGCGATTTCACTGATCTGAGAAAAAAAGAAAGATTGATCACTGACTGGGGTTAACTGAGAATATGTGAAAAACTGCCGGACATCTAACCTGTGTACCGACGCCCTCTCCCCTTAGGGTGAAAGTTACGTATATGGAACTGAACCTACTAAAAACATATTCAGCACACCTTCAGTCACTTACGTGCTGTGTTTTCTGCTGCTTCTGTGTTTACTTTCTGTTCTTAGAGGATGGTCTATGAGAGATATAGTGTCGCCTCTCCAGTTTTTAATAGTTCCCTCTCTTTAATAAGCACCAGCTCAAAATGGCTAAAAAAAAAATACAAAAATAAGTCTATAAATTAAAAAGGCCCCCATCCCCTAGGTAGCTTATTAAAGGCACTAAAATAATTCAGCTGAAACATGACAACGGTAAAAAAACCCAAATGGCGAAAGCCAAACCGGCTGTCTCCTTTCAGATCCAGTTAACTGTCAGAGAAATGCTTAAACTCGGGGTCTCCTGATTTCAAGTCCAGCACTCTAAATGCTCGGTCAGGCTTCCTCAACTTTTAAATAAACGAACATGGTGATTCTTAGCCTAACTTGTGCAATTTTCGGATTTAAGTAAAAAATAGATTGTTGAGAGTGATGATTATAAAATAGAAAATGAATAACTCGTTATTATATCATGTTGTGATCCTTCAATTGTTTTTTCTCGTTAATTTGCTACTCTTCCCACGGGCTGCTCGACGCAGTTCGACGGATAGTCTCTCAATGAACGTAATAATTGTTATCATACCTTTATTATTCTGGCGTGCTATCTTCTTTATTCTTCTCACTTTCATCTGAAGATTCACGAAGGCAAAAAAGTCCTGCTAAATCTTTGCGATCAACATATTTATGACACAAGGCCTTGCACAAGACCTGGTAATTTGCTCCTGACAGACCAATTTCCTCTTTCCACCTACACAACATGCGGTAAGATTTGTCTGCGAGTTCTTTCCTTTGTTAGCGTGGTTAAATCCTTGTATTTCTGCTGGGCTGAATTCAAGGCGCCGCGCAAGAGCATCCCACGATGTCCCAAGCTGCAAAGATAACCCTTCCAAACTCATCGTCAGCAGCCACGCCATCTTTTATTTCTTTAAAAGGAAGAAAATAAACAACAACCAAGACAAACATTTATCATTTTTCTTTGGAAACTGCGTATTTTCCGTTTCCTCTATGCGCAGCTCGAATCGTTCATAAAAGACCCTGTCACTTAAGTATAATTAGCTTATAGTAAACGAATCACAGGCTGTATAAACGGAGCCCTCCCAAGTCAAGATAAAACTTATAACCCTGACCCTATTAAGCAATACTAAAGTATGTCTACCCTGCATACGATTGCGCTAACATTTTCCATTCTTCCCAGGCTGTACTAACCCCTTATTGTCAAAATGAATTGTTACGGAATAAGATAAGGTATGGATCGATATATGGATTTATACATAAATTTCTATATGTGTTATGAGTGTACCTTCTGTCTTCACCAGTTCTTGTTTTCTTATGGAGCTTCTTCTACGAAAGAAAAAACGAAGAGTGATAATGATTGTTTTTGAGGTCCCAGTGTTCAATTTTATGCTAATGAGTTAATAAAAAGAGAGCTATTTCAGTGATAGGTGCTATATTCTCGGTTTTTTAAAATCTGTTTCAAAAATGACTATGCATAATCTTAGAAAAATTGATTATCTTCTTTTACCAAAGTAAGGACAAGGATCCTATGTGTTATAGCGGTGCTTCCCCCAACAACATTCCACTCTCTATGAACATTCAACAACCCAGCTTCCATTGATACCGGCCAATGTTATCGAAGAAAGGAAAGTTACGTTCTGTTTGAAGTCAAAGAAATTTATGTGCATCCTAATGAAAATATCGTAACCAAGCCTACAAGAGGAGCTTCCGTTAAATTTTTACCATTGCAAAAATAAGAACTTATGCTAACGATCTAAGCAAAATTATCGACTGGTCTCTCGCTCGAATGAGTCGAGCATATCAATATTTATTTTGCTGAAGTTATGGTTTTTCTGGAATGTGATTTTCTTGTACTAAGCTATTCAATGGAAATTGTTAAACGGCCCTGCTCGTAACTCATGACTATGGAAAGGTCCGAATAGGATCTTTCAAGATCTTTGACGATAATCAAATATCTTCCACGATGTTGAAAGGAAGTTCAGGATCTTTGCAAGGATCTCCGAGGATTCTTAAGATCTTGGCAAAAAATTTTTTATGATCCCTGTTAAGATCATTAGAAGCAGACTAATTGGCCTGTTGAAAAGGGTATTCCAAGGGGAAAAAGTAAACGTCCCTCGGCCAATATCCAATACTCACCTGTACTTTGATAGTGAGGCCAGTCTTTGAAAGCAATAGGATTACTAAGAACATGAGCAGTTAATGAAGCTGCCATTAAACTCGCGAACTCTTTCCAAGGATTTGGCTCAAACAATCCTCCATCTGCGTAGTTCGAGACGCCTTTAATTATGGTCCACGGAATATCCAGCTCTTGAGCCGCTGCATAAACACCTAAAAATAATTGTTTGGACAAGTGTGTTTTCTCGCAAAGATCTAGACTTATGAGAAGCGCAAGGAAAACGCAGATATGTGGTTAAATCGCTACCAGCATCGGTGGGTAGATTTAGGACAAGTCCTGGTTAAAGTTCAAGGAAAGTCAGGGTGAACATGACTTAGGCCCAGGCCAAACGTCGAACTTTCATGAGACGAACCAAACTCTAATTTGGGTCGACCAAAATGAAGTTAAGATCGTCTGTTGGCTCAGACGTCGAACTTTTAGGACGCGTCGACGTGCTATTCATCTGAAGCAGACGGATAGAACGTGTTGGACGATCCAAACTCATTCAGACGAACTTAACTGAGCCCGACGTTGAACTTTTCATGAACTCAAGTCACTAACTCATGAAATGTTCTCATGAAAAGTTCGACGTTTGGCCTAGGACTTAAATTTAGACTTAAATTCAGATCTTAGCCCCCAAGAACTGTGAAATATAGCAAGTTAGCTGAGGGCATGATATAATTACAGCAATCGCAATCTTAGAATGACTCGATTGTTCGCATGAAGTATGTAAATTTGAATTTGCACCCCTTCGTAAAAATAACATGGGCTGCACGCGGTTGACCCTTCGGGTGAAGGTTACGGTTACACCATTCTACGCATGGTTTTTTGCGTTACAACACTCGCCTTGTAGCCTTTAGATCCTATGAGAGCACCAAGTTGGCGTTTACCTCCAGTCTTACTGTTAACTTCTATTAATACACCCTATCACCCTTTGTGCTTAATCTTTCAAATCCTGACACTTAACACTAGTCAGCCGGTTTTTTAAACCACTGATCATATAGTACCTAAGGGTTTGTATTAGATCAATAACGGTACAATTGGTCCACGTCTTGCTGTGACATCAACCAACCATATTTGTCTAAAGTGGCACTGTATACATTCTGAAGATCTGAATCACAATCAGTTTGTTGAATAAGTACCAAGGAGTAGCTGACGAGTCATCTTATGTTGTATGCTCTTGCACCTGGTTCTCCGCCCCTCCCCCCCGCCACCCTCGCCCCCTCCGCAGACGAATAGTTTGACCCAATTGTTCAAACGCTGATCATGAATACAATGTAGCGCTATCCAACGGATAAATCACTATCCAGTGGATAGGTATTAGGGAAACTAATTGCGTTATACACTGGATTCAGATTTATTCAGAGGATCGCATTATCCACCTTTTGAAACCTTTACAAACTCGATTGATTAAGGATGCCTGCTCAACTCTCTCTGCCCAGAAATGCATTCATGCATTTAATTCTAAGAATAGATTGTGTTCAACCCAAACAACACGAACGAGAAACTATTAAGGCGTGTGACAGACAGTCAGAAGCAGACTACCGAGATTTACAGTCACTGTCATTCTAATTTGATTTCAACTATTTTATGCACTAATACAGATACAACCCCTGATATATATGGAAACTTAAAACTTCAGTCTAATGAATTTGGGTAAGACAACCATTTTCACACCCTGCCAATTGAGACTTCAAGCATTATTACTTTTAGAGGATAACATATCCCTGAGGTAGCTGCAATTTGTTCAACTTACCTTCGCCCTCCATTTCAATAACATCGGCTTCTGAGAAGCGTTGGTTGAGTGCCTCGCGCCGCGCACTGCTATCAACACTTTCTGGGCCACTCAGAAACACTCCTCGGTGCACCTTGACCTCAAATTCTTTTGGACTCTTCAGTGGGGCTTTCCAGCCATCAGCAGCACTTGGCATCAGTTTTGAAATATTGGCTTTCAATGGAACTCTCACACCACGTTCAGTAATGCCTTTGTCCGTGACTTTGGAGGAGGAATATGTTATCAGTTTCACTGACACTACCACGTCCCCAAGTTTGACTTTTGCGGGGTCTAAGCCACCACAGCAACCCACAATGAATACCGCTTTGGGCTTCAAGACTTCGAATGCTTTCATTACGGCAACACAAGATCCTTGTGGAACGGTGGATCCTGTGTAACACTTCGCCACAGCGATCTTTAGCATCATGTCATCGTTCCCAATTTCGCCGAGGTACACGTCTTGACCAAGCTCTTTGCAGTAACTTCTACTGAAGTCGCGATTGAAACACGAAATACAAGCTAGAAATTCCCACTCCTTCACCGTCAAAAGCAAAATGTCGATTGGCAATTGACGCTTTTCCAGAAGTACTGATTTTCCCGGAAGATCCTCATTCCGTAGAAGAGTAACAGTTACCTCTGGTGGATTACTCGTAGTTTTCAGTGATTCAGTGACTATGGAGCAAAACGTTATAATAAAAAAGACAATAATAATTTAGCTCCGTATTTTGTTTCGTCTCACCGCTCCAGCTTAAGGCAGCTGAACACAGTTTCTCTGACAGAATTGCGCGCTCTAAGAAATTTCACTGACGCAGTTGTTTCCGTGCGCACAATAGACTGACGTGATCTAAAGAAAAATAAAAAAGCTAAATAAAAAGGTTTCGCCCCTTGAAATGGTTTATCCCTCTTCTGTTAAAATCTTTATTATGAGAAGATATGCAGTCAATGGAATTTTCTAGAAAAAAAAATGTGAGGACCAGCTGAGAAAAATGGCCAGAAGTTGACTGTAAAAGCAGAATTCGTAAGAATGATATAAGCTCAATGACAGATGATGGATATAAGGGCTGTTCTCTCTGCTCATCATAATCATTTAATTTTACAATTCTATCTCAGTCATTTTACATTTTCATTAGATTGAAATACATTATGCGTAGTTTAAATATTTTTCTTTTATATTATATAGGTAATTCTAAAGTAGGTTGCGTTTGATCATCCGGGTGAACGTAGTCCTGAATAGGACTGTTGTTGTTGACAGTGACTGACGTTTCAACAACCTGTGCGGTAATCATCTTCAGGGTCAAAGTGAGTTGTATCACGTCAGTTGATGGTATTATACTCTGGTTAATGCTCTGATTGGTCAGTTACGTCGCGATGTTAATGGTCGTCTGTCAGTGAAGCCGTTGACGTTATTGGCTATGAAGACTCGTCATCGGTAATTGGTGCGTTTCGATCCGTCTTTTGTCACAGTTAAACAGTCGTCTATTGTTAGTCAAATTGTCAGTTCTCCAGTCGTTCTCTCGTAGTTAGTTTAGCTTTATCTCGTCATAAGTCGTTTGTACGGCGCTGCATGGTACCGTTACCAGCGCTGTACAAACGACTTATTGACGAACTACTCAACCTACTTTTGAAATGACCCCTGGGTTCAAACCTTTCACATAGCTAAATCTAATTATTTAATTATAAATTGTGTTCCCAAATTAGTATGGGGTTTTTCTCAAGCTATACGGCTCCGACACATTGATAAAGTTTTCTATCTTCCTATCCGTAGAAATTTATTCTGTTTCCGTCGGTCACTTTTGTAATGTGACGTGACCCCAGCGCGCGCACAAGTGTTGAGCAAGGGTACTTAGGGAAAAACGTGAGAGCGCTGATTTTGTTGACTTCAATAGACAATGTAAAGAAACGAAGATATCTCAAAAATAGAAGATAAAAATTTGACGAAATTTGGCAAAATTCTTGTCAATATCGCACTTAATGCATTGAAAACTTGAAAATTTTAAGTAAGCAGAGGATTTCTGTGACACAACCAAATTTCACATGATAGCTATTTTGTTAAAATTTCAAAAACTGTTTGTTGCAATTCGGTTAAGTTGGTTTTTTGAAAAATGAGGATTACTTGTTGTATTCATAAGAAAATCTAACGATTGGATTTCGCAAAAACCTACCGAATTTACAATTTTAGGCTTGTTTTAAACCATCCAGGTTGCTATGGCAACGATCGAAATCTTACGTTTAACCTAATAAACGTAATGTCTTATAAATATTTAACAATTATTCCACGAGTGCGCGTTAGGTATGAGATGGTAGATAGCCAACAAGGCGTGTAGCGCCGAGTTGGCTATAATCATCTCATATCCAACAAGCGCGAGTGGAATTATTGTTTTATTAAAAACAATCACAAAATATCGAAAATTCTTCCTGACTTTATTTGCAAAAACAACCGATTTTCAGCTTGTTTCTAATTTTGAGCAGATGCGTACAGTTACCATACTTGGAGAACATGTAATACTTGCTCATATACCATGATGGCCAAGCCCATAAGAGCTCTAGAATTGCATTATCCAATGATTCAGTTTTTAATAATTCTTCACACCAGTATCCTACTCAGCCTCAGTCATAATTGCTAAAAATATTGTCTGTGTTGTCTATATTGTTAATATAATGCCTGCATTGAACAACGGTACAAAATGCTGCTGTGTTCAAACACTAAGCTACGTAAGTATTTTGCTCTTAAAACCCTTTTAGATGCTAAAATCTCTTCGATTCGGTAGTACCATCTAGCAACTATAATATCTTCAACCTTATTGGTCCAATCACCCTGGACAACACATGCCACCCACTGTACAGTACCGCAAATGATCCCCGTGCAGCCGCAGACGATCCCCACACCGCAAATGGTCCTCGACCGTAAATGATCCCAGTTGTCACCAGCAAATGATTCCGTGAAAAGTAGAGGAATGACATAGATTTTAGGCATTGATGGTAAATGTGCTGAGAACTTGAACAACGTGTAAAACAATGAAATGAATAAAAAGAAAATAACCGAACTGTTTCTATTGGCAATTGCTTCTCCTTCCTTTCAAGCATTTGATGTTTCGCGCGTCCTGTGAAAATTTTTTTAAGCAGGAAACTTGTCTTTTACTTTAACGCCTTGTTCAAGACCGGCGAGGGTAAAAGGAGGAATGAGTTTGGAGAATGGCATGGCTTGCGCAATGACATAATTATGCGGAATGTAATATACCTAGAATGACCCAAAGAAATAAATTAAACTGAAAAGTTTGCCCTTTTTTGGCGCCAATCAATTTCCAAACGCAGCCCCTATTTTAATGTTACGGGCTCGACGATGAAAATCAAAAAGCCACGAAGACTCTGGTTGCGGACGCACTTGGCAAGTTAACCGAGTTAGTTTTTGAAAACCCGGTAAAAAAATTCTTCAGAACGTAACCTGGTCAAAAACGTTTAACCGGGTTAATTTTGATCAACGGCACGGCTCAGTTTAGACTTTCACTTAGACTTTCAAAGCGCCTCCTGGATCCGAATAATTATGAGTCACTTTCTTTTAGTCTGTTAATGTGACGGTTCCTACGATGTTTTGTCACGCGATAACTACCGCTTGCCTCGCTTTTGCGTTTCTCATTACCAGGTTTAGATTCCTGGTAACTGTCTCCTGCAAAGGCACAACAAATGGATATACACATAAGCGTCAATATAACTATTCACAACATGTTCATGAGCTGTAAGCAAGTTGCTCTTTCGAAATAAACCGAAACCTGTGGACATTGATAAGTTCGGGGGTATTTTAACGTGTGTTTATTTCAAATCATGTCTTGTTTGGTAACAGGCACTCCCAGGCCTGGGGCACTCCTAAGTTACGAACCAATGGCTTGCTGTTCATCACGTAAAATTAACACTTGAGAGAAAAATCAAAACCAAATATTCTGAAAATTAATTCGACACTTCTAAAAAGATCAGTAAAACCCATAAAGCTCTTGATATGTAGAGGGTGCCCGGCTTTGTATTCCTCAGTAGACAAGTTGAGCTTGGGCGTTAAAATAATAGAGTTGTTTCTGCGTAACGTCCTGCCTGTCTTAAATTTTCAGCGACGAAACAGTTCTTGAAAGAAAATTGAAGCAATTGACAAAGGAAGAAGTATACGGTTGATACCATATCCTTTTCAGATTTATTCTACTTTTTTTTATTCACCTTGTATAAATTGACCTGCGATGTAGCGTCCTCCTTCCCTTTTTCTTTAGAAGGTGCAAGAAAAAGGTTCCTTTTTTATAATCGGTCCTTTTTTGTAATCAGTCCCATAAAATCCATTCCATTCCTCAAGTTTTCTCGGGATCATTTGCGGTCAACTTTGGGGATCACTTGCGGTCGAGGATCATTTGCGGTCCATTTTGGAGATCATTTGCGGTCTCGGGATCCTTTGCGGTTGGGGATCATTTACGGTACTGTACAGGACCTTACTTATCGACTATACTATCTTCAACCTTATTGGTCCAATCACCCCGCAACACACATCCAAACAGAGAAATGAAAAGATACCAAAATGCATGCACACAGCAGACTGCTGACATATGAGTAGTTTCTTCAAAAGAGCTCTAGCCCGAGAGCAAGCTCTCCTGGGAGCTCAGACACCAGAGCGCCCAGGAGAGCTTGCTCGCAGGCTAAAAAAGCTAAAAAATTGACAAAAGCTACTGGCTTCGGGCACAGGCAACTTAGACTGTTGACGCACGCAGCCTAAGCCAGTTTGCTGCGAAGCCTGGTGGCCTTGCACAATCAAGATTCCTCAATTAATTGTTACAGCTGGGGTTAACCAAACCTGGATCGGATCAGATCAACTACTGTAACTTACTGAATGACAAAAGGTTAAGGATAGAGTTAAAAGGCTTGATGTAATCCACCTTTTGTTAACGAACGTTTCAGCTTACCTTGTAATGACCACGATTCATCATGCGACTTTAGATGCGCGCTGGAAACATTTAATTTCTGCAAAGAAAAAAAAATTCCATACCCTATCAAAAATATAGTTTGATATATCCAAATTTGAATTGTCCGAAAGTGTAGGTTTCTGTTCCCTTTTGAAATAATTGACTCCAAGAGAGGATAAAGGGAACAGAGAAGGCATCCCCAATACACACCCTATTCCATAGGTAATTTGTCTCGAGTTATTTTTAAGACCACAGACCCCAAGGGGGATTAGACAACAGCCAATCACATAGCGCGAATGTGTTCCGCGTGGATGACCCACGCTCAGAGCCACGCGTCCTTCACGAATTGACGCTGAAAAAAATGGCGGAAGACGCGGAGAGCGATATTGCTATTCGTTTTGTCGACGAAAACGACTAAAGAGAGATTTCTACTAAAGCGGTGTCAGCGAAATGGAAATTAAAAAAGAATCGCCCTTCCTCTCTTGTATAGAGCTAACAGTACAGCAGGGAAATCCTTAACACACTGAATATTCTCTCAGGATCATTTATAATTTACAGTTTGAAGAGAGCAATTTCTGGTTTGATATTTATTCTTTCATTAGTCTTTTATTATTCAACAAAAATAACACTTGGCGTCCTACTTGCTTTATTGTACAAACGACCGGTTTCAATAGACCGGCGAAATTTCTCATTTTATTAAAGCACTGAGGTTACGACAACTTCGAGTTAAACTGATTTCACGGGTTGTCAAAGAGTCCAGCGATTCCCTTTTCCCAGGTGAGCGCCGACTCATTTCGCTTCAATGTTCAGAAATGCTCTCGATCTCTTCACGCTTTCATTGCCTTTCGCCCGACATGTTTTGCACGGCGTTTAGTCATGCGAAACCTCCACGAAACATCTACGCAGCGCGCGAAGTAACTTTATCCCGATTCTAAAAATAACTCGAGACGAATTACCTATGGAATAGGGTGTGTATGGGGGATGCCTCCTCTGTCCCCTTTATCCTCTCTTGGTTACTCTGATGTGCAAAAGGGTGCCTATAGAAGTCAATTACTTTCAAGTCCCAACACCTTGGTTTGTTTAATTTGTTGTTTTCTGTTACTATTATCACTTGCCATTGGGCCATAAACGGCCCGAGTCAACACCCCAGATGTGGGTTATTATGGAAACAAGCTCAGAGCGGGAAGGGAAGAAAAGTGCAACAGTTTCGTTTTCTACCTCCACCAGCCTACAAACTACTGTCGAGTGTCTTTACCATACAGCTGTACTGCACTTGTTTTGCTTCTCGGGATGCTCACTTAATTGATTAATGCACACGCCGATCGTGGCCGAGACGCACAGGAAGAAGGGAAATGGGAGAAAGGAAAAAGATGATAGGGCCGAGGGAACGTGCCCGCGTTGTGCACTTAAGAAAAAGAAACCAGATAAGCTAACTTTATTTCCACACGATAAACTCCTTAAGGTAATTACAAGGGAATGGGATCGCCATTTGCTTTACGGGACCAGCAAGGCCCTCACAAATTAGTTCCTTTTCACTCTCGAATAGGCTACGTCTAGTTCTCCAGAATAGGAGGTTCGATTCAGGAATCACACACGTTTATATTCTATGTATTCTTTCGCTGATTAAATCGACCGTAGTTCATATCAATCCTTTTGAGTGTGGGCCTCTGTTTATTTCCTAATTTCCACCAAATTTAGTAAAGCTAGTTTGATCAATTATCTACATCAATCGGCCCGTTGAACCCGAAATAAGGCGAAATAGTGTTGAAAAACGCGCTTAAGCTAATTTTCCTCAAATGTATGTTTAAATTCATGATACATACAGCTCCTCCAGCTTCAAACAGCGTTTATGGCAGAGAAAAATGGTTTTAATATAACAAAATTAACCCATAAAAACATGAGTGGCACTGTGGTGCAGTGGTTAAGGAGTTGCTTGCACGTGCAGATGAACTAGGTTCGACTCCCGGCGAGCTGGTTTCTGTTCCTTTGTACCGGATTTTTTTCTGTTTAGTCTTTGTTTTTTAATCCCATTTTTTCCTTTAGGCTTGTTTACCTTTTTTCTTACTGCTGACCCTTTACAGCTTTGCGAAGTTTTTGCGGTAACGTATTTCTGAAGCAGTAACTTGGTTTCTTGTGTGGTTTGCTTATAGCGCTTTTACGCTGTAATTGGCTTTTAGAAAAATTGATTGTTTGGTAGTTTGGATTTGTCTTTAACTGCTTAAAAATTGTTGCTTGCTGCTTAATCCTTCGAGGAAAATTGTTGCTGTGGTTGTTTTGCCGTTTGTTATCGTGTTGTGTGGCGAAAACAGTGTGCTGTAGTTAATTGTAAAAATGTGTATGGTAGTATAAAGTTTGGTGCGGAAAGCAAAGTTTAAAGGGATTTATACGGGGATCCATTGGCTCTTAAGAGCTAAAAATACGCACACTTAAAGCCGAGTATATCCTTTGATGAACCTCCTTTTTCTGTCTAAATTCCTCAATGTTGCTGTGCACCGGCCCTTAAAAGTGTGACCGGTCGATATGAATGTTCGGAAAATTTGCTGGACGATAGAAAGGGATCTTTAAAATTATCACACCATTGGACGTTTCATTCCAAAAAAGTACCAAGGTCTGGATTTCTATGACAATAGGGACCGTAATATCGCCAAATCCAAGAAATCGGAACAGTATTTCCGTGATAAATTCGAAATTTTTAAGTCTCTTCGATGAACACTTTGCTCGTCATTTTGAAAATCACTGACGCGAGACGTGACGTCATGCTGGCAGGAGGACTGGACCATCGATTTCCTTTAGATACCTCCTCCCTCCCCCTGGTTTCATTATATGATAACAGTTTCGCATGTATAGTCATACACGGGGAAATAAACTTCTGCAATCATTACTCAAGGACCAAAAACAGGGGAGGAGTCAAGGGAGCCTTGTGCCTTCCCCCCCCCCATACCACTTCTTGTGCAAAAAAAAGATTTTAGATAATACTTTCAACAGTTGAGTATACACCGAAGATGTTCTGATATTTTTTGCGCGTGTAACCTAGCAAACTCGTTCCCAGGGTTCTCTCCTACCCATCCCTGCGGAGCGAGAAAGAGGGGTAATCCTCTCTCCGTACCCTCTCAATTACATAGCCATAGCAGTGATGCTATTAGTAGAAAGTACATAACGCACCTTTGACACGTGTTCATTGGCCCTAATCCAAGGTACGAGCGGTTCTATTTCCAGCATTAGACCCGAATTAGAACAAAAGTATTCACCGCCCAAAGGTATGTAATGGCCACAGTCACGATGCCTACATGAACTTTCATTGTGCCGGGCGCAGGGCTTTGTCTCATTTCCCATACAAACCGTGCATCGAGCGCACAACTTCCCAGACATTGAACGCAACCAGTGACACTCCTTTCGTAGCTTTTCCAAGAATTCATTCAACTGGCTACAAAAAAGGGAAAAGAGTGTTCAACAAGGGAAAGGAAGATTAGTAAACCGAGCAGTTTAGCTTCTTTCTGACTCACTTGAAGGACTCTTATCTTAAAAAAATTCCAAGACTTTTTAGAGCTTCAAAAGTGAGCTGATCCTAATTGAACAGAAAAGCAAGCTCTCTCATGTACGCGATCTTTCACAAAATTTACTCTATCATTGTGATCGCCCAAGGGGCATTCAACAGCGGACTTGACAGGAGATACATGAAAAACAGAAGAAAGAAAAAAAAGGAAAACAAAACACACACACAGTGCAGTAATACCTAATACTAAAGTTATACTTTGCTTTAAAGCCCCATGTACCGTTGTGTATACCTCAGTTACCCTTAGTATTATGTAGTACGGTTTCGATTGCACTGTTTATTGTTTTAGCGGTGATCAAAGTAATCGAGCTAGTTTTACGTTTTTTACGACTTCTACGTAAAATATACTGTATAATATATACATGGGCCTACCTTTGGGGAAGGTTTGAACCCAGGAGTCATTTCATAAGTAGGATGAGCATGATCGTCCACGTTGAAGTTGTTTTTACTAAAAAGGTTGTTTAGGAAGTCAGTCTTGTCTTGTAGGCTGTCAGGCGAGTCGCAAACTAGTTGGGCTCGTCTCGTCAAAGTCCGTATAGTTGTAGCTGTTGTTGCTACAATAAGACTAGCAATAACTGACCATTTGACCAACAATAAAAGGGGGGTTTAACTGTGACAATAGACGAATCAAAACGCACCAATGACATTACGAGTCTTCATAGCCAATAACCTCACAGCTTAACTGACAGACGGCCAATAGCATCGCGACTTAATTGATCAGTCAGGTCAATAACCAGACTTAAATACCATCAACTGACGCGATACTTTTCACTTTGACTCTTACGATGACTACTGCACAGTTTGTCCAAACGTCAGTCACCGCCAACAACAGTCCTATTCAGGACTGCTCATGCTCAACCTACTTACATCTTGATTACAAAAGTAACAAAATTTCTTTTTGAAGATCAACTTAACGTTTCGTAACAATCGCTATTCGCTCTTTGTCTGGCAAAATGTCTTACTTATTTCTTGGTTGACTTTCTCATTGTAATGTTCAACAGGCACGCATGCAACCGCAGCAAATTTACTTATGACTAAGATTATGAGTAAAAGATAAACGGTAACTTCTGATTCCGAGCCAAGTAGCCCATCAGGCCGCAGCTCATCTCAGTTTCAGTAGAATGAAGCTACAAAAAAATGTTTCTTCTCTCTCCTGGACGGGATGCTAGTTCATCGTAGGGTTCCCCCGGGCAGTATGCCGCCGCTACCCATTTATACACCTGGGTGAAGACAGACAGAGCGAAAAAAAGTTTCGGATTTAATTAGCTCACGAGTGCTTACCTCAAAACGTCATCATAAAGCTTTTGTGGAGGAGTGCCACCATGGTCTGCAAAAATTTGCAGCTTAATGACTGCCTTGTAGCACAACAATTGAAGAACATAGCTCTCATTGTCCAAGGGAATTCTGGCTTCATTAGCGCACAGCCTGTACATCTGTTTAAACTGAGGAGATTTTACAAACAGCACAACCAGTCGGGAGAACAGTCCATATGGCACGTATTTAGTTTGAAAAGTGACGTAAATCGGTGCAGCGTTTCCTAATTCTTTCTTTTCCTTATAAAAGGTATTCAACATACAGGGGACTAGGATCTGTGATTCTTCTGTGTTTGTCTCTTCTGCTTTCTCTGGCCACTTGCAAATGAGGTTGAACTTATCCATCAAAGAAATCAAAGAGTCTTTGATAAGACCCACTTTTTCTTTGCTACAGGTATGATCAATTAATCGTTCACGGAGGACTCCTTCTTCCGCCAATTTCTCGCGATCTTTTCTTATCCACACCAGTTCCTTATCATCTGGTTGCACTTTGATAATCTCACAGAGTACATTGATTAACCACTGGGGATTCAAGACAATCAGACCTTTCTTTTTATCATGTTCATACTTATGGTACACTATTGTTCCACGGTCATGCAAAAAATCCACAAGCTCATCAAAGTCGTCCTCATCCTCAAACGTGCAGTAACGTGAAACAATCTTTTCTCGAAACGATTCCAGTAGAAGATACTTTTCATGTTGCCAGTCCGGTTGGCAAATTTCTTTTTCAACACGATGCCATTGCAAAGGGATTTTTTTCTTGGTATGAGGCATTTTATCAGCCAACTCCAAGATCTTTTTTCGCAACTCAATGATTTCTTCCTGGTCGGTTGACTTTCCAGATTTTGTGTTATCAATCGGACGATAATCTGCGATGTGTAGTAAATAAGTGTATTCATCGAACACTTTTAAACACTTCTTATCTACTACAGATTCAATTGCTTTACGTGGATCGTCTACACGGTCAGCATGGGTACCGACAAGTATGACTGGAGGATACGAAAGACCATCCCTCTGAAAATTCTTTAAAGAGTGAATCAAGTCCATCCACCTAAATAAGTGATCCAAATTGGTATCCTCACTATCGCGGGCTGTTGCAGTGAGCTCTTTGTGCCCAATATTGACTCGACATTCTGCTTTTTCACTTAATTTCTTTGTAAGGTCAAACGCGAGAAGATAAATGTCATCTGAGGACATAAAGATCGGATGTATAGCACGATAGATGTCCTGTCCAGCAAAATCCCAAATGATGGGCCAATTTTTTTCATCAGTGTCAGCTTCATTTTTCTCGAGCTGTTGCTCTACTATTATGGCAATTTCATCTGGAACGCCAGATGGCTTCGCTTGATTTTCAAGGTCTTGGTCTTCTGAAACAAAAAAGAATACTTTTCTGTGTTATTAGTGAAACTCTCCTAGTATTCACGCTAATGCAAATCCAGCCTTTCAGCGATTGCCTGACAGAAACATAGGTCCCCACCAAAAAATACTTGTTGAACTCACTAGTAAGTGCTTCTTATATTTGTGATAAAATAAAGAGGAGCTTAAGTTTACTCTTGTTTTTCTATCCTACCTGCTGATAAAATCTCGAGGTTGCCTCTGCCTCGTACCCAGACGTCTCTGTCTCGATGAAAATTTGCGCGCAAAGGAAGCCAGGAAGGAGAAAACGGGCTTCGCCACCATTCTTTACCCCTCCCATGGTCCCTTGCGCTTCGTTACCAGTCATTCGCCTTTTGCGCTTGCCTCTATTCGAAACCATGCGAAAAACGAAGCGCCTGAGGAGGAGGCTGAGTTTGCCTTCTAATTGTTTACGAAGGGTATTCGTTTAATTACCGGCTACAGAAAGTTGTGTGAGGAGTGATTTAGAAAAAGAGGCGATTAGAGACAGTATTTTACCACTCTGAAATACAGTTAACGACAAGAAACAAATAAACCTAGCGAAGTCTGGATTAGCCGCGGCCACATATATTAAAGATTCCGAGCCCAGTTTAAGTTGTAAGTAAAGAGAAACGTTCGTATTGTTTGCATTCATTTGTTGGTGTAGGCGCGGAAGCAATTCTTCCAGTTTCTGTTAATAAGAACAAAAGAAAAGAATCAATCGCCATTCTTTCCCGGAATAGTTATTTTCAGGATTTACTCAGGAGCAGGCATCGATTTACTATCGGAACTTTGCGTTATTTTAGGATTTTATCCACAGACACAAATGGAAGAACCATTTGGTACTGCATAACAAATAACATCACATCAAATAGTTTTGCTTGGTAGCTATCATTTGATTTGTCACATTTTTGATTTTGATGGATCATGCGGATCATGTTCCAAAGGGGCTGAAGATGCTGTAAAAGGTGTACATAGCAGAAGGCGTTAACTTACGACTTTTCTGGGCCTGGTTTTCCTTGACCTCACTCGGAACTTCTTCCTGTTGGCGGAGTTGAAATTTTCCTTCATCAGCCTCTGAAAAAATCGGAATTTCTGTGTGGGAATAGAAATAAAAGGTAATGAGAGAAATTAGTGTTGAAATAGATAGACTGATCCACGCTAAGAAAATTACCCAACTTTAAGCCTGAAATATCGGAAGCTGAGTCAGAGAGATGGATTTCCTCTCATGGCCAATAAATCTACTACCTTGTTCTCTCTATGCGTTCCGTCTGTTTTTACTTACGATTTTTCTGGGCCTGGTTTTCCTTGACCTCTCTAGAAGCTTCTTTCTGTTGGGGGAGTTGAGTTTTTCCTTCATCTGCTTTTGACGAAATCGGGTTTTCTGTGTGGTTATAGGAAAACAAAAAGCGTGGAATGTACGAAATTAGTGTTGAAACGTTTAGCCTGTACAACACTCAGAGATTATTCACCTTCGCTCTTGAAGGATCGGAAGTCAGAGAGATAGATTTCCTCTGATGGCCTATGAGTCTACTACCTGGTTCTCTTCATACGTTCCGTCTATTTTTTTAGTACTCTGTTGCGGGACTAGATGAAATTCCATCAACTTAAAAAGATGAAAGTCAATTCGTGTTTAATTAGCCAATCCCAGGGGAGAACAAGGGGAAGGGGTTAATGCCACCAACCCAAAGGCTGCCGGGTTTTTTGATTTTTCAGAACCATTTAATTTCAAGAAACTTTTTCCCTTCAGTGACTTTCATCTGTTCCCTAGAAAACTGTATATGGCGGCCATGTATTAAGCGGCCAGTTTTCTAAGTCCCGATTTTTTGCCCATACAAACGCTGTATATGTTTTGTTGTTTTGCCCACGATTGCCTTAATTTTGTGTCGTAGAAAAAGTGTTTCTTCCGGATACTTCTACCCCGTTTAAGCAAATTGAATGACGTGTTCTTTTCTTCTTTTCTTCAAAGAAAATTTAAATCTTTATCGTAAACCAATGAGCTCCAGAACTTTTAACCATAGTTAATTGAGTGGAATGGTTATGAAACCCGTCAGACTCCTTTGTTATATGTTTTTGTGGACCTGAAAGTGCACAACGTTCAAAAGAATTCCTATCATTTTGATTGTATTGACCAATAAAAACGTTGCATTAATTTATTCCGTAACAATTTGCCAACAGAAAACAAAGGATTGTGCACTTTCACGGTACTTCCAACATAAACTGCAGCACTGTTGTTTTTATCATTGATGTTTGCCGCTTTTCATAACCAGTCTCCTCTAATAACTATGTTTTAACAAACAACCTCGAGCTCAGGGCTCTTTTTAACAATCATCACAGAAGGGGAAAAATAAAATTAAGCAAATGTGTTTAGGACTTGCCATCTTCAACAAGTAACTGATCTGTTTTGTTAGACGCTACAGTTCTTGGTTGTTTCTTTGCTGGCTGCTCCGAACGTTTGCTTAATAAATCCTCAGCGGTCTTTGCAGCAACCTTATGATCAAATACTGTTGTGTGTTCTAGAGAGGCTGGATTTCTCCACGCGCCTGTTCCAGCATTTTTGACAGCAGGGATCATTTGCACTCCATCAGTACTGAGTTCGGCTTCATCAAAAGGTTCACCTCTTAGAGCTTTACCGAGGCTCGTTTTCCCCACACGGTCTTGCCCTACGAGCAAAACCTTGACACGTTTATCATATGTGCTACCACCAGTCTCAAGGGCCCTGTGATAAGCAGCAAGTGCCTTTTCTCCTCTAGCTCGCACAAAGGCTGGAATCAAATCTGAAAGTAACAAAAGAATTGGTTTAACAAATTAGAGGTGACATCAGGTTTCATACTGATGTTAAGTAAGCTAGTCTTCAGACGCAATCGCTTATCGTTCTTGCAGCAGTTAAAAAGCCAAGATTACCGCACGGTGATTGTTTCTTTAAAGATTAAGAGTTTACTTCGAAGTATAGAAAATTCAAGATTTATGCCACGATCCAGGAACGTAGCCAGACTTTTAACGCAGAAAATTGTAAAGAAGAGAGGCTTTGAAACACCACATTGTATTTTTGGCATTTTTAGAAAATTCAATCTTGTTTGAATCCAGACGAAGCGCTTGCCTCGTCTTGCCTCATGCCAGCTACGACTCTGCCATTAAGCGGGTACTTAGGCTGCATTCATAACGTATATTGCAAAGGGGGGTGGGGAAGGAGGGGGAAAAGGATATGTTTCAAAGGGGCAAAATTTTTTCATATCCCCCCACATCATACAGAATTTTTTGACGCCCCCCTCTCGACCAGAAGAAGGAAATGACAACCCCCCCCCCCGCAAACCCAGTCTTGACGAGGAAAGTAAAATAAGGGTAATATGATGAAACAGTGCGGAGATAAATGTTTAAAATAGAAAATATACTGAAATCAGTGCCACTTTGCCTACTCCACAGAAAGATTCAGGTTCCGTACCAAAAACTATGTGATCTTTTACTGCGCTTTTCACAAACATGCGAATTCTGAAGTTCAAAAGCCAATTCAACTGACGATTGCGTTTTTCGCTGACGTCAATCGTCTTAACGGACCTCTTAGGAAACAAAACTTCACTTTAACGTGTTCAAAAGGTCATGGTTTGTGATTGGTGGATTTCGATCCGTTTTGTGTGTTTCTGTGTTTCAAGGTTCGTTGGTTGTGATCGTACTTATGATTGACGGCAGCGCAAAACGCAATTGTGAAGGCGGCTTTTGAATTTTAGAGTTCGCATGTTTGTGACAAGCGCAGTAACTCAAACAAGCATATAATTTTCTCACTCAGCTACCGATTGTGGCTTATTAAAAGGGAAGCTTTCAAAAGACATTGTATTCCTCGTTCGATATCCATAAATGACACTGCAATAGTAAGAAATTTCTATCCTAAGAAATTCCATCCTTGATGTAAATCAAAGAAGTTTTCTAAAGATTTGCCACCAACTTATGGGAATTTGCATATGATCACTTTTGATTATAGAACCGTGCTCGACCTGTGGTCAAGTATATCATTCTGATTTCAGCATAACTGCAGAGCCAACATACAAAATATTACTGACCATTTACATTCCTTCTAAGCTGTGAAACCTGAGTTAAATCTTGTGAGCAAAGAAGCTGAAGACTTACTCATAACTTTAAAAGCTTTGAAAGTGAGAAAGGTGGGTTAATTTTGATGATGATAATGGTGATGACGATGATAATGTTTATGATGATGATGATGATAATGAGAATGAAAACAATCTGTGACGTTATTAATAAAAGCAGGATAAAAGTAAAGGTGGTAATGATAATGTAGATAGAGCTGGTTACTGCACAAAGTAAAGGACATTGCAGTGCATTAATAATGAAAACATCCTTCATTGAACTAGAAAATAAGGAACTTCACTTGCGTAGTGGTTTTATCAATAATGTTACAAATACTTAATCTTTCATTGAGATCTAAAAACATTGTCATCCTCCCTTCCTACCTTCAGACGTTTTTATCATGCCCCCCTTTTCTCTTCAAAAAATTTAAAGACTCCCCCTCCAAAAAAAATCCTCTGCCCCCCTCCCTGTGGTATACATAATGAATGTCTTAGTTTACTGCTACATTCCCCTCGTAGAGACAACGTACCTGTCAATCAAATACTTTCAATATATGTAGCAAGGGGTATACCTTACCTTCGTTGTTGTTACGTTTATCTTTGATGATGTCTTCATCGTCCTTTATCGTCTTCTTTTTCAGTTTATCTTTAGGAGACAAAAAAATCTTCATGGAGTTGTTGAAACCGAGGCAGAAGCATAAAAAACACATATTTTGGTCTAAGGACTATGATTGAACGTGCTAAACAAGAACTATTCCCACTGAGTTATCGATGGGTTTCCCCTCAGAACGTGGAATATTACACTGGAATATGAAGTAAAGGAAAATCGTTTCCCACAGAAAATAAAAATTAACGTTTTTCTGCACAAGATTACAAAAACATTTCAGGATTTGCTTACAAGTCAGAGCTGTGTTACGGAATTTAGCCACCGGGAACTTGCCGCCAACAAATTGAGCGAGAAATAAACTATGAAATACCGCTTAAAACAATTAAGAGAGGTTTAAATACTTGTAACAGCACAGAAATACAAGCGAAGGTACGAATGGGCAAAACTGAAGAACTCAAAACGGACTGCAAGTGGGTTTTTGAAAGCTTGACGTTCAAACAGTTTTTCAAAGTTAATCTATGTTATTTCCAATTTTCAATACAACGCTTTCAGGTGACGTAATTGTTGATCACGACGTTGTTATTTTACCATTTACTGTACTATAAATTTCATCGCTAACGTAAAGTTGTCATTGCCAGTAATAAGGGCGAGTAATCAGGAAAGGAAACAAAATAAACTACACTGCCATAATACAACCCTTTTAAACTGACTTTTAATGAGCTTAAAGGGACTGTGGCACCGTTCTGCGCATGTGCGGCATTTTGATTTCTGGACTGGCGAACCAGAAATCAAAAGTTGACTTTCGGTGAAGAAATCCTCTTCCATCGACCTTGAGGGGCCTGAGAGTAGTCATGTTTCATTAGAATTAAGTCCCAGTGGTGGATAGGTAAGGATAGTTTAGGGACAGTCGCTTTAGGGATAGTCTATGACGTCACCCATTGTTATAACCTAGAGAGAAAGTGCGTTCCTCCATACTACACCTTTTGCTGTTCATTACGAGAAAATACGCAATCATTTGCGTAAATCCGCGACCAATAGCGCGAAGATACATTCATTAGCGCGAAAAAGCGAACATTTGCGCAAAAATCAGATTCAATAACGATTTTTGCATTTTAATCAACATTCAATAACACTTTTGGGCATTCATATGGGTCATTGGGCATACAAAAGAGAAAAATATACTTTCATTAACGCCAACATCAAAGTCATTAACACCATCTTGAAAGTCAATAGGGACAACTGACATACATTAAAGTGCAAGCACTATTCATTAACATTTTTATGACACTGTTTACAATTCAATAGCATTCCTGGACAACCTTAGGATGGATAAGACAAACATTAATGCGCTTGTACAATCAATTGAGTGTTCTTTACATTTAATATGCAAAAAACGATTTTCAATTAAACAATAGAAATTCCCCCCAAAATTGGCCCGAATTTCACTCCGTTAAATGTATATCCCTCAAAAACCTCGCTATTCAAACATTTTGGGAGGTAGGTTTGTATGAAATGGTACCACTTCGCACATTTAGCTGCGGTCACAATGTCATGTTTCTGCGCAGAGCTTCAAGCACTGCAGTTGTTGTTTCCGAACTCCGCTAGCGGGATTGCTAGGACTTTGCCCTCATTCCTGTTATACATCTTTAAATTTCCGGACTCGAGATGTCGGCCTTTGGTGTCGCTTTCAGACAACTTAAATCCTTTTCAACGATATCGAGGGGGAAAGCATAAGCTGTGTATGTGGGGCGGGAATGGCCAAATCTAGCTGGGCTGGCACCCCGTCATACGCAAAGACCACCGATTTATCGGGATCCATTATTTCCTCGCCCGTGCCGGAAAAAAAAACCGACACAGTATTCATTACTCTAGTAGATGCCGACGAAAACATTAATAGGTGATATTGCCATGGTCATAGTCAAGTTTCGTCCTCTTTGGCCGCACACTTAGCGGTACGCCCTCCACTCCCTGTCGCGCCCCACCATGATTTCTGGCCGTCTAAGGAAAATGTATACCCGCAGCCGTCGACGAACAAGCAGTGGCGAAGTACGGCGTTATTCTTTAAACAAATTCAGGCCAATTTTAAGGGGAATTTCTATTGTTTAATTGAAAATCGTTTTTTGCATATTAAATGTAAAGAACACTCAATTGATTGTACAAGCGCATTAATGTTTGTCTTATCCATCCTAAGGTTGTCCAGGAATGCTATTGAATTGTAAACAGTGTCCTAAAAATGTTAATGAATAGTGCTTGCACTTTAATGTAAGTCAGTTGTCCCTATTGACTGTCAAGATGGTGTTAATGACTTTGATGTTGGCGTTAATGAAAGTATATTTTTCTCTTTTGTATGCCCAATGACCCATATGAATGCCCAAAAGTGTTATTGAATGTTGATTAAAATGCAAAAATCGTTATTGAATCTGATTTATGCGCAAATGTTCGCTTTTTCGCGCTAATGAATGTATCTTCGCGCTATTGGTCGCGGTTTTACGCAAATGATTGCGTATTTTCTCGTAATGAACAGCAAAAGGTGCAATGAGGGTCTTCCCTCATTCTAATAACTGTCTTCCTCCATATATAATTAAGCGCCCTCCTCCATATATAATTAAGTGGATAGTCGTTTCTTTTCACATCGAAGAGCACAATAGGAACAATAGGCTTGCTGGACTTGCCCGTTAAGTAACTTGAGCCCTGTTTACCGGAACGTCTATTTAAAAAATAGGAATAAGAGGGGCGATCGCCTAGCAACGCGAGAAACGGCTTATGTCTTCTATTTAGCGCTAAAAAATACCTTACATAAACAAAATACATACACAAAGTGGTGATGAAAAGTCTGTATTTCAATTTAGCTTATGTCTTCTTATTTAGCGCTAAAACTGGGATATATAAACAAACACACACACATACACAAAGTGGAGCTGAAAACTCTTTATTTCAAGTTTGTTTGCCTATTACAAAACCGTTTTCTCCTTTCTATCTCGAGGAAACGACTAACTACTAAAGTCTCAGCGTTTCACGCACCGTTATTCAGTTAATTATGTGAGTTAACAAGCCCACCGTTGCATACAAATTAGTTCAGCTCTGTAGTATTATTGTAAAAACACACACACAAACGAAAACAGTTAATAATTTAACAAAGATCAATTGAGACACGCAACTAATCAATGAACACTCGTAATAAAACCAGGGACACGTTTCTTAAAACACAAGAAATCAACTTTATCACCCTTTATTAAAATAATTACAAAAAGATAAGATTAAAGAGTCTATTAAAATAGTCAAAAAAGGCAAGTTGTCTTTTTTTTTTTTTAACACTGCGCAGAATGTTTTACTTACCCCTCTCCCTTTGCATTTTTATTTTTCTTCTCTTCCACAATTTTATTATTTTCGCTCCTCAATTTTTTCTTCTTTTGTTCCTTCCTCCACAATTTTGTTATTTTCACTCCTCATTCTTGAGTTCCCTCTTTCTCCACAATTTTGATCTTTTCCTACCTCCTCCTCATTCTTAATTTCCCTCCTCCACAATTTTTAATATAATTCAAATATAGCTGAAACAAAGACAAGGATGTTTTCCAGAAGTTTCATTTCCCATCTGCTCTTCCTTCAAAATAATTTGATCGTGCTAAATGTTTTCCCGAAAACATGTCTCACCAAAAAGAATCCTAGTAAATCCCCAAGATAAGTAATTCACTAAATAGAATAATAAAAATAACTCATGCACACAATTTGCACGTGAAGGTGTTGGACTTGGTCCCTTTTACAATTCGTACGTAAAAAAAACGTAAATTGTTTGCTAGAAAAGTTGCTCAAACGATGTTAAGAAATCACCCCGGCTTTACAATATCTGCAATTAAATTATGCTTTATGCAACGTTAAGGTTGATAGCCTAACATCTATTCCCTTTCAAGAAAATTATCAAACTGGCGAAATATATTTCTACTCATATCATGTTCAGCTTCTTCCCATTTAATTCCCTGACGTTACTGTTTCTACTTAAATTGCGTATCTTTACTAAATAAAAACGTTTCAATAACTATAATGACTCTCAAGCAACAAGCCTGTTTCATGTTGTTCACCTAATTCATGTGTTTTTTGGCTGGTACGAAAAAGGTCTGTTGAACTTTGTAAGCGAGAGAATAAGCTTGTTTACAGGATTAAGAATACGCCCCTTGCCTTTCAAACTTCTAAAACCACAATTTATAGGCCGCATACTCCAGAATTAGAGTCCATATCGAAATTTCAGTTATTGTTTCATTGGAGGAACTTTGAAAAAATAAATGATCTTTTACACTCTACCTTGAAGCAGGTGAAACAGACCTCATAAATTATGAAATACGTGCGTTGTAACGTTCGCGATTGCCGAATTAGGTCAGAAATGTCTTGAAGCAGCATCCACACTAAAATATGGACCCTTCAACAGCTCCATCAGTGTACTCAGCGTTTGAATCATAAAGATATTTCAATGTTATGCTTCTAAACACCTTTAGCCGTAATAAAAGACGAAAAATTGTGAAGAATCAAGATGACATTCAAAGTGCCCTTGTTTGACCTTAAGCAAGGTCATTAACGGTTAGATACCAAAATCGCATTGGTTCCTACGCATCAACTTATAGTACCTTCAACCTTATTGGCTCTTGCAACAAAAATCCGAACACACAAAGCCACAAAGATACATAAGCTCAAACCACTGACATATGAGCTATTTTTTCAAAATACCTCAATAAAATTGGAAGAAGCTAGTTGACAAAATAATTAGATATTGTTTCATTACGTGGAATAACATGATATGAGAAGAAATATATTTCGGTAGTAAAAGGGAACAAAGTCCAACATATTAACGTGCAAATTGTGTGTATGAGTTATTATTATAATTCTGCTTACTGGGTTACTTTGTGACAACTCAAATTTTCCTCAGGTACGAACCACGAAAGGGACAAAGTCCAACACTTTCACGTACAAACTGTGTGACTGTACATCTCGTGCAGAGTGGCTTTTCACAGTAATAATTTATAGTACCTTGAACGTATGAAGACCTCCTTAGTTTTGTTAACTAGTGCCTTAAGTAAAGGCTATTTTCTTTTAAGAAGCAATAAACTAATAAGTCGTCAGAGTTAAAGACTGTTTCATTAAGTAGAATCGCACGTAACAACCTCGTGAATAATGATGACGCAACTATCTACACCGATGATGAAAATCGTGGCATTTCGTAGTTATTCGGTATTCGATGAACTTTACTATCTTAAGAAACCATGAAGAAACCTTGGAGTCTTCCCTCCATAAGCAACGTTTGGTTAGTTGATATTCAAGGAAAACACTTTAACAATTTGTTTATTTTGCACCAGATGTCCGAAGGAAAGACAAATAGAAGTGAAACTATATTATGAGGATCGACTCAGCTGTGCACAGCGGTTCGCGTTTTCATTTATGTACAGCATACCCAATTTCGCACAAAAAACGGTAGACTGTCGATAAGGTTACAAATTCAATTCAAATCGGACAAAAGTAAGCACCGCAGCCCTCTTTCGAAAATCGAAAACAAAATTCTATTGCATTTAATCAAAAGAGCACCGCCCTCAAATCACCTTGGTACCTTAGAATACGAAAACCAATAAGCGCCGCAGCGCTCTTTCGAAAAACATTCTACAGATGTTTCTCGTTTTCTTTGCTATTTCCGATTTTTTTACAGTTTGGTGTGAGCGACTTTTCATTGACTGAAGTTTAATACGGAACCTTGCAGACCTTGTAATTGAACTTTGGTAATAGATTTTGATCATTTATAACCTGAGATCAGGCTCAATTTTCGTTTCCCTTTGTAATAACATTTCGGCGGGCAAGGCGAAACGAAAACAGAGCCTGATACGAACCTTCTACGAAACGTCTTCCGCCTACTTTTTTGATTGATTGACATTTGCCGAATCAGCCAACCAAAATTGCTTCCGTTGCTTGTTTTTCTAGTACGCAAATTTTCCATGCGTGGGAAAAATGCAGACTGGCTGACTTAAAAAATAGCTTTTATCTTCTGATTTTTTCAGATAAAAATAAAGCAGTCAGCACAATCACATTTAACTTCTTGCGAGAATAAAGGAAATCTCAAAGGTTATTTCTGTTGGCGTAGAAGATAAAAAGTTTTCAAAAAGACGGCAACACGATGTTCTACTAGTTTTGTTATTTTAGCTAGGCGCGCTCGAATTTAAAATACTGAAATTTCTATTTTTCTGTTTCCTTAATATTTTCATGAATCAAAAATATGAATTTTCTGAATTTCTATGGCACATATTAAGGAATATTTTCCTACCATAAGACCATAAAACAATAAAAAAAGCAAAATCGATCCTTCTCTCCGCCGACTGCCGATCATTCACGAAAACAACCATGCGGGGAATAAGCGCTTTCAACTTCCGGCGTTTCCGACAGCCAATTAGATCTTGTGGCATTGTTCCAACAGCCAATCAGCGTTACGGCCAAAATCTGGCCGTAACGAGCACAAACGTGAGAGAGTTTGTATCAGGCCCAATTTTAGCGGTAGCAGTTAGAGAGAATGTATAAGAACCGCTAAAATTGGGCCTGATCTCAGGTTAGATCATTTATTGGGTCATTAAACAAAGTATGAACTCTGTTTTAGAAATATTTATTTTCATCACTTTTTTAAATACCATACTGTTTAGAAGAAATGAGAGTTTAAAACAAAACAAGGTTTAAGCTTACATCAGTATGCTTCAAGCTTACATCAGCAGTAATAATTAATACATTCGGCTCCCGACATATTAAAAGGCTTGATAACAAAAATTATTAAGCGTTGCTTTATTGCTGGGAAATGCGGTACTCTCGCTTAAAAAGCTTGAATGCGAGGTGTTTATTTTTCTTCTTCTCATGTGCGACTCATACTTGAGGTCGGCGCCCTTTCGATTATTAATGCAGTAAATCATTGTATTTTTTGAGAGCGCCGCTGCGCTTATTGATTTTCGATTAAAACACGCCAAGTTTAATTGGGGTGGCGCTCTTTCGATTAATTGCAATAGGATATTGTGTTCTTCGAAAGAGCTCCGCGGCGCTTATTTTTGTCCTTCTTATATTGAGGACACCGTTCTTTCGAGTATATACAGTTTGGATAGCATTTGCCGGTTTTATTACATTTGTGGTCAATTTGTATTACATTTGAGTGCATTTTTACATTTGTGGTCCATTTTTATTACATTTGTGGGCTTTATGACTTTGTGGTCAATTATTGCATTTGTGGCTTCAAGGCCATGTAAAAATACAGTTCTAATACTACGTAGCGGTTGATCAACGGTGGCATTCCACTATGTTACAAATTTGATAAAATTCAATCACAGAAGTCATAATGGAAGAAGTAGATACTCACTTCCAAGATCACAGTAACCTGCAGCTACATACAGACGCACTCCAAGCTCCTTCCTCAAATCAATTGCTTCTTGGATTAGCTTGAGTCCTTTTCCTACTTCGCCCTAAAACAAACAAAAAAATATTTGAAGATACAAAGATTTTGGACCTACGGAAATTGCTTAGAAAACTAATCAACTAATAATAATAATAATAATTATTATTATTATTATTATCATTACTATATATTTACATAATACATAAATTCAATGTAAATTTTAAACTACAAGAACAAAAATGTTCGAAATATCTTTAAGGATCCAAGAGAAAGCTCCTTTGTTTGCAGCTTACTGCTGCAATCAAAGAGACATGGTCAGCAGGTGTCCTTTAAGTTATAACACTTGGTACCTGTGGGAGGAGTCCTTTGTTCGACCTCACAGTGACAAATACATGCAATGTAGACTCGCATTCAGATAGTGGCATCTGAATCGCTTTCAAAAATCCCAACAAAAATTGCTAGAGCGGACCTTCAAGAAAAACTACCTTTAGAAATAAAGTTCGCACAGGAAAGCCTAGTCGTGTAATGACCCAGTATTCCAATCGGGCACTCACTTACCTAATTGCTACAGTGTACGTAATCACGATCATAGCCTGTTTTTCTCTTCGAGTGTTTTGTGATAACTAGTGATTATTAACAAGTTACTTCTTCAACTCACTGTTCAAGCAGCATCGATAATTGATTCCGGTTTAAATACTAAAAAGAGAAGTATCCAAAAAGGATTTACTTCTACTTTTAGGTGCGGTGACATTAATATTATTAAAGTCATCCCTTCGAGGTAAAACCCCGAGGAAAGGAAACACTTGTTCGCTTTGCTCCATTCGCATTTAAATATATTTTTCTTTCCTATACATTATGTAAAGGAAGTAATAAAAAAGGGCCATTTCCGAGTTACAAAAACCCTCACTTTCAAAATGAGGCTAAGTGCAAAATCTTTGTGACTTGTGATAATGAGTTTTATTTGCATGAGGCTTACGGTAACTCGGAAATGGCCTATTATAAACACTTACGGCGGAACAAAAAAAAAAAAGAATTCTATTCGTATTTTTACCTGAAGTGCGTAACACAGCCCAAGCTTAGAAATGGTGCGTGCATGCGTCTCACAATACTGTAATTCTTTTGGCAAATTCTTCCGGATTTCAAAGGCATGCTGAAGTTTCTCAATAGTATCGTAGCTGACCGTTCGGCGAGTTCCATAATAGAGACTAATAACTCCGAGAGCAGTTAGACTATCCGCAAGTCTTCTCGTGTCATTAGATGCTTCGGCAAAGTGTAAGCACGCTTCATACAAGCTTAATAACTCGGAGGCTGGATATAAAACTTTGACCAAGAAATCAAAAACCTTGCTGGAGTTAGCAACATCTATAAACGAGTCGGTCTCTCTCTTGTCGACTCCTTCCTGCCGGAAATTTTTGAACATCTCCAGGATGTTTGCCTTTTCTGTCCTAAAGGTAGAAATAGCATTTTGCGACCACCCTTTGCTGATAAATTGTTTGCTTGAGGTTTCGAGAAGCTCAAGGTAATGTTGATTAAACTTCTGTTGAGCTTTTTTACCAACATCATCCATGTTGAGAAGTCTCCTCTCAGCTTTGAGGAACTCGCGGACCAAAGGATGCAAAACCAACTTTTCATTGTCAATTCTACGAAGTAGAGAACGCCTTATCATGGTATTTTTAACAGCCACTGGCTCTAATACGTTGCCGAAGAGATCCTTCATGTCTTTAACGGAAAACGCAGATGGAAAAACTGAAAGGCGAACAAGGTTCGCTTTTATGTTTTCTGACATATTGGACAGGAATTGTCTCAAAGCATTGTAAACATCTTCTGCATTGGTGTTCAAAAGCGGTACGGGATATTCTTTCAGCTGTGCTACCAATGTCTTCGGGCTGAAAAAGTCTTCTAGTAATCTTGCACAATTGATAAGAACCAACGGTATCCCACCACAGAGGTTGCCGAGTTCCTTGATATACTGCTCCTCACAGTTTGGAACTAAGTTCTGAAGTAATTTGGCAGATGACTCGGAGTCAAGACGATCTAGACGCACTTTGAGTGTGTCCAAGGAACGATGACCCACATCCTCTTGAGTTGTGATGATCAATTGAACTTCTGGTGTGTATACTTCTACATATCGTAGAAAATCGTCAAACTCCTGTCCTTGATGTTGTGTATCTTCTGTGGCGTCCAACACGATAACTTTACTCTCGGTAACCTCTAAAAGCCTTCGCTTCGCTATGAATACCATATCGTGACTATCTGAGATTTTCGGAGCCAGAGGGTTAATTTGACGGATGATTTCGCTGCAGACATCTGAGAGATTTTGTTGTTGTTGAATGAATATAACAGGCTTGTTATGTTCTTCTTGAAGTAAGTGACCGACATGAATGGCAACCTCTGTCTTTCCTATCCCAGGGATACCAACAATGATGATGACGCGCGAAGGATTTGAGTCCTGGGTAAGTTTTTGAACAATTTTTTGCACCACTGCTTCTCTTCCTATAAAATGTGTGTCTTTGTAAGGAAGTGTTGGACCGGCGTTATAAAAACGTGGTGAAGTTAATTGTCCTAGGAAAAAAAATAAAAATATATTTTGAATCATTTTATGATAAATTTAAAACTGTCACACAACCCCGATACCACAAGTTGAATTCCTTGTCGCGGCCTCAGTGTCTCCTAAACGACTTGTTTATCAACGGAAGCGACAGTAGCAGGAATCTCATTAGCGTGCGCAGGAATACATTAACTAGGTGACGTCATAGGCTATTGTCTTGATCTCATGAATAAAATGCTGTGGTATCTCATTAACTTGCGGTGGAATCTCATTAAGTATATCCAGTTTGACGGGTTTATCAGTGATGTCATGTTCTATTTTTATCTTGTGGCGGTCATGGTTGGTATAACCGGTTTGACAGGTTTTAGTTATTTTCGGAAGTTACTTTAAGGTCGATAAACGTCTTCGTTTTCGATTGGTTAGTAAGGAAATTAGAAACGTTTTCATTGGTTAATTCATAGTGTCTGAGGATAGGTTTTCTAGTTACTTTAATGTCGATAGACGTCTTCCTTTTCGATTGGTTAGTTAGAAAAGAAGAAACGTTTTCATTGGTTAATTCATAGTGTCTGAGGATTAAAGTCAAACTTGTCTGTGACTTAAAATCACTGAGACGTAACGTAATTATGCACTTCCTATTTCCTGCTGCTGTGATTGTCCTTGTCCCGGTTCACTGATTTTTGGCGGGTAAATTCCTCAATTTTTTTATTCCCTCCTCCTCCTCCTCCTCCTCATTTTTATTGTTTTCCCTCCTCCTCCTTCTCCTCATTTTTATTGTTTTCCCTCCTCCTCCTCCTCATTTTTATTGTATTCCCTCCTCCTCCTCCTCCTCCTCATTTTTATTGTTTTCCCTCCTCCTCCTCCTCCTCATTTTTTTTGTTTTCCCTCCTCCTCCTCCTCCTCATTTTTATTGTTTTCCCTCCTCCTCCTCCTCCTCCTCATTTTTATTGTTTTCCCTCCTTCTCTTCCTCCTCTTCATTTTTATTGTTTTCCCTCCTCCTCCTCCTCATTTTTTATTGTTTTCCCTTTTCCTCCTCCTCCACCTCCTCCTCCTCCTCCTCTCCCTTCTCATTTTTATGGTTTTCCTTCCTCCTCCTCATTTTTATTGTTTTTCCCCCCCTCCTCCTCATTTTTATGGTTTTCCTTCCTCCTCCTCCTCCTCATTTTGATTGTTTTCCCCCCTTATCCACCTCCTCCTCCTCATTTCTATTGTTTTCCCTCCACCACCACCACCACTGCCACCACATTTCTATTGTTTTCGCTCCACCACCACCACCACATTTCTATTGGTTTCCCTCCACCACCACTACCACCACTGCCACCACATTTCTATTGATTTTCCTCCGCCACCACTGCCACCACATTTTTATTGTTTCCCTCCTTGAGTTTGGCCTTTTAGGCCTGATTTTGGCCTCTTTGGCCTTTTGAGGGAAACAATAAAAATGTGGTGGCGGTGGTGGTGGAGGAGTTTTTCCTCCACCACCACATTTTTATTGTAGAAATGTGGTGGCGGTGGTGGTGGTGGTGGTGGTGGAGGGAAAACAATAGAAATGTGGTGGCGGTGGTGGTGGTGGTGGAGGGAAAAAAATAGAAATGAGGAGGAGGAGGTGGATGAGGGCAGAAAACAATCAAAAATGAGGAGGAGGAGGAGGAGGAGGAAAAAAAACCATAAAAATGAGGAGGAGGAGGAGGAGGAGGAGGAAGAAAAACCATAAAAATGAGGAGGAGGAGGCGGAGGAGGGAAAACAATAAAAAATGAGGAGGAGGAGGAGGGAAAACAATATAAATGAGGAGGGGGAGGAGGAGGAGGAGGGAAAACAAAAATGAGGAGGAGGAGGAGGGAAAACAATAAAAATGAGGAGGAGAAGGATGGAAAACAATAAAAAATGAGGAGGAGGAGGAGGGAAAACAATAAAAAATGAGGAGGAGGAGGAGGGAAAACAATAAAAATGAGGAGGAGGAGGAGGAGGAGGGAATAAAAAAATTGAGGAATTTACCCACCAAAAATCAGTGAACCGGAACAAGGACAATCACAGCAGCAGGAAATAGGAAGTGCATAACTACGTTACGTCTCAGTGATTTTAAGTCACAGACAAGTTTGACTTTACTCCTCAGACACTATGAATTAACCAATGAAAACGTTTCTTCTTTTCTAACTAACCAATCGAAAAGGAAGACGTCTATTGACATTAAAGTAACTAGAAAACCTATCCTCAGACACTTTGAATTAACCAATGAAAACGTTTCTAATTTCCTTACTAACCAATCGAAAACGAAGACGTTTATCGACCTTAAAGTAACTTCCAAAAATAACTAAAACCTGTCAAACCGGTTATACCAACCATGACCACCACAAGATAAAAATAGAACATGACATCACTGATAAACCCGTCAAACTGGATATACTTAATGAGATTCCACCGCAAGTTAATGAGATACCACAGCATTTTATTCATGAGATCAAGACAATAGCCTATGACGTCACCTAGTTAATGTATTCCTGCGCATGCTAATGAGATTCCTGTGCAAAAAACCGGAGTAAAACATCCCTCCTATACTACTAGCGACAGGCATGAGGAGAAATGAAGTATTGAAACGTTTCTGACGGCTAAAAATGTGTTTGAACATAATGTATTTTGACCGATGATCCCATGACGTTGCGAAGAAAGAGAGATATGAGAAATTGGATGAACTATAGAGGAATCATGCTGCTATCTTTTTCTGGAAAATCCCAGAGCGGATACAGGCGGCAACTGGCTCCAACTCTGCCACCACCACAAAGAATACAGACAGAGAAGGTTATGAACTTATCACACTGCCATACTACGCATCATCAATAGGGACTTTAAGATCTAACGACGTGATGACAACGAGTAGGAGAACCCTCCTGGAGTTGAATTCCTAGGGACCAAATCCAAGTTCAGAAAGAGAAATTAAATTTCGTCATTTGTTTACGTTCTCCATAAAACGCGAAACTAGGCATTTTCACGTCGTAGTACGTGCAAAGTTGTTGTTTTGCTTATAAAACCTGTTGTTTTTTTTGACGTTCACGTTGCCGTCCGCGTTGTTGGATCTTAAAGTCCCTAATGAGCAATGACCGGGGTAGAACTCTTCATCCTAATTGTCACTCTTAGGATGAAGAGTTCTACCCCAGTCATTGCTCATTCCTTCAGCAAGATGAGACACACAAGGAACAGCCCCCTCCCACCACTACTTAAGAAAGAAGTGGTGTTGACATGCAGAGTGAAACGGGTAAATACGTAAAGGCGAGAGTACAAAAAGCATGAACCGTTCTCCTGGTCCTCAACAATGATCTAACCTCAAGAAAGATTGGAACGTCCACCCAACTTAAGATATTTAACTCAAGTGTGAAAACGGTACTCCTCTATATATAGTTCCGAAAGATAGAGAAATTAAATGACAGCGCAACACATTCATGATTCATGTTCATCATAATTCGTCCTTGTCAAATGGCCTGAGAAAATCACCAATGAAAAATTGTGGTGAACAGTAAAACAGACACCAATCAATTCATACATCAGGAAAGAAAGAGGTGTTACAACGGACACACCCTCAAGAAGACTGCCAGCAACCTGAACGGAGAGGCCTTGACCTTAATTCCAATTGACAGGGAAGGGGGGAGAGTGAAAGTGCTTGGAGTTTATGGTGTAGGGAAAAAGAGGGAAATGATCGCCGCTCGGTAGGGATTTCAACAAGGTAGGTCAGATAAACTTATGAAAGTGACCAGTAATGAACGTAGAATCGTACTGAATACCAATTAATCCACAGGGAAGGAGAAGGATTTGTTATTTAGGTTAAAGTTTATGTTTCTCTAAATTAGTAATAATGATAAACAGAGAAACATAAAACAACTAACAAGATAATGTTCTGACGTTTCGGCGACATCATGACACCATTATCAAGGAAAACTAAATGCGAGTCCAAAAAGAGTTTAAACAAAATCCTGCACTAGGAAATTGAGTAATTTTAATTTTCAGTGGACAAAAACCTTGCACCAGAATATTTTCAAGAATACTGTAATCTTTTCACACTTTTCAAGAGCGATAAATGTTATTTCATTGTAATTATGACATTAAAGAGATACATATTTCCTCTAAATTCTGTTCCGAGTTACTTCAATGGTGGTCTCAGTTTCGTAGCGTTTTCGATAGTAGAAGGGAATGTCAATATATTTTGTGGAATAACAAAGACATACACGTTGATAATAAGCCTGTTTTCTATAAAAAATTTTTTGAACAGTTGCAAAATAGGTTATATCCAAGATGATAAATGTTCAGAATGCAAAACGGATTTGGAATCCCTTTACCACATCTTTTTCGAATGCAGACACACCAAGCAGTTTTGCAAGAAATTTCAATATTACTTTTACACATTAACAAGAGAATTCGTCTGTCTGACCTTACAAAAAGTTATTACAGGAATATTATATATAAATTGCCCATTACTGAATTATTTGATACTGATTACTAAACTATACTTATGGGCTTGTAAAAGAAATCAGACTCTTCCAGTAGTAACTGCCTTTTCATCCAAGGTTAAAATTTAGTATGAAACAGAAAACTATATATGTGTTAAAACTAATAAAATGGACAAATTTAATAAGAAGTGGGCTCCGCCTTTGGACTCTGTACCCTAGTGTCTAGACTTGCTCACAAGTCGAGCTTTTGAGCGCGTAGCGCGACTGTGAGCGCGAAGCGCGATCGTACGAGCGCGGAGCGCGAGCGAGCGAAAGCTCGACTTGTTTCCCTTGCAGCGAATCACATCAAGTGACGTCATTTTCGCGCGAACGTCTCATGATGCATGCAGCGCTGCCTGTCAAACTGTCAAAATACTTTTCGCACCTCGCGAAATCGATCAATGGTTCGGTAATGAAATGGAGGAGGAAAATATTCCAACTAAGACTTTTATTCGGGTTGCTGTGCCGGAAAACACTTGCCTTCAATGTGGCAAACTGATAGACAATCCAGCGTTACGAAGAAAGTTATTTTCAGGGAAACAGAAGACAAAAACGTGGTCTGGAGCTTCTTCTTGGAGATGTGTTTCCGCGAGACAACGACTTGGGAACTATTTGCCGAAACTGCTCGGAACGCAACGAAACGCTGACAAAGAAAATTTTTCAAGTTAGGGCTAACTTTTCTGGACCAAAAGGAAGTCTAGCAAACAATTTGCAAAGCTCTGTCGGAGTAAAGCCCCAGAGTCATACTGACATGGCAGGAAATAATCACATTCACGGACAAAGAAACTTGCATGCATGCATGTAGTTATTCAGATACAGCCATTTCGGAGAAAACCAAAAAAACTAAAATCTTTATTCAGCCGTAATAAACAGAGGTCAAAGGATATAAAACACTTAACAACTGCATCTGAAATCAAATCCTGTCAGGGACACCTAGTACAGAGGCATAAACCACAGGAAATGATTACTCAGTATGCATATAACAAACCTGCTTCATGACCTCTAAATATAAGACTTAGTGCGGCAAAAACAAGATTTACTCAGTCAAAGTTTAGAATGCTACACGTCTTGCACTGTGTAGTGCTAGTAACCTTCGCGCGAGAGAAAAAAGAAAGAGAACCACTGTTCAAGCAGACTCTCAAGGTCACGTTTCACATTATCACGAGCTTATGAGTCGTGTTTGGCCTGTCAACGCTTATTTCATGCAGTGACTTTCATCGACAAAAACAGCCTTAAGGTTTTTCCTGAGATTGCCGTGAAAAATATTTCGGTGGCTATTTAAGAGAGCTTCGGGGCTTCCAAATACCAGCGAGTATTTTCCTTCCGAAATTTCTTTTACTTGTTCCCTCGTGCAGTCTGCTCCAACTGAAGCAGCCGATATCCCTCGGGCAACTAAAGAGGTAACTTGGTCCTTCATAAGGGCGACCAGTGGCACAACAACTAAGCAGACAGAACACACTTCCAGTCTTTCGCCGTGCTCTAAATAGTCGAAAACATAGGGAGCAACTTCGAAAGTCAAGCTTTTTCCTGATCCTGTTGGCGCCGAAAGAAATACGTCTTTTCCACTGCAGTAACCCTCGATTACTTTCCTTTGATGTTCACGAACATCTTTGTACTGTGCTTTTTGCAACCCATAAGCGATTGCGTCCTTGACTGAACGCATCGTACAACCAGCTGAAAATTTAAGTTTTAGTAAAAGCCTCTACATAAACAAACAGCGACGCAAAACACTCGAAGCAAATTTTAGTTTCACCCAGACAGGTTTCATGTTTCAAGATCTTGCTCGCATGATCTGTTTGATTGACGTGCGGTTTGATAAGGCTGCTTCTGATTGGATAACATTACAGGAGGAAAATTCCTCCTGTAAATTTGGCGCGCTGCAAGGGATAAAAGTCGTTCGTGCCGGGTCCTACCACACCAGACCAGAAAACCAAGCGAACGACTTTGAGAAAGTCTACCTAGTGTCGTGTGTACTTAGAACGTATTTTTCATTTTTTGTATAGTTACTTTACCGTTAAAGTTCGTAGTGTAATGTAATGTAATGTATTTGTAATTTATTGTAATGTACTATCATGCAATGCCATGTAATAAGTAAATAAATGTAAGAAGTGTCTGAAATAACTCCGAAGAAAAGGTTCTTATTGGAGCCCGAGAAAACAAACTTCAAACGCCTCAAATTTCACGAAATGAAATCTTATGCATAGCGATTTTACCTGTGTTTTCTCAATTCCTGTGAAATTTGAAATTTATTTTCTCAGGCTCATGTAAGAAATTGTCTTTGGTGTTATTACAGTTAAGTAATGCATCGGTCAGATCGAAGCTTTAACATCCCCCCCCACCTCCCCCGGGCATACCCCGTGCATTTGACACCTTTGCCATCCCAGGGAGGAGGGAATTTGATCATCAGTCTTCCAGGGGGTGGAGAATTTGAACTCCACCCTCGATTTCAAGTGAAATCTCTGGCGTGGCAAGCTATCATGGGGGATGCGGTGTTTGAGGATTTTCGAGGAAAAGACTGTGCCTTTGTGGCCAATAGGTTACAAGGAAAGGGCTTAAACAAGCTTTGTGCCGTATTTGAAGGTATTTAAATTTTAATATTTTTAATATTGGATTCAGGCTTTGAATATATGAATGCATTAAGTTGTTTTTACAATGAAATATAAAAAGCTCAACAGAGATCAATATTACTTTGACCCAAGTTTGCCCTGACTTTGACCTGCTGCATGTACGTTAATTAATACACAGGCGGCCCAAACTCACGTTACAAGTAGCCTGTTCCAGGCTCTCAGATAGTGGGGAAGACGCAAAAGAAAAAGGTACCCAAAAAGTTGTTGGGGCAGGGAAAAGGAAAAAGGAGTAACAGTGGATACGCAATAAAGCCAAAAAAAAAAAAACAGTAAAACCACAAACAGACACCAAAATGCAGTGGAATAGCAGGTAAGTCTTTTTTATTCATTTCATTTAAGCAAAATTAAGGTTTAGTGTTATTTAGCATTTGCAGATCTCAGTAATATATTTCTCATACAAAGTCTCTTATATTTTCCATGGTTGCCGGTAACTCGACACCAGCACGTCACTTATGGTATGTAAATTACATTACACCCTTCCCTTGTAACAAGAGTTTGGGCCGCCTGTGATTAATAAGGTGCATGTCAGTGAAATGGTCATGATGTAGTAATCTCAGTAGGTGGGATTTTTTATTTTTTATAGAACGCTTTGTATGTTGCATGACACACGAAGAAAAGCTGAGCATTCAGTGACCTTGTAGCAGTGATTTCCACTGCTTTGCACGAGACTGTTGTTCGTAGTAAATACGCTAACAGTCTTTCTCAGGTTTCGTTATATTGAATGCAAATTATTTGCTGTATTTATAAAGATTTTGTTCGACAAGTGAAGGCGTTTCTGCCGTCCTTCTGTCATTTATGTGCCTGTGAAATGTCCATGGGGTCAGGGCATTCGATCACATGAATGGACCCTAGTGTGGGGCATTCGAATGGCATTTTGTCCCGGGTACGAAGGAATTTGAACAATAAGTTTCAAAAAAGTCAAATACCCGGGGGGTTGCCGGGGGAGGGGGGGGGCGATGTTGAAGCTTCGATTTGACCGATACTTAATTACATCTATAGCCCTGGAAAAGTGTAAAAAAAACGCGATATGGCTTAAAATATTCTGGTACAAGGTTTTTGTCCACTGAAAATCAAAATTACTCAATTTCCTTATGGATTCCGTCTTAAGTTTAAGTGGACGGCGACATAGAGGACGGTGACTTTGGCCGTGGCGGCTTGGGAGGGAAGAGGAAACCAAAGGTTCTTTGCTAGACAATCAAGCGCGTTTTGTTTGTCTGTTTCGATCTACGCTCCCGAGTTCAATTTAGCAATGGCCCGATAAGATCTGATCTGCGGATCAATCGTCTTAAACCGTGTTTAATTTATTTGTTTGGCTGTGATCAGGATCTCCTACATTTTTTCAGCTGATTCTTTCTATCTCGAACATAATAAATAACATCGGCTAAAAAGGGTCAAACCCAATGTTATAAGGGATTAAAGGCAATTTTCAGCTCACCTTTGGTTCCTTCACTGGTACCTAGAGACGAAGCCCCAGTTTGCAGCTCTTGTTGGGTTGCTATTGATAAAATTCCACGTTCGCCTGCCGACTCGCCTGCCATGTTTGCTTCGTCCTTAAGGTTCGTCCTGGGCTCAAGGAATTCGGTCCCACGCCTTCACGGCAGTAAGATCGACAAATAAGTTGGCATGTGCAGTAGCGGCGGTACTGGAGGAATGAAACGAATCAGATCTGCTTGCGTGAAAACAAGTTCTTCTAAAACCTGCTTCGTCAGTTTGTCGAGGGACCTTGCAGAGGCAATAGGACTAAGAGTTCAGGTGTGTCTTCTAGCAGTTTTCTTAGTTTATACACCATGTGGTTCTTGGTCCGCGACTAAAAATTAAGCTACAATACAGCTCGTCACAAGTTTTGTCTTGAATTTTCTCCAAATTTCATACATTCACTATTTATACCTTTGTTCTCACTCAAATGTGCCCCTCTCCTTCCCCAATGTTGAGCCACGCGTATTTTGGAGCACTGAGATGACTGCAATCCCAAATCAACATTGGGGAGGGGAAAATTCAAGATTTGTGACGAGTATTGTAGTTGATTATCATGAATAGGCTGATTTAGCAACAGAACGGGAACGTCAGTTGACGACTGCGCGCGCAAATCAAACAACTGGCTTGACCAATGGCAGAGGGGCAAATTGGGCACCGGAAATCGAGTTTAGTCCTTTCCGCGTGCTTTCCCGTCATCAAATGACGTTCCCGTTCTGTTGCTAAATCAGCCTAATATCTTACCTGAATCAAACTGTTATGAGCTGAAATACCCCCTGTTTCTCTTGATAATCGTAAAGTTGCAAGGTCCAAACTTAAGTAGTTTGCTTGCTATCTCCAGTTGAGAACATCGGCCACTCATCTGACTGTGTGCACGCTAAATGCTCGCTCTATTGCGAAAAAACCGGAACTGTTTGTCGAATATATCAACGAATGCAAAGCTGACCTACGTGCAATAACTGAAACCTGATTGTCGGACAACAACTCTGCTGTTTGTTACGAGATAATTCCACCTAGGTACAAACTGTTCCACTGCCCTAGAAGTCATCATAGAGGCAGTGGTACGGCCCTTTTATGGGGATAACATTAATGTTTGCAAGCTTGAATCGGGCTCAACGAATTCCTTTGAATTTTCTGAGTATCTCGTCTGCACTGGCTCCTTACGCATTCGACTTGTAATTATCTATCAGCCACCGTATTCTATTAATCATCCTATGACTGTCAACAGTTTTATTGATAAATTTTCAAAATACCTGGAATCTGTTATATGTGACCTTTCACGCGAAAACGTACACTAACGGTTTTGTGTTAAACGGGCAAAAACCAACGGCTAACCAACGGGTAGCTAACGGTTTCTCCAACGGCTTTAACGGCTTTCTCAACGCTTTCAACGGGTGCGCAAAAACTTTCAACGGCTTGTAGCTTTTTCCAAACGGTTTGTGATGATTTTTCCAACGCCTTTTCATAACGCTTTCAAAGGGTTGCCTAACGGCTTTATTTTTTTCAACGGTTAAAGGTTTTTAACGGTTCTTCATGATTTCCAACCCTTTTCAACACTTTTAACGCTTTACAATGCTCTTGTATAATTATTTTCAACACTTCCCGACCAAGGAGCTGAACGGCTTTAATTTAGGTAACCAGCAGAGGCCTCGTGATAACAAAATCTTCAGTGGCTAAGAGCTCAAACGTCTACAGCACTGCTAGAAAATTCAATCGTCCCAGGTCGAAACAAAATTCGAACTTCACCTCTCGATCATCGCACCGTGTCAATTTCACGGCTGTGATTTGCATACTGTGCAAATCAGTATTCAACGATGTTTGGCGTTGACTTGGGAAAGGCCGATCTGAAATCAGAACAAAACGACACGAGTGGCCGAGGTGTGAGAGCTCGAAACATCTACAGCTCAGCTAGACAATTCCAACGCCTTGAGTCCAAACAAAATCGAACTTATAATATAATTATTCATTTCAATCGTCGCAGCGTGTCAATTTCTCCGCTTACTCAAGCCTATTTTATCGAAGGGAAGTTTCATTCACAATTCACCATAAATTTTTACTGGTTTATATCACGCTCTTTCAATCGTCAACACTGCTATTCAGTTGTTTATCTTGTCTGCAAAAGTAAACATGTGCGCGATAAAGTTGCAAATTTTTCAACAAGTTGAGCCCTCAAAAATTAGCGACGACGGGCTTTCAAGCGTTCTGCTTGAAACTTTGCATATTTCTGGCGTTACATAGCCCCACAATAACTCCAATACGGAGAAAAAACACGGTTGAGGAAATGTAACGCGGAAAAATGGGCGAGCGAAGCGAGCCGAGCTAACTTCGCTCGCCGTTTTTGTCATCGTGCATTGATTCGCACGGCTCCGATGATGCTTTGCGTCGAAACGTTAATAGAAATGTTCGAACGGTATTTTGCATCATTGAAATAGCAGAAGTCGTTAGTTCACTAGCGGAACTTGAATACAATCCATGACTTTATATCTGTCAAATCCACAGTAAAAGGAAGTTTGTGTAAATAAATGTTCGATCGATGGTGTAAACAAAGTCTCAAGGCGCTTATCGTAGGATTTGTTCTCTCGGCTTGTCTTTCGAATTCAACTTCCAGAAATTTTTTTTCGATTGCCTGTTTGTGAATGGTCATCGGCATTATCGCAAAACTTCAGAAACCTCCAAGAGCTTCTGAGCTTTGAGAGCAATATATAGTCTCGTGCAATGCAATCCGCTTTTGAAACATCACATAATTTTCATCACGGTAGTTGCAGTCACGTGCTAGGCAACGAAAAAGTTCACGTGTATCAAGCTCCATCGCGTACAAAAACACAAGCTTAATGTTACGAGAGATTAACTCAAACTTTAAAGAACTCGCTATATTTCCTAGTAGAATAAAAGGCATCGATTCTCGAAAGTTTTCAAGGATTGCGAACGCAATTTCAGAGCCAAAGATTGGTCATGTTACGGTCAGACGACGTCGTGTTTGTTATCGCTGATAGACTGTTCACAGTCCTCTATTTTTCCGTAAGATCGTCGAGATCGAGCGCTTTGCGTCTCGGGCTGCATCTTGCATGAGTGTCAAAACTACTTAGGGAGCAGGGGGCGGTTTGGGAGGAAGCGAGAAAAATAGAGGGACTGTAATAACATCACTGCAGCTCGCGTTCAGGAGGCGTGACAGGAATTTCACGCCTTTTACCATTCATTAATTAAGAAACTCCGCTGGCGATGAAAAACATGCCAGACACATTTAGCATCGATTACGCGTGTTTACAAATACCTCCTTTTGAAACAGTGATTTTATAATGTTTCTAGGCCATTCCTACAAATAAAATCGGCAAACAGGCACAAGAGAAATATTTTCCTAATCGAATCGCTAAGCATGCTCACTTGACCATAGACTAAAATGGTTAAAACGTCCCGATAAAAAGCCAGGCATTTCTGACAGGTCATCTATTTTGCGTCGGCGTTGTGTTAAATTTCAGTTCGTTTGGCAGAAACTGTGTTACAACATTCCCGCGGCCGGGCTGCTTCCAAAGCATGTTGGCTTACGTGATTCATCCACAAAATACCAAAAATCGCTCGTGTGTTTTGCGCAAGTTGTACCTTACGGTATGAAAGCGTGCGTTTTATAGAAACGACGACTTGTCAAAGACTTGTCAGTGTCGGCAACTTAAACTAAACCCGTTGTCAACGCAAATTAACATCTATTGTCTTATGACCAATCAAACGCCTGCGTTGCTGGTACAACGCGCTCCGTGAACGCAAACTGCAGTGATGTTATTACAGTCCCTCTATTTTTCTCGCCCACCTCCCCCTAGAGCTATAATCCCCGACGCCCGCCCCCTCGGTACATTTGAAAACCAAGATGGCTGTCATTAAAAGACGCGCTATATCTCAACGATCTCACGAGAAAATAGGGGACTGTGAACAGTCTATACCGCTGATGGCCGGCCAGATAAGCCCAGAATCGCATAGACATGATGTTATTTATATTCACCTCCCATGATTCAACAATAATTAGTAGCCATTCAAAGACCCGAAGCGGTGAGCGGAGTTAGCTGTGCTGTATATTTTCTACGTTTCACTCAGCTAACATAATCATAGCACCGTATAATTGACAGGTTTTGACAAACGGTTTTTGTGGCGCTGCTAGCGCTGCTTGATGCTAGAACGGCTTTTCCTGCTAAGGAGCGTTGCGTGACGACACTAAAAACGGCTGTGTAGCAGACTACTTTTTCCCAACGCTTCCAACGGTTTAGAACACATTTTTTCCAACGGCTTTTCTCAAGGCCTTCAACGGGTAGGGGAAAAAAACCCAACGGCTTTTTCTAACGCTTCCAACGCTTTGGAACAAAGTTTTCAACGGCTTTTCTCAACGCCTTCAACGGGTAAAGGAAAAATCCCAACGGTTTTCTCAACGCCTCCAACGCTTTAGTAAACGTTTTCAACGGGTACCCAACGGGTACCCAACGGCTTCAGCCCTTTAACGGGAAACCGTTAGTGTACGTTTTCGCGTGAAAGGTCACATATTATCTAATGATCTCCTCTGTCTAACGGGCAATTTTAACGTCCATGTTGATGATCACAATGATCCAGCTGCTTGTCGTTTCAAAGTTGGCCGTGTCTCATTTAGGAAGCTGCGATCAATCGATAAGGATGCATTTATGGATGAAATTATTCGTAATAGCGAACTTTTCCAAATTGATACTGATGATCCTGAGGAGCTTGCTGCCTTATTTGACAGTACATTTTGTTCCCTGCTGGATTGTCATGCTCCTGTTAAGCATAAGAATACTACTAGTCAACCATGTGTTCCATGGATGAATGATGAAATTAAATTGGCTAAACGACAAAGGAGGAAAACTGAAAAAAAATGGAGAGCTTCTAAAGCACACATCGATTTACTGTCTTACCGTACTATGAGAAATCGTGTGTTGTTTCTGAGTAACAAGGTTCGTAGTGACTATTATACAAAGTTCATAACTGAGAACAGCACAGACCAGAGGAGGTTATTTAGAGCAAGCAAGTCCTTGTTAAATTTATCGAAAGGTTCTGGCCTTCCATTATCTACCAATGATTATCAGTTGGCTAATGATTTGGAAAATTCTTCACCCAAAAAATTGCTGATATCAGGTCTGTTAATACAAACCAGATCTGCCTTCCGGCCTATCAACGCAACTAGTACTGTGACTGCTTCCTGTTTTTCAGAATTTAATCCGTTGTCCGAATCAGAGGTGTTTGATCTAATCACAGCTTCGTCTAAGAAGTCTTGTCCTCTTGATCCTATTCCAACCAAGCTTCTTAATGAGTGCGTCAATGTGCTAGCTACTGCCTCTGATCACCAAAATAATTAATCTTTCTCTTGATTCTGGTTATTTTCCGCACACCTGTAAGTGTGCTCTGGTGCGGCCGGTGCTGAAAAAGGATGGATTACCCCCTGTCTTCAGACCAGTGAGTAATTTGGCATTTATCTCAAAGCTATTTGAGACTTGTTGCCAAGCAACTACAACATTATTTAAATTGTAACAATCTGTGCCCGGTGTTCCAATCAGCTTATTGACAAAACCACAGCACAGAAACTGCACTGCTTAAGGTTATGAATGACATTCTCTTGAACATGAATAATCAGTGTGTTACTTTGCTAATTCTGCAAGACTTGAATGCTGCCTTTGATACAAGTATTAATCACGACACCATGCTCTGTCGACTTGAATAGTCATTTGGTATACAGGGAAAAGCCCTCTCCTGGTTTGCATCCTATTTGTCTGGAAGAACTCAGCGGATAATGATCAACGAGTCACTATCTAAACCTTTTAAATTAGAATGCAGTGTGCCTCAAGGTTCCTATCTTGGTCCACTATTGTTCACGTTGTACACGAGTGAGCTTTTTGAGGTAATTAAATATCATCTGCCCGTGATTCACTGTTACGCTGATGATTCACAAGTTTACATCTCATTTAGTCTGAACGACAGAGCTGAACATCTTGCTGTGGTGAGGAATATGGAAGACTGCATCACAGACATTCATTCTTGGGTGTTGAATAATGATCTTAAATTTAATGACGACAAGACTGAATTCCTCATCATTGGTTTCTCACAACAGCTGGAAAAGCTAGATAATATCAGCATACGTGTGGGTGACTCAGATATTCATCCCATGCCACTCGCGAGAAATCTTGGTTGTTGGTTTGATTCTAGGCTGTCCATGGCATCACACATCACAAAACTCTGTGCCTCTTCATTTTACTATATTTATAATATTCGTCGGATCAGAAAGTATCTTTCACGGCAGTCAACTGAGATACTTGTCAATGCATTCATAACAAGTCGCCTTGACTATTGCAATGGTCTTATGTATGGACTACCAGACTGCGTGTTGAATAAACTGTGACGAGTACAGAATGCTTGCGCCAGACTGATTTTTAGAGAACAGAAATTTTGTCATGTAACGCCTCTTATTTATGAATTACACTGGTTACCGATTAAATATAGAATCGAGTTTAAAATACTTTTAATTACTTTTAAGATTCTTAATTTTTTAGCGCCTACTTATTTATTGTCTCTGATTTCTCTTAGGCTCCCATCTAAATATAATCTAAGGAATTCTAGTGATAACCTTTTACTTAGTTATCCGCGTTTTAAATCTAAAGCGCACCGAAACTGGGGAATGCGTTACCATTTGACATAAGAAGTGCCAGCTCAGTTAGTATTTTTAAAGCCAAGCTAAAAACTCACCTTTTCCTGTATGCATTGTTATCATAGTTGTTTTTATTATTGTGAGTTTACTTTTAATTGTAATTTTAGCTTTTTAGCTTTTTTATTTTGTTTTTAATCTTGTCATGCACATTTGAACATTTTATGGAATTTGCGCATTATAAATGTTTTATTATTATTATTATTATTTTTACTGCTTGTAATTTGAAAAAAACGCCGTGCTCAAGGGTCTTTGGTCTGCGAGCCGTGACTCAGGTAGGCAGCACAAAAAAGACATGAGAATGCGATAGTTTCCACACGAAACGTAATTGCCATAATTAATTCTTCATATCCTACGAAAGCCGAATTCATTAATTACTTTATTATTCATTCAAAATAATTCCTAGGATCGATTATATATTTTTTTATATTTCATGTATTTTTCTATTCTTGATGCAATAAAGCTTAAGTTATGTCGGAGGTTGTTGTGAGTATAAAATATTGTGCTTTTCTTGCAAAGAACTCGGACGACAGTCTCCCACACGAGCGGTTTTCAGCGCGGTCGAGCAATTACAGACAAGACGCTCACTGAGCGTAAACTTGGCCATGAAGCCCTGGGGGAGGGGGGTGGGGGTACTTCTTTGAATTCTTGGTGGGGGTGTGCCGCCTGGTTTTTCAAATCCTGACCCGATTTTAGACCAAAAAATGTAATTGTCTATACCAGTTTTCAGACAAGACTTCTAAAATCCATACCCGTTTTCAGACCTGGCCTTTTGGCAGAAATTATGTTAACATTACTTAGGTTAGAGCACAAACAAAATAATTATTCAAAATAATTATTCGCATATTTTTCTTTCTTTCTTACTCATTTGGAGTTGAAATGATAAATGCGGTTATACACTACATAGTTCCCTTGAAAACCATACCTGATTCCAGATCAAAATGGGCAAAGTTTATACCCATTTTCAGACCAAAATGGTGCAAAAACCCTACCCGATGGGGTGGCACATATACCTATATGGCTTATATAAAGGAGTAGCCCCACCCCCCCTGGATGTGAGGATTTTTTTTCTATTTGTGTAATAAGTCCTCATCATTTTTTCAGTTTTGCAAGGCAGTTTCTACAGAGGTAGTTGTTTTCGATAGATCTCAAAGCTGTCAAAAATGAATTTTCAAAAGACTCTGATTTCGGCAAAAACGTCAAACTTAGTGGCAACTTACAATAAACTGACGAATAAGACAACTTCTTTTTCCTTTTGCTATGTAAAGAACTGATTTCTTTTTTGTGCTGCAACTTGTACAAATTTATTTTTAGCCTTGCTTAGTACTGCTTGATTGTTGTGCAAAGAAATGTCCTATCACAGAGCATATTAGAAACTTAGCCAATCAGAAATGGATAAAAATTTTCCTGAAAACCTGCGTGTTTCGGGAACCGTTGCGCAGACGGACTACATCGAGTTTTCTATCTGGGTCTCTAGTGACAAGTCTGGCAGCAATAAAGGGCTCTGTGACTGGAGACCTGTACTCTTTGGAGTTTTAAGTAATTAGGTGTACCTTTGGAAAATATTCCGAGAGAATATAATAAAAACCGCTATTTTGTCCTTACATTCTCTCTTCAGGTATGCATGTCTTCATGGTATCGTATTTATTGTTTAACCGACTCCTAAACTGTTTAGTGACATTGTTTTTATAATTAAAATGTTACAGGGTCAACCATTTGCTCTTCAACTGCAGTGGGAAAGTTGCAGTGCTTTTACTAGCTGGTCTGGAGAAGTCATTCACAGCAACAAGCATGATCTCTTGACTGGACCTCCTTCTATTGTTCTACTTGGAAAAAAGTTTGCTGATTCACTGGGACTGAATGAGGATCAACAGGTCAATACATGTGCCTAGTGAAGAAACCTTACCCTTTTTTATCCTAGCGTTTAATTTTTGGGACAGCTGTCCACCCAGGTTATAGGGGGGGAGTTGTGCTCCCAAATAAAGGTGACATGGATGCTCATCAGAAAATTGAAAGTAAACCTCTGTAATCAATGTGGGTGTGATTCAAACTTAAAAGTGACCCTAAAGAAGACCGTACTAAAACAGAGGTCACGTCACGGTTAGTAATGCCTGTATGGGCAAAAAATTATTGTGACTTTCCATCCCAAATACCCTAAGTGAGACCAAAATGTGAAATTTACACTCTTAAGAAAGATGGCATGGAATCCCTGTCACTTTTATGTGGGAGACCTCCCTCCGGGATGCACAGGATGCCTTCTCTGTCCAAATCAGATAATAAAGGTTGCCAACCATAAAGGGAAGGAACTATGTCACACAGCAGCAGAGTCTGTTCTGTTTAATTTTAACAATTACTTACCTTGAAATGCAGCATTCCCAAAGAAAATTGCCCGGGGGGGCACTTGGGTATTTTTTGGGTGGGTATGTGCTGCCCGGGACTCCAAATTGGCACCCCGTTCTAAAAAAATTTCCCCTAAAATTGATACCCCGTTCTAGAATTCGCCCTAAAACTGATACCCCGTTCTAGAAATGGGCCAATTTTTTATACTCCGTTCTAAGGTGCAAAGAGCACAACAGTTGGCTTGTTAACGCATTAAACCGTATTTTTAAAAGCAATCTGTCCTTGAATAGTTTCAAATGGCTGCTTACAAAACTGGAGCTTTCGTGCGTTGGAAATATTATACCCCGTTCTAGAAAACGCCTCTGAAATGAATACCCTGTTCTAAATCAGGAGCTTCAAAATCGCTACCCCGTTGGGCGGCACATACCCGTATAGGTAATGTATGGGCGTACCCCCCCACCCCCAGGGAAAATTGTAAGTCTGTTATTAAACCCTATGGTGTGAACTTTTTTGTTTATGTAAAATTTTTTACAGACTGAAGTTTTCCCCATGGGTAGTATTCTTTAGTAAAGGAGTTAATAAAGGAGAATCTACCCTGACTATTAGCTGCCTCCTCTGCTTGCTAAGTCACTCTCTCCCTAAAATTCATGTCAGGCTAACAAGAATTCAGAAACTTATGGTCATTATTGTGACCTGCTGATGGTGTTTTTCTGTCTGGTTGATGCCATTCAAGGTCCTTGTTGAACCTGTTCTTAGCATCCCATCATGCAACAGAATCAGCGTAGATCCGCTCAGCGCCAATGACTGGGAGATCTTGGTAAGTTGTTCTAGACAAAACCCGGAGGCTACTTGAAAACTGTGAACATTAATGATTGTATTAATAACTTTCAAAGAATAGACTGTGTGAAAAGGAGTCATGCCTGAAAAAAATTGGGGATTAATGGGTTTTTTTGTTTGTTTAAGGTACTTGGCATACAGTCTCTCTCCTCTATAGAGGCATTTTTGTGTTGTAATCTTAAGTTTTGGAAATGGGCAAAAAGAAAGTGCATGAAGGATTGCCCACAGTACTCACTATTATTTAATATTGCTATATTTTTTATTGCAATACCCATTGGGAGCCTCTGTGGAGGAGAGAGGTTTATGTTATGATTAAAAATTATATTCATGTTAAAATTTTTTAATCTACAATCCCTCGGTGACAAAATGAGTTGTGACACTTCGCACTTCAAAAGGTATAGCTTTGCAAGGTTGTGCCACTGTTCGAGCTACCTAAAGAAAACAACAAACAACCCAACTTTGAATGGAGGGGAAAGGGGAGGAGTGTGGATTCTTTTGTTCTGTGAAGTTATCCTATTTGAGTACAATGTCTTAACAATTTTGTTGCGGATTGTAGGTTGATTTTCCATTGTCTTTTGTCTCCTAGCTGTCAGATTATTCATGAATGAGGGCTAAAAGACAATGGAAATTGAGAATCAACCTGGGTTAAAAATTTTATCCTGTTAATTTAATTTTGACCTGTAACATTATATACAGTGTACATAGTAGTAAGTAAGATGGCACAAGCTCCTCTAATCAGATTAAGTTTTATTTGACATCTTGATTTGTTAGGAACTTCATGCTGGATATATTGAAAGCCATCTTCTGAACCAAGTGCGTGTGGTGTTTCCTCATCAGAAACTTCCAATCTGGATTCAAAACAATACATGTGTGGTTGTTCAAATTGGTAAGTTAGATCAATGTTTGTGGAAGATGGTAAATGTTGGTCCGCAGTAAGTAAAAGTTTGAGAAAGTTTCAATGAAATTTTTGTTTATGTGGTGCAGGGCGAACATTAATAAAATCTGAAGAGTATTCTCTAAAGTGTGTAGAAAGGATTCCATTCAGCATAGTAATTACAACAACATCATTTCTTTCATGGAGCCACTCAATCTGTTTTTCAGTGTGCTTTTAGTCCCCAACATCAGAGCCCTTGGGCTTACAAAAATCAAAACAAACAAATAATGCACTAGATCAATAGGTGCCCATCTAATGGAAAAAAGTCTCCTCTAACTGGATTTAAAAAAAAAGAAAACATAAAAATATTTGTCAAAAGCATACTGATTAAAAATTAAGGTTTCATTTCAATGGTCACACCTCATTTCCAATCAATTATCAAACAAACAAAACTTTATATTTACACATATTACACCTAAATACAGTTGCCCTGCAAATTATCAAAGAAACGCTATTCAACGCAGGGAAAAGTAATCGTATTGAAAACCATGAAAATTAGTCAAGTGAACATAACATTACAGAAGCTGAACTGTATAGTTACAATCTTCCTTCTTCTCTTTTCCCCCTTTTAAAAAGGGGACAATAATTATAGCTCCAGTGACAACCAAGGAACAGGCATCAGTTGTGTTCTTCTAATATTAGTACTTACAATCCTCTAACCTATTCCAATCCTTTCCCTACAGTTGATTTGGAACCTTGTACCAACTGTGTGAGGCTGGATGAGTTTACAGAAGTTGTTGTATCACCAAAGACAAGAGATACAAAAAATGCCAAACAAGGTCCTGTTTCTGCCTCTCAATTCACCTCACAGACAATCAGTCAAACCTCTGGGATTCCAGACTCTGCACAACAGCTTGCAGAGACAAGTGGTCGTAGTGTTGTAGATACAGAAGAACAGTCTAGAGTCATTGACACTGGCCTTTTGTTCAGATTTTCTAGTTACTTTCACACACTATTTTATGCTCATGGTAACAAATCTGTTACAAATGAAACTCAGACATTACAATCCTTGCACGGCAGTGAACCTCAGTTAGCTGGTACATCTAATGACAGCAATGCAATAAGAACTTTTGCATCCACTTCTCAACTTGACAAAGATGTTTTGGGAGAAACTGACTTTGATATGTTGTTACGAGTACAACCAGAACTTTCAATGGCCAGGAACATTTCAAAATCAAAATACTCATTTCAGCCATCAGCAGTGTTTGTTGACTTTGCATCATTACCACCAGAAGTTCTGAAGTCATGGACCTGTAATCTGGACTTCTTTCCACCAGCCGATGGAACAGTTGTAAAAACAGTGCAAATAACTAAATTACTGTCACCAAAAGAAAGGGCTTCAAGCACTGCAGCTACAGTTAACAGAGTACCAAACAGTCGGGAAAACACTGATTCAATAACACAGGAAACTGGTGTAACTGATGAAGCTGAATCTTTAAGCAGAGCAAGTCAAGGTATCAAAAGAAGGATTTTTTTACAAATCGTGTGTGAATGTTTGTTCATCCAGTGCTGGGTAACTAACCACCTACCCCTCCCCTAAGTCACAATTTTGCCCTAAGCAAGAAGTATATAGCATTAATGTTGACTTGGGGGGAGGGAGGAAGTCAGTTTTCCAGAAACTTCAATTAATCCAATCCCCAATCTCTTTGACCATCACATGAGTTTTAAGGTCTATTCTTGATATCAAGCTGACCAAGCTACTGCATGCTGTAAGACTTCGGTTGGAACTAGCAGTAGGAGTGCCCTGTGGTGTGGGAGTGCCATATCCCCGTAAAAGCCCAGGTAACAAGAGTGATGAGTTTTAAATTTGTTAATTCTCACAGATACACAACCTTCTCACTGGATTGTAAACATGGTGATGACAAGCAGCAGCAGTAGTACCCTTAACGATATCACTAAACATGGCTCTCATAAACTGGGTGTGGCAAGTCATGTATTACCGCACCACATTGTTATGTCCAATGAGCTACGACATCTACTTGATACAAAGGATCTGTCGTTAGTTAAAGTTCAGAGTGTCTTGTATGGGCCTTCAGTCATCAAAGGGATTATATTACATCCCTTTGGAGATAATACACAAGAGGTATATATTTAAATATAAGTCATATTATTTTTATCAAGAATTGATTTTAGGAAAGCTTTTTTGAAGGTGGCCATCGCAACCAATAGAATGTTAACCACTAATGGCACCAGGAAAAATAACTTTAATTAATTATTACAATGAAAATTCAGACTGTATACAGTCCGATTGGCATTGTACTAGTAATAAAGCAATATAGGGCATGGTAAATGTAACAAAGTGGCCCTAGGAAAAAATAAAATACCTACAATATTCACTGTGACTATGAGGTATTTAACGATGGAAAAGCAGGAATAAAAATGGATTGGATATCAGACGACCAAGGGAAGACAAGAAAGAAGGGATTGCTCAGGAATCGGTTACTGGTACGTGTATTTGGAAGATTAAGCCGACCAGAAGAACAGTAAAGTTATCAAGTGAAGATAGTGTGTAATTTTGCAGCATAATACATGTATGTTGAGAGTACGGAAAGTAAAGAGAATTACCCTTTCCTTCTGGTCAGTGTAAGAAATAGTAAAAACTTGCTAACCTGCAAACAAGAAAAGTCTGCTTGCTTGTGTATTGTTCACTTTAACAAAAACATGTTTAGAGCCTTCTGTTCACCTACTGTATATCATTTCAGGACATCCCATCCTCAAGTGTGTTATTAGATGCTTTTCACAAGTGGATATGTTCTGTGTGTAGCAGAGACACACCCTTGTTACTTTGCAGTGGAATGCTGTTGACCTGTGATATTCCTCAAGGTAGGCTGCCTGCATTCCAGATATGCGCTGATAATTAAAAAAATGAATAAATGATGTCTTTGTCTCTACTTTCATCCAGCAAGAGTAGTTGGAAATAAAGGAACCTCATACATTCTGCAGCAACTGAATTCACTTCATCACTAAAAGTAAAAGTAGCACTCTGACATGCATTGTTCAGTTATAAGTCTTATAACTGAACAATGCACGTCAGAGTGCTACTTTCACTCTTATTTACTACTTGAATGAAAACAAAAAAGAAAGAAAGAAAGAAGAAAAAAGAAAGAGCTATATTCTTGGACCTTGATGCTGATTATTTTAAGATATGACATATAGTTTTTGGGGACCAGAAAAAGTAGTCAACTGAGATAACTGAAAGTGTGGTGAAGTGAAATTGAGATAATGAAGTTTGACTTTTATTACTTGTTGTTTTCATTTGTTACGATAATTAATCTTCAATTATGTGATTTTATTTTGCAGTAGGTCATTCTGTTCAGTTTGTTGTGACGGTACTAAAAAGCCACGATGAACAAACCTCCAGCTCAGCAGACAGACTTTCATATTATCAACTTACTCCTGAAACTCTTAACAGTGTAACAGTTGTCACTGGAACTCCTTCAAATTCATTGAACAATCCCTCTCCAGTGATAAGTCCTCTTGAAAGCAGGGCACAAAATCTTAAGCATAGTATAGCAGATCTGGGGTAAGAAGTTGTAATCAAGTTATTTTATGTACCATAGTGATACAATGCTAGTAAAGCAGGGCTTGAGGACATGATATATATAAAAGCTTGCATACATTCAAAGCAGTTGGTCAATTTAATTATATGCGATAATGATTTACAGGTGTAGTTTAAAGATAGAGTTTCTCAAGGATTAAATATTCAACGAATTGTTGCCCTTCCTTATTTTGTGCTTAACCTGTACATCAGTAACTCTACACTGCATATTTATAGCCAATAACCATTTTATTTTGTATCATTTTTTTCTATTTGTTTATCCAGACACAGTAAGTCACCCCTCCCTCACCCCACTTCCAGCATTTTATGGGTCAGGCGAGGTTCTATTAATTTGCCTTAGGGAACTATGGTGTTCCCAAAATGACCTCATTTCCTTCATGACACAACATCACAAGTGTAAGATCAGAAGAGTAAAAATTTGTATTTATACATTTCTTTTTTTAACAGTGGAGTGACAGAGTGCTTTCACAAGTGCCTAGATCATGCTTTGGCTGCCTTAAAACAGAGGCCTGTAGCAAATCACCTTGGTGGGAACATTATCACAGGATTACGTTGCGGGGCTTTGTTAATTTTTGGCAGTGGTGCAGGAGCTGGGGTTGGCTGCGGCAAAACAGCCCTTGCCCACGCAGTGTGCCATCAACTTAATCAATGGCCTGTCTGTGCTTATATCACTGTTGTGGACTGTATTCCATTCAGAGGTTTGTGTAAATCATTTTTATGAATGATGTTTTGAAACCTTAAACTACTTTAAAGGACTTCATAATAAAGTGTTATTTTCAAGGCATGTGCAACAATACTACATGGTCACATAACATAAACTGTTTACAGGTAGCCATATGACTCCTGAAGGGTCATGAGGTTATCCCTATTATTAAGATCTCCTTTCAGATAACCCATCTAGTATATAGCCCAGGAAGGTTGGCTACACCACTGGAATCTATGTCCCCTACTCTTTATGAACAGTGGTGTGGGGTCTTTTCAGTTGTCTTTTACATCTCACAAGAACCAGATTAGTGAAAGTGCTGTGAGATGGGATGGTCTACAGTGTATGGTTTTTGGTCCTTGTCTGAGAAGACTAGAAAGTATAACTGTTTGCAGATCTATGTTATTACAAAGGCAGTACTTTCTTCTCAGTTCTTTAATTAAAGACCCCGAGTTTTGGTCCAGCTGGGGTTTGAATCTGCCACATCACACTAAGCAGACCAACACTCTCCCAACTGAGCTAACCAGGCAGCAGTGGTGGCATTTACTGTTTTACTCGCAGGCTTATTGGTAGTCCTAAAGTGGCAAAGAGAATGATAGATTACAGGGAGTGTTCAGTGATTGGATTGTATTTTTCTTGCAGGAAAAAGAGTTGAATCAATTCAGAAGCAGTTGCAACAGGTGTTTGTCGAGGCTGCTTGGCATCAACCTTCTGTTATTCTGTTTGATGATTTGGATCAACTTGTGTCAGCTCCCAGTGCCCTGCAAGAAATGGGTGGAGAAGCTCTGTACAAGCGTCGACTTGCTCAAGGTGAGAGCTGATAATAAGTATTGACTGTCTATTACACACTGTTCTCACCCATCTACATTGGACCTATTCATGTTTCATGTTTTTGCATCAGTTATTCAAGGATTTAAAATAATTATGTGTGCACTTAGTTTGTTATTTAATGCATTACATTTTTGGGGGGCCGTTTTCCTACTCTTATGCTTTGTCAGTAACTGTACTCACATTGTGGATGGCTCCTCCTAAAATGTTCTACAATATTAGTATTGGATTTAATGAAGCCAAAACAAATTGTAGAATTGCACAGGTTTTGGGCATCCTACTGTGGAACAGTTGTGACTTTTTTGAGCAAAAAAAATTTGCCATCTGTCCTAGCCTCTTTGAAGAAATTGTTTAGGTTGATTAGCAAGGTATGTCAGTTAGAAATCTACATCATTTCATTATTAAATTTGTTTAAACCATGTAATGTCCATGAAGATTTCTCCATGGGTCTGTTGACCTTTTCATGTACTAAGCATAAATGATTTTTTCTTCTTTCATTCACCAGTAATCAAAGATCTGGTCAACGCAGAAATTGACCACAATAGCAGGGTGGTTGTCATAGCAACCAGCAAATCCCATGACTCATTGCATCCTTCACTACTGACATCAAGAGGGTGTCACATATTTCAATGCTGTGTAGAGCTGCATCCACCAGATGCAAATCAGAGACAAGAAATCCTGCATGCAATGATAAACAAGCGATTTCCTCAGGAAGACTCTCAGGAACTTGAATTCAGGTATAAATATGAATTTCTAAACTTATCACGTGCTTTCACTTTATAGCTATAGAGTCTCGAAGACCATCCTCTAAGCTTTTTGTTTTGAGAAAGACACTGAATTTTAAATTTTGGGTTTTTGTTGAGCTGTTAATACTCCTTGTTCCCTGCCTTTTTAAATGAATCACACTGCTATAATTATGGATCAAAGATTTAAGACCTCTGTTTATTCATTTACCGTTTTTCTGACCTTAGTTCTACCTCCACTGTCTTGACCTTTCCTTAATGCATTTATTTTGCCATATCATAAACTGCTGCTTACAAGGCCCCCACCCCGCTTATAACTCCCATCCATTTATATAGGCCCATCTACGTATAAGCAAAAAAAAAATACCTCTGATTTTAAGCCCCCTGGGATATAAGCCCCCTAAAACCCCTTTCAAAAATGTGTAAGCCCAGGGCTTATAAGAAGCTACAATCGGCGACAAAATTAGTTGAGACACCTCCGGAAAAAAGACATCTCATGAGCATGGTTTTATTTGTTCTTTTTTAAAAAAGGTGTGAAATACCTTTCAATGGTCCCCCCTCCCCACTCCCCCTATTCAGTGTTGTACCGCTGGCCTTAAGGTTTGTGGGCACTTGGAGATGACCCAACAATGTCAAGGGGGGAGGGGTCGGGGGGCCCTTTCTCAGGGTAGCTCAAAACACCTCTTTTTAGGAAAGTGTCTCAACAATTTTGTCGCCGATTGTAGCCTGTTCCAGGTTTTCAGATAGTAAAGCACGGGCGAAAAATTGACAAGGAAAAAAAAAATATAGGAGCCCCAGTCTCTCCTTGTTTTCCCTGCGTACAATTTAACTCGCTTCCCATCATCTGAACTCAGTGCTCCACTACCTAAATGCCTGGAACAGGCTAATAAGCAGCAGTTTATAGCATACTCTGGCAACCAGATCATCATCATACACAGTACTAGTATTATCTTAGTGTCGACATAATATTTTGTGTGCTCAATTCAGTTCACTGGTGAAGAAAACAGAAGGATTTTCACCCAAAGATTTGGGATCTCTACTTGACCGTGCTTTTCACAAGGCAGCAATCAGGAAGTTAAAAAATTCAAAAGGTGAATTGAAATAAAAAAACGTAACATGAAAGGGAAGGCTAAGTGCAGTAGATTGATCTCAGTTAACAGACACCCCATGTGTATTAAGCAGACAAGCTTATTCTCAGCTACATACAAACACTTTTTAACCTCCCTTAATTAAGCGGCACTATACCCCCCTGTAAGTGGCTGCTTTTTCCGGTCCTAAGGTTTCCCTCTTTCAAGAGGTTCAATAAAATGTAGTAAATACACTGTAGAGGAGAGTAACATATATTTTATGCATTTGAACGAAGAAAAGACTATTAAAAACAGCTCTATATCCTGTGAACTATTTTCTCTGTATCCACAGAAGGAGGTTTCGGCCCAACTATTACAGCACAGGACTTAAAGGAAGCTGTTGAAGGATTCACACCTGCAGCATTGAGAGGAGTCAAGTTACACACTACAGGAGAGTTAGGTTGGTGTGATGTGGGTGGACTGTCTGCAGTTAAAGGGACTCTGATGGAAACACTTCTGTGGCCGACAAAGGTACACACTGATTATAAGGTGCATTGAATGGTAATTGGTTAAGTCACCCTAAAGCCATTTCACCCAAAGTCACCTGGCCTGTTTCCTAAGGCAGGCCTAAAATGTCGTTATTTGAAGTACCAATAGAATTAGACATTGATAAGTCTAAGTTAGAAGATGTTGTAACAGTTATTTGGACTTACCTGTAACTCTCGGACAAACAAATAATTAATACACAGGTAAAACTTGCAGCTTTAACGAGTTATTATAAAGAACTGCCCACATGCCATTTGCAGAGTGCTCTTCCTATACATCGTTGTACTTTATTAGGTAGTGCATTTCTGTGCACAATAATCGTGTACAATTGCAACATTACAAATCAGTCTGTTTTATTTTTCATCAGTACTCCTGGCTCTTCAATAAATGCCCTTTACGCATGAGGTCAGGTCTTCTCCTTTACGGACCTCCTGGTACTGGGAAGACTATGTTAGCTGGTGTGGTTGCTAAGGAATGTGGGCTCAACTTCATCAGCATTAAAGGACCAGAATTGCTTAGTAAATACATTGGAGCCAGTGAACAGGCAGTCAGAGATATGTTTACCAGGTAATTAAGAAGTTATATTAAAAAAAATTGGACCAATATTTTCAAGTTGCTATTTCGTTTCCATCCTGGCCATGGAAAGCCAAAGACGTGCGCTCATGGTTGAGGTTATAGTCCTTAGAAGAACAATTTCAAATAAAACTGAACCATTATTGAAGGGTTCTCTCTGATTCCAAGTGTGTTTTAAGGGTTTTAAATGAATACCAAACAGTCGTGAAATACAATGTAGCTCCTTTTAGGACAAAGAAATTTGCGCGACTTAATGCGTTGTTTAGTGATATAAAGACTAGTTACAATATTTTTCAAAGCTCAGTTCTACTTCTCAAAATCCACGATGCTTCCTATAATACAGACATCTCTCTATTATGGACAATTTCACTTGATCTTGCAGATACCGAATTTCACATATTCCCACCTCGATGGTACAGACAGCCCTTTAATGAGGCCAATAGCCCACGTTCAATATATCAAAATTCTAACGTGACTCCCAGGCTTCACGGACAAAATTGCAAATTTTTCACGATTCCATTGGCTTGCAATTTCTAGAAGAGACTTGAGCACAAAGAAAGCCAAACCAAATATTATAGAAATATGACCAGAAAGCCTCGGAGTCATGTTATAATTTTAATATATCGAACGTGGGCTTTTGAATCGCCTTCCCTAGCTGGTCCTTTGGTGTCCATATTGATGATGTTCAATTGTATTGGAATGTTCTTCTTAGTACTTTATATTAAATACAGAGCCCAGAGTGCCAAGCCTTGTATTCTGTTCTTTGATGAGTTTGATTCACTTGCACCTCGCCGTGGGCATGACAGCACAGGGGTAACAGACAGAGTTGTCAATCAACTTTTGACCCAGCTGGATGGAGTTGAGGGACTGGATGGAGTCTATATACTGGCTGCCACGAGTCGTCCAGATTTGATAGACCCTGCTCTTCTCAGACCAGGAAGACTGGACAAGTGTTTGTACTGTGGTATACCAGAGAAGGTAATTTTGTAAGAGGGACAATATAAACCGAATTAATACTGGTTGCCTCAATACGGAGAGGTGACACAAGCCCTGCTGTTTTCTGTTTGCACGTCTGATTTGGCATTACAATCAAGCCTCCATGTGCCACCACCTAACGTAAGCGACCACCTCCCATGATATAAGCGACCACACGTCCAAATCACCAACATTTTCCTTGTTGGTCTTATTTCCTCATAGCTGGAACCTCTCGTAAACGACAACCTCTCGCAATAGGCCACTTGCACTAAGAGGTCACGTGACCAATGCTTCCTTTAAACAATGAGTTGGAATCTTGCTGATGCCAAAAATTGATGGAGCACATAGAAATTATTTTACACCCGAAAATTGAGAGGAAACGCATTTAAGGGAGACATTTTATGGCACTTTTTTCAACAAAGTAGTATGATTTGTATTGGCCGCTATGTTGGAGGGCATCTTGCCGTCCAACATGGTGGCCAAAACTACTTTTTTCTTCTATCTTGTTAAACATTTGATAGTTACGCTCAGATGTGCTGAAAATGTTTCCACATCATCTTTTCAACAATTTCCCTGAAGTTTAAGTGCAAAATTTGTGTTCAGAAAGAGGTAATTCATAGTTTTAAAAATCACAATTCGAATGGCTAGCGACCACCACCCGTTGGTGACCACTGTTTGCGGGAACTTCGACTGTATATTCATATTAAAGTGATTCAAATTAAACTACCTACGCCTCAACAGTTAAAGGCTAAGTCTTAGTAGAAGGAATTGTTTCATATTGTCCTTGCTATTTTGGGATGTGTTTCAAGTGTGTATTCTAGAATAAGATTGAAAACTTCTAGTTCAAACCGAAGGCGATTATGCTTGTGCAATAACAAGACAATTGGGACAAGGGTTTCAAAAAGTGGATATTTTCAATAACTTTGGGCTGAATCTAGTTATCCACTTTACAGTCAGAGAGACTTGAAATCCTACGAGCCCTATCAAGATCTCTTCTCTTGGCCAAGGACACGAAGCTAGTTGATATTTCAGACATGTGTGAAAACTTTACTGGAGCGGACTTGAAAGCCCTGTTGTACAATGCCCAGTTGGCGGCAATACACAGGAACACCAGCAACAGTCAACTGTATAAAGGCCTGTTTAACCAGGGCAGTGAAAGAGGAGATGATGAAAACGACAGTTTGCAAAATAAAGATAGAAAAGAGAAGGTTGTTTACATTCCTAACTTGGTAAAAGGTCCTGTACACGTCTCATCAGACGAACTGACAAAGCTGTATTCCGAGGTAAGTGAAATATCCGTTAGCCTGCGACAACAGCCGTCTCTTTTCGCCGCTAGGAACGTTTTGCCAACGCCCCTAGCGGGAAAAAGCGAGGAGAGACGGCTGTTTTCGCAGGCTAAATATCCGTGTTCATATTTTCTGAATGAGAAAATAATCGGTGAATATTTCTGTTTTCGTTATAAGAACAAAAAAATGTATGTATGACCATGCGGCAGGGTGAACAGGCTGGTTGCACAAAATTTTGATAATTGAAGTCGGCTTGCATTGATATTTGAAAGTTGAATACAATAAATTTTGCCGGGTTGGCTAGTAGGACATTTTACTCGCTTGCACAAACGTTCGAAGAAAAAATTCATGTCAAAATGAAATCTATAGTCTTGCCTAGGGTGCTAACATTTGATTCGTTTCTATTAGGTTATGGTTATCGAAGAACATCTCCGACAGCGGAACGGGAGTGATAAAAAGGTACAAGAATAGATTATAATAAATGATGGTGGTAATTGAAAGCAAGATCTCAGTGAGAGTGATTATCCCTCATTAGGATTCACTGAGTTCAACATTAATCAATCATACAGTTCCAGTCAGCACTTTCTGTGCTGGACTTTGTAAGGGTCACTGACTAAACAGTTTACGGTCGTTTCGCCAACCGTCAAGAAGCAATTTGTTTAACCCCGCTCATTAGCGAAAGGACTTACCGCGTTAGCGAAATGACCAGTCACCATCTTAAAGAAAGCGGGGCGATCCATTATTCTTATCGCACTTTTAAATATATTGCTCTGCTCTTCCCTAACGAAAAGACGTTCTTTTAAAATTGGTACCTCCTTAAAGCAAGTATTCCTTGGCAACGAATTAGAGGAATAAAAAGTTTAAACTTTGTTTCTCTCCTCGTAGATGTCAGCCACTGAAGTATCAAAGCAACAACCAGCAGGTGGAATAGAAATCAGTCAGTCTGATTTGCTACAAGCTGCGTCATCTATGAGCCCCTCCGTGTCCGACAGCGAAAGGCGCAAATACCAGGCAATGTACGTATTGAACATCTTAAAGTGCTTGTTATGGGCGTGGCAGGCGTAAAAAGCGGAGGGGCGGGGGGGGGGGGGTTTGGGGGCTAGCGCGAAAGGGTAAAGAGAAACCTCTCCCCAATCCCCTCTTCCAATTTTCCGTCTCCCCGACCTCCTATCCGTTCCTACCGCTTTTGACACCTGCGAAGAAGGCTAGGCTGGTGGAATGCTGGTGGTAATCGTGTCAATTGCAGCCTTGGTCTGACTCCTCTCCAGTCGTCTTTTATCATTAGTGAGTTTACTGAACAGCACGGCAGAAAGAAGAGGATGACAAAACTCTTGAGTGTGACAAACGTGATGGGGCTATTACTCGCGTGTTTTGTCGGGAATTCACTTAACATTGACGTTTTTTGCTCTTCTACAAAAAGATCTGTTCAAAGGAATGTGAAGTTTTGCGGAAGGTTTTTTCAAACAAAATTATTGTCACGCTTGTCACACAAGGTTTGCCGTCGTCTTTCCTCTCCGGTCCTGTTGCGTAAGTTTACTACTTTTGAGCGCTATAACGTAACAGTAGGGAGCTTAAGCAACAGCGTTTTTGAGCGACGGACGTCAACCGGAACTGGACTTTTTGCAGCATTGGGCAGTGGTTTGGTTGAAACCCTTGGGTAAATCGTCTTTAAAAGGGAGCTTAAGCAAAGGCGTTTTTGAGCGACGCACGTCAACAGGAAGTGAGGCCTTCTCCTTCTTATATGCCTGGACGCTACCAAATTTGTATTCCCAAGTTTCTTTTCTCTTATAAAGACGATTTACCCAAGGGTTTCAACCAAATCACTGCCCACTTCTGCAAAAAGTCCACTTCCGGTTGACGTCCGTCGCTCAAAAACGCTGTTGCTTAAGCTGCCTTTTATAAGAGAAAAGAAACTTGGGAATACAAATTTGGTAGCGTCCAGGCATATAAGAAGGAGCGTTTTGTGGGCGTTACTATTACATTAGAACTTACGGTCACCACAATGTTATTTTGTTTTTCAGATATGATACATTCATTAAATCGCGTGGAGGAGATTTTGGTCAAAATTCCACCGGACAAGGAAAAGCAACTTTAGCCTGAACGTTTCAGTCTGGATGCGATACCAGAGGCATGGTATACATGGAAACCAACCCAAATGCCTCATCAAAGCGTGTCAACCAATGAACTTTGGAACTGAACTTTGTTTAGATTTCAGTGCTACAAAAGAAGCACATTATGTATGCCACTGACATGGCTTCTAACAACTTTTTTCAAGTTACCATATTTACTCAAATAAGCTCCGCATTGAGACGTTGATTCTGTTAAAACGGAAAATAATAATAACGCGTCCAACTTTCAAATAAACACCGCCCTGGAATAAGCGCCGCATTTAAGGCTTGAAAAGCGGTCAGTATAAAACACGGACTGCGGACTGCGGACCACGGACTGCGGACTGGGTATAAAATACGGACTAGGTATAAAACACGGACTCCGGACTGAGTATAAAACACGGACTAGGTATAAAACGCGGACTACGGACTATGTATATAAAAACAGCTTTAGAAGGTAAAACTGAGAGAAATAGAAAGCGGACTAGCAAAAACAGTAGTCCCAGCTTTAACGCTGTTCACGTAGTCTATTCTTCCCATGGAGAAGGAAGGTTATGCCGGTACTCAAGGCAACTGAAATTGAACTCTGAATTTTATGAAAAGAAGGAGTTTGAAGAGATTTCAATTTGCAGTTTTACACCAATAAGAAGCACCGAATTAAAAAAAAAAAATAGTATTGGTATTAGTCAGATCAGTAAAATTCTTATCGGACGCCACAATTCCGTTTCAAATAAAGCCTTGGGAATATGAGGACTGAATGAAGAACTCAGACGAGAAGGTCAATGCGATGCACAAAGCAGTATTTAGGTGCGAGGGATTACTCAAATACGTGAATAATAACCGAAATGCGTCATTCAACGTTATATTCTAAGTGATGATTATGATGACATGATTTACACCCTGCTCCTGATCCCCGGAAGGGGTACTACTGGGAATTCTTCGTTGGGGTGTAGTGCCCGGTTCCCCGAATCCTGACCTTATTGCAGACCAAAAAATTGTCATTTTCCACACCCGTTTTCAGACTAGATCTCTAAAATCCATACCCATTTTCGGAACTGGCCTAATTTAGCCTGTTCCAGGTTCTCAGATAGTTGGGGAGACTCCTCAGTTTTCTCCCGTTTTATTTTCGTGTTTTCGCTTTCTCAATTCATCGGACCCAACTATCTTAGATCCTTGAACAGGTTAGGTATGATTAGGCAGAAATTTTGTCATCATTACCAAGTTAGAGCGGAAACAAAAAAAATTCTCCAAATGCATTTCGAATTCGCACATTTCTATTTCGTTCTTATTCATTTGGAATTGAAACGATAAATACGTCCATTCATGTACGCTCCCGTTGTTCCCTCGAAAACCATACCCGATTCCACACCAAAATGGGCAAAGTGTTTTCAGACCAAAAAGGCCCAAAACTCCTACCCTTCCCTTACATAAGGGAGTACCCCCCTGATCCTGACCCCTTTCATGATTGTTAGAGACCAAGAAAAGGTCTAAAAATGGGTGAAGAAAATAGCATTTTGATCCGGCTCATGATTCAGAGAACCGGGCGGGACACCTCCACCAAGAATCTATAAGAGTATTTACAACTTTAACTCACGTGTCTTGCTATTTAGCGATCTTTTGATCTTATTTTTCCTTACCTAGAACCAATTTGCACGGTTTTTACCAAAGTAGTCCGTAGTCCGTATTTTATACCCAATCCGCAGTCCGCAGTCCGCGTTTTATACCTTGTCCGTGTTTTATACCCAGTCCGTATTTTCTAGTCCGCGTTTTATACCTAGTCCGTATTTTATACCCAGTCCGTAGTCCGTAGTCCGCAGTCCGCAGTCCGTGTTTTATACTGACCGGCTTGAAAAGCGTTGCAGCACTTTTTCGAGTTAATACGGTTTAGTATATACACACTCAGTGATCTTGGTGATTTAAGCAATCTGATTGGTTCGCTATCTCGGACTATTCAACAATATTCACCTCCTAGCGAGTGGATAATGTGTGAGCTCGGTGTTTTTCCCGTTTTTTTAGGGAACGATCTTTTAAAAGTCGACAAAATCCTAGGGCTGACTTTTTTTAAGGCAAGAAAAGACTTGGAAGGATTCAATACGGCGTTTTTCAATTTACTGTAGCAGGAGTTTTGTGCTCGATGGATTGTTTACAACTCCCGTGTATTCGCGTAGAAGAAGCCGTTTCGTGAACTCAGCGTTTTCTAAGAAGAAAATTTTGGCTCAAAAATCGAAGTTTATTTATGACAAACAAATTTAAAAGGAAATGTTTGCAGAAAAAGTAAACAGGAAAAAGAATGATACAGGAAGACGACCTCTTACCTCGAGCAACCGAGCCGCCATTTTTGTCAGCACTTCATGCGAAGAACGACACAACATGCCCTTTTGGCTATAAACTTGGCGAGTCAACAGAAAACAACACAGCTCTACTTTTTTTCTCAGGTAAGGAAACAGTTCAAACTTTTAGCGATTCCATTGAAGCCATTAGGCTGTTGTTTGCGAAATGAGTAAACTTGTGAATTGCCATGTTTGAAAATTCTGCAAAGATCTATTTTTAAACTTACGCGTGATTTGATCTGTCAATCAAATCCTACTTTTGAATGGTTTCCTTTCTGATTTTGTTGAGATCACTTCGTGTGTATATACTAAAACAATTATTCTTCTCAATCTCGGTGAATAGTGGCTTTGGGAATATTTACCTCGCCGCTTTCGCGGCTCGGTAAATATTTTGCCACTATTCACCTCGATTTCAAAGAATAATTGTTAAATGTCAAGTTTACAAGCCAAGTAACGCTCATAATTTCCAAAAATGTGCTTAAAACATACGATACAGAACATAGCACTGGCCCAAGGATAGAGAGAGATATTTGCCATTTTCCCAAATGTTTCATACGTTGTGGTTCAATTTTATCCTTGGTTTAAATTTTATTTTCTTTTGTTTTTGCGTATGGTGATGTATGATGATGAGTTTGAAACAAAAGAAAATAATGGCCACACGACCACAAAAAATTGTCGCTGCAAACAGCACGCACGTCTTTTGTAACAGCTACAATAATGACCGACAGTTCACTTTTAAAGTCTTTAATTATTTTGCTTAGGAAATGATATTTTACATTTAACTCTACCCTGTGGCCAAGATAATTAATGATTTTGTTATTGCGCCAATTAAACCCAGTAACTTGTTACATCAACAGAATAAATAATAAATATATATTTTTTTATTTTACTTTGTCTGGTCTCCTTTGTCTTTAGGTGTAGTGTCAAAACTTTTAATACAGGGTTTAAGATACACCAGTTGCATTGGTGCCTCACTTGTCTGTTTTTTCCCCTTGTTTCTTCTGTTTCTTCTTCTTCTCTTTTTCTTTTCTATGTTTTCATTCTCGGGCACAGTACTATCCCTTTTGAAACCAGGAGTTGGACTATCAATGGTACCACGAACTTCCTTTAGTTCCTCGTCTGGTAGCTGTTCTTTTCCTGGTTGTCCTGTGTTTTCTAATCCTACTGGAGTATTCGCTTTTGGGTTTTCTGTGTACTCTAATGCAATCCCTGAGTTCTCTGCGAGTCTTTCAGTGTCAACCGCAACATTTCTTACCACTGCAGGTTGTGTATTCAGTTCTTCTGCATTCTTTGTTAGTTTTCTAACTTTTTTTCGTGGTTTTTCTTGCATTTCCTCAATGCCAGGCAAATTTTCATCCTCAGAATCAACTTCATGATAAGCCTCTTCTGATTGCTCACTTACATCCTTACTGGGTTGCAACCAAGGTACATAGAGCGGCGGAATTCTAACTTTGATAAAATGAACCAGCTCATCAAACAATGTAGGTTTATCAGTGAGCTGAAAATAACATAAAATTGTCAGAATCCTCACTTATTACCTCACATATATATGTGATGCTGAACATGTCCAAAACATGAACATATGAATTTCATATATTGGAACTGTGGAATGAAATAAATGCCAAGAAGACCATCATAGTTAAATATGCAATCTATCTAGTTGCAAAAAGAAAAGCTGAAAAACTCCATGCTTGCTGGGATTTGAGCCCTGAACTCTGTGATACTGCCATCCAGTGCTCTGCATGTATATTCATCATTTCATCTTCATCTTTCCTGGGTATAATTATGCCACTTCCACATTTCCCATAACGTACCTTATTTGCCACTCAAAATTGTGCATAAGCATTGTTTTCAATTTCTCTTGGGACAGAGGTAACACCCAGGAGAAATGAAAAACAAAGGCTATGCAAAATTTGGCGGGGGAAATAAGGTACATTAAGGGAAACGAAGCAGTTAAATGGCCAGCTCCCAGTTGGCTTGCTAGCTGATATTGGTTAAAGCGCTGCACTGGTATTGCAGAGGTTAGAGTTTGCATGCCAGCAAGCCTGAAATATTTCAGGCATTCTTTTCAAATAAGTGGCTTCTTAAACTGTGATTTTCTTCCTTGCATTATTTTTATTTCTGAACACGTTCAATGATATTCACATCTGATAACCATAAGATGTACGTTCCATAACTTGCACAAACCTGTATGTAGCTTGTACCATAGCAATAGAAAAGGTACCCGTATTTACTTGTAAGTTGTTATTTAAAACAAATTCCAATAAAATAGATTACTGTACTACTGTTTCCATTCTTATCACTAGAAGTGACCCCCCAAAAGCTAAAATAATAATAATAAAAAAACGAAAATTTCATTTTATAAAAATGGACACTAAAGAAAAGCAAATAAAAGTATCAAGGACTGCTGAAGAGGTCTCAGTGGTTAGTTTGTTATAGTATAGAATTTTGAACCCAAAAATGTAATACAGTAGAAGCTCTTGTGAGCAGACTCCCTCAGGATGTGAAAAAGGTGTCTGTAACTGGAGCTGGCTGCTTACAGGAATGTAAAAATAGAGAGTTTGAAAGGGAGTTGAGAAAAACAGGATTATGAGCCAGGGTTATGATAAATTATGAGCTGTAAGGAGAGGTGTCTGCTTACAAGAGTGTCCATAAAGAGAGTTTCCACTTAAAAAAAATACTAAAATACAAGTGTATTTCACTATTTGAGTCCCGTGTTCAGAGTCTTAAAAAAAAAATAGAGAACAAGAAGCAAGTTTACCTTGAATCCAAAGGCTGCAACTCTACGGACCCCTAATAACTTTGGAATCACAGACAATCCCATGCCAACAAGTGCACAGGCAGGAGTATTGCGTGTTACACACAGTACAAGTAGGTGCTCTAACAGCGTAGTAGGCTTAATCGATCCATCAACCTAGATAGACATGGAATAATGTTGGCTTCAAATGAATTAATGGTAATTTTGTAGTAGGCATCATTGATCCATCAACATAGATAGACATGGGATGATGTTGGCTTCAAATGAATTAATGGTAACTTCATGGTAGGCTTCATTGATCCATCAACATAGAGAGACATGCATGGGGTCATGCTCGCTTAAAATCAATTAATGGTAATGTTTGTAGTGGGCTCCATTGATCCATCAACCTGGGTTTACCTCTATGTAAGAACCTGTAAGAACTTTTTCTTTGTTTAACACCTTTTGCTTTCCTAGGTTCTATTCTTTGTTTCCTTTGCTTCACGTCACTCATGTGTTTTACAGGTTCTTACACTGAGGATGAGCCAGCAACCTAGATAGACATGGGGCAATGTTGCCTTAAAAGACCATGCTCATTATTGAAGTGTGAATTGAAGGGTGAATTGCAAATCAAAAACTAAATGCTTTTCTTACAAACAGATGTAATAGTTATATTTTACAAGTAATTAATGGTAAGGTTCCAATCCCACCAGTTTGGTGGCAGTTCCTACAGTTTGAATTAATGTTTTTGATAAATTATTTATCAAAAACATTAATTCAAAGAGTAGGAACTGCCACCAAACTGGGTGACTGAAACATAAAAATAACCACTCAAAATATTCAGAGAAGATTGAAACAGACTGCAATTGTGATGTTTTGAAACTTGCTGAAGACTAACAGAATTTTCAAATGCTTGCTTGTTATTTACATGTTTGATATAATGCTTGGAGACGTATTTGATTGACATGAAACTGTGATATTTTTCTCATTAGGAAGTAATTTCTCAAGTAGTTCCATAGCAAACCAGGAAGCGTAATTGGCATTTTTAAGAGGATGAACTAGCCAGCCGGGACACAGCTTCTTTAAGTGCTTAAGAATCTTTGTACAGATAAAACTGTGAGACAATGAAAGTATGATGCTTCACAGTTGCAGCACTTTAAGTTATAGATATTATTCAGGGCTGTTGTTAAGAGGCTGGTGATTTCCGCCAGCTCTTATGAATGTCGCCCCTGGCTACTTTCATGAGAAAATAGAAGAATAATAGAACCAAAAGAAATCCTTAGCTGTTTAATTCCCTGCCTACTTGTTGTATTTACCCAGCAACTTGAAATCTTAGTGATATCCCTGATTGTTGACGTGACTTTAGATCAATTTTCAAGTAACATACACTTTTGTGGAAAGTGCTTATGCGGTCACAACTTCAATATTATTTGCTTTGAAATGACAAACTTACCAGCACTAATCTGAGACTCCCTTTTTCTAGTGCTCTCATTACTTGATTGAGCCCAATTTCAAGAGCAGATCGTTGCTCTAGTTTCTTTGCTCTTTCTTTCTGTTCCTCCAATCTTCTAGCTGCTGTTTCCTCATTTTCTCCAGCCACAGCTGTCGGCATTCTAGTGCAAAGCTGTTGAAACTGAAGAGGCTCTAGGGTTCTGAAGAAGAAATAATAACATCCTGTCATTTTATTCTCTTCATCATCACCAGCTAGACAAAGCACAATTCAATCAAAGTGTAGCATTCAACGCCCAGGGGGTACTTCCTATAATGGCCTATACAGAGCTCTAGGCTCTGCCCAAAAGAGGTACCTTTTTCAGCCCTCAGGTATATATGAAGTGGTAGAGATTATACTAGTTGAAGTACCGTATTTTACTGTATAGCCATCACTTGATTAATTGCCTGCCTCGAACAATCACCCCCCTTTGATGGAAATATATAAAATAATCGCCTCCCCTGAATAATCCCCCCTCCCTCCCCTCTTGCCATCTTCTCTTTCTTTTATCCCCTCCCTGTCAAGTTGAAGTGGAATCTGATCCAGCAAAACTGATCAGTGATGGTTCAAGCACTGAAAATTAATGAAGGAACCAAATTTGGAACACTAAAAGCCCATGTTCAGTTTATTTGAAGTGATAATTTTTTTGATTTAATGGGAAAATACAACGAAATATTTAGGGCAGAACTTCCAGTGAGAAATATTTGAAATAATCGCCACCTTCAAATAATTGCCTTCCCACGAATAATCGCTCTCTTTTGACGCGAACAATCAATAATCACCCCCGGTTATTACTCGAGGAAATACCGTGTACGAAAAGGTAGGGAAATTAATCTGTCATTTTGGTCTGTAGAAAGATGCATTCTGTGGTTGTGAAAACATCGAGAAACATTCTAGGATTGTAATTTGTTCATAACTAAAAGACATTGCATTTCATAGCAGTTAAAAGAGATGCAAAGTTCAAAACTAGGCATGAAAAAGGGTTATCATTTGTCAAAAGAAAGTATGAAAGGGTACCATTTCTGTCAAAAATGGTATTATTTGTAAAAGAATACAACAACAATACAAGGAGTTGGACCTTGAAGCGGAACCTCCCTGTATAAAAATTTGTTGAGTACTCCCCCAGGATTCAACACTACGTTAGTCAGAACTGGCTTGCCACACCAGTCAAGTTTTAATGAGAATTCCACTATCCATCAGAACTTTCAAGCAGAATGTAGGCATTGGCAGTAATGGGTTTTTAGAAAAAAGCTCTAGGAAAATCAAGGTCTATCTCATTTTCAAAACAACAGCTTAAGCCAGCCAGTCCCTCAGTCTGTTTAACCCATTATTAAATAATATACATGTAAAATGTTGGGATAATTTCCTAGTCAGCCATTCTTTGTATCATCACAAAATGCTGTGTGTTGGGTTGACAGTTTTAGATTTACAAGAATTTGATTGCAATTAGAGTTGCCTCTAATTAGCCATACCTTACAATCTCATCACATATCAGTTTGTTGCCACCTTTTTGTGTCATCTTTGGCCTGTATAAAACAATATTTAAGTTACATTAATAATAAAGATCAGTCAAAAAATAAACTGCTCTGCTGAGTAAAAGCACTTTTTTATGGCTACTGGAGAACAGCCTATTCATAACTAGTACGCACATGTCCTCTACTGGGACTATTATTTTTTTTTCTAAACCATCAAAACCTAGCCATTCCTAGTCTTTCCAGACCACACATAACACATGTATACCACACCTAACAGCTACCATTCGGACTCTCCTGTTGATCTTTCCTTCACAATTTTACCATGTTAATTTGTTTCTTAAAATGCCTAATGAAGATAATCAAGACAGTTACAGTTGACCCTCCATTAAGCAGCCACCCTCTATTAAGTGGCCAGTAATCAACGCCCCAAAATAAATGCAGAAAAGAATGGGGAATTAAACCTCTATAAAGCGGCTGTGGCTACCTTTTGGCCATAGTTGAACAGTAACGCTTCTCCCGTCACATTTTTGCTTCAAAGTAAAGCGATGTTTCTGCAAAAATTATGCTCAATTATGACATTCCTCTATTGAGCCACCAGCCTTTTTTGCTGGTACCCCAAGGATGGTTGCTTAATTGAGGTTCAACTGCATTTATCAAAGGTCTTTATGCTGAATGTCAACCAAAGATGAAATGTAAAAAAAGACCATTCAAACAATCAATAGCATCATAGCCAGGCACATTGACATTGAGAATTGCAAGATGGTATGCTTGCTATCAAATACTAGATTGATACTTAGTATCAACGCCATTGATATGACCAAACTATAAATTTCATGCCCCACGCCCCAAGTATTGTGTCATGTTAGCAGGGTTCCACATGATGTATACTGTAATTTTAGTGAAGATGACTTGGATGGGAATATATGAATAAAAGTTGCAGTTTATGACTCTCAAAGCAAGCACCACAAAGTTTTTATAGAATTTAGAGAATTTCTTCACAGTTCAGAAATATTAGAAGTGAAAAGTGACTAGGTTGGGATGTTTTGCAGTTCAATTTAAGTTTTTCTTATTATTATTTTTCTTTATTTTATCATACACCACCATGTATGCAGCACAAACATGTCTGCACGGAAATAATAAAATAAACCAAGGATAAATTTGAACCTCACATACAAGTCACATTTTCCAATTTGAAACTTTGTCATCAATCTGCCACAAATAATATGCTGAATACAAGTCAAGTTCAGTTAAACTCTAATGGATATAAATTGTATTGAGAATGACTTTTCGTTGTTTTCTTATGGCAATATTTCATTAGAAGAACTGGCCTGCTCCTATTCAGTAATGATGTGTCACAAGTAGTGAAACTCATTCAAATTACAACCAGATTCCTTAGCAACGCACCCAATTGTCAAACAATGCCACCAGTCAACTGAAATTTATGATAATAAATTTTATGAAATGTCAACTGATCATACAACATAACAAAATATTTGATTGCCTATTATTTAAATGTCCTTTAAAAAACATACAAAATAAAGTCAGCAAAAGTACCATATTTTTCAAGGCTGCCCTCTATGAAAAATTGAAGGGAGCCCAGTACTTTTTCTTGTCGCCCAAGAGCAAAAATTAGGTGCCAGCAGCCACATAGGCTGCTTGAGTACACGTTAATTTTTCATCATATTGGTGGAATAACTTTCATAAAAATCTATAATCAAATATTGCCCAGATAAAAAATCACTAATTCCCCTACCAAATTGATCAAACAACTTGAAATAAATTGATATTCAACAAACAAGCTGTATAAATCCATGGTAACTAGAAGTACCACCTGAGCATCCTGATCAGTCAGTTGTTTCACCTCTACAGTGATTGAGTTCTATATTCTCTTAAATTTTTTAACCATTTTCAAGCAACCAGGTTATGAGAAGAGAGTAATTTGATTAGAACTTGTGAAATTTATCCCAGATGAACTTTCTTTACTTTATTTTATTTTACTTAGCTTTTTTTTCCCTTGAACATATCAGAAAATGCCTGACTAAAGCCTTAAAATGCTTGCTAAGTTATAATGAAAAAAACTAAGCTGGATAATCATCCATGCAGATCAGAGTATAAAAAATGAGCAGCCTTGTCTACTTAAATCGAAGTGTACTGACTAGGATTTCTGAATAATGCTTGCAAACCCTATATTTTAAGGGACTAGTTTTTATCTTTTAAATTAGTTCACGAGGCAATTTCTCTTTTAAGAATGAGAAATCTCTACTTAACCCCAGTCGGTGGTCCGATATACAAGCTGAATGGGATCTCAAACAGTAAGTTTATTTTGTCAATCAAGAAATCAGTAATGTTAGTAAACGTATAATATATCTTACCATTGAAGACTGTAGGGTGTAGAGAGAGCATGCTTGGTAGAAATTTGTGCGAATCGTCTCTTACGAATACCGTCTTTCTTTACCGTGGCGGCCATTTTACGTTTGGAAATTGTCCCCGTCTCCGATCCTCTCCCCAGTTTCCCGGTAAGGCAAAGGACCATCCGCTAAAAGGTAACCTGGGGTGCTTACCATTCGACAGAAAAATCCGGCTGGGGTGTCGAAAGCATAATTGTAAGCGATTTATCAGTTTACCTTAGAAACGCCACATCCGTTACGGTTTGAATCCAAAAACAGGGCAATTTGTGTAGCGTAAGTCTGGAACCGAGAAGGAACCGGTTAATGGTGAGCAACGTTCCATTTGGTTCTTACCAACCGGAATGAATGGACTACCTCAAAACGTACTCCTCAATTTTCGGTTGGAATTTCCGAAAAGTGGCCTTACCATGGCCATTTGCCTTGCATCTGGATTTTTTTTTTTTTTTTTTGCTTTTTTGGCTTGAGAGGGAAAAAGAAAATAGATTACAGAGATAAAGGGAGAGAGCACGATCGCAGGTTAGCTAAAAGGAAAAAAAAGTGTTTTTGATGAAATATGGATATTCGGTGTCATTCACCATTTAAAATAGTTTTAAAATTTATTTTTGGCATCACTTCCCAATTGTTACTTTTTGTTTGGAGCAGAAAATTTTGCTTTCATTGCATTTCTAGCCTGCCATCGAGCAAGCTCTCCTGGGGCTCCAGGGAGAGCTTGCTTGCAGGCTATCGCATTTCCTTCTATTCAGTTTGATGGTTTCATGTGCAAGTTCTGTCCTTTGATTCACTGACCATGGATGGTGTGCGAGAATTTTTTGTGTGTGAGTGTGCGTGGGTGTGAAATTTCAAAAATTAAAATGAGACGTAAAAACGCACTTTTTTTTCCCAAAATTGTGTGAAGACATTTTACGCCAAAAGTGTAAAAAAATAATAGATAAACGATTAGACTATTCATCACATGTAAAAAAATTCCGGCGTGACAAATAGGCGCATGCTTTTCAGTCGACCAATGCAATCGCACAACAAAAACCTATATAAAAGGCGGCAACGACACGAGACCACGTTGTTTTCCTTTTGAGCCTTGCGTGAATCGACTTCCATCTGTGAAACAACATGTTCCGTGTTTCGAGTTTTCTTTCTTTTGTTGGTTTGTTCCTCTTGATGACGACTGAACAAAATGCTGGCTTACCTAAAAGAAAGAAAGGTAAGTAAATCTTTGGTTTTTCCCTTTGTAAAGGCGATATGGAAGACTTGTTACAAGTTGCAACTTGGGGTCTTGTGGCAATACGTAACCTCAACTTGCGTCAACTCGTTAAGATATTTTCTTTGGTTTTAGCGAGAAAAAAAAACTGTTGCTTCAACCTTTAACTTATATGTTTAACCCCCCCAAAAGCTTTAGAAACAAGTTTCATATACCGTCAACTCACGGACTCCTGAGTCTGTACAGTGTGTTGTCTTGTACTGGTCTAGTTTCCTTGCCGCAAGATTATTATCCCTCGCTTTGGTTTGGTGAAGAATTTTTCTGCAACAATGTTTAGTAAATGCATCAAAAGCAATTGTAATTATATTCTAAATTTTTATTCGCGAAGAAGTCAGTTGACCACGTGTTGTACAACACCAGTCGTATCTTGTGGAAGCAAACGAATATTCTGAGGCAAAAAAAGTTTTTGACTAGTTCTTTCTTTAAGTTTCTCTCAGTCTTAGGCGGGAGCCGGCTCCTGTCTAAGGTTGGTTTGAAAAGAAAAACTACTGTGGGCGACAATGAGAATAAATATTTTCACATAACTGTTAAAATCATTTCCCGTTTTCTTTTATTCCAAGATCGAATATGAGGGCGGAAAGCACGTCCGAAGTCCGAAATCTCTCCCCCCCCTCCCCCCTCACCTTCCCCTTCCCTCCCACCGTGCGTGTCACGCCATTATTTTTAGCTGTGACTAAGAGTATTTTTTTGGCATCACAGGTCAAGAAGCAGGCTTGTCCAAAGAGGAGAGGATCCACATTCGTGAGGTAATAAAGATTGCGTTGGAAGAGTTCGAAGATGAAGACATTCTGAAGGTGTTGAAGGAGTCTTTAGAGCTGAGGTTAAAGATCTGTTTCGCTCCGTTTCCTCCCCTTCGACCTGCTAGTAAAAAGGTGTCCTACAGCAACGGTAAGCATAATTAACTTTTTGATGTTGTTTGTTCTATATGTCTATAACGAGCGCAACGTAGTGTCGCACAGAGAGGCAGTTCTTTAGGATTCTTCGCAGTTCATTCTCGAAATACAAGGGTGGCTTGCGAGTCAAGGTGAAGCAGATTTTTAGCGAATTAGTTTCAGACTTCGGACTGCATATATGCGCCTTCTTTAGGCTCAGTTTGGCTCAATGAGCTAGAAAAATGAATTTTTGCAACAGATTCAACGCAAGTGCAACCTAGTTTGCTACACAGCCGTTTTTAGTGTCGTCACGCAACGCTCCTCCACGGAACGTTGCGTTACGACACTAAAAAAGGCAGTGTAGCAGACTACTAGGTGCAACCTTGTCCCCAGCACTTTTTTCTTGGAATCAGAGAAACGGGAATACGCTTGGGACGCTACTAGGTTGGTGCAAGTAAAAAATTCAACTTCTTTTAGTTTTGGCATAAAGCTCGTAAGAAGTGTACTTCTAAGGGATTGACCTTGACCTATAAAGGTGGATGGTAGGGGTGATACAAATTTTTAGCTTGGAGTAAGGTTAAACTGAAATATTTGGGATACATGAAGCTTGTACGTCTTGTACAAAAACAACATATCAAGACATTGTAGTCTTTTGTTCATTTTTCGCCACCTGTAGAAGGGCTGCAGGGGTTGCAAATGAGAGACCATCTTTGTATGACTGGGTGGGAAAGGCACACAGAAAACACACCCACGGTTGTTTCTTTTTTCCTTTGAGCTATGTGCCTTGTGCGTGTTCCCTTAAGTGGGAGCCTCATAGCAAACACACCATTTTTGGGGGGGGGGGGGGGGGGGGGTTGGGGAGGCACGTTAGCTTTTGTGTTACAAGGCATTGCCAATAACTGTGCATGCATCTCTGATATGGTCGCGAGATGCATCAATGACCGTTCAAATGACTGATTATATATTATTTACACGAAATCTTTTGGGTTATATCTGGCAAATTAGAATTTGAAAGGTTTTTTAAAATCCCTTAGTACATTCACATAAATTTTAACAGAGCTATTCAATAAAATAGTTTCACGCCCGTAATTTAATTAAGTTTCTCTAAGTTGATACCTAATTAAAGAGATAAAACTATTAAGTTATTTTCTGTATTACATAATACCTTATAAACGTTGTATATGTGTGATAGCAGGTAGAGCAGTTCAGTTAATAAGTTTTTGTGAAAAAAACGGTTTTATTCTGGGTACTTTTTTCTACAGGAGTTATGGAAGATGAGGAATTCACGCCTGAGCAAAAGAAAGGACTTCGCGAACTTCTACTTGAATGTTTAGAACACTTCGATGAACAGGAAATATTGGATTTTTTGACACATTCCATCGAATTCAGAGTCAAGTTTTGTCCTCCACCGCATTACCTCCTACCTCCAGGCCCTTATCCCAGTACGTTTCCAAGCCCTGAGCCGGGACCTGGCATCACTCCAAGGTCCCCTACAAAACCACTTGGCATAATTCCCAGGTCCCCTAAAAAAACCCCTATGCCTACTTCAGAAGCTAATCCCAAGACAAGAGCAACTACCCCTTCCAGTGGCCAAACCTCAGCAAGTCCCTTAACAACAGAGGCCGCCACCCAGTCAGCTATGGTTAAAGAACGCCAACTCATCGAAAACGCAGTCTTTGAAGACGACATGGCTGATTTAGCTGAAGACGTTACATTCGAAGACGCGGCCCTCTCCAAAATCCAGTCTGACGAGCCTGTTTTGAATCAAAAAGGCATTAAAGACGTTGCTAAAGCAGAAGTAGTCAAAGAGGCATCCAATAAGCGTGCTTCTTCTCCAGCGAATTCTCGTTTTGTCGGGTTAGGTGAAAAAGATTCCACAAAGAAACTTACCCAGCGAATGAAGCTTCTTTCACCCCAGCAATTTAAGCTCAGCAACGCAGATTGGGCTCCTGAGAAAGAAATTTCCGAGTCCCCTGAAGGCGAAGCACAGAGCGACATGGAGAAGCTCCAGGTAGCCCTCAGCGACCATTTTGTCGGACGCGCTACAAAGGGACTCAGTGAACCAGCCAAACGACTGGCGAAGAAGTCTTCTTCTCCAGAATCAAAAGTTACTTTGTCGAACCTCGTCTCGGATAAAAAGTCCGTTTTAAACGAGCCAGTCGATCCAGGCGAGTCGGAGTCCAAACAACCGAACGACCGGTCCATCGTCGGCCGGTCCTCGGAGAAAGTCGGAAAAACGTCTTTGTCGACGAACAGCGACGAGGGCGAGTTCTCCAGCGTAATGACGATCGACTACAGCGAAACAACACACGAGGCAGATCCTGGCGTCGTGGGAGTCAACTTGGGGCTTATTGCTTAGTCAAATGATGAATTATCGTAAAAGAAGAATTATTTCTTATACACACCCTGAGTGGAGGGTATACAAATATTTATGGTGATTAATTTGAAAATTTTAATAATTGTAATACTTTTCATAATTTATAATGGAAATGATGTAAAAAAGGAATCTATGTGACAAGTTTGATTAAATCACTTTCATGCTCACAAATTAAGCTTCTTTTGTGCAAGTCGACAATTTTAAAAATTTGATTGCATCTTAACACCGGCACGGAATGAAATGAGCGCGCGCTTTTGATGACTAACAGAGACTGCGATGTTTCGACCTCTCGCTGTTGGTTTTAACCTAGTAGACCAAGGATTAGACTGGTCACAGGCAGGAGCCCATAACCAGTCCCCTATTTTTTCTTAAGATGGTCATGATCGAGCGTTTGCCTGTACGGGCGGCTCTAAAGGGCGACCATATATACATATCTTGGTTTCATATGATAGGGACTGTGAACAGTGTGACCTAGTATGGTAAGGCGATGACGTAAAACATGGCTTACTGTAGGCTCCCAAGTAGCATTGCAAACACTGGCATAGCAAACAAACAAAACATTGATTAAATCATGTTAAGAATGACTTTCGCGTCCAGAAGGACAGATTGTTGCATGGTTTT